TCCTGCGGGATCCGCTTCCGGGACGACCGAAACCGGGCTAACCTGAACCTGGCTGCGATCGTTCGTCTTGATCCCGGGACTGCCCTGACCTGGCCCAACTCGTTCCCGCTGTCCCGAGGGAACGCCAAAGGCGTCTTCCCGCAGGAACTGGAGACGGGCTAATACTCGCGCCGCGATTAAACGGGCTTCCGTTGGCTTCCCCTTTGAGCTGGGCACACTGAGCGACTCTGCTGCAAGTACTCGGGGCACTGCAATGTGCTGCAAGTACTGCACAATGCACTGCAGTTGCAGTTAGCGGCCTCGGCGAGTCGCGATTAATTTGCGCGGTTTGCGAGATGCTTTTTTATCCCAATGAAAAGCTTCTCATGGATTCGCGATATTTGGGACAGGCAATAAAATGAGAATTTCCGAAAGTTCGAGGAATTTGCAATTTTTCCTTTTTTTATTGTCCGTCGTCTACAGCGGTCCGACGTGACTCGCGTTCATTTCCGCGGTTCACGGAATCCTTTCCCCCGGGATGCCTCTTATCAATGAGCAAATATTGATAACAAATTACAATTTAATTGTGGGGGATTTAACGAAAATTCAGGGAAATTCGGAGGTTGACATCGCGTTTAATATCGCGATTCACGGGATCCGTTACTCCATGTTGCCTCTTATCATTTCACAATATCGGTAATCAACTGTAATTAAATATATAGATTTTGCGGAAATTCGGCCTCGGTTCCGTCGATCCGACGCGTGCGGTTCGCATTTCATTCGTCGAATTTCTTTCTACGGGAGTCTCAATTATCAATCCGCGATATCGGTAATATAACGTAAACAAATGTCTGGAATTGTCTAAAATTCAACGAAATTGCAAATGTGAGAGCAGAGATTTTTTTTTTCCGCACTCGTCGCCGTCTCCGTCGATCCGACGACTGACGATTAACGAGCCTCGTCGACGGCCCCGACGTCGATATAAAAGTCAACGTTACCCCCCGCGACGAGTCGACGCACCGTCACGCTCGTCATTGAAAATCAATGCCTCGTCCGTCAGGACGGAGAGCGTCGACGGTTCCTGGTTCCCAGTGCCCGCGGGAACGAGCGACGTCCCGCAGTTCCGCCCCTGGCGTGTAACGCGACGCAAGAAGGACGACGGATTTCGTCCTGCGTCGACGGAGTCGAGATGGTTCCCTCTCTCTCCCTCTCCCATATTCCCGTATAGCGGCGTCTCTCTCTTCACCCTCTCCCAGAGAGAACCCTCGAGGGAGGGTTCCCGGAGGTGCGGAGGGAAGGCATTAAAATTTATGACCCACTCCTCGCAAAAAGCTACTCGCGAGGAGTCCCGGAACTGTTTTCGGATCGACCTCGAAGAGGGACCCGGTCTCCCGAGGGAACGCTCTAATTGACGGTAGCAGGGATCGGGACTCCAGGACTGGTCCGATCGCCGAGTCCTTCGAAATTATAAGGACAGGGCGAGGAAGCCTTCCAAAGGGTCCTTGAAAGGATCCCGAAGGACGGTAGAATGGAAACCTGGAGAGCCATCTTTCGGGACCTGGAATCCAGATCGATTTTTACGTAACCCCTCCCTTTTTCCCCCTAAATCGAGCTCATTCATCGGCACCCTTCCCTCGGGAGGGAGTTCAGTTTCGTTCGGGTACCTAGATCCCGAGGGATGGTCTGGATAGCGGGAACCCCCCTGGATGACTCCGGGGACCAAGACGAACGGGCTCCGGGACTCGCGCCGATCTCTGTCTGGGTTCCCGGGACCGGGAAGGAACCTGGCCATCCATCCTCCAGGAGAGTTATGGGAATTGGGTTCGCCCCCTTCCGCCCCCCAACCCCCGAGCGGGAGATACCGCGGTAGGCTCCGCCATTCGTTACCCCCCGCGAGGCTGCCGATAAATATATCCCCGTTAATGGATAAAGCGGTCGACTCTCCCGAGGGAGAGCCTAAGAACTCCTGTTTTCTCCAGTCGAAGGGGGATAGCTCGAATCCAGGAAAAGGGAACGACGTCACGGTAGAATCGGTGGCATCTACAGGTCGCGGATTCCGCGGTTCCCCCGGGACCTCGAAACGCTCCCGGAATCCCGTTGGCCCTCGATTGGCGATTCAGCGCCGGGAAAAAAGAATCCGCCGGAATTCCGCATCCCCTTTCTCGGGGCGCAGATGCATCCGTACTCTCGTGCCACCGCGATCGATTATCGGCGCGGATCGACCGCGCCGAAAATTCGGTCGATTTTCAAAATTCCCTCGACTTTCTACCGAGTCCCTCCGCCCTTCGCCCCGCGCGATAGCATCTCAATTACGCGCGGCAGTTTCGCAAGAAGGGCGCCCGTAAATCGCCCCGCCCCGCCCCCGGGCCGCGCGCGGAAAACTTCCGGCATTGTAACCGCAACTTGTCGGGCCGGCGTTTCCGCGGCGGGCCGCGCGATAACCCGGCGCGGATTTATCGGCGAGTACCGGCGGCCGCGATCGATGCCCCGCGAGCGCGAGCCGCATGCGGAACCGCGCGCGTCCCGCCCGTCCGGTCGGGGCGCGGGATACGCGTTAATACGCGCCCGTAAAGGGCGGCCGGGGGTGCGGCGAATCATTTATTTCCGCATAATTCCCGGGGCGCGGCCCGCCATGGGGGGGGGGGGGACACCAGTGAATTATTCACTAACTTTGCGGCGTGACCGTGTTGCGGACGCGGCTTAATTCCGACATTAAACCCCGTAATTTGGGCCGCGTGATGCGCCGCGTTAATAGTCCCCCCCCCCATCCCCCCAACCCCCATTCAACAGGGGGTGACGATTGCTCGCGCCGATCGCGAATTCGGCGATCGACTCGCCCGGTATAATTTTCCGCCGTGGAAATCTCGACTCCGAAATTCATCCTCTCCTCCCGAAGGGGAGGGAGGGGATTCAGAGGGAGTCATTTAGGATGCCGTTCTAATCGTCTCTGAATTTATTCCGGGGTTGGGGGAAGGGATGGGGTGCCCCATTAACGGCTTTACTACCCCCGTGTCCCTTCTCAAGAAGGGGGCTTAAACAACTAAGAAACTACTCCAGGGGTACTTCTTCGATTTTGTTGGTCGTGATCGGGATTGACCCACCCCGCCCCCGCCCCTCCTCTTGGGGGGTGACTTTCCTACGCGAGGATGCGGAAAGGCAAGGGGGTCGAAGCTAAAGGAGAGTTTCCACCCCCTACTGGGGGGGGGTGGCGAGCTCGTGCCAGGCACCGTTTGCCAAGGAGTATCGACTCGGGGGTGCGACTCCCCCGGGGGATTTCACCCCCGCCCCCATACGGCAGGGGGTACGTCGTTAAACCCGAATTTGCGTGTCTCAGGGGGCGAAAAACTGGCTAGGCGAAATGCACCTGATACCTCGGTGCGTATGTAAATTCTGGGCATGCACCCCTTCTACTTCCTTCCTCCGCCCCCCCCGTGCCCTCCCTCCCTCCCTACCTTTACGGGAGTGCCGGAAAAGTTCACTCGACGCGGCCGTTTCGGGCTGAATTTGCATAGGGTAAAATACGAGAGTCCGTCTCTCTCCCTCTCTTTTGCCGCCTCCAGAAGCAGACGCTCTCTGCTCCCTCCCTCCCTCCCGCCCGCCCCCCCCCAGACTTACCCCACCCATGGATCCGGCGTCGTCTTTTGTCGGCACCTCCACCCTTTTGACGTCTCGTTTACTCCGAGGAAACGGGAGTGGAAAATTGCACCTCCTTCCGATCGACCCCCTCCGGGGAAGGGGGGGCATGGAGTCTCTTTATTGTGTATAAAGGATTATAAAAAATGCATGAAAATGGGGATCACCTTCTTTGCATCCCCTTCCCCGGGACGGGGAGAGTCAACGAGCCTCGTTACCGTAAATTGGCGAGCTCCGAAGAGGAACCACCCCTTCCCGGTGGAAGTTAGCTTGGGGGTGGAAAAACAGAGGGGGGGTGGCTTTTCCGCGAAGAAGAGTCCGAAGACGCGATTCGTCGGCGGGGTGAAGTCGAAGAGGTGGTTATTCTGTCTACGTTCTCTGGTGGACGAGTCTTCATCCCCCGCGCATCTCTTCGGGGGTGCTTTAACCCCTTCATCCCTCTTCGGGCGAAACTTCAGCTCCCTTCGTCTTCTTTCACCCCCCCTCAAAGGGACACGCGACTCCGGAATAATCGGGCTGGATCTCATGATTGATGAACACCCTCGCAAAGGGGATGGCCCTTTACTCGTTTTCCCCGATTTCCCTTCTTTGCCGATATTTTTTTACTCCTTCTCCCCCTTTTCATTCCCCTCGGGGAAGAGCTGCAGTCGATATCGCACGCCGTAAAGAAACCCCGTCGTTTAAACGCCCCTTTCCCTGGGGAGGAGATCGGGAGATGTCAAACGAGCCGAAGAAACCCCGACGGGCTTTTAACCGGAAGCGATGCCACCCCTCCCCCCCCACGTCGGCGGGGATGTTTTGCACCCCCTCTTCCGAGGGGGCCGGAAGAAGCATCCCGACATCGGGCTCCCTGTTTTGCTCCCCGGGTTGGCAGCTCGCTTGGCGATTCGCCAACAACCCCCGGGCCATTTCGCCCCGATCTGAGAGATCCTCCTGAGGGGCATCCACCCCCTTCGCGTATTTAAAATTTCCGGAGAAACGTCTGTAAGAAAATAATCCACAAACTCGGCTGTCTCAACGGACAAATATGAGTGACTGTCTCGAAGCATTTTCTTTTTTTTTAACAGTGATATCGAGAAAAAAATTTTCAACATCGATCTACCTCGCCCCTCTATGGAATTTAAAATTTCCATAATTATCGGGACTATAAATAATTAATTTCGTCGTTGTGCCAATTTCAACTCTCGCATTGAAACCTATATTCACTTTGGGGTACATTCATTGTTCTACCGAGACTGAATTAATATTTCGTAAATCTTCAGGTAGAGAGAAAAAGAAATTCGTTAGGAGTTAAGGACGCCTATGATGCCGTAATTTTTTTTGTCAGGGTACTCTTGATAATCGCCAAAGTACCGTTGGTAATCGTCCCCTTTTACCCTTTGTTGCAGGAAATATAAGGACCAACGCCGTCCTCGACGTCGAGACTAAAAGAGGCTATTGGCTGAGCGTTTACGCCCAGGACCACGGGGTCGTTCCTCTGAGCTCCAAGTTACAGGTAAATCACCCTCGCAACCCTTGTAGCTATTACCCTGGAACTGCCAGCCCCGTTATGACCTGCTAACTGCATTGTATACGGAGACAATCTTCCTCGGAGTGCCTTATAATGCGCATCGCAGAGGAGGCCTTTTACCAAGCCGGTCGAAAGTGCTCCCCAAATCCAAAATCATCCCTCGTCAGCGATCACCTCTAACGAACTTACGAACAATACATTTATCTATTTTTTTTTTTTATCACCACACCCCTGCAAACCTCCCAGTGTTCATGATTCCAGTGACTACCTTCAGTATTTACTGACTTTCATGAAATTATCCATGTATTAAATTTTCAATTAATTCGATATTCCATGACCTGAAAAATAACTCAACGTTTTATGTTTTCTTTGAAATAATCCAATGTTTCGCCATCTGTTAAATCCCTCACTGTTTCATGATTTCTCGTTAAACGATTAATTTTCATGATTTGTCGTTAAATCACTCGATTTTTTTTTTTTTTCATAAAAATTAAATCGAGCAATCCCCACGTCGAGATTCACCCCCCCGTTTAAGAGACGAGGGTCGAAGGCTCAACAACCCCTGTGTCCCCAGGTGTACGTGGAGGTGGAGGACGAGAACGACAACACCCCCCTGACGGAGGAGCCAGTGTACTACCCCTCGGTGCCGGAAAATTCGGCCGCGGGGGTGAGCGTGCTCCAGATAACAGCCTTCGACAGGGACGTCTCCGAGCAGCGACTCACCTTCTCCATCAGCAGTGGAAATCCCGCAGGATACTTCCTCATAAATTCTACTACCGGTAATTCATCCCTCCGTTTCAATAGAAAGCCATAAAAAGGGAAGAAGAAATTAAGGGAAAAAAATCGCGGCGACTTCCTGGGCTCTTTAAATAGGGCGTGGGGAATAAATGGTCTCCAGGAAAATGCAAGGAAATTTCCCCCGAGGGGTCGTCTAATTAACAGGGTACCGAAGAAAATGTCGACAGGTGCATCGATGGAAATTGGAGCGAATACCCCCTCCCCCCAGTAAGCTCCTTTTCCGACGCCCCGTTGAATGCATTCGACGTCTTCCGGCTGGTCCGTACAAAAGTTTCCTCATCTCGCCTGGAGTGGGCGGAAGGGGGAGGGTTTCTCAAAAGAAGGAAAGAATTGAGAAAGAACGGGAAAAATTAAAGAGGCGCTGCTTCCGGGGGTGGGAGCTTATCAGAAAATTTCAGGGGAAAATCGGAGCGGAAGTTGTTCGCAATTACGCCAATTAATCGTATCGGTTGCGGATGTCATGGGGGTTATCGAGAAAGGCTCCGTCATTCAGCGTGATTCGCGGTTTATCAATGACGGGGGGAGGGGGGAGTATTTCCCCCCCGATATGGGGGCGGTGAACTCGAGGGAGATCCCTTAGGAAATTTATGTTGTTCGGGAATGATTGGAATTTTTTGGCGCTACGAGAGGTTGGGTAATCACGGGAATGATGGAATCTTATCACCGCGCGTTAACGCCACTAATTGTCACTCAGCGACGTCACATGGGGTTGCTGCCGCCAAGAGTCGTCACAAAGGGTTGTCACCCACTTTTGGACTCTCTGAAAACCCGGAATCCGATATTCCCCTCGTAAGAGAGGACCGCGTCGGCGTTTACCTTGCCGAGGGCCGTTCCGCAGCCTTTTATGAAACCATATTGCGGTACCCGCTCGACGCCCTGACGTTACGGGGGTGGCTAACGATATTTACCAGGGGTGCCATTACGCCCGGCGACTGCTCCAGGAGGAAACGAGCCGCGAAAACGGAGAGAAGAAGGATAAAGCGAAAGAAAGCAAAAAATTCCAGGGGAAATGGACTACTCGAAATTCGCCCGATTCCACCGGGGGTGGAATTTTCAATAAGCGACACGACCCCTCGGCGCAGGGGAAATTATTTCCCCCCACGAGGAAAACAAAACGCGCGGCATATTTCCCCGCGACCCTCGCAATTACGGGGAGCTTTGGAAAAATGTTACGGGGGTGGAAACCCAGAGGGAGGGTCAAAAATGGAGTCAAAGAGTCTCGGAATGCCTGTGGCGAGAGATGAAAAGCGGAGGGTGGAAAGCCTCTCTTTATATTTATTTAACATTTCCATACAATTATTTTATACGTATTTCCAGGCGCCTCCCTAAATGGAGGTGGAGGGGGCGCGGATCTCAATTTTCTGTGGCACTTTTTCACTGATTCCCACCCTTATCAGGGGATCTTGATAACTTTGAACGTGGTATTTTTAAGTAACGAAATGGAAAACTAGGAAGAGTCGGGAAGAGCTTCGGGGAAATATCTTTAATAGAGCCACCCCTTGTTGACACCGCCCTGGGGGGTGGAGGCGCACCTTGAGTGATAACGCACTTCGAGCAATTCCCCAAATGACGGGGGAGGAAACCCCACACCGCGGAAGTATGAAAAATGGAGTGCGGGGGGTAAAGTAAAAACTCAAGGGGAGGAAAATAAAAATTCTGGGGGACCTCCCCCTGATATTTCAACGGGGGGTGGCAAGGGGTCCACGGAAGCTCGAAGTAAAATTCGTTTACCGACGCCGAGGCGCATCCAAAGGCGGGCGATAGCCCCGATAAGAGATTTCGACGGGGGATAAAAGCGTCCTCCCCCACCTCCACCCCCTCTAGGGTGAGAAAATCCGCGCCCGGATTTTATTTCTCCCTTTTTTCATCCCCTTCTTTAAATTAACGGAGACGCGCCGTTGTGGCTCGTTAACCTGGGCCCCAACACCCCCAACCCCCTACAACGTTGACGCCTTATCAAATTCGTGATAAGAACGTCGGTGCGTCCCTTTCAATGAATATTCCGCGAATAAAGGGAGAAAAAGGAATAATTCACAAAGCAAATAAAGCGACGCTATGATCGACAATAAAAAGGATGAAGTTAAATCAGTGGGGGGGGTGGGTTAATTCGTTCCTCTGGGGGGAGGCGAATAGGGCGCCTCCGCCTGCGGCCGCAATATCGGAAGATTGCCCGGGCATAATAAAGAAGTAAATAAAAAAAAAAAGGTGCCTCGAGGGGCGATAAAAACCGTTGGGGGGGATTACGGGGGGAGGCCCTTTCGCGCACTTTGCTTCGCGTCGTAAGGTAAAACTGGGGCGATATAATTATACGATTAATAAAGGGAGGCTCTCGCGAGGGGCGATAAGCTGCAAATTAGACCGGCTTTCCCTGATAGGAGCGCTTTCCCCCCGGGAAACCCCCCCCGATCACAATCAATTTCTCCGATTTTCTCCGTTTTTTTACCCCTCTCTTTTTTTTCCTACTCTCCTCGCGCCATTTCCACGGATTATTTCGATTGGCAGCGGTTGTCCCGTTGAATTTTGCTCGATTCGTTTACAGAGCGTCACGGGGGGGCGGAGGGGGAGACCTGGAGGGGGGTCCTTGCGAAGGGCCCTCCACGGAAAATTGGCGCGGCTACAAAGCTCGCTCGATCGCCGATAATGTGTGTCGGGGTGTTTGTGCTCGGATGGCTCTCTCGTCGACGATTTTCCGAATTTCCATTCGTTCCCGTGGACAGCGTGAAAATTTTCCCACGAACGAGTCTTGGAGTCTCGCGCGATAATTATTTCCCCGACAGGTGAAACCTCCCCTCGACTCACCTGTTCCCGCCAGGAAAATCTCCCTCCCCGCTTTTCCGAATGTTTCCCTCAATCCGCGCCAGTCACGGGCGATAAAAGACCCCGAAACGTCGATGGGGGGTTCCGGTTCACCCCGGACAATTTTTTTTTCCCTCCCTCCAAAGGTCGTCCGCTCCGTCGGCGAGAGGATCGCCGGGGGGGGGGGGGGGCGGCGGCACAAAGCACGGTTACCGAGAGAGTAATATCGTGATTGGTTTTACTCTGTGGCAGCTTGATTTCCAATAGCGAAGTTTGCTGGGAGGCGCGGCCGTGAGTCGGACCGACCCCGGATTCGCGGGGGGTGCAAGGGGGGTTAGGGAGGAGGAAAGTAATTATTTAAATGCACAGTTGCGCGATGGAAGCCCGCCAATCCTTTTTCCCTCCCCCTCTTTCCTTTTCTTTTTTTTTTCCTTCGTTTTCCCTCTATTTCCCTCCTCCCCCCATGCCCCATGCCCCAGGAGGGAACGCACGCTCCCGACAAAACCCCGTTCCAGGTGTAGGTAGGGGGGTGCAGTCCCCCGCCATCGAATGGACAATCGCGTTACCAACCGGTCGCAGTCCCGATTGCGAACCAAACAAGTAATCAGCGAAGGTGTCGAGAGGGGGTGGAGCGGGGGGGCAAAGGGGGATGGGGGTGGTTCCGATTCACCGTGACGCGTTTTAATTCTCCACGCGTCCCGCGAGTGCACCCATGCATCCCCGGGATGAATTCTTAACGCGCGGCCAGAGGGTACACCACCCCGGGGGGGACGGGGTGGGGCAATGGGGGGCTTTGTCATCCACGGATAACGAACGGATTGAACGGGGAATAATTTTCCGCGGCACTGGGGTGCGGCTTTTCCTTTCCCGGCGGAGGTGTCGACGAGTCAATCGGGTTTACTGGAAAGGGGTGTCGAATATCGCGACATCCACGGGGGCAGGGGCGATCGGAGGTGGGAGGGAGGGTCGATCGCCTCCTCTCCCTCTTCCTGTCTTCCTCGGCGACGATTTTATCGCCATCGAGTGGCTCTCGAGCCGACTCTTCGAGGGCGCGTCTGCTGGGATGTTCCTTTAATAAAAGGGGCAGAGTGCCTCCCCCCGGGTGGGGGGAGGGAGTCGAGAGGCACGAGGGAAGGGCGAGACGGTCACGAACCTAGGCTCCTCTCGATGGGACCGCTTTTGCTGGTCTCGCGAAAATTTCAGGGGGTGGACCACCCCCCGGTGTAATAATGATGCACTCTTGGGGGGGGGTCTGCCGATCAGATCGTACCTCGCGGAGGCATCGAACCCCTTTAGAATCTATTCTAGAATCTACGGGAGCATCCATGGCATCGTGGGGGATGGGGTCTCGGAGGGCGTCGCTGGTGCACCCTGGCGGGTGTAGGAGGGCGGGGGTGAAAAGGGGGTTACATGCCCCACGGCGCGTGATACTTGATATTGAAATTTTTTTACGGCTTAACTTTTATGGGCCTCCCCCGGCTTATCCGCTCATTCTGCTTGCAGGGCTGATCACCACCAGCGGGAGGAAGCTGGACCGCGAGAACCAGGCGGAGCACGTCCTCGAGGTGAGTCCTGGATATCGTCATGGAGCCGGTCCCCAGGAGGGGGAAAATCCCCCCAGAGGGTGGTTTTCACGGATCGGACCCCGGATCACGCGGACGTTTTAACAGCGGACAAAGTGCCTCGGAGAAGTGACGGATTGCACGAGGCGCAATTAATCGCCGGTTGATTCATGGCCGGGGGCACTACCCCCCGGAGGAGTATCGATAAAATTATCCGAGTGTCGAGTAAACTCCGTGGGGTCGATCCCCCCACTCTGGGGACCGTCTGCGCGGTAGTGAAAAATTTCCCCTCGGTTCGAAATTCCCTTTCTCCTATTCTTATCGGCCTGGTAGAAATTATTAATATAACTAGACACGAAAGCTTGAGGGGGTTAAGTCACCCCATGGGATGTAGGGGGTTACGGGAATTTTTCCCGATTTTATTTCTTTCCCCTTCTTTTTTACATCCTACCTCTCGACAATGGCAGGCAACCGGCGGGAGAGATTTAAACTAGCAAACGACTCCTTTCGCCGAGGCGGAGATGAGCGAAGGGCTTTACGGCCGTCGTCTTTACGTACCTGCGTTACGCCCCAGGAGCATTCGTCGTTACGCCGCGGAATATTGCGGCGGGCCGCGCGGCGACAACGTTGGCCCGCGGTCGCGCAGCGGGCGAAACCCCGTGGGACCCCTCGCGTGCCGCGCCCTCGGCACTTTGAGCCCGGTAGAGGTCGCGGGAAGGTCGCGGAAGCGCGACCCCGGGCACTGTGCTAACGGGGCTCCCGGAGGGATACCGCGCGATTTGTCTCGCGGAGCGTTAAGGTAGCCGGAATGTTGATAGGCCGCGGAGTCGTAGATGCGGGCACGTTGATGCGGGAGCCTTCGAGACACGTCGAGACAGGTCGGAGATGCGGGCGCCCTCATGTTACGTTGAGGCACGTCGCAACACGTCGATGCGGGTCACGGATGCGGGTGCAAAGTGCGTCGAAACCTATCGCAACACGTCAATGCGGGCCAGGATGCGGGCGTCACAGGATGTTGAGGTAGGTCGCAGTGCCCGCGCCCAGTCCGCGGGTGCGGGCGATCGTTCGGTCTCTCTCCGAGGGAGAGCGAAAGACCCGATGGGGGGCGACTCCTCGTTTCCGCCGCGAAACGACGCGAGCGCTCGGCTACGCCGAGCCCGTAAAATCGGAGATCGGCTGCAACCTGTAATCCCGGGGGAAGCGGTCGGCCATTGGACGCGATATCACCCTTAACGTTAGAGGGTTGTTATTTGGGTTGCCGGTGTTGTCCGGAGAGGTCGTTAAAAAGTCTAGAGTACGCGTACCCGGGGCTTTAAATCGCCCGAACGGAATCGAGGCAATCGAGTCTTTCCCTCCCCTCGCCTCCCCCATAGTGAAATCGACTTCTTCAAAATCGCGATCCGCATCGCGGCCCTCCGGAGATCGAAAATAGGGACATACCCAAAAAATGGGAGAACAAAGTGGCTCTAGATGCATTGTCTCCCCCTTCTCTCCCTCTCGCACCGCAGAGGGTAGACCCATCCGATGCGGTCGCGGATCGAGCTCGGCGGGAAATCACGTCCTGTGGGAGATTGAAAAGCGAAGGACGGCGTCAAGAAGGGGGGAGTTCCTCAGGGCGAGGCCGGAAGATGGCGGAAAGTGAGGGAGGTCTGGGGACAGAGGGATTGCATTTCCCGCAGGACGTCATCGACCACTCTCTCTCTCCGTCTCTCCTGCATCTCCCGTGTAACAAGCCTTGGATGGAGACAAAGAAAGAGGGACGGAGACATCTATACACATATAGACTGAGAAAGGTAACAAGGAGTGGCGGGGGAATCCAGGAAACCAGCTTTTACGGCTCGCGAGCGAGGCGCGGGGATTCCGTCGGCGGAACCCCGGTACTGCGGATCGCGGACTGCGGGGACCGCGTAGAGTTTATCTCCCCCACTTCCACCCTCGGGTGGCGGAGAGACACCGTGTACCAATTTCCCCGAAGAGAGGCTCGAGCACTCCGGATGTGTGCGCCCACTTCGAGGAGGGAGAGAGAGAGAGAGAGAGAGAGGAGACCTATTCCTTTCCCGAATTTCCAGCGAGTTGGGTGTGGGGGGGGGGGGCTCTCTCGGAGATAGATGCATGGAGAGGAATAGCGACGCGTATACACCCCAGGGAGAGGAGGCTCCGGAATTACGGGAGCCTCCACTTCCGGCGGCGCTTCCCGCGCCACTTCCGGTTCCGGACCGATGACGAGCGGGGGGGTGTCCCCCCATCCCGGCAAATAAGTCCCACGGAGAGACGGCTCCATTTATCGCGAACACCGGACAGGGTATATCCACCCCGCGTGTTATCAGTCCACTGATACACCTGCCCCCTCAGTCCCCCAGGACGGCCATCTCGCCCGATTGCCAGCCTCCCCAAGGGATACGCAGGGCGATAACCCGGGGCACTGATAACAGGAGAGCCCATCTGCCCTGGCAATCGCGTCCTCCCTTTTGATCCTGGGGGGGGGGGGTGACGTTCCCCCCAACGGGAAGCCGATGAGAAATTCGAGAACCGCGAGAGGCGGAGGGTAAAAAGAGGGTGGCGGAAGGAAACGGATGAAATCAGGAAAACGAGAGGAATCCGCGACTCGACGAATCTCCCTTCCTCCCCCGGGAAAAAATGAAGCTCGTCGGGAGGAGCCCCACCCCCACACCCCGCGCCACCTCAATTACCCCCGGTGCATTTTGATTTACGGCTGCGACGAGGCTGAAGTTTCATTTTCCGTGGGTTGCGGGGGCAGGGGGACAGGAAAAGAGAGACCGGGACAAAGCGGGGCGAGACCACTTAGTCGCGCGGGAATGCTACCCCCGAACCCTTCTCCCTCCCTGCCCCCTCCGCCCCGTGTTTCGCGCGAACACTCGACAAGGTAATTTCCGAGTTTTTCTTGCGTGCCGGGGGCAAGGGGGGAGGATCGCTACCGGGGCGGAATATAACCGCCCGAGCCCGAAACTCGCCCGGGGGGCGATAACGGTAGTCCGGAGTTTCGCGGGGAGAGACTTGGGATTCCTCCCTCGGTTCTTGGAGCGAAGTGTGTCCCGGCTTGAAGAGACATTCCACCCCCGGGGCCCCCCACCCACCGGCGGGAGTTGCGGGAGCTAAGTTCGATCCCGGGGTTCGGCCCGGGAAGTTCGGGACACCCGTTGAGAGGATGGGGGGGGATGATCGGCCCGTTTCTGGCCGAACTGACGAGGAGATCCTTGCGGGGGGGGCAGGCAGGGGGTGGTCGTTAAGACGGCTGTTTGTGTTTATAACCGAGTTAAACGAGTCTCCACCCCCCTGGGGGTCGGCGGAGATTCTCCGGAGTCTTCGCGGCCCCTTCGCCCCCGTCCCCCCCAGCGGGGTCCTACGTACCCTTTCTCTCCATCTCTCTTCCTCGCCCTATATACATCCGTTCCATATATACATATATATACTTCCACGCACCTACGTGCACCTACTAGTCCTCAGCCACTCGAGAGTGGGGGGGGGCTTCCCTTCTGGTCGCCGTGACTACCGACCAAGTTCCCGTCGCTAGAGTGCCGATTCTCATGAAAATTGCACCCCTTCCGCCCACCCTCCACCCCCAAACCTCTCCTGCGGCTGGCCTCCGACGTTTCCAAACCCCCTCCCTGGTGGGGGAGAATTAATGCCGACGACACCGACCCCCCCGCAAGAGGATTCGCCCTTCACCCCCCGGGGGGTCCTTCCCTTCCGTTGCGTGGTCAAAGGTGTTCAAATCGCGGTCTTTACTTTAAGGGAACGCGGAATCACGGGATGGAATCCACGTGGCCCCCCCTCTTATGCAACATGGACATGTCAGGGATCGATCGAGGGTGTTAATTCGCTGATAAAATTGAGGGGCGGTAATGATATGTAAAAATTATGCCGCCGTAGCCGGTAATGCCCCCCCGATGTTATTTCGGTGCCGCGTTATGAAACTCCCGGCTTATGGCTGCGTAGAGGGGGGGCATGGGGGGTTAGGAGGGGTGGACCACCGAGCCCGCTTGTAAATTAGCATCCTATCGAGTCCTGAACCCTCCTACGGGGTTTATGTGACAGAACGCGGACGCGCGGCCTTTTTTATTGCCGGTTAGTTAAAGCCTCCCCGCGGACCCCGCGGGGTCGGATCTCTTTCTCACGCTCACGGGCCGGCCGCGCGATCCGTCTCTCTCGCACTCACGGGACGCGCCTTTACGGCGATCGATTCGCCTCGAAGAGGCGGAGGTGGAGGCGAGGCTCGAGAACCGCTTACGCCTCCTAGCCGAGGAGTCCCTCTCGAACCTCCGGGAACCTCCGGGAACCCCGGCACCCCGGCTTTCGGGCTTGAAGAGAGAAAGGTCTGAATAAAAATCCGAGCCGGGACGAAAGCGAGCCTGCCGGAAATGCACTTTTAATGCGGCGAACCGGCCGCGTCGCCGCGCGCTCGAGAGGTCGGTGCATGAATCCCGATTCGGGTTGGATGGAGGGCGCCCACGGGGTAAGAGGAACGGACGAAAATGTATCCGTGAATGGGACCGTTCCTCGCGAAATTCCTGGAGGGACGCGGGGTGGCGGGTCCCGGGGGAGCTGTGGATTTCAGGAGAGGCGTCCCGATTGGAATATGCATCCCTTCGACGGTAATCTCGGATCACTCGGGATATGAGTTGGGCTATTTCTTAGAACCCGTTCCATCCCTCGGGATCCGAATGAAATTCGGAGGAGGAGTCTTTTTTCGCGGGTCCCGAGGGAGCTCGGCGCTCGTTGTGCGTCGATCTCTCTCCCCTTCGGCTCCTCGAAAAGAGATTGGTCCCGATTTGCACGCTCTTTTGAGCCCGATACCGGCCGACCCTCCATCGGGAATTATTCAGAGCAATCAGCCTGAGAGGGCCGTCAACGGGATACCGCTCCCGGAGTTCCGATTTTGAGCGAAAGGGGGAAAGGAAAAATTGAGGGAAAAATAGGGGACGGGAAAAGGGTGTCCGGTACGACCTCTCGACCCTGTCCCGCGCGCGGGAATCTTTGCGACGGCATTTTTTACCTCGAAAACCGTCGACCCCACGGGATTTCTCTCCCGAGAACATCGGCGCGTCCTTTCGCGAGGAACGCTGTAAAAAATCCCCGCCGACGTAGCACCAATACCGTCCCCTGGGAGCGTGTCTCCCTCGGGGCGTATTAATCGCGGCGATCCTTTACTCCGTTCCCGCGCGCTGGCCTTTCGACGCCCGGCATTCGCCACTTCGCCATTTTCTACCCCGGAAGGGGTCGATCCCACGGGATTTTTCTCGGGAGAACATCGGCGCGTCCTTTCATGAGGAACGCTGAAAAAAATCCGCTCCGACGTCGGCCCAAGGGTAACCCAAGGGTGGGCGTATCTCGCGGGGACGTACTAATCGCGGCGATCCTTCACCTCATTCTCGCGCGGCCACCCTTCTCCGGACATACCTCGGGACTCCCGGATTTTTCCCTGGGCGCCAGGATCACGTAATGCCCGCCAATTCGCACGGGGCGAGAGACATCGCGCCTCGTCAGCATCTCATCCATGGTAGCATCACTCTAGGGACGGTTCACCTCCCCCGGAACTATGCAATTGACATTCCTCCGGAGCCCCCCGCAGATCCGGCCTCGTTATTCGCCAGGCTCGGGAATTCGCGAGAACTCGCGGGAATGCACCCCTCCTGACGTGCCCTGCCGAGCACTCTATCTCAATCGCCCCCCTTCACCCACCCCCTCGTTCTCACTTCTTCCCACGGGACCCCCTTCGCACTCTTTCCTCATTCCCCCGCCAATCCCCCCCCTCACATCTCAGCGCCTGAAATCCGACAAATTGGCGGAAAATCGAATCCTTCACTAGAGAAGTGGTGACACCCCCTCCTGCTCGCCCCCTCCTTCCGTTGGGGGAGGAAGTCTTCCCGTCCAAGTTCGTCTCTCTCCCGAGTTCCTCTTTCATTCGGCCTTAATTCGCCGAAAAGGGGGGTCCGTCGTTTCGGCTCGTTCCCCAGGACCGCCTTGACGACTTTTGGGGGGAGGGGGGAGGGCTTTCAATTATTACCAGGCGCAATTACGCAGCTTGCTTTCCCTCGTAACTCGTGTAACGCCGCCACTCCCGTCTCCCCTCTCTCTCTTTTAGTCCCCCCCCCCTCCCCCCCCGTGTAATTTACGCCGACCCGAATCTCCTTCGAGAGTCTCCGGAGACTTTAAATTATTTCTGCCAATCCGGATTTCTTAACCTTTTGAGATTTAAAGTGTCCCCGTCTTCATCGATGGGGGCGAGGGGGGCGTCGGGAATGGGAGGGATTTATTTTCGGAGTTTAATAGGAGGGGTGAAAAAAGGAGTGGAAACCCCCCGAGGGCTGGTATTAACGGGTTAATTGCCGGCCGATTTATCTCGGGGTCGCCGGAAGGGTTAGTTTTATCGCCGAACCGCGAATTGGGGGGGGGGGCGGAGGAATCGCCGCGTTTCCGACGCGGTTTCCGCCCGCGGAATTGGCCTGGCGCACGAAGGGGCGCGAGGATGTACGAGCCGAAATTGGGGTACTTGCTCGTAAGGTGTGTTTTGGGGGGAGGGGGTGAAATAGAGGAAAAAAAGGAAGCGCTCGAAAAGCGGAGCGAAATGAAGCTCGCCGGGGGTGAGTGCCTCTTTTTTTTCCCTTCTTCTTCCCTTTCTCTCGCCTCCACTTTGAGAGCTCTTTCGGGACTCCGGAAGGCGTCGCGACGCTTTATCGTAATGCCCCCTCCCCGCCTCGTATTTATCCTCGCTAATCCACCGAGTGGATAATTGTAGGATCGACGAAGAAGACAGAGAGAAAGCCCGGAAGCTGGAAGAAGAGCGTTTACAATGAGAGGAAGAGGCGAGCGGCCGATAACGCGCGGAAATCCCGCGTCGCGCTTGCTGGGTGCGGAAAGAGGTTGGGGGGGCAACGAAAGAGGTAATCGGTAGTTACGTTTCCTGGAGGGGTTAGGGGGTGCACCCCCTATTGGCCGTTTCTTTTCGGCGAATTCCCTGTTTCCTCGTCCTCTCACAGGAGGAGGGAAACTTCGATTCGCCGTCCACTTCGGACAAATTAGTCCCTGGGAAGCCTGGGAGGGCAAAGGGGGAGGATCCGGGGGCTAAGACCCCCGCTTTCACGGCCAGTGGACGTAATTGAAATCCTCGGTAGCGCCCTCGAAAGGTCGTCTAACGAGAAGTCTCCGCGAAAAGAGGGGCACTCCCCCCCAGGGAGCCCAAAGGGAGGGCGCCCACGGGAATCGTTCCGGACCGTCTCATACCATCCCGAAACCGTCGCGAAACCATCATGAGCCATTGAAAGACCATTCCGCCCCCAGTCCCCTTCAGTACCCCCCCAGCCCCAGAACTGCCAAGTTATACTCCGCGGTATATTTCCCCCGCAAGTGCGGCCTCTTGGGGCAACTTTCCTCCGGTGAATCGAAGTTGCTCCGGGGGATATCTCCCCCCTCTCGACCCCGTTTTATCCGCGAATCCCATTATACGGAAGACTCGGGACTCCCGATGTTGCCGCACGACTTGATATTCCTTGGGGCCCCGAAGTGTACCGAGGAAGAGCCGACTCGCGAATGGGGATCGAATTCGTTGGGAGACTCGGCGATGTTCTCGCTCCAGGACGGAGGGAGACTTATCGGTCCTGATGTTTGACTTGAATGATCTCCATTTTTCCGGGGATTTTGTTTTCCATTTTTTTTTTTTTTTTTCTTCGAGATAGAAGATCGAGGGGATGATGGGTGGAGGGAGTTTCAAGGGTGGCAGGGGAGAGTTCCCACGGGAGCGTGGCGAGGGAAACTCGATTTTATGGGGTCGAACGTGTACCTATTCCCCCCGGGGGGGAGGGACACAATCGCCCGCAATTAGAGCCACTCTCGTTACTCCGGTTGGTTTCTATTTTTCGGGCTGTTTTTTTTTTTGGATTGTTTGGTTTTACAGGGAGTTTTTTTATTTTTCTTTTTTCTTTTTTCGAGGCTCCCTCTCGGAGTGCATTTCCCGGCCGAAGGGGCCGGAAGACGGAGGGGGGAACGAGCCCCGGGTGTCGGTGCACCCTCAAAGGATAACGTTTATCTTGCCGCTTAACCTCCCCGGTTAGCTGCGCCATAAGCGTTTTCCAATGTTTGGCCGGGGGTTAAAGGAGGCCCCTCTCGGTCCTTTAACCAATTCCGCTCCCTGGGGGCCAGGGGGGAAAGTGCGGAATTTTCGCCCTCCGGAGGGAACGAGGAGCTAACTTCCCTAAACATCCCCTCGTGCAGCGAACCTAATTTTGCCTTGAATGAGAATCGAAAAAGGGGTGCTATTCTTTATTGTCCAGTATTTTCATCCCATTTCTATACATCCCGAAGGACGATTCGCGGGGATGGAATCATCCCCTCATGTGTGGGGATCCCCCTTCAAGGACTCCCACAGGATGGACACCGAAAAACGGGAGAAAGGGGAAACCGGGGAGTTCCCGATTTTACATCCGCATCGAACAAAGACCTAACGGGGAATTCAATTGTTCGGGAGAGTGAGAGGGGGAAGGCCCCGAAAGAGGAGGGAAAATATGGGTTAACTCGGGAGCCGGGAACAGCCGTTCCCTCGGGAGCCCTCCGGGACTTTGAAAGTTATTACCCCTAAGGTCCTTGTCCTCCTCCCCCCGAAAGAAGCCGCTGAAATTAAGGGTGATCCATTCGGCCAAGGAATCCCGAGGGATCGCAATCCAGGTCCACGATGACGGATGCTGCGAGCATCCCGGGAGAATTCCCGGATCCGCGGGACGTCCGAACGAGATGAATCTCCGGTTTAAGGGAGGAAAGGGGTGGAGGAGAAAAAAAGGGAATTGGAAAACCGGAAAATGTCCCGCAGGAGGAGAGCGTGTTTGGGATGGCGATGAGCCCCCCTGTCCCCCCTCTTCCAGGGGGTCCCGGACGTGATCTGGGAGATTCAGGGATATATCGGGGAACGGCTGAATGATAAAGGATCCCGATTCTCGCGCGTAGTAATTCCCTGGAAACGACCGTAATAAAACGTTATTACCCCGGGTAGTCGAGGGGGGATTTATTTCGTGGGGGGGAGGGGCGCTCCTTACGTGGGTAAACCGCGGATTCTGGATCATCCCACGGGAGAATCTCGATCTGAGATAAGTTCTCGCGGATAAACGGCCTAGGAACGTCGAGGTTTGGCGAGGAAGAAGGAAGATGTGGATGTGCATACCTTCGTATCCAATATGTGCCCCCCCTCGCCCCCTCTTCCTGTGACTCCCTCGGGAGAACTGGCCTCGCCTTCGGGATGACGAATGCTGGGAGCGTGCACGAGCCCAAGTCGGGATTCGGGGATCTCATATCCAGGACATAAAGGGATGTTGCATATTAAAATGCATTAAAGTGGGATTAAACGGAGGGTGAATGCACGGTGTGATGGGTACTTATGGGGCGACACGTAAAATTCGGAAATATATGAAAAGTCCGGGTTATGGAATTATTATTGAATTTTTTTTTTTTCTTGTCTTACATATAGGGATAAAATCTTTTGATTGTCATGATTTGTTTTCCGTAAGGTATTGGGAGGAATGTCGATAAGTGGCTGCATTTTAAAATGCATCAAGGTTGTTATTAAACTCGGGCTGAAAGGGTGCCTTTAAACTTTCCCCATTTTCCCGTACTCTATACGCGATACCCGTAAAATGATTAAAAAAATTGAAATGACATTATAATTCCCCTTTTCTAACTTTAGTAGACTGTAATGTCGTTAAATTGTTGTAATACTTGGTTTTTTTTTTTCTCCGCAGGTCACCGTGAGGGACGACGGCAGGCCACCCCTGTACTCCACGACTCGGGTCGTGGTGATAGTGGAGGATGTCAACGATCACGGTCCAGAGTTCGAGGAGAAGTTCTACTCAGTGAGAATCCCAGCCTCCTCCTCCATAGACGAGCCGCTCTTCCAGGTGAGTCTAGAGGTTAACCCCTTATATAATAATGGAGGTAAACTCCTTATAAAAAATCCTGACGTCCTGGAATGGCCCCGGAATTTTTGAGAGGTGCCCAGCATCCGCGGATCCGACTCCAAGACCCGATAAGCGCGAACGCCAGGAATTTTCCCCTGGAGCCGCGGTCCGGCTAATCGCTGGCACCGCTCGAGGAGAAAGGGCCAATCCGAGCACGCGAGATCGCGCACGAGCCTCCCCGTGCACTCGGCGAAGGCTTGGCACCTCACCTGCACCCCTTCGGGGTCCTCCACCCCCTATACCCCTCCACACCCCCCTGAAGCCTGATAAGCTGCGATGCCCAATTTTAGCAATTTTTTTTTTTTTAACCATTTTTCTCACATTTTTAATAATTAAGTGAGAGAAACTCCCCCTGGAAAAAAGTGGAGCCGGTCCCATCGGGAAGGTATCTCCCTCTTTGTCTGCCGCCCTCAGCTTGGCTTCCTCCTCTCTCTCTCGCTCTCACGGGCTCTGGTTCCCGCGGCCTGCCTGAAGGGGAGCGGGCTTATCAATTATCGCTCGTCACTTATCGGCAGTCGTAATCGCGAGTCTCTCCAGGCTCGCCTCGGGATGCAGGGAGATCTCGAGGGTATCTTATCAGGGGATCTTTCGTTTTTTTTCTCTCATCTTTTCCCCTCTCCCTCCATCGGACGGTCCAGCTCGGGAGGCTGGAGAGACCGGGGGGACTGAAAATTGAATTTCGGACCGAACTGCTTACTCCGACTGAAAGCTCTCTTCTGATCTCGTTTCCCGACAGAAATCGAGGGATCGCTCGAGGGAGCTCGACCTCTCGATCGATGCCCTGCTCGAGAATGGGACTTGGGAGACCTTTAATCCGGACGAGGTGTCAGGAGATCATATACTCAGGGTAAGGACTACTCGGCACGTCGCGTGGCGCGCGTCCTGTGGATCCTTCGGGCACTCTCCTACATACATCTCTTTACGATCGGCCTTGACCACGGACAACACCCCGCTAATCTCCCGAGACAATCGATTAATCGCCTCGTCTCTTATCTCTTGTCTCATCCCACGATCTAGTAACACGAACGCTGCTCGCCCTATACACCGAGAAAATAAAAAAAGGTCCTATCAAAGCAACAAATATCTCTTTCTACAGTACCAAAGAAATATATTTCCAATTAAAACGATAACGATTAATCTCAAATAACAATTTCGAGGAAACGTCGCGTCCAGTTAATATTCGATTTTTAGTCAAACCGTGATTCTTCAAATTAACGAAATACTTAATCGGTTCAATGAGCACTTTTTTTTTCCCCGTACAAACATACATGTATACACCTTGCACGCCCTTATCAACTCGTCCTTTATCTCGCGACTGCCTGTCTGTACCCCTGATCAATAATCAACCAATAATCGTAATCAATGTGCCTTGATATGACGTACAATTAATCCACATTAACACATACCAAGTAGTCCAAGTATTAATCGATGCATCCCCGTACTTTAGCCTTCCTCCATATATGTGAGATTAAATTATATACGTGTGTATGCCAATCGATGTACCGGCCCTTATCACCACGTTATCAAAAACTCCGCACCCTTGCCCCCGAGCATCCTCTTTTATCACGCAGCTTGTAGACCCAGCACCCCTCGTCCCTTTCTTTGACACCCTCACCCCCTTTGCCTCCCACTCTTGTCTTTGTCTCTATACTTTCGCACTTTTCCCGGCAAAAGAGCGCTTCCTCGTGCGTGTCGAATGCTGCCTGTGGTCGTATCACGAGAGACTGCCTGCGAATGCTTCACCCTCTGATTAACGAGCCCCCCCTAACCCCCCCACGACCCCCCGCGAAAAACCCCGCGACACTCGCGAACTCGCGGCGAGATCAAAGGCGGCCAATCGGGTCGCCTCTCGTTTCCTTCTCGGGAAAATGTCATAATTAATATCGCCCGGGAAATTAAGAGCGTTTCCCGGGTTAATTAATATGCTGGGATTTGCACGGATTTCAGTTCCATTTTTTTTTTTTTTTTTTTTCGTATGTTTTGGGGGAGGGGTTTGCTTTCTCTCCCTTTCTCGAGTGGAGTCGCGCGTGGACGAGGGGGTGGAAATTAGCTGGCGATTTTCATCCCTAGGGATCAAACGTGTCGGGAATTAACGTAGAGGGGGCGGTTTTACCCTGAAGGAGTTTTCTCGAAATTTTATCATGAATTGGTCGGGGAAGGGATCCGCTGCCTTTTGGTTTTCGAAGGGACTTACCTACGACCCCCACACCCAGGAAATGCATACGTTGCACCTTTATCTGTGATGCATGGATCGTTGAGAATGATGCGACCGCTTAGAAGTGACTGATACTGATGTAGGAAGAATTAATATCTGGAGGTCCAGGACGATTTGGAATTTATGGGCCCCTTGGCCCGAAATCGGGATCTGGGGTGGTCCAGGGATGCTGTAGAGATTTTCCTAATTTTTTTTCGACCGTTTTCCCTTTTCTCCGGGATTTTTGGAATTTGATGTTTTCGGGTGATCGGTTGACCCATGAATCTTGATCTTGCGCTGTTTGCAAGATTAAGAGACCAAGGCCGGTTTTGCTTGTCTCTTCTGAGAGAATTCTCATGTCAGAGGGATGCTGCGGTGTTCCTTCGGGAAGTATGACCCAGGAGAATCGCGAAACACCCACTAAATGGTAACTCATGGTCCTGAGAGGTACTAAAAAAATAATCAGCCAATAATCGTCACGAAGAAGGTACTCAGTGGATGTCGTGCAACCACTAACTGATAACATCCGGGGACCTCCTCCGTCGGCTCGAAACTGATACGGGGATTTCGCAACAGGTCCTGGCTTACGACAAGGACATCGGCGTCAACGGGAAGATCCAGTACAGCATCAAGGGTGGACGTGGAAAGGGGAAGTTCAAGATCCATCCTGACACAGGGATGGTCACCGCGCAGAGGGGCTTCGAGGCCGGCCAGGAATACGAGATGATGGTACCGGGCATTACATTAAAATATTTCCCTGAACCTACCCATCGTATTCCTGTAATACCTGTCGACCGATTCTATGTACTACTCCACCTTGCAGATCCGCGCAGCCGATGGAGGCCAGCCCCAGAGGAGCCACCAGACCAGGGTGTCCGTGGAGGTGGTGGAGGCGCCGAAGGAATCCGAGCACCCTCCGGTCTTCCGAAGTCCGAATCAAAGTGCAGAGGTGACGGAAAGCGACGAAGTCGGCTTCCTGGTGGCACTGGTGCAGGCCTCGGACGAGGACGGGGACCCCCTGTGGTACGACATCGTCGGTGAGCTACAAAGAGACCTTGGGAATTAAATTAGAAAAATTAGAAAAATTAGAAATAATCGTAATAACCCTAACGTAGAAGATGCTAATGGAAGATCTCCAAATTTCCAGCCGGCGACGAGAAGAACGAGTTTTTCATCGGCCGCGACAACGGGAACGTCCTCTTGGCGAGAAGGCTCGACTGGGAGACCCAGAGTCTCTACAACCTGACGATCTCTGCCAGCGACCTGGTGCACACCTCGTACACCCAGCTCCTGGTGACGGTGATCGACATCAACGACCACCGGCCGGAGTTCACGCAGCAGACTTACCAGGTCGACGTGTCCGAGAGCGTGGAAAAGGGGGAACGGATCCTGCAGCTCCACGCGACCGAGCTGGACGAGGACAAGCGAGTTTTCTACAGCCTCCACGCAGCGCAGAGTCAAGCATCCTTAGGGATCTTCCACGTGGACTCGGTGACAGGAGCGGTGTCCCTGAACGGCGCCCTCGACCGGGAGACCATGGAGCGGCACGTTCTGACGGTTATGGTGAGGGACCAGGGTACCCCTGCGAAGAGGAACTACGCCAGGGTCATCGTCAACGTCCACGACCACAACGACCATGCTCCGGAGTTCACCAGCGAGCTGGTGCAAGGGAAGGTATTCGAGACCTCTCCTGTGGGAACAGCCGTGGTCCAGGTGTGCGCGATCGACCGGGACCGGGGAGAGAACGCCCGTCTGACCTACGCCATCACCTCCGGAAACGTGGGGAACGTCTTCGGAATCGACCCTGACCTGGGACTGGTCAGGGTGGCCAGAGAGCTAGACTTAGGGGTGGCCTCGGAGTACATCCTCCTGGTCAAGGCCGTGGACCATGGCTCCCCGGCTCTCGCCACCACCATCCCTGTCCACGTCATGGTCACCATGGCTGATAACGCCCCACCTCGTTTCCTCCGGAAGGAACTCGCCGCAGAGATCTACGAGAACCAGAGAATCGGAGCTTATGTTAAGCACGTCGAAGCCAGGAGCACCTCGTCCCTTCAGTTTGAGATTAGGAAAGGGAACAGGGATGATACCTTCTTTGTTAATCCCAGCACTGGCGTTATCACCACGAAGAACCTGGTGGATTACGAGAGGACCAAGTTCTACAACCTGACCGTTGCTGCCACCAACATGGCCGGGGCTACTGCTGTCTGCAATGTCATCGTTCATGTCTTGGATAGGAATGACAATCCTCCCAGATTCCTGCAGGTAGGAATAGACTGAATTTTATTTATTTCCTTTAAAAAAAAAAAAAGCTGGTCTTTATCTGGCGATTTATCTTTACAGGCCGTGTACAGTGGAGAGATCAGCGAAGCTGCAGAAGTGGGTTCCTTGGTCCTGGCGAACGGCAGCACTCCCCTCGTCATCAAGGCCGAGGATGCAGATTCCGAGCTAAACGCTCTACTGAACTACGACATCGTCGAGGACCTGCCCAGGAAGTATTTCCACGTGGACTCGAGCACCGGAGCCATCAGGACGGTGATGGTCCTGGACCACGAGACCCTGTCGGAGTTCGCGTTCCACGTGAAGGTGTCCGACCTGGGCAGGCCGAAGCTCTCGTCCGAAACCACCGCTAAGGTCGTCATCGCCGTGACCGACGTGAACGACTGCGCTCCCAGGTTCCTGCAGACGAGGTACAACGCCACCCTGCTGTTGCCGACGTACAAGGACGTGGCGGTATTGAGGGTATCCGCGACAGACCTGGACAGTCCTCAGCAACAGCAGCCCCTAAAGTACGACATCGTGGACGGCAACGACGCGAAGGTCTTCGCCATAGACCAGGAATCCGGGGTGATCACGGTGAACGAGCCCGAGAGGCTGAGGAAGAGCCACCTTTTGCATGTCAGGGTGTCCGATGGGAAGTTCTCCAGCGTCGCCCAGGCCTTCGTTCAGGTGGAGAGGTCGGAGAACTCCGGACTGGTCTTCCAGAAGAGCGTCTACGAGGGCGCCATCCTGGAGAACTCCACTAAGGTCGTCACCGTGGTCGTCGTCAATGTCCTGGGGAGTGCCCTGAACGAGCACGTGGCCTTCAAGGTGCTGAACCCCACGGAGATGTTCGCCATTGGTCCCACCTCGGGGGCCATCAGGACTACCGGGGTCAGGTTCGACCGGGAGAGCAGGGATAATTATGAGCTCATCGTCGAGGCCAAGAGCCAGATGCCTGATAGGGACAAGCCAAGAGTCGCGCATGCAATTGTCAATGTCACTGTCCTTGACATCAACGACAACTGCCCCATGTTCGTTAACCTGCCGTATTATGCGGTGGTCTCGGTGGACGCGCACAAGGGCGACGTCATCACCAAGGTGAGTCCCATCTCCTGGAAAATCAAAAAAGGTCTAGCTTGATTTTCTAATTCATTTTATTTCCTTCCTTTTTCCCCAGGTCCACGCCGTGGACATGGACAGCGGTGACAACGGGGAGGTCAGGTACGAGCTGAAGAAGGGACACGGGGAGCTCTTTAAGGTGTGCCGGAAAACCGGGGAGATCTCTCTGAAGCAGAACCTGGAGGGCCACAACCGGGAGTACCAGCTGACGATTGCAGCCTATGACGGAGGTTCCTATTCCTGAATTTAAAATCGTTTTCAACCCTGGAGAGCACCTACCAACCTCCATTCTCCCCAGGAATAACGCCCTGCTCCGTCGAGGTGCCCGTCAACGTGAAAGTCATCGACCGATCCATGCCAGTCTTCGACAAGCAATTCTACACGGACACCGTCCTGGAGAACATCGAAATCCAGTCTCCTCTGGCTCTTTCCATCCACGCAGAGTCGCCATTAAACCGCAAACTAATCTACAGCATCAGCAAGGGCAACGACTTCGAGGAATTCGCCCTGGACTTCAACACCGGTGAGTCCGCATGTCACCTACGTTCCCGAAGAATATCCTGCAGAGGATGCCGAGAAAATTTCTTTGGAGTATATTTGAGTTGAATATGTTTTTAATTATAAAATATTCCTTCGGTTCAATGAATTTTTTATGGAGTCTTAGGTCGATTGAATCTCATTCCCATCCTCTGCAAGTTGTTTCGCCCTGAAGAGGGCGAGCTTTTTTACAAAAACCTACGAGTGAAAATGCAGTAAATGCAGTTAACGCAGTAAACGCATCGACGGCGCGGTAAATTCGGTAAATGCAGTAAATGCGGCAAACGCAGTAAATGCGGTAAACGCAGCAAATGCGGTAAACGCAGTAAACGCAGTTGCCCGGTGGAATTAATCTCCCGTGGCGTGGCTTCTCACCTGGAATGCATTAACAGGAACCTGGGCGAGGTCGGCCCGATGACGACCCCCCAGGTGTTAACCAGAGCAACCCCTTAATCCGGGCCTAAGTGGGTATCCCAGATTCGAGTTTCGGAGATAGCCTCTTTTCTCACTTTCTCTCTCCGTCCCTCCTTGCTCCTCTTAAAAGCGTCGCGATCCGCAAGGCAAAGTGGAACTCGGGCAAATTGGGTGCCCCTCGAGCCCGCCTTCTCAGCTCTCTCTAAAACGAGTAACAAGGAATTAATTAACAATTAAAAACGAGAGGGAAGGAGGGGGGGTGCCGAAAGTGGAGCCAATAACGCCGAGATACCCAATTCGCCGTTGCACTTCCTCGTTATATCCCTCCCCTTCCCACCCTGACCCTGAAGAATGCTTGGTTGATACTAGTATTAAAGTTTTGTTGTATCTACCTGTTTCGCAGCCCCCGAGAGTAACAATGGTCCTTGTGAGTATAAACACATAAAAAAAAATGCTGCATCGGCCTGCCATGTCGCTATCTTTTGTCCTCCCTCTCGTAGCTGCATCGCTGAATCTGCACGAGTCGAGACGGAGGGAGATACGTGGAGAGATGGAGAGAGACAGAGAGAGACTTGTCAAATTGAAAGTATGAAGATATGAGCAGAAATTAAAATCCAAAGAAATAGGAATATCTCCAGGGCGCCTCAAGATCCACGACCAAGGCCTACCCTCTCCCGATCCCCATGATAAAGACAGTCTAAAAGTCCTTTAACATATTTTTTTCCACGGTGCATAGTTTCCCCGTAATCATTAATTAATTAACAACGAGCCAGGCGGGTCGATTGAAAGCGAGCCCCATTTTCCAATGAATTATTCCAGGGGAATTATCCACGATGGAAATAAATTCTATAGGACTTTTCAGCTCGTTTTTTTGTTATCACCGTGATGTATAAGTCACGACCAGGAATTTTGTAGCGCCCTGTAGATGTGGAAAGAGTTTTGCAGGGGGGAGATTCGTCTCGCCCGGCAATTAATAATAATTATTTCTGGGGCTTGTTTCGCAATAGCTCTCTGTTTTTCTCGTTCCTTTTTCGCTCTCTCCTTCTCTCGCAGGTCCCGATTCTCCGTCTCCCTTCCGCACCCGCCTCTTACATTCGGTCTTTCTCTCTCTTTCTCTCATTTTTTTCACCTGGGTCTTGTTGCACAATTTCTCTTACGCTCACGCAAGGCCGGTTGCGCGCCGCATGTCACGCGTGTTCACGCTTCGGTTAACCCACACGCAAATTCTCGCTCTAACACCCACCCACAACGTCACCCACATTGCCACCCACCGCCACCCACCGATGATAAAAGCGACGCGTTGATAAAGTCGCGGGTGCCCGACGCGACCGGAGTACCCCCCTTTTCTTCTCCCCCCGCTTTTTTCTCTCGTTCCCCTTTTCGTCAACCCCCTTCTTCGTTTTTCTTTTTTTTTCAATTTTAATTATCAACGCCGACCAAAAAAAAGAAACACCCTCCCTCTCTCGCGCGCTGCGCGTAATTTCCATTCGCGCCGCGGAATGCCGGACGCGGAAAACGCGTAATCGGGAGCTGCCCTGTGAATTTTCCTCCCCCCAATGGAATTATCAACGTTTTCGCCGCACCGTGAAAATCGCCCGGCGATTATCGCATCCGACGTTTAAGCTCTATCAGAGTCGTTATTAATTTTCGGTGGGTCGATTTTTTCCTATTTAAATCGCCCGGAGGAATTGCATGAAAATCTTCGATGCAGGAAAAATGGAAAAGTGGCGTTGAGGAATTTTTTTTTTCATCATTTTTGTTGACAATCTCAGGATAAAATCTAGTTTAAGCGGTATTAATGTTGACGGGTGAATTTTTCCTAGCGGAAATCCCGGGGCGATTCGAGCGTAGAAATTGCGCGGAAATTCCGGCGTTCCGGGTAAAATCGGAAAATGGCGTCGTCGATTGACTTTAATCGCTGGAGAGGGGGAGAGTATGGATAATAATTCCTAGTCCGAATTAATGCCGCGAATGGAAGCTCGGCCCGTTTTGCGAGGTCCTCTTCGAGGTCCGCCGACCACCCGGCTCGTCCACGACTTCGGCGTGCCTTTTAGTGCTCCAATTTAAACCGCGCCGGGGAACCATTCTCGCTGGAACAATAGTCCATTCTGCACGATTCCATCTGAAGCACTCCACTCTGGAAACACTGCCTAGAAGGGAACGCTCTTGGGAGGAGTTTCGATTCGAAACGGAGCCGAGACCGAGTCGAGGAATCACCGCTTGTCGACATCCCCCTCTCTCTCTCGCTATCTCTTCCCCTGCACTCTGGCGATCGATCGCGATCACGATCACGATCCAATCGATCACACACCGATCACTCTTATGCGCGGGGGTGCACGGAGAGAAACACTCTGGAACTAAGTGAAACAATTAATAATCGATTGTCCACCTTTCCAATGGTTCTGAAAATTATTCCAGTATAAAAAAGAAACATTACAGGCTCTACATAACGGAAGGTACTTTTATTATGACAAACATGGATTCGTGATAATATAAATAAATTTTTATCTAAGTGAAGCACCGAATATTGGCCCTAAGTATTTGCGCATGCTTTTTCATATACTTGACTTTTTGAAATATTTAGTTTCTAGATTGTTTCTCTCCCGATTGTAAATGTCATCCGGGAATCGCGACGCTGATGTGCATTGGGCGCATCGCCTAGCTCCGCATTTGGATCTCCTAGCGTTAGCGCCTCCGCCTTTTCCGCCGCCGCCATCTTGTCGGTGGTTCTCCCTTAAAGAAGGAAGATTCTTACGTGAAAATCACAGGATAAAGATATTAAAATAGATATAAGGAAAGGGGTGAAAAGTTGCCCTTCCGGGTGATTTTTGCGGGCGGAAGTTTACCTTGAAGAGAGGACCACCGGGCGAAAATGGCGAACAGAGCTTTCGGGTCTACAACCAGTGTCTTCCATATACGAATCAGGTGTAATCTCTGTGGTGGATGAGCTGGATTATGAGCAGAAGAAGCAATACGAGCTGACGGTCAGGGCCACCGACAGCGTCTCCGGGGTCTTCGCCGAGGTCCTCGTGAGCATCCTCGTCCTGGACGTCAACGACTGCCCCCCGGAATTCACCCAGGACTCTTACAACATCTCCGTCTCCGAGGCGGCACCCTTTGGCACCTCCGTGCTGAAGCTCAGCTCCAGAGATAACGACACCGGTAATCTTTGAAATTAATATCCCATTTTAATCAAGGTGCTCTTCAAAGTGCCCAGGAAATATCGCGTCATTACCGGCACTCTCTAAAGTGTCTGCAAAATAATATGACATTATTCCCAGGACTCATCAAGGTACCATTAACGAAAGGCGATGTCAGAGAGCGGATAAAAACCAGGTTACCATTTCAGGGATCAACCAGGAGGTGCGATACTCCCTGGAGAACGACACCCAGGGCAGCGCCGAGCTCTTCCACGTGGACCCTGAAGAAGGGGTGATTTTTCTGAAGAGGTCCCTAGACCACGAGACGCGAGACGTGCACCATCTGACGGTGATAGCGAGTGATAAGGGGGTCCCGAGTCTGACCTCGACAGCGCATGTCTGGGTGACCGTCGTGGACATGAACGACAACCCCCCAAAATTCGAGCAGCCCTCCTACTCGTGTTTCCTCTCGGAGCACGCAGAGCGGGGTCAGTTCGTGACAGTCGTCTCTGCCAGCGATCCCGACCTGGTGGACGAGAAGCTGACCTACAGCATCGTCGGGGGCAACGAGCAGCAGACCTACAACGTGGACCCCTCCAGCGGGGTGGTGACCCTGATCAACATGCAGAACTTCGGCGAGCAGAAGATGAGCTTGTTGAACGTGTCCGTTACGGACGGGGTGTACACCAGCTTCACCAGGGTGAAGATCGAGATCCTGCCGGCGAACCTTCACAATCCCAAGTTCCCAAACCCGCAGACGGAGATGACGGTGCTGGAGAACCAGCTTCCTGGGAGATTGGTCGGCGTGGTGGTCGCGAATGACGATGACTTCGGGGAGTTCGGCTCCGTCATCTACTCCATCCCCTCGGATTACATGAGGGACGTGTTCGACGTCAATCGCGTTACCGGGGAGATCGTCACCAGGAAGAGACTCGACCGGGAGGAAAGGAAGCTCTATGAAGTCCCCATCATGGCCACCGATGGTGGAGGGAGGTCGGGGTTCGTCATAGTCCGTGTCAAGGTCGGGGATGAGAACGACAATTCCCCGGAGTTCCTCCTCAGGGAGTACAAGGCGACGATTCAGGGCAACTCCAGCCTGAATGTGCCGTTCCTCAAGGTTAAGGCTTTGGACCCTGACGATGGGGATGCGGCCAGGGTGGAGTACTCCATTTATGAGCCGCAGAGCTCCGAGGCCAGGGAGCTCTTCGGCATCAACAAGGACTCGGGGGCTCTCTTCTTGAAGAAGAGCGCTAGACCCTGGGGTAAGGGACTTTTGCATGAGAATGCACTCTTGAAGAAGATGAAGTGATTAAGGTAGGTGACATAATCAATGGGTTTTTTAATGTTACAGAGAACCAGCAGTTCCAGCTGTTCATCAGGGCGTCGGACAAAGGGTCCACGTCGCACCACGCCGACGTGCCCTTGAGCGTGTACATAATGGGCCCTGAAGACATCCCCCCGCTCTTCGAGAGGAAGGAGGACAAATTCTTCTACTCGGAGGCTTCCCCAGTAGGGACGCCGATAACGAAGCTGAGGACGGTGACAAACGCGACCGTGACCTACCGCATAGTGTCCGGAGACATGGACTCCCCATACTTCAGGGTCGACCCCCAGGGTCAGATCACTCTGGCGAAACCTCTGGACCGAGAGCTCAAGGACAGCCACCTGATCGGCGTCCTGGCGGAGACGGACTCCAGCCCACCCTTGACCGCCCTGGCCGAGATCTCCCTGCACGTCCTGGACGAGAACGACCACGCTCCAAAATTCGAGAGCAACCCCTACACGATAAACCTCGCAGAGAACGTCGAAGAGGGCACTTCGATCCTTAAGGTCGTCGCCTACGACGAAGATTTGGCAAGCAACGGGGAAGTGCGCTACTCTTTCGGCCCCGACGTGGGGGAACTAGCCAACGTCTTCACCGTGGACGCGTACACAGGGTGGGTGTCCACCCTGGTCCAGCTGGACAAGGAGAAGCGCGCAGAGTACAAGTTCCAGGTGGTCGCGACCGACAACGGGAGCCCCAAGCACTTCACCAGGACCTACGTCCAGGTGAAGCTGAAGGACTACAACGACAACTCCCCCAGGTTCGCGTCGGACCAGTACGAAGTCACCGTGAGCGAGGACGCCCTGCCAGGAACGGTGGTGGTGAAGCTGAAGACGGAGGACGAGGACGATGTGGAGACCCCGGTGGAGTTCTACGTGACCTCCGGAGACCCCAGGTCGCAGTTCCAGATACGGTCCACCGGGGAGGTGTACGTCGCCAAGGCTCTGGACAGAGAAACCCGGGACGAGTACGACTTGGATGTGGTGGGCACCGACGGGAAATTTGTGTTCGACACCAAGGTGAACGTCAGGGTGCTGGACGCGAACGACAATCCTCCTTACTGCTTGAAATACAGGTACAGGGAGGTTTTGTCCGAGGGTTCCCACCCTGGGACGTATGTAACTACTGTTCTCGCGACCGATCACGACGACGAACCCAACGCGAAACTGCGGTTCTACCTGACGGGGGACAACAACGACCACTTCTCGCTGGACCAGAATACAGGGGTGCTGAAGACGGTGGGTCAGCTGGACCGCGAGAGCAGGGCCAGGTACATCCTGACGGCCCACGTCCAGGACCGCGACAAGCCCAGTTGGGAGTGCTCCTCCCAATTGGAGATCCTCGTGTCGGACCTCAACGACAATGCCCCCAGATTCACCACCAGGAACTACACCGCCGCTCTGTTAGAGGACGTAGAAGTCGGCACCCTGGTGACCAAGGTCCACGCCACCGACGACGACATCGGCATCAACCGCAAGGTCAGGTACGAGTTCGTCGACTCAGCTGGGGGGCACTTCCTAATGGCACCAGACAGTGGCATCGTCACCCTGGCGAAGCCGCTGGACCGGGAGACCACGGCCTCCTACAACCTGACCGTCCAGGCCGTCGACCAGGGGACGCCTCGGCTCTTCGGCACCGCCAACCTCCTCGTCATCGTCCAGGACATCAACGACAACCCCCCCGAGTTCACCTCGAAGTTCTACTTCTCCCGCATTCCGGAGATCGACGCCGTGGGCACCGAAGTCGCCAGGGTGCTCGCCACCTCCAAGGACACCGGCGTAAACGCCGACGTGTACTACTCCATCGTCGGCGGGAACGAGCACAAAAAGTTCCAGATCGACGAGATCTCGGGGGTCATCGCCATTGCGGAGCAGCTGGACTTTGAACGAGCCCGGGACTACTTCTTGACCATTCAGGCCATTGATGGAGGCACACCTGCGTTGACGAACCATGCCACGGTGAACATCACGGTGACGGATTGCAATGACAATGCGCCGATTTTTAGCGAGGCATCCTACAGGGCCTCCGTCAGGGAGGACGCCAAGGTCGGGGAGAGAGTCATCGCGGTGAGTCCTTGGAAATGGTCTTGACATTTGATCTTCAAACCTCTTCGCAAGATTTCCTATAAGAAAATAATTTATTTCTACCTTACCTTGACAATTAACCCCCTCTTCAGGTATTCGCTACCGACCTGGACAGCGAAGAAAACGGAAACGTCTCCTACAGGATAGAGCGCGGCGACAGGCAGAAGCAATTCACCATTGACGAAAGGACTGGTCAGATCATGGTTGCAGCTCCTCTGGATCGAGAGTCGGTCGGTATCGCTCCCCAGGTACTGAAATAAAATCAGAGGCTCAGGAAGTGAACATTGGGGTTCTTCTTCCAGGTGGCGAGCTACATGCTGGAGGTGCACGCGAGGGACAGCGGGATCCCGACTTTGTCGAGCTTCGCCATGGTCAGCATCGACATCATCGACGCGAACGACAATCCTCCGCTATTCTCTCAATTAAATTACACAGCGGTGGTCCAGGAAGACAAGCCTCTGGGTTACATAGTTCTCCAGTTCTCCGTGACCGACGCGGATGGTCCCCCGAACGCAGAGCCATACACCTTCGACTTCCGATCGGGAAACGAGGGCGACGCATTCAGGATAGAGCAAGACGGGACCCTGAGGACGGCTACGAAGTTCAGCAACCGGGTCCGAGACAAGTACCTCCTGCACATCCGGGTGTTCGACAACGGAACGCCACCCTTGTACTCGGACGCGCACATCGTGGTGAAGATCATCGAGGAGTCTCAATACCCCCCAACGATCACCCCCTTGGAGGTGACGATCAACTCCTACCTGGACGAGTATCCTGGGGGGATAATAGGTCGAGTGCACGCATCCGACCAGGACCAGTACGACACCCTGACGTACAAGCTAGTCCCCTCTTCCCCGATGCCGAACACGGACCTCTTCCAGGTGGACAAGCTAGACGGTACCCTGGTGGCCCTCCCCCGCCTGGACGTGGGGGAGTACCGGGTGAACGTGAGCGTATCGGACGGGAAATTCGAGTCCTTCGCCACGGTGAAGGTGAACATCGACCTGGTGACCCAGAAGATGCTGGAGAGCTCGGTGATCGTGCGTTTCCGGGAGGTCAGCCCCGAAGACTTCATCCTGAGTCACAGAAAAGGATTCGTAAGGACGGTCAGGAACGCGATGAACTGCCGTTTGAAGGACGTGGTGATAATAAGCGTGCAGTCCTCGACGGACGAGGCGAACCTGATAAAGTCCCGGGCGACGAGGCAGGCGGTGCACAACGATCTGGACGTGTTGTTCGCGGTGAGGAAGTCCCAGGTAGGGATGACGACTCTCTCGGAGAACTATTTCGCCTCGGAGAGCATCAGGGAGTCGCTGAACCAGAGGGTGGAGGAGCTGGAGGAATCGACCAAGCTCGTCGTCGAGGAGATAGTCAGGTTCAAGTGCAGCAAGGGGCACTGCGTCTACGGCGACTGCCACGACAGGGTGGTCCTGGACCCGGCCAGGATTTCGCCGATCGCGACGGACGTGACCAGTTTCGTCGCCCCTCGGCACCACCATAGGTTAGAATGTTCCTGTAAGGAGGGCTACGCCGGGAACCATTGCGAGATCGTGGTGAACGAGTGCGCCCGTCAGCCGTGCCCCCTCTTCAAGATCTGCGTCCCGGATTCCTCCCAGCAGGGGTACTCCTGCCAGTGCCCCGAGGGCTTCGGGGGTCAGACCTGCGAAATAGACAACTCCAAGTGCCACGACAAGTCCTGCTACTTCCCTAGGAACCCGATCTCCTTCGGAGGGAAGAGCTACGCCAGATACAGGATCGACAAGAGCCTGGTGCGCCAGACCGTCGAGGACCGCGTGAGCCTCTCCCTCAGGGCGAGGACCGTCCAGCCCACCGGGAGTCTGATGTTCGCTTCGGGAAAAGTCGACTACAATGTCCTGGAGGTGGTGAACGGAGTGGCGCAGTACAGGTTCGACCTGGGTAGTGGGGAGGGCCTGGTCAGGGTGAGCAGCGTCTACATCAGCGACGGCCAGTGGCACGAGCTCCAGCTAGAAAGAGAAGGCAACAGCGCCAGGTTGACCGTCGACGGGAAGCACGTGGCCCATGGTTCCGCACCTGGAGTCAACGAGGTCCTCAACCTGCAGGCCGATGACCTGTACCTGGGCGCAGACGTCAGACAGCATGCCTCGATCCTCGGCTTCGAGGACGTCCAACGCGGCTTCGTCGGCTGCATGGACGACGTTAGGATAGCTGGAGTACCTGTTCCCCTGCTCAAGAGCGGAGCAGGGAGTGTGGCTTTCTTGAAACTGTTCGCCAACGTGGAGTTCAGCTGCGACCCTGGGGTCGTCCTGGTGCCGACAGGTGCCTGCGGGTCTCAGCCTTGCCTGAACGGTGGTACTTGCTCGGAAAGAGAACCCAACGGGTACGAGTGCCAATGCCAGGGTAGGTTCACGGGTCTCACCTGCGAGCTGGACACCGACCCCTGCGCGTCCGCACCCTGTCTATACGGGGGCAGATGCAAGATGGTACCTGGCGGGGCTGGGGACTACACCTGTGATTGCGTTGGACCTAGCCTCAGTGGAAAGCGCTGCGAGTTCGGCAGGTACTGCACACCCAACCCCTGCGCTCATGGTGGAGTCTGCGAGGAGGGTGACGATGGACCGATCTGCAGGTAATCACCATTATTCGTAGTTTGAACGATAAAACTGGACATTCGCGCCGAATGAGTATATTAGCGTAATACATGTGTTACCACATCTTAAAGAGTATCCTGAAGGGATTGGGAAATTAATATCGTGTGCCCTATCTTCAAGGTGTAGAGGCTTCACCGGGGAGCGGTGTGAGGTCGACCTCGACGAGTGCGAGACCTCGCCTTGCATGAACGGTGGCACCTGCATCAACGAGGTGGGGAGCTACCGTTGTATCTGCCCTGCAACTGCAACCGGGGCCAACTGCGGTCAACCCGCCAGGTCGTCCACCGCGATCGTCTCCACGCCGCACTTCGACATCACCTGGGACCAACTCCTGTGGGTCGGAGTGGCGGTGCTGGTGAACGTCTTCCTGGTGGTCGTCTTCGTGGCCTACCGCAGGATACGCACGAAGCGCACCCGGGCGAGGGCCGACAACATCAACAACGAGACCAGGAAGCAGATCGTCCTGAACTCAGCGAGGACGCACGAGCACGAGTTCAAGCGGAACTCGAAATTGAGCAACCTCGAGGTCATCCAGGTAGGACCCTCCGTCTACCAAGTTGCATCTGCAAGTAGAGTGACGTTGAAAGCCACTTTCTGGCTGCTTTGGAATGGTGTGTGCGTCTTCAAGGTGTGTCACCTCCTCTTTTCAGCGAGAACCCCCTCAATGTCCACCACGTCCTGCCTCCTACACCCCGAGCTCCAACAACGAGCCCAGCAGCGCCTATTCCACGGCCGTGGCCTTGAACAACCTGGACACCCTGCGGAGCTATGGGAGCGCCGGAGACGAACTGGAGAACTTCCCTCCGGACTACCTGAGGAACCTGAACCGCTCTACCCCGGTCCCTCCTCCATCCTTGACCTTGTCCAACCCGGTGAGTGGCAATGCCCCAGGGAGCGACTCGGACAGCCTCCACAAGCCGACCTGGCAGGAGCAGATGCAGCTGGCCAGCTTCATCACGGATGCTGCAAAGATCAAGAACGGTGAGTCTCGCGATGGCTCATCGCCTGGACTGGTGAACACCCTGGGTGCGCCTCTTCAAGGTTCAACGCTGATCTTGGTCTTCATTTTTTGCACTTTCTGCAAGTGAACATCAAGACCAGGATCAATTTTCCTCGTCACTAATCGCCATTAGACCTCATTTTGAACATTCATAGACGTTATTGATATGAAATCGTTAAACGACTACAAGACGTATTTTAGCATGAAAACTGAGATATGTACCCCGGGTGTTCTCCACCCCCGTCGACCCCGAATGCGTGTGCGAGTGTGTGGTTTGTGACATTCGGTCATTGACAGACCTGAAACGAGCGAGTCCAGTGGTACCTGAACTGACCACTGGAGGTCTAATTCTAAACTCGCGGCGGGGACCTCATCCCGGTGGCACGTCGGTCGCTTCTCTCTCTTCCATCGAGGACGACCCTCGCATCGTCGGCGGTAAGTCTCTCCTGGGCATTCTCCCCACGTCCAAAGAATTCGAAAATCCCCATGGAAGCCCTGAAAAACTAAGGGCGCTTGATGCCCGTCGAATGGTACGTCAGCCCCTCCATTGGCGGCGCTGCGGTCGCGTCTCCGTCTCTCTCAATGTTTAAACATCGAACTGCACGCGATCTTCGTCTTACTCGCTATACCGCCCATACTCTACATGGGTGTCTTTGTCCAACACCATGGATTGTTAACCATGTAATCTCTCTCTTTCTCTCTTATCGTCACTCCAGGCTTTTCTCCCAGTCTCTCAGAGAGTATCAGAGTATCAAGCGCCGCCATACAATCCGGGCTTCCATGCAACCTCTGAATTCTTTGTCTCGTCCTATCACCAGACAGAGGTCGAAAATGGCGAAGACCAGGTCCGGTTCTTCATCCTCCCCTGGTATATTTTTTTTTTCTTCTGTCTTTTCGCTCTCATCCCCCCGTCTGGCCATCGAGGTGTCGTATCCGTCGCAGCGCGGGCCTACTCCGAGTACAGTTCTTGTCTGCAACGTTTTCAGGTTACCACTGGGATTGCTCAGACTGGGTGCGACCTAGCCAGAATCCCCTGCCGAACATCACCGAGGTCCCAGGAAGCGAGGTCCCCGACTCGTCCAGCTTCCACAGCAACGAGAGCAACGAGTCAAACGCCCATCAGCTGCCGCCTCGTGAGTGGTCCTCTTCATGGTCCCTGTTAGTTTACCCCGATCACTTGGTACGCGTACCAAAGGCGTGGATTAATCTAACCATCAGGGTAAACGATCGTGTATCGTCTTGGTACGGTGCACTGGAAAAGTGCGTATCGTCTCACCTTGGTGCACCATCGTTTATACCGTCAGTTTAATAAAACGACGCATTTTAATACGCGTACCAAGTGATAAACCAAGCTATAGTAATTATTAACCGACCTGAACTTATGACCTGTACATAGTACACGGTCCTGTGGACCCAACGAGGGACATCGAGACCCTGAACGAGGACCAGGAGTCCGAGTACGTGGGGGACTCCGAGTGCGGCACCGAGTTCTCCGAGCCGTACCGCATCGCGGAAACGCAGCGGCTGAACCCCCTCGACAGCGGGGGCGAGGCGGAATACAAGTACAGGGACTCGGACAGCTACCTGAGGCACCCTAATTCCTATCTACCGCATTACAACATCCACACGGACACGGAGAACGAGGCGAACCCGCTGAACGGTCGGCTGGGCGGCCTCGAGTCCGACCCCGAAGACGATGACGACGACGTAGTGCCTTACGGTTTCCCGAGCGCGCGGCGCAACAACCGGTGCCACCGCAAGGGCGACGACGCCGACGACGTCGGCTCGGTCATCACCACCCTCGAGGAGAGGAACTCCCTCCTGGGGGGCGGGACCAGCAACAGCGACCTCTCGGCGAACCTCTGCGAGATCGAGGACTCGGAGTACGAGGTCACCGAGAGGAAGGGCACCGCCAGGGCATGGCTCAAGACCGGAGGCATCACGCAGACCTCCGTGTGACGAACGCCATGACTCGCGGCGAGACTTTTATCTCGCGGCGGTTATGTATATACGGGTTTCGTACCGTTGAGAAGTTGAGAGGGGGCTGAAAAATTGACGTCTCTTCCTCTCCTCCTCGATCAGCACCCCTCGTCGAGACTGTCGCGGATCTGTATATAGTTCGTTTTTTTTTTTTTTTCTTAGAGATAAGCGAGAACGGAATTCAAGGAGCCGAGGGCGAACCTTCTCGGTACCTCCGCTCGCGTCACCCAGACTGGGCGAAGTCCTCTTCAGGGTGTACCTCGTGGACGGTGACGGTGTCCAGGACCCTGCGAGCTGGGTCGCGCGCCGATAGACCAATGACTTATTTATCGATGACGTTAATGTCGTTTAAGAGTAATGTATACCGCGACTGTATTTCCATTCCTGAGGCGAGTCCACGTGGTCGCGTGGTCCGTCTTCATCATTTATTTTGGTTACAGGGCCAAAATGGCGACTTAACCTCGGCCGAGTCTAGGGACTAACGTTTCCGCGTCTCTCTTCGCGTCTTCTGGTCGTCGGAGGGATCCAGGGTCGACGAGATATATCGGAATATATTTTACTGTGATGATAATAACGTTTATATCGACGATCCACGACCACTGATCGGTCGGCCCGGTTTACGCCGATAACGCTATCCGCGCGCTAAAGGCGTTGTTTAATTAAACCCTCGGTGTAAACTGTAATATACCAAGACGGTGATCCGATCGACACGAGACACGACCGTTTCCACCGAGAGTTTGCTAAAACCACGGCTTTAGTGGCTTACCAAGTGATCGAGGTAAACCGAGCCGACATGCCCGACTTTTTTTTTTACAAAACAGAGAATCGAGGGGGGTTTCCGCGTCCTCTACTGCACGCCATTTTTTTTTCTCTCCCGGGTGGATTTCCCCATAGATCTTCCCCATGAATATGTAAATATGCGAGATGTATACCCCGGACCCGGTGGGGGCGGTCTCGGGGCATTCCACCCGGGGGGCGAGAGTGCCATCCGGTCGTTGATTCGTTTTTTGGTCCTGTGTCCTGATTTGGGGACACGTAGGACCCAGAGAACTTGTTCCTCGTCGGTAGAGCCGTCGATTCTCGATGCCATAGGGAAGCAATGCATTTCTACGTACATATAAATATATATATATATATATATACATATACGGTATATCTTTCGGGATTAAGGCCGTACCTCGTAAGAGAGCACGAGACCTCTCGCCCCGAAGAGTCGACTAGGGAAAATGGCCGACACTTTCCGAGTGACTTCCTCGCGGCAGCTAAAACTGAGAAGACTTCTCCCGGGGAATCGCGTTTTATGTTCCTGTTTCGCGAAGGACGTCCCCCGGCCACCTTGCTCGCGACCATAGACTAGTTGACCATTAGGGCGGTAACCGTGAAACAGGGTGATTTTTTACGCTCGTGGGGTCGGCATAAAGGTGAAAAGATTCGCCACAAAGAGCGAGTGCAACGTCCAAGGACGCAAGATTCCTGGAATCGACCTAGGCGTCCCTAACCTCGAAAGAAATAAGAAAATCGAAAATACCTATGCAATTTACATTCCCCGCGTTAATGATTATTAGAGACAAGCCACGCCTGTAAAAATGACTTAAAAGTTAACACTTGATTACCGAATATTTTTCTACGATTTTTTTTCTTTACGGTGCATAATCGACCTACGATAATTGAAAGATAACCAAACTACGTCAGCGTTTAATTGTTACGGGGAAATTGCGCGCACCGTGGAAAATAAATTCTTTGGGATTGTCAACTGATTGGAGGACAGGGACGTTAAATTCCTGGCCGTTTCCAGGAATTTCCTCTTGGGCATGAGTGGATGATTAATTATATGTATAAAATATGTACATGGAACGGCCGAGTCCTTCCTCGGCCACTTCCGTCTTATCCCGTGGAAGGGCCACGCTTTCGTCTTCAGCTGGTGAATAACTTGATCGCTAACGAGTGAATTATCACAAATTCTCGTCCAGGTGGCCTTCCCCTGGTATCTCGGGCCCCGGAGAGGTTATATTCCTTTCGAGGCGCCCTGGAGTGCCTCGATTCACGACGAACGGTTTGCAGGGTACACGGGGAGATGTGCGAGCAGCTATTAAAATTAAGATTTTTAAGTTCCTCTTTTCAACGGGGCTCGGTTCTCCGTGATATGGGGCGATGCACAAGTGCAATTGGCGGCCATTTACCTCGGGTCTTCCGAGAGCTGAACACGAAGGCGCAGCCTAGCCCTATATCGGGTGCGGCTCGTTCTGCGGATTAATCGACTCGATAAATCGTTCTGTCGATATAGGGGGCGTACGAAAAGAAAAAAAGAAAAGTTTGAACAAAAGAGGAAGATAAGACGTCGCCGGCGAACCGGGTCGCACCTTTGTATGTGCATCGGGCCGCGTGTAAATCTACGGAACCGCGCCTCGAGAGCTCGAGCCTCGGCGCGGCCGATTCTTCGGCTCGATACGATTGAACCTGGATTATTTATTCTATATTAGAATGAAGTAAGACGAGGGACACTGTACAGTTAATTTAATGAATTGTATCAAGTTAAAAGGCCGCGCCGGTAGCCCGAGTTCCCTGGATTTCTTTACGAGGCCGGCCCCAAGAAATTGGCGTCCTTAGGATTAAGTCGCGATTCGTTCAGTCGAGATCTTGGAGACTGGGATCCGGAAATCTTTTCAAAAAGTCGGAACAAGCTTTTACAGACTCCTGGTACTTTCACTTTTCCAGATGGATTTCTTTTACCCGCCGATCGAATGCGCGATGACAATTGACGGTTACCTTTTTTTTTTTCCTACATAGATTTCAGTTATAAGGCTTTTCTACGGAATGTACTCAAAAAGAGTCTTAATCGTTTTCACTTGAACTTGGAGAAACGGAATTTTTCTTTAGATTTGATATAACAGGTCGAGGTGTATTATATACGTGTGCAGGATCAATCGAATTATGTAGGAAGAAAGCCGCGTGAAGGTGACGCCTGTTACTCCACTTTTATACTTTCTCGGTTATTTAAACTTATCGGAATGTAAAGAACTAGCCCTGGATAATAGTATACATATCGATGATAATACAGTACGTTCCCTTGGGGAACGAGCCACTTGACTTGTTATAACTGTAAGGCTATAATTAATTTGTACAAGATCAACCTATTGTAATAAAGAAACGAATCTTGCCTATAAGATGCATGCAGCCTTTCGATTCATTTAAGAGTCAAGTCGTTTGATTTTGGGTACCAAAAAGTATATTTTCATCTCATAGCTTTGAATATCAAAGATACAACGCTTATGTGTATAGTCTAAAATTAATGCTTATCTTAGTCGTTGGCAAATCCGAACACTTTTAAACTACCGGCATCTCTTTTCCTGTCGTAGGTATCTTTATCGTCACATGCGTATGCAAGCAAGTATTGCTTTGGATGCCAAGCCACTGTAAATGTAGCAGCCTCGACAGGTATATCCGCAACCTTCTCCCCTGTTTGCACTTCACCGATGTCGATAACGAGATCTTCCGAGGCAGCAGCCAGTAACTGCCCATCGTACGAAAATGATATTGTCCTGACAGGCCACTCGAGCCGCGAGAACGTTCTTAAACAACATAATTCATCCGCGTCCCACAAAGAAACCAATGCATCTGCTGAGCCTGTCGCAAAAAACCGACCCGTGGGATCGAATTCGATACAAATACAAGTTCCAGGATGTGCCTTTATCACGTGAAGAAGCTCCAGGTCAGGATAGCTGAGAATGTGAACGCAACCCTGTCCATTGGTTAGGTAAAATGTATCCGAATCCTTATTCCATGAGATCTCGTTCACTTCGAAGTTGAATTGCTCCTCGGCACGAATTTTCATCACCCTAGCATCGATGAAAGTTACCAGATCTTCTTTATTGCCAACGGCGATAGTGGTACCATCTGGAGACCACGATATATTAATATTCTCGCCTCTGGTACTAATATTTGCTGTGCATTTCTGACTTCTGGTATCCCATATTCGAACTGTCTTATCGCCACTTGCTGTCGATAACAAGTCTGGATGCGAAGCATGCCAGCAAAGTTGATCCACGCTACCGCCATGACCCCGAAAGGTAGTTTCCTGTTTCTATGAACAATTCGCAGATTAACTAATAATCTTAATCTACCAGACGTACAGAACGGGAATTTATTAACTATTTTTGAAATAACAAAAAGTTACCGGTAAATGGAGTAGCATATAGGTTAGGCTTACCAAGCGGTCGGATCCGAGTGAAAAGATACAAACGCATTTATCGAACGATCCAGAAGCCAATAACTTCCCGTCGCAATTCCATCCTACACTGTGAACCTTTGCCGAGTGGCTTTGTTGCTCCCTTATTTTATTATGCGACTTAAAATATGTAATCAACTCATCCACGCGAGAATCGAACGCCGCCATCTTTGTTTAACACGCGCTGAGGCGTCCCTGCATATAAGCGACACGCCTGCGGTTTTCAAATTGAAAAAAAAGAAACATTTCCAACAGAGATGAGTTGGGAGGTTGCTCACGGGCAGGATCGTGCGATCGCATCCTGTGCTGCCCTCTGGTTTCGTACGTTAGCTTTCACCGTTTTTTGCCCCCAAGGGCGGCGCAACGAATTTCTGGAAGGGCTAGTCTGTCCTCTACATTGCTCGCTTTTGATGGTAATGGAAGAATACTCGTGATCTTTTCCAGTAATATGGAGCAAGATTTCATATCGATTATATCAGCAGGAAACGTTCGATTCCTAGAACGAGTGTCAAATCGGTGAGAGTTAAAATAATGTCCAATACGCCAGACTCGAGTTCCTAAGTCGGAAAAAAGTCGCAATCGATTTCTGGCCGAATTCTTTCACCGGAGATCGAAATTGCGGCTTGAATTAAATAAGATTGGCCGCTTTTTATTCAAAGTAGAAAGTACGCACTGGGACAGAACATACTTTGCGGTGAAGGTAAGGATTGCGAGAAAGAACCGAAGTTCTTCCCTGTGGTCTGGTTTAAGAATTGCCTTCTCTCGGCAAGAACGTGAGAATTATAATTCTGCCGATCTCAGGGGGGTTACTTAATAAATTGTTTATATTAAGCCAATCCGGCTTACTCATCCCCGCGTTCTGGAAGAATAGCGAAACCGCTCATCGCGCTGCTCGGGCGAACCGCCGAAGTCACGAATACGGCCTGTGCTCTTTCCTTTCCCCGAAAAATCGAATTCTACGGTTCTTACATAATCCTTCGTGTCATAACTAGGTCCGGCGACATTCGTTTCCTCCGTTGAATCACCCGAGAAGTAATTAGCGCCATTTAAAATCCGCAGGTGGGAGAAGGCCGCGACGCCATCTTGAAGTTTCCCCCAAAATCCAGGGATGCCGAAATCTGTGCTACACAACCCAACAAGAAGCAGGACCACTTCCACAGGTAAATGTATACGATATAAATAAAGAATACCATTTCAATCCTCATAACTGTCTTTTCAGGTTCCATCGTGAAATAACTCCGTTTTGCGTGGAAGCCAGGAAAGCCGAACCGGAGACTTTATTATATACTCGTGGAGAAGTCGCAAAGATTAGACGCACGGGGTAAGCGGACCCCGAGTTTCTATCCGTACTTAATGGAGTCTGGACCTAATTGCGGTTAATAGGATTAAGGGTTTCTTGCCTCCCCAAGTAGAAAGCACGCATGGGGGCAGAGCACACATTGCGGCTCGGGGCCTGCGCCGTGGAAAAAGCTCGCCGGCAATGGGCCTCGGGATCATTGGACTTAACCGGCGCAAGAATGGAGCGACTTACGTAAACGAGAATCCGGCCGTAACCGCGTCTCGGACGAAAAGGACCGCGGCGACTTTCACGGGTGAGACGTCTCCTCCGGCCGGCCAATTTCCACCGAGTTTCCCGAGTCTCTCCAGTCGAGCGATTCGCTCGCTTTTGCTCGCGCCGCCCCCCAGGGGGCCCGGACAATGGCGCGGACACGGAGGGGACCGCCCTGGGTTGGGTGGAAGTCGATATAAGGCCTGACCGAGGAGAGACGCGGTTATTTCGAAAGTTGAGTGCGAACGAATCTGGGAACCAAGAGTGACGTCGACGTCAAGCCCTGCTGCCGGTGTCCGAGGAGTCGCGGAGGAAGCGAGCCCCCGCCTCAGAGATGGCGCCCTACGAGGTTTGTCTCACCTCGGGATTTTCTCGTCACATATTTCGCGTCCTAGGCCCCCAAATCCACCGGTGCCTGGAAAAATATAAAATAGGGGATGGCACCGAAGTTTCCAATGAGTTATATTCTAGAATATCGGGTTTCTTATGAGGAATGTAAGGTGGACCTCGGGGATCCCCGGTCTCTTGCTTCGTTCTGACGTGCTTGTTATGCAGTAAATGTCTCGGTTTTGCAGGTTTACTTGATCCTTGCGTCAGCCATCGTTTCGGCAAGCGTCAGTGCAGAATTAGAGCAATCGCAGACGCCCGTTGAAGCGAATCGCCCCGCTTCATCGATCGGTAAGAATATCGCTTGCATTCACGACATGTCTTATCCGAGCGAGACGAATAATCCGCTTTGCGCCGATTTCAAATTAGCGCCGGATGCTGCGAGTCATCATCCGGCGCAGTTTCCTGTCCCCATGGCCGCGTCGTTGTCGGGGCTCCAGGAGTTGATGAAGTCACCGTTTCCTGCGTACCCGGTCGACGTCAAATCGGCGAAGTACGAAGAGCTCGTCCGCAGAAGAAGAGGGGCGAATTGCAGGAAGCTGGAGGAGAACACCGAAGCAGACTCCGTGCCAGAATTCTTGTCTACGGAGAAGCACTCTTCCTCGGATGCGGCGATTTGCTACCTCTGCAGGAATCCCCGAAGTGGAGAGGCCTTCAAGCACTGTACTTACGCGTTTCAACCTCACTTCAACAAGTACCTGCAGCAACTTATCGGATCGCCTCCTAAGCCAAGATTGCGAAGGTCCTCGAAGAATCTGGATAGCGAATATCTAGTGGGCTTCCCGGAAACTCTGGGCTACTCTGGTGCTGGACACTTTAGCGAGCCCTATGGATATGGGACGGACACTTCTCATTATGTCCCGGACACCTCTCATTATGTCGCTGAAGAGAATAAAGAAAACCCCCAGAAGTGTGAGAGCTATCGGAAGAATGACATGGTGTGCACGGTTTGTAACGATCCAGTTAAGAATGGGAAGTACGAGCAATGTTCCTTTGAGACCGATCCTAAAAACAAGGCGTACTCTTATTCGCAGAGCAGGTCCTCTGGGAATCCCAGAAACCTTGGACAGGTTCAGGTTGACGGGATATCCAATAACCCTTTGACTCGAACCAGACGTTCCATCGATGAAGTTATTGGACACGATTATGCATTTTCAGAGAGCAGCAACACGAACAGTTTCTCCGAGTTCCCGGGGTATATGGACAGTGGTCATTTTCCCCAGCCATATTCGTACGACATGGACTCTTTCCACTCTGAAGGGTCCCACCACATGGCCGAGGAGAATAAAGAGAACCTCCAGAAATGTAAGAAGTACCAGAAGAACAACATGGTGTGCACGATTTGTCACGACCCGATTAAAAATGGAAAGCTGGAACAATGTACCTACGAGCCAGATCCCAAGAAGGAGCCCTTTGTGTACTCACAGTCCAGCACTTCTGAGGGTCCCCGGAGCTCTGACCATGAAGAACACCTCGAAGACTCCAGCGATACCAGTGGTTTATATGAAAATGGTGACGGCGAAGGGTTCATGGACAGTCCATCCTCCAGATTTCGAAGGTCCCTCGCAAAATCCCTGGCCCAAGGGGACAGCATTCACCTGGAGAACAGGGAGATTAGTAGCTTCTCCGGGTACCCTGGATACGCGAGTAGCAGCCACTTCAGCGAGCCCTACATCTATGATATGGATACCATCCTGTCGGAGGCTTCCTTCTACATCCCTGAGGAGAACAAAGAAATCCCCCAGCAATGCGAGAAATACACCAAGGACAATATGATATGCAGAACCTGCAAGGATCCCATCAGCAATGCGAAGTATGAGAAGTGCTCCTTCGCAAGCGTCCCCGAGAAGAAAATCCACAGTTCCTTGAACGACCGTGGAAACCCCATCCAGGACGGGGAATTCCCAGCCTCCTCTTCGAATTTCAGATTTCGCAGGTCCAACGGAAAAGCTGGACAGAATAGTGCCGACCTGAAGAGCAGAACGACGTCGGATTTCTCGGAGGTCCCGGAGTTCCTAAGGACTGATGGTCATTCGGATCCTTATAGGTTCGAGGTGGACGGATTCGTGCCAGAGGCTTCTCATTCGGTCGCCTCAGCCTCTCAGGAGTGCGAGAAGTACTCCAAAGGCAACATGGTGTGCATGATCTGCACAGATCCGACAAACAACGGCAAGGTAGAGAAGTGCTCCTTGACGACGGACCCGAAGAGCAAAGCTTACTCGTATGCGAAGTCCAGCTCCTACGGGAGTCCCCGGCCTGGAGACGAGGAGAGACATGGGGAATCCAGCGACCTGAAGAGCGGTACTCGACCGTACTATGACGAGGGATATTTAGAGATGACCCCGACCTACCGCTATCGAAGGTCCAACTCGAATTTGGCGAACCCGGGGTCGGCAAAAGTCGCTGAAGTCCTGGGATCCCCGGAAGTAGGTGAAGTCAAGGGTCCTTATCCACTGGACATGAACGTCTTTTCACCTACCGCTACCGACCTCGTCGGCAAAGAGTACTTGAAGAAACCTCAACAATGCCGGAAGTACCTAAAAGATTCCATGGTGTGCACCATCTGCAAGGATCCCGTCACCAATGGGAAGTACGAGCAATGCTCCTACGTATCGCGACCCAAGGACCAGGCGTACACCTTGAAGGAGTCCAGCACCTTCGAGGCACCTACGATTCCTAAGGCTAATTTTAGAGAAGAGCCCCTGAAGAGTCCCTCCAGCACCGTGGATAAGATATACAAGGGGGTTGCCGGACCGAGAATCCCCCAGGAGCTTCCTAGCCCGTACCTAAAGGAGCTGATGAAGGAGGACAAATCCACGAGTCCTGGGGCCCAGGAAGCAAAGAATCAGAATCCTGAGAAGCGCTTGGCAAGTGCTGGATTAGAAAAATCCGCGGACTGCCAGCAGATCCAGAAGAGCGGGATGACTTGTTCCATCTGCAAGGACCCGACCACCGGGAGGAACTCAGAAAAGTGTTCCTACGCGTACAAACCGGATGACGAGGTCTTCCAGTACAAGAGGTCGAAGACGATCGGCTACCCTGAAGCGGACAGCAAGAAGCAGGAAGGTGGAGGTGGAGAACCGAGCAAGGTCTCCAGCTCCTCTGGGAATCCCGGAGATCAAGACCCCAAAATCGTCGACTTGCAGGAAAAGTCTGAAAGCAGGGCATCTCCGACATCCGAAAGCCACCCTGAAGAGGATGCTGGCTACCAGTCAGACTCGGGAGGATTTAATGAAAGGACGTATCGCTATGATGACGAGGCTAGTCCCTCGAGTTTCTACTCGGCTCCCTATTTCGCTCAGCTCCAAAAATCCCGAAAACTCTATGGACCCTATTTCGCGGAGTACACGAGTCTGTACCCGAAGATGACTTATCATCAAGATTATAGTTCCAGCCCGGAGAGAATTTCGGACAAGCTTGAAAGTGCCGAAGAGACATCCGGAGATTGCCAGAAGGTGGAGAAAGATGGAATGACCTGTACCAACTGTAAAGACCCAAAGACAGGAAGGACCTCCGAGTCCTGCTCGTACGCTCACCAGCCCGACGACAAAATCTTCAAGTTCTCTAGGTCCAAGTCCTTCGGCTCCCCAAAAACAGAAGGGAAAAAATCGGAAGTTGAAAAGGAGGAGGCAGAACCGGCCAACAAAGCCGAATCCACGTCGTACGGTGCTGATGATCATCAACCAGAGAGAGAGACCAGCTACAACGATGAAGGTAAGAAATACTCCTCCAAGTATCAACCTCCCGAAGGAGACTCTGGAGAGGACTACAAGGCATACCCTGGTGCGAGTGATTACTACACGAAGTACCTAGACCTGGACCCGGAGAAGACCTCGACCGAGTCGTCCAGTTTGGGGAACAAACGCAGCCATGGAAACGATTACAAGTCTTACCGCAATCCTGGGAAGTACTATGAGACTTCTAGCCCGAGCCTTGAAGAGGGGTCCACCAAGTCCTCGGCCAAGGATGAGAAGAAAGTGGAAGGTTGCAAGGAGGTCCAGCGCGATGGGATGATCTGCACGGTGTGCCAGGATCCAGGATCTGGGGACCATTCTGAAAAGTGCTCCTACAAAGTGGAACCCAGCGAAAAAATTTATCAGTACAGCACGTCGAAGTCCTTTGGAAATCCCAAGGGCCAGAACAAAGGACAGGGGCCCAAGGACGAGGAGAAAACTCCAACCGAGGTCTCTCCTTCCTATTCGACAAACGAAGGCGCCTCCAACAAGGAACCTGCAAAATCCAGTCACTCCAAAAAGGGGACCAGGAAGTACCACCAGGTCGAAAGGGAAGGTCCTGAGCCAAGAACGGAACGCCTGGCGAAGATCGATTATCAGCCGCGATCAGGATTAGGAACCTACTACGAAGGTTTAGGTTCTAAAGGTTCCAAATCTTTCGCCAGGTCGCCGAGCGAGGTCAATTACGGTTATAGGTATCGACCTTACCAGGAAGAAAATTATTACGCGGGTTTTGGGATAACCTCGGCGGAGCCTTCGACCTTGTCATCGACATCGCAATCCCTCCAGGGCGAATCTGGTTCCGAGGGTGATAGTAAATTCTCTGATAACAGCGGGGAGAAGCATCTCGAGCCTTCGAGTTCGAGTCCAGAGCAGTCGTCCATAAAGAAGGAGAATAATTCTGGAGGTTGCAAGGAGGTCCAGAAGAATGGGATGACCTGCACGATTTGTCACGACCCGAAGACCGGAGGGAGCACGGAAAAATGTTCCTATGCCGATGCGCCCAGCGAGAAAACCTATCAGTATTCTCGCTCGAAGTCTTTCGGATACCCGAAGGATAAAATTGGCAAGAAACTGGCGAAGGAAAAAATCGAGTCCACTGAAACATCTCCTTATAACTACCAAGGCTCTGGCGAGAGGCAGAGCACGATTCAAAAAACCGCGCCAAAAGTCGCGGACTACGCGAGTCACGGCATCAGTGGATACCGCCGACCAAAATCAGCGACTGATTTTAATAAAGACATTAACAGGGGCTCCACTAAATACAACAGACGGCGATATTCCGGCCAGGGAAGCGGCAATTCTTATCAGTTCACGACTCCACCGTTTATCGAGCCGGAATTTGAAAAGAGCCTCGACACAGCGGAGGGGCAAACATGCGAGGAGATCCGGAAGGACGCCATGGTCTGCAAAGTTTGTCGGAATCCTAGAACCGGAAAGAAGCTAGAAAAGTGCTCTCTGAGTTTAGAACCCGATACTAAGCGCTCTTCGGATCAGATCCAAGAGAAGTCTGAGACCCTGAAGAGCCATTCCCTTCCGAACAGCCGGAACTCTCATAAATACTCTAACGCGAGGGATTCCAGGAATCCCGAGAACAAGGGCAAAAAGTCAAGTGGCGAGTCGGACAATGCCAGGCAATCCACGTCTCGGAACGCCAAGTTTGCCGTGGATGCTGAAGAAGCAAGGAAAGTTGGGATCGAGTCGGAGAAAACGAGCGGCAATGGCGAGGCTCGCAAAAAACCGAGCATTAGAGACAAATCGTGGAAGCTCAGAAACCACAGGGACCCTTACAGGTATCGCGTAAGAGCCTCAGGGGACCCTGAAGAGTCCAAAAAAGCCTCGGACAGTGTCGAACAGGCGACGTCCCAGAACGCCAATTTTGCACTTCCTAATGACCAGGAAACGGAGAAAGCCGGAAGCGAGGCTAAGCCATCGGTAACGGGCGTCGATCTTGTACAATCGAAGACGAAGAGCGGCAACGCGACGTTGGGTAATGAAAAAAACCAGGAAGTCTCTTCAAACTCTTCCAGGGAAGGGAGTCCTGAGAGTGCAGGGGTGACCGGCGCGCCACACAAGAAGAAAATCAAGGAGATCCTGAAGGAGTTCGAGAAGGAGGACAGGTCCGGCTGCAAGAAGGTGACCCGAGGCAAGATGACCTGCTACCAGTGCCTGGACGGGTCAGACCTGAGGAAGGAGGACTGCGTCTTCGTGGCGACCGGACCCAGTGAATCCCCAGAAAGAGGCTCCAGGAATTTCCTGGACTTCAGGAAGTTCATGGAGAGCCCTATCCCGGGAGAGCCCGAAGCAAGTGGGACCTCGACGGCCCTGAAGATGAAAAGAGGCTGGGGACTGATGGACGATGACGAGATCCTGGAGCCCGAGGTCTCTGCCAGCGAGATCCACCAGAGCAGCCCTGAAGAAGACTCCAAAGAGACCGAAAACCAGACACGCCGGGCTGAAAAAAATGAGAAAAAACATGAAGACAGTGCCGAAGACGAGCATTCCGGTGAATCCCATAAAGAGGGGTCCTCAGAAAATCCAAACGAGTACCTTTCGGAGACGAGACCTGTCCACGACAAGGTCCTCGGGATTACTCTTCCGGCTTACATGCTGATGACCTCGGAACACGAGGCGGCCTTCGATGAAATGGTCGCTTCCAGTAAATTCTAATTAAAAAATTTTACCAAAATTCCTGTTAACTGTTTGAGACTACGCCACTTTCGCATATTACGCTGTGCATGTATATAATATTACTTAATTAAATGTATGATACTATCGTAAGGAATATAAGGTAACTAGGCAATGCCGAGCTTTCACGCGGCACCGTGAACAAAGCGTGAATTGCACCATTCATAATGCGTGCATAATCCGGCTTTAAGGTGAAAAGAGACACGTTTTCCTTTGATGTTGCAAAGTTTCACGGCAAGACGGCATTTGAAAAGTTCCGAGACAATTGCCAGGTTTTGCACGTACCAAGCCCACGACTTTGACGATATCAGAGGTAAGAAAGTTAATCGTCGAGTAACTTTCAAATAATTACCACCTAGTTAAAAGGCATTTCATTTACGAGGTTCGGAACTTATCATTACAGTCGTCGTTATTACAATTACTCGCTGTTTCCTATCGCAATTATTACCCCAGGTTTTATAGTTTTATAAGTATTCCCTGTTAGAGCTGAAAGTTCGCGTATCTTTCACTTAATTGTTGCGATTCGAGGAGTTTGTTTTCGAGTCTATGGTTCCAAAGTCGCTGTCAATAAACTATTAATTGTTGATAGTCGAGAAATGTTTTTCCTCCACGTATCACTTACGAACATAAATAATTTCGCCTTGGTTTAACCAATCTCAATAATGATAGGTCTGTTCGTTGCACCGCATCTTATGCAAGTAACTTTAAATGTTATTCACTTACAATTATTAAAGGTTCAGCGACATTAAGACAAAGTTTCCAGCACTTAACAAACATTTAAAAAGAATGCGGTTTACAAGATCCCAAGATTTTTCTCCATTACGGCATGAGGCTGGCACATTTGCTCTCTGAATTCTGCCGTGTTCAGAATGTCTTCGAACCTGCAGAATATGAACAAAGAAATTAATCCTGTGTTCCGAAGTAGTTGATTTTATATTTTTTCCAGTTCGACCTACCCAATTTGTTCATCACGACCAAGTATAACATCCCTCATGACTCCACTTGAGGGCAAAAAAGGAAGTCTCCCGATTTGTTCCGTAGCTTTAAGTTCCATAGCGAGACGAAGGGGAGCGTGTAGTCCTTGGGTGTTTCTTAACATAATCATCTCCATGCGACTTTTGTTCTTGTGATACTAAAATAAGACGTTAGAAAAAAAAAAGAACTTAGTAGTGCAACTGCTACTTGATACTAAAACTGTGAAATACATCCTCTATAGGAATGCCAACTTCCGACATGACTCGGACCAACAGTGATTTCACTTTTGTTACGAGAAAGGTTACATGATCACTCTTTTTCGCGTTTAAATGGTCACGTTAAGTGGGGCATGATGAAAAGCGAAAAAGTTGGCGTGAAACTACACTGTCATTGCCTGGAATTGAAATTCTCCATGGGCCCACTTTTTCTGACATTTGCGTAAACAAGTATCATGACATTTAATTAAGACAGAGCTCGGTATTGTGATCAGGATTTATCGTCTTTTATATGTTTCATGAGATGATTGTGAAAATCCCTGGTTACTAATATTACATAAACGATTTCTCCAACGCTTTTAATGAAAATTCTTTCTTCAGTTTAATAATCAAAGAATAGTCATTATTACTATTACAAATTCAAGAAAAATAAACTTACATTCCGCTCAGATGATTCCAAAGGGTGAGATATTCCTATTTTGGCCCTCGCAGATGCTCTAGAACAAATAATATTAAATTACTTTATGGTACAAGTATATTTTGATATAATTTATTATAATGTTTCTCTGAATACCTCTTTGTAAGATTTAAAAATTAGTTAACTTACTGAGAAACAAGAGGGTTTGGGAGTCCATAGATCTCATCTTTAACGGAAGTGCTGTTTGAACAAGTAGGCCGTGGTTTAACGGATTCCAAATGGAAACTCTGTAATTAAAATCTCTTTAATTGCAAAAACCTCAGTTGTAATCGCATTGATTAGACTACAGTGAATTGAAAAGCAATGAAAGGACTCTAAACAGCAATCAACTCGATTTATTTCCAAATCAAGGTGAAACATAACCCACAAAACCATACCACATCTATTACAAAAGAAAAATATCTAACAGAATTCCTAAAAGGTTAAAGCCCGAGACTTCCCGAAATCTCACCATTTTTAATTAAGATAGCGGCAAAGAGTAATGACTTTTAACTTTTTAATGAAACAACCTCTAACAAGTCAAAACTGTTCACTCATTGCCTGATACACAACATAGAGTTGAGAATCAAAGATGGCGACCAGAGTTGAGTTGGGAGATAGCTCACGGGCAGGGTCGCGCGATCGCATCCTGTGCTGCCCTCTGATTTCGTAAGTCAGCTTTCACCGTTTTTTGACCCCAAAGGCGACTCAACGAATTTCTGGTAGGCGCTCGCACACTCCGGATGGCGGTACCACCTACCAGTAGCCATTGGCGGCTTACGTACTCGTGATGTAATACCATGCGGTGGTTGACGGTGGTGGCTTACCTACGCTTACCAACCATGCTCGCTTTTGATGAAAAGGGAAGAGCACTCGTGGCGTCCTCTTTGACTTTACTCTTCACTTACCTTATTTAAATTACGGGAAGGTGAACAATTTTATCTTAATTAAATTCTACTTCACAGCTAGTTCGCGAATCGGTGTCATCCCATAAGGATGGTACCGATCCCCCAGGTCCCACCACAAGGAGGCCGCTGCGATTGGGACCCGCCTAAGCATAGGCACCTGGTTCCGTTGAGTTCCCAGCGTCCCAGGAACTCGCAGAACCAGGATTTCATAACCCATACCACTCGCATACCATACGCATCCGTCCATACAATACACCACTCGCATACCATACTCATCCGTCCATACAACGCTCGCCGCAGAGTACAACTCATCTCTGCTCATCTCTGGTATGAAAATCTGGAAGCCCTCGGCGGTGAAACATTGAACTATATACTTACTTCATCTTATGAATCTTTCAGTTTAGGCTCTAGATGGCGCTTTACATAGCGTACGAGTTTCCCCTTCTTGCTCAGTTTAGTGACGCAAGCAGGTCTAATGGCGTCGGGGTCCAAGCACTGTTGTCACATTTTGGTCTACAGTGTTTCAACATCTCTTTGCTCTAATGCCGGCCGAGTATCGCGCGAAGAAGGCGATGGACTCGCTCAAGAACGCGAGACTCCTATTCGGCAGGTAAAAGCACTCCGTTATCTCGGACAGGCATCGTTTTCTGATAAGAAGGAGTCTCTCCGGGTGTTTTGGGAGCAGTGACCTTGGACCTACTGTCATATCTCGCAGATCGACCAGCGCCAACTTTAAATGCCCCTGGCAGGTGAAAACTTTGCTCATGAAAACCGTAGGCATTCAACATTTGAAAATTATTAATGTTCAAGCAACACTCGAAGCAAGGATGGTAGAAACGTATTTACTTAAGACAGACGTGTTTTTACAGTAATGGATGGGACAAACGAAGACGATGCACAGGCAGTGTTGCTGCAGGGCATGGAGGGCACTCAGTACATTACGATACAAAGGACCGAAGGAGAACCTATGAGCAAAGGGGTTTCTCTGCTGACTCTGAATGCAGAATTGATCGCCGAAGGTATGGTCGTGGATATGATAAATGCCGGTGTTAGTTCGGAATACGCCGCTGCATCCCAGTACTATGAAACCGAGGATCTCTTGCCACACGAATTAACAGAGGTGACGCTGCAGTTCTTAGAATATTCTTTAGCAATTTCAGATATTTTTTATCCGGTTTGTATCGACGTTACAGGAGGATAGAAGATTAGCTGCAGCTTTAGTAGCCGTCCAGTTGCAGCAGCAACAGAAACAGCAACACATTAACAACCAACAGCCCCACGACGATCCCAGCTTGTCGGATGTTGGTCAACTGGAGACTCTTACACCTGTTAACGCGTACACGATTCAGTCCTTACAAGAGCCCGATCCAACCTCTGTCTATCCAGCGCTACAAAGCTTTAAGAGGATAGCGCGAAACGTTAAGCAAGAACACGCAAACGTGAAGAGCGAGTACGATCTCGAGATCTCTGCGGAAAGTAGCGAGGATGCAATGCCTGCCCCTGGAATTAAGAAATCCTTGCCGCATAAAAAAAGGATTGCACGGAAATTGAAACAGCGAATAAAAAAGAATACCGTAAAAAAGGACAGCGGTGGAACGATGCAAGGGGACACCACCGTCGAGTCGGTCACCAAAGTACAAGTTCACGCGTTCAGATGCGAACTGTGCGGCAGCCGGTTCAGTGGGCAGCTGAAATTCTTCGAGCATCTCAAGGTAGTTATTCCCTATTTCTCCATAAAAAATAGCAAAGATGCAATTTTCACGTGTCACTTATTTTCATGAATTTAATGTAGGCTCATTACGAGCCAGTGAAACATGAAACAAGAACGGTGCAAGCAACGAATACTAATATCACCATGTCAACGTCCGAAGCCGTCCATGATTTAGAAAATACTGTCATAGACGAGTTCAGCGAACCGGAGGATCTCATGGAAGGGATCAGGAATGTAGGTAAGTTGGAAGTCGTCGTAAGCATCGAACTGTCAAATAATATTCTTACATTATAACCTCAAACTAACGGAATCAATTGTTCAGTCGAGGAGACGAGCGCCCGAATCGATGCCGAGACTGAGTCAAACTTGCCAGAAAGCGACAGTAGGCCCACCCTATGGGCAATAGCCAACGTTCCCGATCTCGTGGAGCACGAGCAAGGGGAATCGGCCTCTTCGGGAGTACGGAAGAAGGAAGACGCGACGGTACCGCCAGCGGTCGGTGACTCCTTGGATATTAAGAGCAAAAAATGGCCAGAACAGGAAGTTAAAACGAGGAAGCACGTGAAATCGCGGAAAGAAAGTGAGTCCGTCGAACGTCCCCGAATCTTTGCCGTCCATTGATATGCTCTCGATGTGCTCGAAAAATATTTTCTGCCCACAGACGAAGAGTTCACTTGCCCCTTACCTCAGTGCGGTAGATCGTTTAATCATAAAAACAGTTTAGTGTATCATATACGATCTCACAGTGGGGAAAGACCCCATCAGTGCGAAGTATGCGGGAAAAGTTTCTTCGCCGCGTGTGCGTTGAAGGTTGGTGCCGAACCTCTGGGGATGAGTTATGGAACGCCTGACGATTAAACTAATTGAAAACTCTTGCAGGTTCACAAGCGGCTACACAGCGGCGACAAACCTTACAAATGCGAAAATTGTGGCCGCCACTTTCGACAGTGGGGAGATCTCAAGTATCACAATACCAGCATACACTCGGAGCAAAAGCAATTCCAGTGCGAGTACTGCGGCAAGGACTTCGCCCGAAAGTACTCCTTGATCGTGCACCGGAGAATTCACACCGGGGAGAAGAACTACCGCTGTGAATACTGCAATAAGACTTTCCGAGCCAGTAGCTACCTCCAGAATCACCGGCGCATCCACACAGGGGAGAAGCCTCACCCGTGTACGGTGTGCGGTAAGCCGTTCCGAGTGCGAAGTGACATGAAGAGGCACATGCACACCCACTCTAGGGTGAGCGGCAGGTCGGAGAGACCTTTGGGGATTAACAGGAACCCGGTGGGGAAGGAGTTGAGCGAGGACAGCGACGACAAGGAATCTCGACCGCGAACCATTCCGTCGAATTTGGTCCAGGACCTGAAGCTCGAGGTCGAGGCGAACGGCGTTGTGGAAATCGTGCCACCCGAAGACAATCCCGAGAGTATCCTGCCCCACGAGGGTGGCCATGCCATGGACTACAACGTTACCTCAACGACCGACGTTAATTCCGACAGGGATCCCTTGGAGGCCGTTGTCCGAACCTCCGACACATTGTAAGTTACTAATTTTCTATTCACTAGCTTGGAGATTAATCCCTTACCGATCACCTTACTATTCCCTGTTCCAGGCAATACTTCTTTATGTAACCACGTCGGATTTAGTAGCGGACCAAATCTTTGCGGTTACGGTGTACCAGTGTGCTGAAGCGATGCAGAGACATCTCGGGGATAGTTGCGGTTCACGATTGCGGGAAGACAAGGCAAGATTAACCTCGGGTGGCTGAAGGGAATGCTAGACGGTGAACGGGTATCTCCGCGGTCCTCGTACCGCTCGATGACTGAATAAGACTGGATACTACGATAAACTGTGCATACAAAGCTACGTACATATACGGGAATCCTATATTACCGGCATTAGCGATGCGTGTACGATAACGTATGTATGTACATTCTCTAAACTTATGAATTGTTTATACCGACCAGCGACGTTGCAAGGGAAAAAAAAATATATATGTATATATTTTTTTTACACGCTCATCTTTATACAAAATCTTGGGTTGTGTGGTTATTTACTTGCTCTCGTGAGTCTCGCGGATTAAGTCTTTCAGGTCAGCGGTTTGTTCTATGGCTCCGGCAGTTTCCTTTCCTGCGAACACCTGGAGGAGTAGAGTGAGGTCACCGGAATCAAGGCCAAGGGTCAGCTTCTTCGCAGCCTTGCTGCTGGGGATCCTGCGATCATTGGAAATTACGTTACTTTATACCGTGACGGTGAAAAAAGAATTCTAAGTATTGAATTTCTTATGTCGATTCTCGTGATAACCTGCGACCACCCTTGGCTCGTTCCCAATCCACGTACAGATCGGTTATCATTCCGTGTAACCTCTGTAAAATCTCCGGGTCCTTTGCTATTTCCGATCTCGCATTCGACTCGGTTTTCAATAATTCCCGGTAAGAGGAACACAGGTCCTCCGGATTACAGAGCTCCCACTCCTGTAGAGCGTCCAGAATTTTAATTGTCTCCGTCAACTGACGAGCCTTCTCTAATCTGGGCATCATTAACTCCAACACTTTAACTATACTGCCCTCGATGATTTCTGAAGCGTAGACAAAAATTGATCTTCGGATAAACTGTTGGAAAGTACTTCTAAGGTGGATTGAGAGAACCGTACAAAAAAGCAGTACCGCAGAAAACGTCCAATTTAGTCTTTCGCTTAGTTGCTTCTTTCGTCAGTGCATCCCGCAGGATCATGATACTCGACACGTTCTCGCCAAGAAACGTGGCACTGCCTTTCCTGAAAAAAGAAAAAAGAAAGAAAAAAAATGCGTGAGCCTAATCGCAAGAAAGATTATATTAATTATTTCCTTACTTGTATTTGCACTTCAAAATGGTACCAATGAGGCAGGATGTAAACGTCAAAGTTGCTTCCCCATCTTGTAAATGAGGTCTCTCCGGCATTTCAGGAAGAGCCAGCGACAACCAGGCATGCATCTTTCCGACAGGTTGTACATTCAAGCAGCGAGGTACTTTTATTCTATTCCGATAAATTCGTATATAATGTAATTACCTCGGCCAGGGTGAACTGTCCTGTAAATCTTAACTCGTTGAACGGCCCTCCAGGTAAAGTTGTCGTCTCGTTTTCTTCGTCCTCGTGGAACCTCGCATGGAGTGACAACGCACGTATAGGTATTTGTACTCTTCGACAACATTTTGGCTGCATCTAATGGTGCCGAAGGTTTAGTTTGGCCCTTTGACATTAAGAATTTAAAGACCAACCAACCTGGGAAGTAACGTACACTTGTAAAGTGCCAGGTTGGCCCTCGATAGTCCTTAATCTTAACTCCAAGCGGTTAGTGTTTACCTGGAAATGCAAATGTGTTGTATGGTAAAGGAGTATACTGCTAATATATATTTTTTTTTCTGCTGGATCGGCTTTTCTACCTGGCAGCGGTATGTGGCTAGGACGAAATTTCCTTCGCTAGGATTGCAGGCTGATAAACTAATTACCGCACTGTTACTTTCCACGTCTAGGAGTTCTACCGGAGCGTCCGACTGAATCAATATGTTTTCGATGGGGGTATCGAGCTCTATTGACAGTAAGTACGAAGCCGTGGCTCTGTTTAGAGTCAACCTGATGTAATTACATAGATTAGATACTTGTTTAATGACTTAATTACAATCTGGATTTCTAGTCAATTTACCTGTGATTGACAGACAGCGAAAGCGGTGCCAGAGCATCCACCATCAAATGGGACGTCGCAAACTTTTCCTCGGCAAGCTTCTCTTCCAACTGTTGTATCTCCGCCTTTAATCTAGGTAGTTCGACGTCATTTCTGTCTACTTCCAGCAGACCCAGTGGTTTCGTGGTCAATCCAAATATACGACCAGAGTAGGTTGTAACGAGGATCTCTGGATACCCCAAGGTGCCAATCATTCCACCGGCGACGGAAGTAACGCTCTCTCCGCAATTCTAAACAATCTCAAGCTTCGGGAGAAATCCTGGATAGTAACTATACCTTATACATATATATAAATTACTTACATAATGGTATCTTAATGCAGGAGGAGTATCTTCGTCCTCGGAAAGAGCGTACACGTCCACGCTGCCATCCAGTCTGCCGACAAGTATGTCCTGCTCCTCTTGGAACTCGTACAAGTCCAGTGACGTCACCTCCGACCCCATCGACCCCACCAACCAAGTTATACCAAGAGATTCGTTCTTCCGGAGGATCAACAGACCTATCCTTCCATCGATAGTGCCTACCAAAATGTGACTCGAGAAGTCCGAGACGGTATCCCTGCATAATAAAATATATTCGTATCGTAAAAGATCCCTTGATGAAATAATTGTTAAAAAAAAAAAAATATGTCTAGGAAACATCGTACCTACATAGCGTCAGCACCGTGGGGACACTCGGCAGCCTAAGTAAGGACGGTGACTTGGACCCATGCAGAACGCGAATCTGAAACCAGCACAATGACGCTAAAATTGTACGCATCGAATTGGATTACATTTAAGAGATAAAAAGAAAATCGAGTAACCCCTACGGCACGATCTCCACAAGCGAGCACTGCGTACACCCCGGAAGTGTCACTGGGTAACAGAATGACATCCTGCAACGTCTCTCCAACCAGGTACGAGTCGACGTCCTTGCAATCTCTGTACCTGTGGTAGAGGTCCGTGGAGCATGCCGCTAGGTCCGGCCCGAGAACGTATCTAGATATAAAATTTAGGCAGAAATTGGAAAAAAGAAAATCAAGTATACTTATATCTTGAACGTATGTTACAGCATTACAAATTGGACTTACAATGCAACGATCGGGTCCATCAGGCCGGTGTCGAACTCGAGGAAGAGCTTCCCCTTGCGGGTGAAACCTCTGACCGAGTGCCCATAGGCCACGAAGATCCTTTCGGCCTGGGAGCCGCGAACACCTCCAAGGACGAGTCTGCTGATCTCGGCACCCGGAAGGGATTTAAACGACAGCCGCAGCTCCCCCTTTCTGACACCTGGGGGAGATAGGTTAATTAAATCCATTTAATCGGCCAATAAATTCCTTAGTTAATGTCAAATTTACCGAAAACGTGTAAAACCCCGTCACGATCAGCCACTGCGAATTTCTGCGGTTGCTTCGAGTCCGTCGACGGCAGGATCTTTGTCGTCCCCCGGGAAGTAACCCCTACGGTCGTGTAATCCACTCTTGACAACGTCAGTGTCATTTTTTAATGACAGTTTATTTAAACCCTCGATTGTATCGCGAGCGAACCGGTGATTTCGGTTCTCTCGACCACGTTCTCTGGGTTTTCTTTACTGTAGTCCACTGGTCCGGTGGAAAATCAATTTAACCATAGTAACCACAAGGCACAACAGTCTCTCTGGGCGAGGAGAAATTTTATTACGCTCGTTAATAATATTATTCTCCGAAAAGGGCTCCTTACCCTGACGGAGTCGCGATTCGTATTACACTCCGGCCGTAGTTTATTTTAAATATCACCTAGTACCGCTCGATACGGCGCTATAAAATAAGTTTAATTGTATTCCGATTCTTAGGATGTACCGTATTCGTCGTTCTTATCGATTAATAGGAAACCTTGTTTTACGTAAATCATGATATCTATGTTATCGCAATCTATTGCGAGGAAATTCGGTTCTCGCAGTTATTAACGGAGCTATTAAGAACCGGAAATAATAATTTAGGTTGGGGGTCAAGGGGATGACCGGTAAGTGAAAAATCTACCGGCACGGATATCGGCTAAATTCAACGATTCTGCAAATCGCGATAACGTTAATAAATCATTAGTTAAATGATTGCACTCAGAGATGAGCAAGAACATCCGAGGGACGCGCGCAATGAATGATCTCGTATTGTAGAGATAACAGGTGAATTCGATGCTCCTATTATTGTACATACGTTTACATATAATTCTTATGTTTACGCAAATACGGATCTCTGGGCGATTGACCATTACTTGAGCAATGTTATAGTTGAAAGTATTAGTATTAAATCGCGAAGAGCAATTGCCTTAATTAAATTCAGTTCTGACTAGCTTCGTCATTTGTACGTGTTATGCATGGTCACAGAGGAGTCGAAAGAACGTTTCTACGCATCTATCATGACCGAGACAAAGTAATTAATTTAAATTAACTAAAGAGATTGACGTTAGTTTTACCTTAACGTGTTAGCGAATCGAGACTCCCGGCCGTTACATGGATTTTTGTTTGGTCACAGATCTGGCCACGTTCTGTCATTTGTGCCGCTGACTCTTAAATCAATTTCACCTAATTTAACAGAAATAAAAAAAAAAAGACGTCTTAATGCACCATTTTATCTATCACAGCTAAACTCGATTAAACCGTCTTCCAAGACTGAAAACAGTTTGAAACGAACGAAAAGGAATTAAGCGTATCACGAATTATAACGAACGAGTCACTGCGGTTTTCGCTCTTCTTTTCACGTAGTAAAATTATAACGGTGCACTTTTAAGTTTAAGAGCAACGATATCGTAAGCAACCACTATATTTGGTCGGTGGAAAGTTCGCCTACGAGTGGAGGTTGCATCTCGTTAATTTTTTTTCTATTAAACAATTCACATGGTAGGCGTGACCGCAGGGAAATATCGATATACCGTTCCCATTGAGAAGAACCGGAGTCTGCAGAGCCAGGGTGCAACAGGGACAAGTCTGCGACTTTGCCTTGTACTCGATGCCCCAGTGATGGGCACCAGCCTCGAACACATTTTTATCGATGGGTCTCTCGATGTCTTTCCTCAAAGTTACCTCTAGTTGTTCGCGAACCTGTTGAACATTTTATGCCCTCAATTATTGAACACACTTGTGAAAAAAAAAAAATAACTGGTACAACCATGCATAGAAATTAAAACACAGTTTACCTCGGTAGCACATAAGGATTTTGACTGACTTTCCCCTACACCGCCACAGTTAAATTGAACGTTATGCTTTACTCCATGGTGTTCCAAGATCTTGGAGAATATGAGAGACTGGTAAATACTGGAAATATCAAAGCATCGTTACAGGGTAAATCATGAAGTACTAGTTTTCAAGCTTAATCCATTAGGAATATTTTTCACAATTTTCGATACATCCGTTTTAACGTACCTGCGGTCTAAAGTCATGCTTGGCACAAAAGATTGAGCTTTCATTAGAAACGTCATCGATGCATTCGATCCTTGCCTCTTCAAGATGTCACGAGCCACCCTGGTCCAATCAACGTAAGGCTTTCTTTTAACCGTCGGTCCATAAAACCTGCCACACAACAAACAGTTTCCTCTTTCGATGTCCTTCAAGTACTTCACTACGGATTTCCACTGTTTAGCGTCAAGAGAAGGCAACAAAACTGAGAGAACATTACTGTCACCGGTTTGAATGCACTCGCGTAGTACTTCGTCGGGATTGCACTTCTGGGAAATATATTGAGGCAGATACTCCTGCCACATAAAAGGTACTTTGTTGCAGAATTCAATACAGTTATCTTTACTTTCTTCAGCTATTCTCTTTAACAGGGTCTTTCCAATTTCCAAGAACTTTGGCTCGCTTGGTTTATCCTTAGGACAAGGAAAACCGCAGCTGCATTCTCTGTAGTCCGAAGAGTTCAGATTGACAAAGATCTTTGATACTTCGTTCAGTATTTTCTTACTACGAGTTGTTTGCAGCAAATCTACGGACAAATTTTCAAGAAGACCTTTACTAAAATGTAATTCCGCAGCACGAATCAATTCATAGAGGAAGTCCTGTAGATCTGGCAAGCTCTCGTACACTTCTTTCACTTCACCCATTTTGTCCATTATCCTTGTGAGAACTTCTTCTACCTCTCTCTCTGTCACAGAGGGTTTAATACTAGCTACCGATGCATAAATTGGCTCCAAGTTGGACTGTATACTACACACTGCGTCTTTAAGGATCCTCGATTTTCCCATATCTTCTTTGGAATCATCCTCTTCGCAAGTTTCCTCTCTGGCAGAATTTTGCTTGACATATTTGTGCTTCGACGTCAAATTAAAACGTGAATTGATGATAGGTTCTTCGTCTAACTGACCATTGCTATTAGAGATCTGACTCTCACTGTGATTATTTATTAACAAATTATCCGGTTCTTCGATGGAGTTAGAATTTTCGTTTGGAGAAAATCTTTCTTCCGACGTGGAGGGTGACGTATCCTTCACCATCGAGAGCCTATTATCTTTTTCTACAATAGATTTTGCATTCCCCGAATTAACGACTACAATCCCTGTATCCAATTTAACGGGCTGATTATTAAGATTAGACCTCAACAGTGATACTAGTGGAAGCAGTTTAGAAGAGATTTCATTCTTTTGTAATAGATTCGTTTCACTGTCTATATGGTTAATCTCATCGGTGCCTCTGGTATTAATAATCTTGAACAAACGCGATCCTAACTGAATATATGTTTGTAAACATTCGCTATACTTCTTGCTGTCATACAGTTTGAGTATGAGGCTATCGACAGATGACAACGTTAAGCAATGGAACGTGCTTGAATTAGTCATTAAGTAAATTTTGTTTTCTATTACATGAGCCATTGTGATGTTTGATAATTCATCGTTCCATAAAACAATGGATGCATTTATCGGGTCAATTATGTACAAACCATTTGACGTATAAGAGAATAGGTACTTTTTGTCAATTACAATAAGCTGTGAAAAATTTATCGACTGCGGTGGCCACTCTGCTTGTTTACTTTGAATAATTTTCGAATTGTATGGCCTGTAGACGTTCACAGGTGGGGTGGCCAGAGCTTCTTTGAATTGATGAGTTCTCGTAACGATTCCATTAGCTGTCACTTCCCAGAGTCTAGAACCTGGCCTCGCGCAATATATTTTAGCATGAGACACTGCTAGCGAGTTGCTTTCACCCTCTGATATTAAACTGAAGGAGCCCATTCGACTAAAGGTTTTTTTTTCTTCCGCTTGCGCTGGGTATATAATCTTCTCATTTTCATATCGAGTTTTGTAGAAACAGGCTCCAAATTCTCCATCCCTTGCTTTGTTGCCTATTTGCCTGTACTGTTCCTGTACGGTGTCGCACACATAGCAACGAGTTAACGTTGAAGTTAATAGTAGCGGAGCAGTAAAGTTCATTTGAACAATACTTGAGTCCAAGTTCATTAAAGAACAAGCGGGTGCTTGAAACATTCCATTTACCTGCACATAAAAAATCCCATTTTACACAACCTAGATGGGTATAACTTTAAAACGCTTCTTTATTTCCAGCCTCTTCAGAGAAAATAAAATGTACCGTAAATATAGAAAATACCATAATGGATATTTTGCCCGTCTCGTCCCCGATGTATAATTCCAAACTATTGTCGTTCCAGCAGAGGCAAGTCACCCGGACACCCGCATGCTCCGTGGATACCGCGACCAGCTTTGATGCCGTTGGTTTCAAGATAACGAGGCAAATGTTCCCATGAATCGTTGCCAATGCTATTTTTTTCTCATCAGGTGATATCAGTACACGGGAAATAGCTCCTTGCTAAAAATACCAACCAAATTAACAATCCAGAATGAAAATAAGAATATTGGTTTAACCGCTTTGCAGAAAATATATCCTACCGGAAGAGGTATCAGTTGCTGAAACGTACATAGCTCTCGTGAGAATAAATAAAGACTGCCACTGGTTGCACCTAAGACAATGTAGTTCTGCGAAACACTTAGGCATGTATACTGAAACAGGAAGGCAACAAAATTAAAATGCTTCAAAGCGTACCGAACAAGCCTGTCATGGTATTTTTGACGTATCTCTGGCTCGCTCACCGAAGCATAATATTATCGTTTCAATGCATTTAAGAGCTCACCTTAATGCGCTGGGTATCTCCGATGGGTCTATAAAGTAAATCGTTTATTTTCTCGCACTCTGAGAGCACAAGTTGATCTTTTTGCATAATCAAGGACTCACGTAGAGAACGGCGATTATAGGTTAGAAAAGGGTGGACGCAACTTCTCGCGCGAGTCCCGAAGCGAACTGTCAACCTGTACGGAAAAAAATAATCTTTATCGCACGTACGTGGTCGTTCGCTACGCTAAATTTGTTAATAAAAAATTATTCAACCTTTAAGAATCATTATTCGGTTACTCACCAAGGGTGGAACGACTAGGTTGGACTAGGCGATAAATTTGACGTCTGAACGCATTCGAGTGCCGTGCGTTTACGCAACTACATAGCAGCGCAGTCAGCTGGCGCGGGTAATTCAAACGTCGATATTTCGATATCCAGGGAAACTGCAACTAATGGGTAGATTAATTTTTACCACCTACCTTATGAAACGTAATATCCGAGGAAAACGAAATATCGATTGAAATATTTCTCGTCGAGGAAATAACGTCTATTAGAGCGAGGTTAATTCGTAGCCAAATGCACTTTTTCACCTATTTGCAACAGTTGCATAATATTGGTGAAAACGGTTGGCACGATTATCCTCGAGAGCTTTTCGAGGGTAACCCGAGCTAGACGATAACGACTCGTTCAATTAGCGTAATTAACGCCCATTGCCACTGTGCATCTACGATATTCCTCTTATATAACGTTCAAATTGAATAACATTTGCCACCATGCGTACTTCGCGCCTCCGCCATTTTCCTGACTCGTTGCGGAATATCTTCTTTTTCCATCGATACTCCAAGACAATGATCGCACAATGTAATTTAATCCTTAATTTATCTGTTCCAGATACAAATAAGCGAAGTGAAAAAAGGAAATTCGATCATCAGGGCCGACGCTAATATTGCGTCTACGAGTACATAATAATTTGCGATAACTTAAAAGGTAGGAGTAATAATATTAACGTGTATATGTCATTGGTCATAGGTGCAGGGGACTGCAGCAGTAGGGTAGAAAAATCTCGTCATAACAGCCGATAAATCATCGCCTTTCGGCTTTGCCGATCATTCCGGAATATCGAGTTCCGCCCTTGGCATAATCGCTCGAGTGACGATCAAGCGATGCTCTGCTAGACACTACGAAATCCCCATTATCCTTGGGCCCGAAAACCGGGCGAGGAACGTCGTACATGTTCTCCAGAGACCTACCACTCCGAAGAATCCCTACGAAATTCGAGTTTTCCTTAGATCCAGGAATAAGATTCCGATCCCAAGGACGACTTCGAGTCTGCGTCAATTGCCTGGTAATATTCTTCACCATGGAGGGCTTCACGACCGTGTTCTCCATTATAACGTCCTGTGCAGGACTCCGTCTCGATGCAAATCCACCCTCCTCTCGAGGATGTGAATTTCTTCCAGGAGAAGCGTCTTCCAACCCCGCCAGGGACCTCGATCTTCCCTTCACCCCGTACATTGGACGAACCGTGGCATTTTTTCCGGTAGCTGGTTCGGGGACGAAACTGGAGAACGACCTCGAAGACCGGATGTTGAAGCGGTCCTCTTCAGCCATCCAGGCCTCGCTCTTCAACAGGGCGGAATCGTTCCCCCTCAGGTGAGAGATTTCCTCCCGCAGGTCGTCGCACGACCTACTGATGGCTCCTAGCTTGTCCTTTTTAGATTTTCTCTCCTGCTTCCAGTGCATCATCGATGAGAAGAAGCTCCTGATCGACTTCCTGCGCGCCAGCTTCTTGCTCCCGGGGTCGAGGACGTTGCAGTCCCTGGGGTTCGAGCTCTCCCCGTACGCGTCGTACATCCTGGAGGACCTCTTGGTACGAGTGGCACTTACGTTTTCCTCATCCTTTTCCCTTAAGACCTGAGACTTGCGTCTCTCCAGGTCGACCCCGGTCCTGCAGTCCAGCGGCTCGAACGTGGACTCTTCGGTGCAGGAGGAAAGTCGCCGCATCGAAGTCGCTGGATAAGAAGAAAATCATATTTTAATAATTAATGAGAGGACACGCGGAAAGGTGTGTACGATGCACGAGCTATGCGCGATTAAACCTTTTTGCTCCGCACGGTGACTTTGGAAATTCGTGAGGAACTCGTCCTCGGCAGAGCAGACTCCGTCATTCTGGTTTCTTCTTTCCAGGGTGGCCATTAATTTCTTGACGAAGCTCCTAGAGCGAGGGGTCGCCGAGGACCTCGAGGAGTCCCAATTCTCGTCCTGGTCCCTGGTGGACCACGTCCCGGAGGTCAAGGGAGCGAGGTCTTGAAACTCTTCCCGAGGAGCACGGTTCCTTGGAAGGATTCGACCGACGTTGATGGATGGCGAGGATGTGGACGAGGATCTCGGCCGACTCCTGTAGTTCGGTCGAGGGATTTCTGCTATACGAAGGTCTGCTCTCATCCCGGACGGTCTTTCGCGACCTTCCATGGGGTCCTCCGCTCTCTTTCCTGTTCATCGTGGGTTGCGTCGTGATTTTCGCTCGATAAGGCTCCCGAGGAGAAACGGGCGAGATCGTTCGCCTCGGTAACTCACCTTCCGCGACTCGTTTCTCCGACTTTTCCCGGGTCACTTTCACCGGGAGTAGGCGTGAACCGCAAACCTCACTACGGCTAGATCCAGGCGGAAATGTGTAAGACCACCTCGGGGATCGATGGATCACTGCGAAGAGTCGGCTCTTCCTTGACCAGAAGCCTTCGATCCTCCGACAAGGTCCCCTCTATGCCGAATTTGCGAGTCCGAGAGTTTGTACACACGACTCGACCCTTCGGCAATTTCAAAATTGCGCCAATCGCGAGAGGAACCGTTCCACCTGCCTGTCGTTCATTACTTCTCGCAGATTTTTCGCTGGGAAACGTAACAGAGGGAGCAAGGAAAGTCATTGCCTCGGAAATAAATGCGCTCCTCATGGCAGAGGTGTACTTTCATTTCTTGGGCTATGGCATTTCTCGAGGGACTGTCGAGCAATTGGCTACACGTAATAGACGCGTTTATTTTTTTCTTTCCATTTTTTTATACGGTTTAGAAATTTCTAATCGATGTCGAATCGTTTCCTTGGTTTCACATTCTCCCCGCGCGAATTTACGGACCGTGAGGTGTTACATACTCATGGGTGCACGCAATCCAATATCTTATAGGAAAATATTGGAACACGTGGGGAAACGAAGAGAGAGAGGTTGTACGCTTCGTTAGAATATAATTATATTTATTAGTAAAATTTATTATAAAAAAAAGGAGTACATGTATACGTACGATAATTATGGCCCGACTTTATATAAAAAATTTACGACACGAGCGATCTCGTGCCGAGTCATACCGAGTCATACCGTCGCGTAACATCGTCGTGTAACTTGCGGAGAGGTCGAGTTGACGTCGGAATCGAATGTAAAGAAAATCGTTGGAAAGGAATAGGAGAACTCTCAGATGACGAAGGTACGCTGCTCCCGGGGGGCGAAACGGTTCCTGTAGAGGTAGCGAGTTTCGGGGAAGGCGGGTTTCCGAGGGGAATCCTCGACCTCGGTTCCGCTGTTACAGTAATAGCTTCCCGATTTGTCAGAGATGGAGGAGATGCTGGTGGACTTGTCGGAGTACCCGGAGTCGAGGACGGCGGCCTCCTCGATGCGGTAGAGCCGCTTGCCGATGTCGCTCCTCATCTTGGCATAGGTCATTCCCCAGGGGGATCCCAACGGGGATGATCGTCCCGACGGCCGTCTTCTCGACTCCAGGATGGGGCTGACGCACGGAATCGGAGTCGCCTTCTCGGGTGCCACGCTCAGCAGCGAGCTACTCCTCGGCAAGCTCAACTTCGGCATGACGATCCAGAAGACGGAGTCGTCGTTCTTGTCGACGAAAGACTCCCGCTCCTCGCAGTTCGAGCTGGCTTCCTCGTAAAAGCTGGAAAACTCTGTGGCTCGCTCGTCGACGACTCCCCAGGTCGGCCGATGATCGGAGTCGCTGCCGGTATCGGAGCCCTGGGTGGAGATGGACGTGGAGGACGCGGCGGATCCAGGATCCGTGGTCGTAGACTCGTCGGCGACGTTGAGGTCCTCCTGGTCGGTCCCTTCTTCTTCTTCCTTGGGTAAGTGGCCACTTTCCAGGGCGAGCACCCGCTTCCTGACGAGACTCTGCGAGACGTGGGGAAAAGGCTTGACGGACTTCGCGGCATCGGCGGAGATCTTCGCGTTCAGCTCCTCGATGATCTTCCGGACCATTCCGTTACCGAAATTTGGACCGTGCTTCGACTTGACGACGCCCTGGGGCTCCGTAGACTTGGTGCTCGAAGGGAGAAATTTGGTGTCTGGTGACGGGGCCGCCACCTCATTTTTGGAGTTTTTTGACGAGGCCGAAGAAGACGAGGACGAAGAAGCCGACGAGGACGACGATCTCGGGATGGCCCTTTTATACAAGTGGCAGTCGCAGCCCGAGGTCGTCGAGACTGGCCCCGAAGTAGACCCTGGAGGGCGGACGTCGAACGACTTCGGGTACCAGGAGGGATATCCCTTCGGGGAAGGGCTCCTGGAAGAAACAATCGGTGAACGCGATTGCGGGCGATTCATCTCTCTCTCTTCCGTGGTTCCTTCGGCCGAGGAGCTGTCGGACTCTGGAGGAAGAATCACTTTGCGAAAGTCACTGTCCGAGTAGGCATCCGACGAGCAGGGTGACGGAGATCGAGATCCCAAGTAGTCGAGGCGAACCCGTCTCCCGTCGATGACCGTCCAGATCGGAGAGTCGCCGTCCGTGTCCGAGGAGCTCACGGACCAGGAACGGCAATTGCCTCTTCGACGAATGTCCGCCTGGCAGACCTTGCACCTGGAGGCCTCTATCAGGTTCACGGCCATTATTCTGTTTTGGCTCACCCACATCGAATACTCTCCGCGCTGCGATATCGGGATCACCTCGCAGACCGGAGCCGGAGAAGGATCCGCTGGTTTCTTCGGGGTGGACACCGCCGGGACCTCGAAACTCCGGTTCACGTAATCCAGCTGACGCGACCTGGAGCAGTGTTCCTCCCTCGTCGGAGACGCCGGCGGAGGCCTCGGTGGAGATGTCGGCGGAGGTCTCAGCGGAGATCTCGGACGGAAATCCTCGCATTTCGAGCACTTCTCCGGATCCTTAGATTGCTCCTGAACGTTCTTCGGACCTTCGTCCAATAGGAAGGTCTCCTCCAGGACCTGTCCGCCAGCTTCTTTCTCCAGGGTCTTCTCAATTTCGGAGTCCATCTCCTTCGAGACCTTGGGCTTAGAATTTGCCGGGGGGAATACGAGGTTGATGTTCTGAATTTTCCGCGAGGGCGATACCTTGGGGAAGGTCTTGTTGATGACGTTGTACAACTTCGACTTCGGGGTTTGACTTCCGCTCTTCCGTTTGCTTTTAGGGCTGTTCTTCGGGGAGGCGCGGGCTTGGCTCTTCGACGAACCCGGGGTCGGGATCGTCTCACTTCTTGGGGGATCCTTGGGCAGACCTCGTTCGGGTCGAGGAGATTCCGCCAACCCCCAGGATCTCTCCTCGGCTTTCCGTTCTTCCTTCGTATCCCCAGAGACCTTGGGCATGCCTAAAAAAATCATTTAGGTAATTAGTTTATTTTTCCAATTAAAAAAAGAAAAATGTATGCGCACAAAATGTCGCTTTTCTTTTCTCGATTTCTCACCTGATGGATGCTTGGATGCCAGAATGGGATTATTCGTCGGACTTTTCGACCCGGAGGCCACCTTCCAAGGAGCCGGACGGGACTCGATCGGCGTGGCATTCGACAGGATCTTCGGAGGTTCCGAACTCTTATTCAAATACCAATCAGGGATCGAAAGCTTCTGCAGCGATTGCTGCACCTTCACCTCCGCCTCGGTAAGCTGCCTCTCTGGCTATAATTTAATACATCATTTCGCTTACGCACATCACATTTATGTAATTCATCTTATTAAATTATATATATATTTTTTATTTATTAATACTTTAGAACGCCGCAAGGACTCGTAGGCTGGACCCGAAGGAGAGGAGATTCGACTTAGAGGATTCCCGAAAATCGCGTCATTCCTCTCACGCAAAGTTCTCCCGGATGAATCGCCGTTCATGATTTCGTAACCGAGGTCAATCCCCGGGAGATGATTTCCAATGTCGGTGAACCGAAGAGTGGTCCAGGGTCAAGCGCGGAATCGCTCTCCACTGTCAAGGTTGACCATGCGAAAGTCGACATCCGTCGTAACTCTACGAGTCTCGTCAATGACTCTCGTCAATGAGTTAACAAGAGTCAATAGCCCGCGGCCGATGATCGTTCGCTTTCAAAACCGAGTAGACACGTTGTACCGAGACGGCAATTAATCTATCCCGTCCTCCGGAGGACAACGATGCGCCTTCCCTCGCGTTAATTTAAAAGTCCAGATATTTCCCCTGCTATTTTGAAACTTCACTCCCTCGCGTTCGAGACCTTTTGCCGACGACTGATTGATACGCTTTTATTCCCGAACACTGGATTTTTATTTTACTCTTTTTTTTATAATTTTTTTCTTTCGTTTCCGTAGATCGGTTCTCACCTTCGATGGATTCTTTTTCCACAGCATGTTGCGTTGGATCCACTCCGTCGACATCAAGGGCGAGGAAGAAGACAAACAGGTGGACGTAGGCGAGAATGAAACTTTGAGGAAAATCTTCACTTTGCCAAACTTATCGACGAGTTGCGCTTCTCTGCAGTCAGTTAACCCCGCACGGTCAAGGACTCGCTCCAAAGTGCCGAAATACGAATGCGTGTCCAGGGGGTGGTTAGCGAATTTTAAACGGCTTGGAGGGAGTGGGGCAACTACCTCTGACGTTTGCAAATTCAGCCAATCGCAAGACACCTTGCATTTAATCCCGAGTACCGTTCCGTACCCCCGAGTACTTGCAGGTACCTCTACCCCTGGGTAGAAAATCCCCAACGCAGGGGCTCAACGACCCCGGGCTAGGTGGGAGAACCACCCCAATTGTCTGGACAATCTCCCCCGCGTGTAAACATCATTTTGACGAAATTCTAAATCCCTTGTATTATTTGCAAAAATCTGAAAATACAGCCTGACGCCAAGATTTCCAGGTTGACGTTCTCGCGGGAAGTTTCTCTCGGCAAGAGCGAGTCCTCGAGGAGATGATTTATTCGATGCAATATCTTAATGATATAACTAATATCCTAATGATAAATAATTTTTTTACGAGGTGGAAGAGCTTTACCCGACCGCCGGAAAGAATGCCCGTCCGATGCCTCGAGTGATTTGAACGCTGGAGAAGACGCATCGATTTCCCAGATTTATTCCCCGCGAGGACCAGAGGGGGAGGACGACTTTTAAGGAAACGTCGAATTCCCCGGATCGCTCGCGGGTCGTAAGGAAATAAGCCTGTCATAATTCTGCAAGGGATAATCCTCCACGTTGAGGGAAAGAATGGAACCGCTGCTCCCAGGAAACGCTACTTACCCTCGGCGTTACCCTCGGTACGAGGTGTAATTGCTTCCAGGAAAGCCGAATAAGGCTGTTTTCGGCTTTGCCAGGACTTCCAGGGAAGGGAGGAGAGGGAAATACATTTATTACTCCCGTTTGGCCGAATATGCTCGAGGGCTTCGCAAGTATATCCTCGGAGCCTCTTTTCTTTTCGTCGATGCTCCGTGCCGGGATTTACGATTTCGTTGGCCCCCCTGACCCCGTTTGTCGGCAACCAACCACCCAGAGAAGTTTCACATGCGAAATTATGACCGGGTATTTTCCAGCCGACCAGAACGACCACGTCGTCCTCGAAAGGTGTCTTCACCCTTGATTTCGAAAGAGGCCGCTTTCTTGGATTTCCCCTCGTACGGAATTTCCCTATCCAGCCGAAACCCAGAGGTAACGTAAATTCATTACCATCCGGGGAAAGCTAAGGACGGGAAAACCGATATTAATTTCTTCTTCCCATGGGCAGCTAATCGAAGAAAATGGCTTCGCTCTTTGGGGCAGGACAACCGGAAGCAGCTAACGACCGTCGCCATTAGGTGTAATCGTTTGAATACGTCGTTTAATGTCCGGATAGGGCTTCCACTCGTCGGAATCGTGCCAGAAGGGAGAAGAAAAGAAGAGGAGACGAGGTTTTGGGAAAATCGGAAAAGCGGCCAGCGGAGAGGCGCGAGGCGGGCATTGAAATCTCCGCGAGTCGACGCAGAGGTGGAAGGAGGCTCCGATATATGGTGGGGGATCGGCTATCGACCTCCTTCCCGGTCGCGGATGTGCTTTTTGTCAGTGGGTAGCGTACCCTAGTGAAGCGGAGTCGCGTCGAGTGGCCCACCCCGAGGAGTACCTCCCCGGCGCGATGAGGATCCAGGCCAGGTACCGAGTATAGTGCCCTATGATAACGGGAACCGATTACCTGGGACCGTACTCGTTATTGCGGCTCGGCCCTTTCAAATTGTCACTTCCCCGACCCCTCGGCAGGTATTCGTTCGGTCGCGACCGAGGAAATCGAGGAACTCTAGGAGGACCCCGATGGGCGAAAGGGGTCGTCGGGAAAAAATGGCCAGGTGCCCGAGTACTCCGAAGCGAAAGTTATCGGCGCCCCCCGGGGGCACGCGCATTGTAAACGAAGCGTTTCATACGCGTTTTATACGCGTTTTATATGCGTTTTATATGCGTTTGGTGGAGAAGAGAATTTGACAAGGACTCGTCCTTTGCAGGATCGGCCACCTGTTGCGTCCGAGTCGGAGCACCCTTCGACGGGGAAGGGAACTCTACACGGAGGCGATCACCCCTGCGACGAGTTTGGAGGCGAGAATCGCCTCCTCGGATGCGAAACCGTACGCCGAGGTCCCGGGTCCCTGTCCCGTTCCCATCCTGGGGAACTCCTGGAGACTCTTCCCGGTTATCGGCCAGTACACCATCTCCGACACGGCCAAGATCTGCGGGGTCTTCTACGAGGAGTACGGGAAGATCGTCAAGCTGACCGGTCTGATCGGGAGACCCGACCTGCTCTTCGTCTACGATGCCGACGAGATCGAGAGGGTGTACCGACAGGAAGGACCCACGCCCTTCAGGCCCTCCATGCCCTGTCTCGTGCAGTACAAGAGTCAAGTCAGGAAGGACTTTTTCGGAGACCTGAAAGGGGTCGTCGGAGTGTAAGCCCTTATTCCATTCTCTCCGTGTACCAGGGTGTTCTCGAAGGCGTCATCTAGGCGACCGGAGCCGGAAAGGACACCCGTAATAACGCAATTCCGGTATTTCAGGCACGGGGAATCCTGGAGGGAATTTCGGACACGCGTCCAGAAACCCGTTCTCCAGCCTCAGACGGTCAGGAAGTACATAGCTCCGATCGAGGTGGTTACGAGGGACTTTATGCACAGGTAATTAGGTACCACCGACTGCGTAACGAGCTCGACCACCCTCCCGATCACCGGATATCTTTATTTCCTTCGAACAGGATCGAGGAAATAAAGGCGGAGGACGACGAGGTGCCGGGGGACTTCGACAACGAGGTCCACAAGTGGGCCCTCGAGTGTGAGCACGTGCATCTTAATGCCCCTTCGGTGCAGCTGGCCCTTAGGATCCTGAACTCGGTCGCATCCTTTAACGCGAACCTCGAGGACACCGTCGAGATATTAAATCCTGCCGGTTCCTCGCGTGTTACTGCATATGCTCTCTAAATTCATAATGTAGACCAGGTCGGTGAAAACTAAAGGCTCCCAGTTGAAGCTAGCTGCACCGGTTCCCTTAACGCGAGGCGCCGTCGAGGTCCGTCCCGACGTGCTTATGTTCCTAAATATCAATAATTTAAGGAAATGGGTATATGGATTTTCTCGTTAACAGGCATCGGTCTGGTGGCTCTCGACGTGAGGCTCGGATGCCTGGGGAGAGATTTGTCCCCGGATTCGGAACCCCAGAAGATCATCGATGCCGCCAAGTACGCCCTGAGGAACGTCGCCGTTTTGGAATTGAAGGCGCCCTACTGGAGGTACATCAGGACTCCACTCTGGACCCGATACGTCCGCAACATGGATTACTTCGTTGAGTAAGAGACTCCTTTCGACGTAGGAAGGATCGTTAGGTCCGTCCAGGTTGGTTCGATTAAATGACCCTCCTTGGGCATTGCGAAACAGGATATGCACGAAACACATCGACGTAGCGATGGAGAGGCTCAAGAAGAAGAAAGCCGTCGACGAGATGGACCTCTCCTTGGTCGAGCGAATCCTGGCGAACGAGTCCGATCCAAAAATCGCCTACATCCTTGCCCTGGATTTGATCTTAGTCGGCATAGACACGGTACCGCGTCTTCCGTTGCCAATTATCTTTCCTTCCGTTGATATTCTCGTATCCTCGTTAAGAACGGGTCGAATTAATTTTTCTAGATCTCGATGGCCATCTGCTCGATCCTGTACCAATTGGCGAGTCGACCCGAGGAGCAGGAGAAGGTCTACCAGGAACTGCGAGAGGTCATTCCCGACCCCTCGACTCCTCTCACGACGGCACATCTCGACCGAGCGATTTACATGAGAGCTTTCATCCGGGAAGTATTTAGGTCGGTTTCACCGAGGTATCCTCCTATCTTTTATCGGTACATTGTTTCCAATTAATATTCCGCAGAAGACGCACGTCGCGACGCCGGTTAGGACGGTCTGGCAGCTATCTCCGGGTCATTCGGAGTTCGTCCACGTACTCTCGGTTACGCTTGCGATCGAACTCGCTCCTAAAAAATTTCTCTCGTTTAATTTGCATCCGAGCCCATTGTTTCTTTTTTTCTTCTTTCTTTCCTCGTGGGAACGCAAATTCTTTCTGCGCGTGTATATATGTAAATTTCTTTTTGACAATGACTTTCGCAGAGTCTACTCCACCGTCATCGGGAACGGGAGGACTCTCCAGAAGGACACCGTCATTTGCGGTTACAAGATACCAAAAGGAGTAAGAGCGGATCTTTTTTATGCCGTTTCCTTATTATTCATTTATTATTAGGACAAGTTGATATACCGAGTCCTTAGGTGCAGGTCGTCTTCCCGACTCTCGTCACGGGGAACATGGAGGAGTACGTGACCGACGCCAAAACGTTCAAGCCTTCGAGGTGGCTCACCAAGGAAACCGCCAACCAGAAGATCCATCCCTTTGCTTCGCTTCCTTATGGCTACGGAGCTCGCATGTGTCTGGGAAGGAGGTTTGCCGACCTGGAGATGCAAGTTCTACTTGCGAAGGTAGTCCCTGGATATTCTCTGTCATCCCTTAGGAAGTAAATTTAATCGTCCCATTTTTTTTTCCAGCTGATCCGTACGTACAAATTGGAGTACCATCATGAGCCTTTGAAGTACAAGGTCACGTTTATGTACGCTCCTGATGGCGATCTGAAGTTGAAGTTAATTAAAAGATAATTACCTCCTTGTCCATGGGAGCGAGTACAAATGTAACCCGATAGAAATTTATCATTTACGTCTCCACCGCATGTACGCGGACCGTGTAATAAATGAGTAGTCTATTCCTTCCGTTTTTTGTTCCTATTTTACATCGAGTAATATTTCCCCCAGCCCTGTGAACGGTGAGTAGGGAAGAATCATCCGAAAATTAAGAATGTATTGTTCCGTTCATCTGTCGATAAATTTAATTCTTAAGGGCCCCTTCGGGGTGTACATTGGGTGAATGTGGTATTCCAGCTTCTCGTGATGATATTCCAGTCGGTATGCCTGTACGATCTGGAACAAAGGATAGAGGGAGTAAGAATGAGAAGTACGCGTGCGAGGGTATGAAAGAGAAAGACAATGTCTCTCCACGAGAGAACGAGTCCATTCTTCTTATCCAGGCACCGAGTCCGCCCGCAAGATGACTCTAATTAGGGTTGGCGGAACCTCGTACCTCTACCCTCGTTTCTTTTGTTTTAACTCGAGATATAACGTTCCGACATATTAATTTCATAACTCCTAGCGGTACGATTTGCCCACCTTGCTGACGACTACTGATATTTCGAGGTCGGCGAAGCGTTTGCCCAGGCACATGCGTTTCCCAAATCCGAAAGGCAGCGAAGCGAATGCGTGTCGTACCCCCTTCCGGGTCAGCCATCGTTCCGGAAGAAATTCGTTACACCGAGGGAAATACCTCTCCTGGTTGCTGATCGCGTAATGCTGAAAGACGACCTGCACCTGCCGGAGGAAAATTCAAATCAATACGAGACGCAAGATACGCAACTCCAAGAACGATCCCTACTTACACCTTTGGGAACCTTGAAACCTCCGATGGTGGTGTCCCTGGTCACGCAGCGCCCGTTTCCTATCACCACTGGATACATCCTAACCGAGTACATTTTTTTATTATTTTTTTAAACAATATTTGAGAAATGACAACGGGACGTGAATCGTTTGAGTCCCACCTGAGAGTCTCCTTGACGCAGGCCTTGAGGTACCTCATGTTCTCCAGGTGGCTGGCCTCGATTCCCTGGTCCCCGGGTGGAAGGGTGCTAAGCACCTCTTCTCGCAGGAGGTCCTGCTTCTCAGGATGCTGGGCGAGCTGGTAAAGCACGGACGCCACGGCGTTCGAGGTCTACAAGGTAGGTCATGGCATAATTATATTTTCTATACTTTTATCATGGAACCTGGGGAATCGGCCAATTACCGTATCGATTCCAACGAGGAACAAATCGAGGGCGAGGGTGGACGCGAGTTTCCGGTTCCCTTCGATGGCCAGGACTCGCTCCAGAAGCGAGGGCTCCTTGTTCTCCGGGTTTGACTGGGATCGTAATCTCGAGAGCGCTTCTTCGGTGTACTTAGCAGTTATGCTTAGGGTAGGTCGGGACTGATTAATAAATGCGAGAACACAAATCGGGGTTGGTAACGGAGGAGTGAAGTTACCTGACGATCGTGTCCAGGGCGTCGACGTACTTCCGCCAAGTCGGCGTGTTGAAGAGCCTCCAGAAAGGGACCTTGAGCTCGAGGACCGGGACATTTTTGAAAAACGTGCTGATGGAGTCGATCAATCTCTGGGTTTCGGGATTCGCGTCCTCGTCGAGACATCCCAACCTGACGTCCAGGGCTACGCGAGCGATGGCTGGGGGAAAGATAATCATTTTAATCATTCTTTATCTCGTTAGGTTCGCTTTGTCGTAAACTCGTGCCCTGCTCACATTCGAGGGACCACTTGTGGATTTCGTTGAGAAAGTCGTCCGGAGCCTCTCCCTTCTCGTTCCTTATGTTCCTCACTCTGAAACGGGATAACGTAGGTATTATTTATTATTTATTATTTCAAGTTAACTATAGGTAATCCGTGCAATTGGTCCTTTTGAGTACCGTGGAACGCGATGCATTTCTTGCCGCATAGGAGCGTTTCCTGCCGCAAATGGATCCCTTCGCCGTGCATAATTGAAACCGCACAGAGAAAATGCCGAGCGGGCAATTGCATGGAGAGAGAGAGAGAGAGAGCGACTAAAATTACCGATCATTACGAGGATTATCTCGAGTTACCTTCGAACAAAGGCCAGGCTCGCCTCCTCTATGGCTCCCAGGTACATTCTCGCCGTTCTCGGTTGGAGCATCACCTGTTGCACCTTGCTGCGAAAATCGTACCAGCTTTCCCCGTGACTGAAAAGTGAAAAGGGTGAGAAAATGAGGGAAAATAAGAAGCGCATCGGATGGAAGAAAGTATTCTCGGGACTTTTCAGACTTCTCGCACTATTTGCCCTCTCTTGCCAAGCGTGACTGCACGCACGTGTCCACCTGTACGCATTAGCGCGCATGTCTAAACGAGACACCTCCGGCGGATAATTACACGGTGGAAAGTACACCGAGATTCCACATTTCAATTATTCGAAGCAACCACTCGGGGACAATTTCATGATTTCATAATAATTTCCCTTCCAGGTATTCACACGACGGCGCGTTCTTTTTTTTTTTCTTCTCGTTGCATCGCCGATTGCCATCGTTCGAGTCCTAGGGAAAGAAAATTAATTACGGATTCTCTTGAAATTTGGTACATGCATCCGGGGGAATTTTTTACATCCGACCTTGGCTGAATTATAGACTTTGCGGGGCATTTCCACGTCGTGCACGAACGGTAATAACGCGAGTCGAGGGTGTTACGACACGACGCTTTTCCGCTGGAATAATGAAACTTCCATTTCGTGAGAACGCGTCCGAGGATTACGATATCTGGATAATTTTGGAAGACACTTGCGCCCTGTTAAGCCTCGGCTTTACGAGCGACGAGAACGGCTCGGATGGAGTAATTCCCTCGCATCTGCGGAAGGAGAAGAGAAATCCGCCTCTACAAAAAGGCTGGCCATTTTTACGGGCTATTATTTCGCCGGCGACCGCGGCCTCGAGAGCTCGAGCTCCCTGCGAAAGTGGATTAACGGCGAGAGGGAAAAAAAAGAGGGAAAGGTCGCCCGAGAGGCCGACGAAGCTCCGGAAGATGTTCGTTAATTCGAGATTCCTAAATTTCTAATCGATGATAGGGTAGTTAACGTCATATAAATTTCATGAAAGGGATGATAGGGTAATTAACGTCAAATAAATTTCTAATCGATGATAGGGTAATTAACGTCATAATGCCGCGATTGCTCACACTGCAATGACACCGGGGCTCTCTCGAAAGAGATCCTTTCGCAAAACGTGCTTGTAGTACTCGAGGGAAGGCATGGAGGGTCGGTGAGGCATCCTGTCCTCTCTCCGGATGATCCTCTCGATCTCATCTGCGTCATAAACGAAGACCATGTCCGGTCTTCCCAGGAGACCTTCGATTTTTACGACGTCCCCGTACAGAGCGTACAGACGTTTCGACACCTTGTCCACCTCCTCGATTTTGAAGTCCCCTAGAAAATCGGAAACAATTAGAGACTTCCATTTTCTGGGCTTAATTATTTTTTCCTATACCGTACCTATGTATGGGATGAATCTCCAGGTGTTTCCCAAGAGCGGGATCGGCCTCGGTCCTGGAATCTCGGCGTAGGGACGAATTCGGGACGTCTCCACGGGTTCGATTTCCCTGGCGAGGGTCTCCAAGGTCCTCAGCATCCGGCGGATGTTTGTCTTCGCCAAATAACCGGGGATGATCCCGAGGAGCGACATGCCTGAAAATCTCTCGTAATGTTATCATTCTTATCCCTCTCCTTGCCAGAATCGGGGAAAGAGAGTCTTTACCGAGAAGTGCGAACGAAACCGGAAGAGCTCGATAAGGATCGGGGACTCGTGCGGCCTTTGCCGGAGCGAGGAGTCAAAAGTTTGGTCAAACGTTAAAGATATGCAAACGATCCACGTGTCTCTCCTTCCCGGGCGGGCCGGCTTTCCCGGGGATCTCGCAAGATTTTCGAGGAACGCCATTCCGGGGATAGTGCCTCGTCATGGCCCCTCGATATGCAAAACGAACGTTTAATGAACATTCGATCTGGCCCCTTCGCCGGATTTCAATCGGTCCGCTCCGAAAGATGAATTATTCAAGAGGCGCTTGTATCGCTTCCTTTGGTCGCGACTTTTTTCAAAGTGTCCCCGATAAAAGGGAAATAAAATTCACCAGGTCTGGCGAGATCCCGGGGATGGATTTCCACGGGGGAAATGGAGCCGGGGAAATTTTCGGAAATTTTTTAAACGTCCTTCCGGTGGAGTTGCGCTCGTCGTCCGAGTTACCGATCCTTTTCGGATGTCGACGGTCACCAATGGAGCTCCGAGTGAAAACAAGGCGTGACCACGAAAGAAAGGTTTTCACGTAACGCCTGGACACGCTCGGTGACCGATGGTTTAGCATTCTTTTATTTCGGGACGATCGACCACGTGTCACCGCGCTTTCTCGCGGTCTCTCTCTCTCTCGAGCACGCACGCCGAGCCACGCGTACCCGATGCGCGATTTCGCCCCCCACGTGCCGACTACCAAAGGGTAGCTGATGCTTTCCTAATTATTAAACCGTGCTAAAGTCCTCGGACGGTCGTTTTACCCAAGTTTCACTCCGACTTAACGCCTCCAATTATACCGAAGCACGGGGCATAACGAAGAGCAAGTTCTTGGAGGCGGTACCAAGATAATTAGTTAGACGATACGAACTTTCGTCCCCTCGAGAGATTTCACATTAATTTTATATCGTTCCCCGCAAATCTTATAAACTAATTTTTCGCGGACCCGCGGCTTTGACGAATCATCGTGAGTCGATTTTAATTCCTTTTCTCGGTCGTTCTGGGTGTTAGAAGTATATGTAAAAGTTGAGGACGGTTGACGGAAGACGATCGTCTTCCAGGTCGACGGGTGTACCGATTTTTTTTAATACCCGACGAACCTGCGGTGTACTCGTCAAAGCCATTTGCCCGGTGTCACGGATTCACTTCCTTCACTTACTGACTACGCTATTACGCGGATCAATTAGATCGATTTGCATCGATCTTTTTATACGCACTTTTAAGTTAAGACCGGCGAGAATAGGTGACAGGATACTTCTGGTCTTCCGGGCGTTCGTTCTCTCGGCGAAGCGAACGAAAGCAGGAGTTTTGCGAGGTGGGGATCTGGAGGAGAGAAGGGCAACGATCAGGGATTTTTTCGAGACGATGAAATGAACGGCAATTTTTCTTTCTTTTTTCTTTCTTTCTTAGATTATAAATATCGCTAGTGGCCACGATTTTTGTACAGCACGAGAACGGCATAATGGTACACATTTAATGTGAGATCTAAATTTCATACCACTTGGATTTTGTTTGCGGAACAGCATTTAACTGTGACTTATACTTGCTCACGAGCTTGGTGAAATTGACCTCGTTCGGGTCTGCCTTCTTGAAACCGCGTTTCGGCTGGAAAGAAAAAAAGAAAATTACAATTTGTGCGCGTTACTAAAACGATGCGACGTACAGGATGAGAATGAAGAAATTACCTTGACGGTTCTTCTTGCTTCGCGCTCTTCTTTCCTCCGCTCCTGCATCCTCTTGACGACTTTCGTCTTCTTTCTCTCCTTCTTGAGAGTCTCCTTATGCAGGAGTGCCTGTTCCTTTCGGCGAAATTTAGATCGCATTTTAATTTCACCGGGTTTACTCGTTAGGCCTACGTACGATTTTCCGTCACTTCTTTTTTTACTTTCAATCTTTGCCTTCTTAGAGACATTGCCTGGCCAGTTTGGATTTCGCTCGCGACTTTTTTCGACTCTTTTCTGCTTGGCGTTTACCATTACTCGATTCTCTATCGAGAAAGCAACTATGGGTCTCTGTGAATATTTAAAAAAAAAAATCGTTAATCTTCTCAAGTAATAAATATAAGGAAGTGCCAAGCGAACTGCATCTCACCTTATGTTTACCAAATACATTTGGATTATTATTGATGCTCCTTAAAGCTTTCAGTGCGTCCTCGTGGCTAGTGAACGTTACAAATCCGTACTCTTTCGATTTTCCTACTCCGTTTTCGTCCACATTTTTCATATCTCTCATAACCCTCGCCTTTAAGGAAAAAAAAAACAAAATGTTTCTATATTGCCGAAGATGTTGCTGTGTATTGTAAAGCGAGGAAATGAAATCGATTACCTCTGTGATCACAGCTTTGGGACTGCTATGATTTTTTAACAACTGCCTTAGTTTTGCATCGTCAAGAGTAGGAGGTAAATTATGTATGACCAGTCTGATTCTGGAAACGAACATATTTAGATTTCGCAACATCTGAGATTTCCACTGCTCCATTTGAAGTCTTCGAGCCATGTCGGTTGCAGAAACTCCTTCGGCAGCTGGACTGCCAGCGAGTATAACTGGTAGTAATATAAAAATAAATAATTATTTCGTTAAAGGATTTTTACTATCCCGTAACTGCAAAGAGAACTTACCTCCTTCCTTGACGAGATATAAATTTCGCGTATCTTTTATTCTCCGCTCCTTTAAACTTTTTTTTTCTTGAATTTCGTTCCTTGGCAGTGCTCTGTAAGGATCGAGAATTTGATCGTGCAATCGCAGCTCCGTTCCCGCTAATAAACATTTCTCAGCATCCTCAACATTCTAAAATGAAAGAAATCCGTTATTTGTTATAAATATTAATTAAAGAAAAGTGTATTATTTCCATAGTAACGATTGTCAACCTGAAATTTAACAAAAGCTGTCCCTTTGGAGTGTTCCGTTAAAGGATCCATACATATCAAAGCATAATTTACAGGACCAAATTGTTCCATGCATCGTCGAAGATCATCGTCTTTTGCTGAGAAAGGGACATTTTTTATGAATACTGTCCGTCCTTCTATAACGTCGTTAGATTTTTTTCGAGGTGCTTCCGTTATTTCCTCTTCTTCTTCTACTCCTACTTCTTCTTCTTCTTCTTTCTTTTCTTCAATGTTATCTTCACTAGCATCAGAAATATTTTCATTTTTCATAGATTCGTCACTCTCATCTTGGTCTACCATTTCAGTTTTTGACATGCAGTCATCGATGTCATTTTCTTCCTCACCTGAAGAACTTAAGTTCTCTCCGCATGATTTATTCAATTCTTCATTTTCCTCGTTATCATTCCATTCTTTGGAGAGATCCTGAGTCTCTTCTTCCTCTTTTATTTCTGTTTTAACGTCATTCTCGGTAGGTTCTTGTTTAACATCTGCACTATATTTAGTTTTTGATACAGCCCAATCAACCACGATCGGCCTTCCAAACAAAGGCTGTAAATTTTCATAATGAAGTGCCTGTGCAGCACTTTGAACTCGCTCAAACTCAACAAATCCACAACCAATATGTTTTCCATCAGGCCTTGTTAAAATTTTAACATCTTTGATATTACCATACTTTGCAAATTGTAGTTTCAAAATATCTTCAGTCATCTAAAATGATATCATATTATGTTTTACAAATTAAATTCTTACATGTATTAATTGAGAATGCAGAACATTATTTTATTGAAAATAATACCTCAAACGATAAATTTCTTATTATAAGTCTTGCACGTCTTTTACTCTTCTTGCGATCTCTTGTCCCTCTATCTTTCTTTTTCACTATTTGCAAGTCTTCTTTAACAGACTCTTCTTTCTGAATGTCTGTGGTTTTTACCGTTGAAGCATCATTTGCCGTCTCTTCGACGTCTTCTGTAACAGCGAAATTCTCTTCATCTTTTATTTCGTTTTTCTGAAGAAATTTATCTTTTGGAATGGACCAGTCAACACTAATTGGTCTACCTGGAATTGAAAACAAAATTTCATATTTACGAAACTATAAGTGAATTAACTTTTATAATGGTAACGGTCAATGAAAAATATTTTGGTAGAAAAATCTTACCAAGGAAATTCTTTTTATTTGTATTATATATGGCTCTTGATGCCTCTTCTACGCGTTTAAATTGTACAAAGCCACAACCAACTAGCCTTCCATTGGGATGCCTCAACAAATTTACTTCTTCTAGTTCGCCATACTCTTTATATAATTTTTTGACATCTTCTTCCGTGGCCTATTAATTTAATGACACAATTTTAAATAAGAACTGACAGGATACAGTAACCTTATATCGGAAATATTGTACTCATACATACAGTGAAGGGAATGTTGCGAACAATAATTCGCGCCTTTTTATTCTGTATCTGTACATTGTTATCCTCGTTGGTATCGTTTTTAACAATTTTTCCTGCTTTCTTTTTCTGTCGATATATCCATGACAACTTCTTCGTCTGGTTCCGCGGCCCTTCATAAAAACAGAAATACCGAGTTTCCCAATGAAATCAACAAATTCATTAAAACATACTGAATCGGAATTAACATATAATTTCAACTTTACCCTTTTCTCTTGCCATGGAGAAACGTTACAATTTTCTTGCAATTCAAGTTAAAGTATAATTCAATTCTCGCATGTGATGATCAATAACTATAATGAATTATTAACAAGAATAATAATTTAGCATCTTTTCCTCCTCTATAAAATACTATTTTCGAGTTTGTAACAATTCCTACACGCGGAAATTCTCGCAAACATGTCGCAGGAAACCCGAAACCTAAAATAAGAAGAAGAAACCGTCATGCCCTATGATTCCCAGCTATGCACAGCCACTGTCACCTAACGGCCTCTAATAGAACTATTGCAGAATTAAAATGCACATGCTTCACATAGACACCGTCTTCAAGATGAAATCCAGAAAAGGGAATCACCCAGCCCGTGAGCAATCTCCCAACTCATCTCTGGGGAAATCAATTCTCGAATTTCTGCGAAAATGCATACGTATTAATTATCCACGCTCTCCAATTTTAAGGTTTATTCGCATTGTATGTACAGTTCGAAATTACTTAAATACTGTCACTTGCGCCATTGCACATCACTGAAAGGGACATGAATTGACATCGAGACACTTAACTTGTCAGCATTTTAAACATGATCCATGATCACAAAAACAAGAATTAATCTTCGTCATCACTGATGACAATCCTTCTGTTCTTCACCGTAGAGGTATTGGACATGTCTTTGCTATTTTCCTCGTCGCTGTCAATAAACCGACTTTTCTTTGTAGCAGGCAACTCTGTATCGGAGTCGCCCGACCTACTCCTTTTAGATTCGTCATTTATCTCCTGCAGTTCCGAGCTAAATAACGCTTTCACGTTTTCAAGATCGTTGCCACCGTCGCTGACATTGCCAGTGGAGTTTTGATCATAGGGAGTCGATGGGGTCTCTTCGGTGACAAATTTCCCATCGAGGGCATTGGCAATGAGATCACAGTGTTTGCGAATAGTAGACGTGAGCATTTCGGCTGGTATTCTCCAGTACATTTCTTCTTGAAAATTGGGAGCATTCATTCCAAGTGCACGCAGGAGTCGTTGAAAAATTGGAGAGTCTATTGCCGTTGACTCTTCGTCTGTTATTGGTACCAGAGGAATTCCTTCGATGCTCTCCTCGTCCCGATCTTCTAAAGCATCTTCCAGGGAGTCTTTGAGCCAATTGAGAGCAGATTGCATACTGCCGTCGATGACTTCTGTTAATAAACCCGACAGCTGTGCATCCGTATACATGATCGTGTATTTAGGTTTGACTTTGGTGGACGAAGTAACCATAGGTTTTTTAGATCTACGTTTTGCACCTTGCTGCGATGGTTCTCTTTGAGAACTACCACTGGCACGGTGTCCAGAACTTGTATCACTTTCGTTGGAATTGTCATCTTCCTCAGACTCGCTGGCAGACTTTGTCTCCCACGACGCCTTCGTGCTACTTTTCTTCACCCTCTTCTTCCTTAGTTCCTTGCGGTCCTGGGCAAAGCCTAACTCCAAGAGCTTGTCCTTGATCTTTACCTTGGGTCGCTTGATGGTCAGACCATCATGAATCGATTCAATGGGATCGATTTCTTCTTTCGCTTGTTCCCAAAGCTCCGATAGTTCCGCTATCTCATCCGTAGACCACTCTGCAGGGAGTCTCTTTTGCACTTCTTTTCTCACTGCCTTGGAATTGACGATGAGGCATAATTCCTTCAATTTTTTAATAACTCCCCGCCTAGTGCGATCCTTATTATTTAAATTTTCCAATAACCAGTCGATGAGATCACGAGGGTATTTATTGGTCTGATGTTCCATGAAAAGAGTGCGCAATTCGTCCTCTTCGACCTCCGACCACAGAGCACGGGATACTTTTTCGGATTGACCTTGTTCTTGATAGCCGTCAACCATTTCGGTAGCATCTTTGGTGCTCTTCCAGAAGAAGAGCTCCATATATGCTTTTGGATTTTTCTGCGCCACTTCGATAAAACGTCTAATGATGAATACCGCAAATTTTTGGAGCTCTTTGTGCTCTGCATTCGTAGATTTCAAGATTTTCTGAAAAGCACGAAAAATCGATGCCTGACATATCATACCTGGCATTTTGCAGTCCCAAGCGATGCGATGCAGGAGCTTTACTATGAAATGATTTGTTTCAGGAGTATTCGAGTCAAATTGTTGGAGGAGAAAGGTCACAGCTCGCACTGCTCTCATATTAGCAAACCTTTGAACGAATTCTTTAAATTTAAAATCTGTTTCCACGACCGTAGGCTCTCTCACCCCTTCCTCTTCTTCGACGTTATCATCTTGGATTAACTCGTCATCTTCGCTGAAGGGATCGTCTGCATTCCGTTCTGATTGCCCGATCGTGTTAAAGTCTTCTTGAAGGCCGAGATCTGCAAAGAAAATTTCGCGGAGGGCCAAGAATTCCTCTTCAGGAGGTATGTCTCTCCTTCCAAAGCACTCATTTTCTGGCCAGACATCCCTTGCAGAGCGTAGAAGCCCCACCGCTTCTTCGAGCTTCCTCGATCGAAGGAGCTTCTGAATTTTCTTCATAGCATCACTGGTTTGCTCATCGATGGGCACGTCTAAAGTAGCATCAAAAGGTATGACCTCTGGAATTACACCTTGCTGTATAGCTACGGACAACTCGGGTCCAGTGAAGTCCCATTGTTCTTCCAAACTAGGCAACGACACCGGTTCCTTTGCTGATCCCTTTTTTTTCTGTCTACGACGACCACTTTTTACTTTCTGCACCACAACACGTTTCTGGTTGCAAAATTGCTCTAGCATTTTTAAAAACACATGCACGGTCTTAATCAAGTCGGTTAAATATGCTCGAGACATTTTCTGTTCGTTGTAACAGAGAAGCTGGGACACCACTGTTTCTCGATACTCTGGAACGTAGAATATGTTATTTTTTATGATTTTACTGGATTCACGTACCCCTTCGTCAGAACTTTTATCCATGGCTAGCAGGGTATTTAGAAGCTCCAAGTAAGTTTTCAAGGCAATGTGAAGTCTTTGCGACCAAAGATACGTTCTTTTTTTGTCGACATTCATCATTTCATAGTATTGATCCATGTGTTTCTGCACGAGGTAGAACATTTCCGTTGATATGGTTTCACTGACATACCTTATTTCGAATTTGTAGTATCGATTAAATTCCATGAAAAAACGTACAGCCCAGAGATAATGACTGGCATCGGAGGCCTCATCGTGAGATGCACTGGAAATGCAGGATCTTGCATATCTCATTACTGGATTATATGCTCCAACAAGGAATTCCACACAAAATTCTTTCAAGAATAATTTCACACTGAATGACGAAGTGCGTTCGGTGATCGCATCAGGCATTATTAATTTCTGTTTGGAACGTTTGATATTGGATTTCTGACGGTCGAACTCCAAAGCTTCCGTCGTGGAAAATGGTCTGTGACATATTAATTGATTCTCCCCGATAGCTTTCATATTTTTCACTACATAACTTCCAGCGAAACGCGAATGTCTTGAACCAACATATTTCCTCATTTTATCCATTTTTTCCTGGACTTCCTTTTGTCTAAGAGCCACAAGTTTTGCTTCGTCCTTCTCTTTTTCTGCCGTGCTGCGCTTTCGTTGCAATGCTCCAAGATCACCGGCATTCTGTTCACGTAACATCAGAGTTATTATCTCCAGAATTTGCATATGGTATTGTTGCTCATTGGCATTACTGATGATGAATAAAAGGAGAGTAACACACCCTGACGAGTGCAAGGCAAATAAAAGCTCATCGTGTATCGTGGCATCATCGTCGGTCTTTCTCAAATTGTCATCAGGAATTTGCAGGACATTTCTGATGAATACTAGAATTCTTTCAACAGTCAGTTCTTCATCCTCTGTTCGATCTAATTGTTCCTTTTTGAAAATTACTTCGAGACGATAGCCAACCACACTCCATATCCGATCATCAGTTAATGCTACTTTATACTCATATAAAAAACTATTTAATTGTTCATACAAATTACGGACGTTCTTCTCAGTCGGTACTTCATTATTATACATCAAAGACAGTGGACTAGTTAGATTTATCAGTAACCGCAGCAAAACATCCCACAGATCGACTTTGTCTGGATATTCGATCAGAATTTTTATCAAATCTGTCTGAAGAAGTTTGTTACGACCAAGATAATGTCGTACAACATGATACTCGCTATCTCTTTTAAGATATTTTATAAGATCTTTTATAACGTCGATGCAGTGTGTATCCAGGCGATATGTATGTCCATTATAACAGCCAAGTGCTGCACAAGTAGCGGCGAGCTCTGCATTGATGTATTCCGTCATCTCTAGACCCGTTCAGCACGTATTGTTTCCGTCAAACTCCTTCGACTTAAATTTGTATCATTTACAAACAATGAAACCTTTAAAGGGACAGAAAAAAAAAATGTCGAAATTACTATAGCCTTATAATATAATTAATATCTCACATATGTCATATATGCTAATTAGATATACAATTTTATTAAACTGGTTTATTACTTACTCATTGACTCTTACTAAAAATATATAATTCTTTCTTTAAAATCTTTAAGTTTAAAACTTTTAATTACAAGATTTCACACATGGGAAGAAACCGCGCGAAAGTACGTAGGAGTACCAATCCCCCTGAATTAAATCCAGAAATTCTACCACTAGATTTATGCAGTTATTTTTATTTACTATATTGTCCCCGCAGTGTATTTATAAATACGCGAAAGGTAAATTTTCATTGGTAAATTCTGTTGGATTCAACCGGTGGTAAAAAGAAAAGCAAATTCAAAATGTATGTACGTACATACCTTACTGACGGTGTATTTCGGAACATAACCTCCCAGAGAGGAATCAAGAGGAATAGAGTCCCACCCCCGTTCCTTGCAACGGGTGTGCGGTAATTCAATAAATATAGAAAAACAACAGCTTTAAAGGGTGGAGTCAAGTCGAGTTGACTTTTCGGGCTGCACTCTTCGGAAAGTGCCCTATCACGGGGTAAGAAATTATTTAATTTATACTTATTCGTGAATAATTGCTCGTAGAAGATAATTCACGCCATCGTAAATGTTACGGGTCCTGTTTCTTTCGGCCTTTTTATAAACATAACCTTAACGAGTTTATTTTCTCATTCTTACTTTTAAATACGTAAACTAGGTATGTTTATTCTGATTAATAATTTTAATGCTCTTTGTAGCTTACGATAAATAACCGTGATGGCCACCGACAAAGTCACCTTGGGAGATGCACTGTCCAACGTCGATGTACTCGATGAGTTTACACTTCCTGATGAACAACCTTGCATCGAAGCACAACCATGTTCTGTAGTGTATCAGGCAAACTTTGACACAAACTTTGAAGATAGAAATGGATTTGTTACTGGCATTGCCAAGTACATCGAAGAAGCAACTGTCCATGCCAGTTTAGTAAGTTCGTTATCCTTGTATTCAAGCTTGGTTCAAAATTATTGAATTTTAACCGAGTAGTGTATTTCTCATGAAAGATTAACCGAAGTATCGGTTTTATTTCTTGTTAGAATGAATTATTGGAAGAAGGTTTAGAACATGCCGTTATGCTTTATACTTGGCGGTGCTGCTCCCGTGCGATTCCACAACCTAAATCAAATGAGCAACCAAATAGAGTTGAAATTTATGAGAAAACCGTAGAAGTTCTAGCACCAGAAGTTAATAAATTGTTAAATTTTATGTACTTTCAAGTAAGTCGATATCATGCAGTATTTGTAAATTTTAATTATTGCAAGTTATGTTGCTCACAGTATTTATAATTTAGAGAAAAGCTATAGAAAGGTTCTCTGGTGAAGTTAAACGATTATGTCATCATGAAAAGCGGAAAGACTTTGTCTCTGAAGCATACCTTCTTACCTTGGGAAAATTTATTAATATGTTTGCTGTACTCGACGAATTGAAGAACATGAAATCCAGCGTAAAAAATGATTATTCAACATACAGAAGGTAAATACAGTAACAATGAGGATCCGTTCGTGTATTTTATGTGGTAAAAAATAGTTTATTTAACGTTCTCCACTTTCTTGTTTCAAGGGCTGCCCAATTCTTAAAAGTTATGTCCGATTCCCAAACTCTACAGGAATCACAAAATCTTTCAATGTTCTTAGCGACACAAAATAAAATTCGCGATACTGTGAAAGAAAATCTAGAAAAAATTCAAGGCTATGAAGAACTTCTTGCTGATGTCGTAAATATATGTGTCCACATGTTTGAGACAAAAATGTATCTTACACCCAATGAGAAGCACATGTTAGTGAAAGTCATGGGTTTTGGACTGTTCCTGATGGACAGCGAGTTGTGCAATATTAATAAGCTCGATCAGAAGAAAAAGTTAAAGCTGGATAGAATAGATAGAATTTTCAAGAATTTAGAAGTGGTACCTTTGTTTGGTGACATGCAAATTGCACCTTTCAATTATATTAAGCGCTCTAAGCATTTTGATGCGTCGCGCTGGCCTCTTTCTTCCTCCGTGAATAGTATGAGTCCTCAAGCTGATCTTATGGTGCACCTCCCACAAATCAGAGATGACCATGTTAAATATATCAGTGAATTAGCCAGGTATGAAAATTCTAAAATGTGAAGCACCATTTCTAATCCTTGGTATACATTTTTTTTTTGCTTAATAGGTATAGTAATGAAGTGACAACAACGTATAAGGAATGTGGAAGCGATTCAGAAAATAGAGAGACTGCAGAATTAGCTTTGAAAGGTCTGCATTTATTATCACAATGGACCAGTGTTGTGACCGAATTGTATAGTTGGAAATTGCTTCATCCAACCGATCATCACATGAATAAAGAATGTCCTCAGGAAGCTGAAGAATATGAAAGGGTTAATATATTTGTCCTTCTCGTATTATATACATACGCAAACACTGGATATTTTTATTTCATACGAGAAATTTTTTCTTCAGGCAACACGATACAATTATACCGATGAGGAAAAATTTGCGTTAATCGAAGTGATAGCTATGATTAAAGGTCTTCAAGTTTTGATGGCGCGAATGGAAACGGTATTTATTGATGCAATACGTAGAAACATTTATGCAGAATTACAGGATTTCGTTCAACTTGCTTTGCGGGAACCACTACGAAAAGCTATCAAAAATAAAAAGGATCTGATCCGAAGGTAGGCTAATATTTTTGTTCTTTTAAACAATGGATATTATTCATCTAAGATTAAAGCTTTTTATTAACGTTAAAATTCTCCATAAAGTATCATAGTATCGGTGAGAGAGACTTGCGCCGACTGGAACTTTGGAGTCGAGCCACTTGGCGATCCAGCTCTGAAAGGAAAGAAAGATCCTGACAATGGATTTGGAATCAAGGTTCCTAGACGGAATGTTGGTGAGTTTACCAAAGACATTTATTTTTTTAGCTACCATACTGTCTTTTAATCTCATCAAATTTTCATTCCATCGTTAGGACCATCTTCTACTCAACTCTACATGGTGCGCACTATGCTGGAGTCTTTAATAGCCGACAAAAGTGGAGGCAAGCGTACTCTGCGAAAGGACATTGATGGCCAATATCTTGTACAGATCGATCAATTCCACAAAACTAGTTTTTATTGGAGCTACCTTCTAAACTTCAGCGGTGAGCATTCATGGGAATAAAAGTGCTAATACAAATATATTAAGTAAATATAAAAATATTGAAAACTCACCATATATTTAATTTGACTTTTTAGAATCCCTCCAGAATTGTTGTGATTTATCTCAACTGTGGTACAGAGAATTTTACTTGGAAATGACGATGGGTCGAAAAATACAGGTAAACGCAACAGCTTATTTAATTCCAACAAACCAAAATGGCAAAAGCCATCGATCCTTACTGGCGGAGTCGTAGTTGCATAGGAGAGTGAATTCGTTGCGATTCGCACTTACAAACGTAACACATCGGTACTATATCACGTAACAAAAGAAAGTATAAGTATTCTACAGGGTTCCTTTGCTCATCTATGTCTGTCTTCCGTGCATTCACAAGTTCTAACATTTCTTTCTTCGTCGAATCGTGTCTCCCGATTCTATGGGCCAACTTCGCCGCATAGTTCCCGATCGATTGGATCAGTCCGAAGTTAGTCGAATCGCGATGTCCTTTAAGCTCTCTTTAGTCTGAAACGAGAAATAGCACTTTTTTTCCTGTAAAACTGATTTCATGACTAGAAATGCCAAGTGCGTCACCAGCACAACGAGGAGTGCAGCGATTTGATCACCATGGAGAAACGCATTCAGGTACTCTGTCCGCTAATCTCCCCCAGCAGTTTTGTTGTTGGCAATTTTGTTGCTGCCTTTGTTTCGTAGAGCTGTTCATAAATGGGTCTTTTTTGCACGCCTGGGATTACGCGGAAATCACGCCCCTGTGTCTCGGCAATTATTTCGAGCGATGGTTTCGGAGCATTACCAAAGTCCCGAGGGTCAATTCGTGGGATATGCCATCCGAAACCATCATCGCCTCCTTGCTGGTACATAGAACGACATCCTTGACACCTTCCTCGACCATCTCCTCCAGTTTCCTCGTTGCCGTGCAATTCATCGTTGCTGGATGCTTCACCGACTCTCCACCTTGATTTTATTATTTTAGCTTGTTCTTTGTTGACCTCCGCAATTTGTTTTATTATCGACCAAATAATACCTCTTGTACCTTTTGTCATCTTACTAACACCTGCAGAGGGTGGCCCGTTGAGGTTATATTAAAATTACGCCGTGTGTTACAGTTCCCGATCGAGATGTCGATGCCTTGGATCCTGACCGATCACATCCTGAGGAGCAAAGAACCGTCGATGATGGAGTAAGAGATTAATCATAAGAAAAGTCTCACGGTACAGATTTTATTTATTTGGGGTGATACCGATTGTCTTTTCGGCCACAGGTACGTTTTATATCCCTTGGATCTGTACAATGACAGCGCGCTGTATGCCCTGACGATTTTCCGAAAGCAATTCTTGTACGACGAGGTAGAGGCTGAGGTGAACCTGTGCTTCGATCAGTTTGTTTACAAGCTCAGCGAGCAGATATTTGCTCACTACAAACAACTCGCAGCTAGTATCTTACTGGATAAAAGATTCAGAGTGGAGTGCGTTGCACTCGGTGCATACCTGCTACCTTATCCTCGAGCCAATCGTTACGAAACCTTGCTGAAGCAGAGACACGTGCAACTTCTCGGAAGAAGCATCGATTTGAATAAATTAATCACGCAGCGCATTAATGCCGATATGCAAAAATCTCTGGACTTGGCCATCAGCAAATTTGAATCAAGCGACGTCACCGGGGTAGTGGTGAGTCGAGGAGTCAAACGTTTCACTTAGGGTGGAGATGTAATATTATGTAAGATTATTCTCACAGCTTGCAACTTTGTTTTATAGGAACTGGATGGTTTGTTGCAAGTGAATCGACTGACGCACAAACTTCTAAGCAAGTGGCTGGCCCTGGACGAGTACGACGCAATGTTCCGAGAAGCTAATCACAACGTCTTGGCTCCGTACGGTAGAATCACTTTGCATGTATTTTGGGAGCTTAACTACGACTTCCTGCCTAATTATTGCTACAACGCTGCCACGAACAGGTAGAGTTGTGCACAGTTTCTAACAATCGCTTCGATATTTTGGCCTAACTCTGTCGGCTTCCCTTTTTCGACAGATTCGTCAAGTGCCGAGGACTCCAATTCGTGCAGCCGGTGCACAGGGACAAGCCGCCGCAAATGTCGCATCATTATCTGTGGGGTAGCAAGCAATTGAACCTTGCTTACAGTACACAGTACGGACAGTACTCGGGTTTCGTTGGGCCGTACCATTTTAGGACGATATGCAAATTGCTGGGGTATCAAGGAATCGCCGTGGTGATGGAGGAGCTTTTGAAGATCGTCAAATCGCTGATACAGGGCAGCCTCCTGCAATTTACCAAGACCCTGATGGAAGCTATGCCGAAAGTGTGCAAACTTCCTCGATACGATTACGGGTCGCCTGGTGTTTTGGGCTATTACCACGCGCAATTGAACGACATCGTGCAGTATCCGGACGCAAAGACCGAGCTCTTCCATAATTTCCGAGAATTTGGGAACACGATCTTGTTCTGTCTGCTGATGGAGCAGGCGCTCTCGCAAGAGGAAGTCTGCGACCTGTTGCACGCGGCTCCTTTCCAAAATATACTGCCCAGGCCGTATTGCAAAGGTACATTTAATAACCCGCGGACAACTCTAAAAGAGACGTAATTTAATTTCATCCCACTTCTACTCAGAAGGTGAAAAACCGGAGACGAAGCAGAAGCGACTCGAGGCGAAGTACGCAGCCCTCCAGATCGTCCCTAACGTCGACAAGTTGGGAACCGCAAAGGTTTGTAATCGACGCAGTGTTCCTTTCCTTTTCTTTTCTTTTAAATATAATTTCTTAAGATATTAATGCATTAATTGCAGCAAGCCATGATCGCGAGGGAAGGGGACCTGCTGACTCGCGAGCGTTTGTGCTGCGGTTTGTCCATCTTCGAGGTCGTTTTGAGCAGACTACGTAGCTTCCTGGACGATCCGATCTGGGTCGGACCGCCTCCTGTCAACGGAGTGATGAACGTGGACGAGTGCACGGAGTTCCACAGACTGTGGAGCGCGCTTCAATTTGTTTATTGCATCCCGGTGGGGGAAACGGAGTTCACCGTTGAGTGAGTATACGCGACGAAATGAGGAGTGAACTAGAAACTGGGAAATTCGTCCATACGTTTTCTCTGGATCGACAGGGAACTGTTCGGCGAAGGCTTGCACTGGGCGGGCTGCGCAATGATCGTCTTACTTGGACAGCAGAGGAGATTCGAGGCGCTCGATTTTTGCTACCACATTCTCAGAGTCCAACGAGTCGACGGCAAGGACGAGAACGTCAAGGGGATCGTAAGTGTGACTTCCGGTGGACGTTTATTTAACCGAAAGGGTATCGACTTTGGGACGTTTCCTTGTAATCGAAATGTCGTTTAGCACCTGAAGAGAATGGTGGACCGGATCAGACGATTCCAGGTTCTGAACTCGCAGATCTTTGCCGTATTAAACAAGTACCTGAAGAGCGGCGACAGCGATGCCACCAGCGTGGAGCACGTCAGATGCTTCCCACCTCCGATACACCCATCGCTTGCTCATGCTCAGCAGCATTACCATGCTCCGGAGTACTTGCGCCAAATGAATCACCAGTAAAGAAATAAGCGAAAGTATTACGAAGTTAAGTATCGCAAGTATATTTAATTATCTCTCGTATCTTGGCAAACGAGCGTATGTCGTCGTAATCTGTAAGTGGCCGCAGAAAGGAATCGAACGAATGCGTCTTTCCATTCCGCTCAAATTCTGGGCACTGTATCCATTTAGAACCGAGCATTTACGTTTTTCTATTACGTATCGCGACGCGTGACGTCATCGACTTTTTGTGCGTCTACTTATTCGATACAAGCTATACATCAGTATTTTTTATTTACCCATTTGAGTAACGCAGTTTAGGAAATGATTGCTATTTTTCCTGCCGTTTGCTTCGTGAGTTGAATGTAATCACGTGACATGCCGTACTTGTATATATTAGAATCACGATTGTACCTTCGCCGAGATTTTCTACTACTCATGAATTCGTAGTTTGTAAATTATTGTGCGGCAATTCTGCGGTGCTTTGTAATTTGGTAACAAGGGATATAAAATGTGGAACGTCAGGGAAATACTTAAGACACAGTGAAAAGCAACTTTTGAGGTGACGCGTTTCAATACTATTGACTGACATTCGAATTACTTTGTTACATTACAAAAGTACTTTGTTATCATAAGTTATCACTTCCTGTAGGAGTACATGCATATATATACGCCCGTATTTATATTATAAAAGAAATTATTAAAAAGGAAACAACAATGGAGATTTCACTATAACGTATATTCTGTACAGTTTATTTTACAGTCGATGCATCAGAGATTGGCGAAGAAATCCTTTGCGTTGTCAACTTTACTGCTGGGCAGATTATGTTTCATGCGTTTCTGTTTGCCTCCTTTGATGGGTTCCGAGGCATCCAATGTCTCAAAGTATTTAACGTTCCAAAATTTGACTTCATTGTCATGTGAACAAGATGCGATTAAGGTGCCATCGTTGCATACGTCGAGTGCTTCTATTGAGAATTTGTGCTGTCCTACCACTCCCAATTGCCGATGAGGAAACAAACTCGTTCCTCTGCAGATAAAGTCAGTACATTTAGAAAAAAAAAAAAAGAAGAAACTAGTAGCAAAAGTAACACGTTAAATTATACAATCACCTTAATAATCCATCGTCACCTCCTGTTATCACAACGGTATCAGTGATAGTTACCATAGAATTAATTGGTTTCTTTGTCACAGTGGGAAATTCATCGGAATGATAACCAAACTCTCCCCAGTTAAAAACATACATTTTTCCTTTGCTCGTAGCAGTCAACAGTTTAGTTTCATCTTTCATTAGTCCCAAGCAAATCAGTTCTTCGTCGTATTCCTCGGACTGAGAGAAAAAATAGCTTCATATTTCAGATAAGGATGTAAAACGGTAATAAAATAATTTTCTTTTTTAATTGTTCAATGTCGCATACCTGGACATGCATTTTTTTTGCACGGATGTTCAATGTCGTTAATGTACCATCCCCACTTGAACATGCTAGATATTTTTCATCGCTTGTTGTAATCATTGAACCGACGTAATCTTGCATTTCTTTCAGTGACAGTAATGGTGAATCTCCTCTCTGTCTGAGATCCCACACTATTGATAAAAAGAAAAAGTAATTGTGACTACAAATAAAAATTCACTTAGGTATATAATTTCATAATAATATTTACATTTGACTACACCATCATCATCACCTGTTGCAAAAACATTTTCATTAATGACGTACATGGTATAAACTGGGTGCCTGAAATAAATAATCCATTTTTTTTTTTTAATGACAAATCAAAGTAATAAAATATTTAAGGAATATTCCACACATTAACCACATTATTCTTAATTGATAATTACTCATGAGCATTTTCGTAGATTCTTGTGAGTTTTTCAGTTTCCAGATCGGTTAATATAATTGATCTATCTTTTGCAGTGGAGTATAGAATTTTTCCATCGTGACTAAATTCTACATCTCGACATGCTTTTAAATGCAGTTCTAAAGTAGAAACAAGTTCCGTTTCTTCATTATTGTACCTATACCTAACATAAAATAGAACAATAAGACTGTACTATTAAACATCAAATAAGTTGTCTTTAAAGTTTAGGTATTTACAATAGTACATCTCCTGTAATACTGGCAAGAGCAATCAAATCATCGACTGGATGGAAACATAAGTCGACTGTAAATTCCTCCGTTACTATGACAGGTGGATGATCTCTGTGTAGTTCCTTAGATTTCATGATAGCTTTAACTACCTCATCCTGCTCTTCGTCTTCATTCAGCGCAATAACTTCTTCTAAATTTTCTGTAATATTAATATTGAGATTTTATTACAATCTAGAAACTGTTAAAGGAAAATAATCACCTATCCCACTGATAGTCGCAGGTGGAACACTGTCATCGCTCCATTCCTCGCTGTCAGTTTCCGAATCATCTTCGGTACTGACATTCGAGTCTTCTTGATTTTCATTGTCATTCATGTTTATAATCGCAAATGTACTATTGTTAAGTAGATTTTTTATACATGGAGTATCATAACATTTGGAGGTTACTTAAACGACAGGTCTATTGAAAATGTTCCCCCCACGAGTGCAGTTTTAAGGCAGCGAATCGGACGTCTCTTTTAGTGTGAGCATCGTAGAAGAATTACTGTGATTGGCTGTCGTTTTCTTTAACGGAAACGGACAAGTAATTTCTATGTACCGAATATTGGATATTTACAAAGTCCTAACCTTACATTTTGTAAGGTAGCACGTGTGATCCGTTAATTACGCGGTTGCTTTTAATTATTAGTAATAGTTCGTGAATCTATTGTTTATTGATAGGAGTAAAATATTAGCACGATGCAACACGATGATGTACGTATACGTATAACTAATTATAATGAAATATAAATACATATTAATATTTAAAATTCTACAGGTTGTGTGGAGTATTATTAACAAATCATTTTGTTCCTTTAAAGTCAAGTAAGTAATTGTTTATTTTCGTTGTCTTTATAGTATTTTAATGTATAATTAAATTCTCTAATGTTTATAAATCTAATATCATTGCAGTACTAAAACTCAAAGGTTCTGCCGAAATGAATATAATCTGACAGGATTATGTAGCAGATCGTCGTGTCCTCTAGCAAACAGTCAGTATGCAACTGTTAGGGAAGAGAACGGCATTATTTATCTGTACATGAGAACTGCTGAAAGGTAAATGTTATGTTAGAATAAGGGTTTCTGTTTCTATCCTTTGAAACGATTTTTTTTTACAGGGTCGCGTTTCCAAAAAATATGTGGGAAAAGGTGAAATTGTCAAGAAATTTTGAGAAGGCGATACACCAGATCAATGAAAACCTTTTGTATTGGCCGGGTTTTATAAAGTCCAAGTGTAAACAGAGATTCTTAAAAATAACACAATACCTTATTCGCATGAGAAAGTTAAGACTTAGACGGCAGAAAAAATTAGTGCCCCTGCAACGAAAGATTGAAAGAAGAGAGAGGCGCAGAGAAGAAAAGGCTCTTGTTGCTGCAAGATTAGAAAATGCCATCGAGAAGCAACTCATGGAAAGGCTGAAACAGGGCATGGTAATTTAAATATTTCCTGTACATTATTTACTTTAATTTATTTCTACAATCAGTCTCTAAATAATGTCATTTAAATTTTCAGTACAATGATGTTTACAACTTCCCACAAAAGGTGTTTGACAAAGCTGTCGAAGCAGTGGAAGTTGATAGAGAAAGCGAAGCAGAAAGTACAGATGAGGTTAGTCAATACGATCCCACGTTAATTATAATTTTTTTTATACTATAAAATTTTTTTTAATAGGAGGAAAGAGAACAGCAGATTGAAAGAGAGGTGGAAGTGGAATTGGAAGCCGATGAAAGACAGGCTCAAAGAAATACACATTACATCGAAGCTGATAGCGATATAGAAGATGAAGACGATGACTATGAATTTGAAAACATTTCAATGGTAATAAAGAGAGTACTTGGGTTAAGTAAAAATTGTATTAACTTTCAGAAATATGAAAACATTAATTTAAAATATTACTTTGTTACATAGGATGAAGACAGTGATTCGGGTCAAAAGGAAAAAGTGGAATTATTGGATAGTTTTGAGTCTGACGTCACTGATATAGAAGTATGTTGTTTTTATTTATTCAGAATTTCATTGAAATATAATGAAACGTACACTATTTGGGAAACGTTATTTTTTCAGGATACATTACCATCTACGAGTAAGAAATCTCATCCGAAGGGTGCAATTAAAAAGAATAAAGCAAAGAGTATAACGAAATCTCGTCCAAAAGTTGAGATCGAATATGAAATAGAGGATGATTCTCAACTTCAGCGGATTCGAAATTAAGCAAAAATTGTATTGAACTGTCCAAAACTGTAATAATGTATCTAATTAAAACATTTTTTTATATCCCATCTATTCAACTGGAGTCAATAATGGCGGAAACGGTTTTTAATAAATGTTAGTCAATGGAAAAGACCCTTGTGCTCGCCGTCATTGTCTAACAGGAATAGATCTATAGCGAATATGGAACAATTTCAATTACTGATCGCTAGATGGCGACTGGGGATCTTGCTTAAAAATCTAGACATACGGGGACTTTCTTCTACTTTGTGTTAAGAGTCGAGATCAATAGAAACTCGCCATTAGTATCGGGAAAGCAACGTTCGTCGTCGTAACGTGAAGGGTTTGCGAACGTGCCGTAGTAGGAAATGGAGTCTGTTAACCTGCAGTGTTAATACGGTTGTTTTTAAGGAAAAATCGTGTGTAATATTATTGATAATGTCGAGTAAAGTGTGGAATACTGAAATGTGGAAAGCGTGGGATAAACATGGAAGAAATGACTTGTAAGTGGTTATCGAAGTGACGCCATCGAAGCGCCTTCGATTAATATTGAGTCGGTACATTCCGTTCTCTGTGAATCGATGGTTGCGACTTACCTCTCCTGTATCTCCTTCTTCTTCGAAGAGTTAATTTTCTCCATTAACCACTGTTTGCAGCCTGAAGCTAATCAAACTGAAATACAAGGAAGACGACACAGCAGGTGAATATCGCTTAAATTGCGGGAATGGCGTACCGCACGCGACGCTTGTTTCACACTTTCTGCTTGATATATTTTACTCTTTGTGTCGTGAACCACCTAACTTTTAAACATAGTTTTTATGATTCAATATTTCACAATTCCTAACATACGTACACGAGGCATTTATGATAATTTTCTTTTTTTTTTTTTTTTTCAGAATGGCGACGAGGACTGTACGAATTAATATCAAATGGTGTTCGTGGAAACGTAAAAAAGGACAGTGTTGTGGCCACGTTAGGTGAACTTGTGGTAAGATATCGAGTGTAAAATTATTTCATACATTTTAAAATAACGGGGGTGACATTATTGGTATATATTAAAAATTATAATTTTCAGAATATGGATGGAGCGGTACCATCAGCTATTGTAGATATATTTACATTAATTGACGTGGAAGCTCACAATGATGAAAGAAATAATTTTTATTATATCGTTAAGGAATCCGAAAAGGTATTTAATTGAAAGGATGATTCTGAAAGGAAAACTGGAAATAATGTTATTTCTTAAACGTCGCTTGATTAATTTAATTTATCTTGTTATTTCTAGTTCTTAACAGACAGAATACTGAAAGAACGTTTAGAGATAGACACCCTGCAAGATGTAGGAACATTAAAGAACCGCAACTTCCAGACAAAATTCATCAAAGTTAAAACAAAACTTTAGTGCGTATACATTGTGCAACGCCTGTCGTTTGTTGTTTCTTTTTATTTCAACAATGTTTACATTGAAATTACCATTTTGCGTGTTGCTATAACAATGGTTTCCAACATTTAATCAAAACTGCATTTCAGTTACAAACAACGGAAGTTCAATTTGTTCCGCGAGGAAAGCGAAGGATACTCGAAACTGATAGTCGAATTGAATCAAGAGCGCCCTGCAAATGAGGTGGCCCCCACCTTAGAAATTGTTAAATCATTAATAGGTACGATAACTAAACATTGAGAAAGATTATGACCGTGAACGAAACTGCTTTTTTATTCACAGAAAAAAATAATCGGTATTCATGAATCGGAATTTATACAGTAAATCGAGAAACAAACCAATACTTGGTCCAGAAAGGGTTAAGGGAATGCAACATTTAGTAATGGATCGTTATAAGTAGTCATTGAATTTTACAGGGTACTTCAATCTTGATCCGAACAGAGTTCTCGATATCCTGCTGGAGACTTTCGAAAATCGTCCTGATGACGATGCACTTTTCATTCCGTTGATCCGGTCGTACATGAGCGATCAGCATGTATTGTGCGAGGTGTTAGGATTCAAGTACCGATGCACGGCAGCATTGACGCCTTTTTCTCTGCAGAGAGTTACGGCTCTCATGTTGCAACACCATGTTATTAATTTGGACGACATTTTGCCATGGTTAGTCCCTGACGATAAGACTATAATTAAGGATCATGAGCAAGCGATGAAAGATGCGAGAGAGTATGTCAGAAAGATGAGTGTAATATCAACAAAAGACAAAGAAGAGGTACTCGAAGAGAAAGAAAATTTACAGGTACGTTCAATCTTGTTTGTTTAAATGACATATTACTAGAACCATTTCTCATCAAAATAGGAAAAGTATTCGACCAATCAGAAGTATGGCCTCTGCGAAGCTCTATTAGAAATCGGTGCCTGGGAGATAGCCCAAAGTCTATTCAACCGATTACCAGATCATTGTTTAATTGATCAACGGCCGATAGCATTAGCGCTTTGTAAAATGATTCAGGCTCTCATCGAGCCTGTGTACAGGAAGTAAGTTTGTAAAACATAATAGCAGTATTTATTCTAAAACGCATAATCGACTACAAAGTGCACATTATTTCAGGTATTGCATTATATCTCCAAAATTACCGGGAAGGAAGGTTCCACCTTTAAAGAGTCCTTTAGCCCCTAAACCAATTGAAAATTTGGAGGAAATTCATGTTAGATTATTGCCGATGCTGGTCATCCTTGGGCCAAACTTGCACAACGATCCAATTTTAATGTATAAAATCATGCGTCTTTGTCACGCTATTACGAAACAGGGTACATTAGACTCAAACAAACAGCCAGTTAACAAAAGCAGTACCCTTTATTACGACGTCCTCACTATTTTGGACGTAGCTCTTTTACCATCTTTGTCGTTTATGGATTGCAACTGTTGCGTGGCAGAGGAGGTGTGGAATATTTTGAAACATTATCCATATCAGAATCGTTATTGTCTTTACGCAAGATGGAAGAACGATACTCCGCTACAACACGCCGCTCTTCTGAAAAAAAGAGCCGATGCTCAAAAACGAATTAAATCAATTATGAAGCGCGTTAGTAAAGAAACGATCAAGCCCGTTGGAAGGTCCATCGGGAAGTTGACGCATTCGTCCCCCGGCGTTTTGTTTGACTACGTACTAATACAAATTCAATTGTACGATAACCTCATAGGTATGTTTGTTTTAAATGAATTTTTTAACGAGTTATAAAGTAATTCATAATTGTATAAAAATATGTTTCAGGCCCTGTCGTCGACTCATTAAAATATTTGACTAACCTTTCGTACGATGTGCTTGGTTATTGTCTAGTGGAAGCATTAGCTGGAGCCGATAGGGATAGATTTAAGCATGACGGAACCAGCATTTCTCTTTGGCTCCAGTCGCTAGCCTCCTTCTGTGGGGCGATTTTTAAAAAATATAATATCGAACTTACTGGACTACTGCAGTACGTAGCTAATCAACTTAAAGCACAAAAGAGGTGAGTCGTTCTAAGAAGAAAGTCGTTTCGTAAATATGATCGCATTTTACGGTCAAATTTTTATTACGAAGAGGAGTAATGTTACGGAAAGTGAGGCATCCTGGTTTCTTCAACTGTATCATGACCGACGGACTCTGCACTTATTTCCTATTTGACAATTCTTCTACGACTCGTTAACGTCAAGGAAGGACCAAGATACGTTACTTAAGAATTTGGTACAATCGCGTCTAAGAAGTTGGAGTTTTGAAGTGGAATTTTACTCAATAGTGTCAAAGAAGCGGGAACTTTAGGATATTTTGATTCATCTATCTGCGAGAACTCGCGAAGTACGCGTCAATGTAGGAAGTATACATCGTTGCCTCGATAAAGGATAATCAACAAATATCTAGATAAAGCAGACCCCAACAATATAATGCCATTTCAAATTTAAAATTTTCTACTGAAAATAAAAATTGGGAAAGAATCTACAATGTCACATGCAGTGCGAAGATAGCGAACTGAGGAAGTCATCTTGTTGTCATCGTTATTGAACACCCTATGGAGAAAATATTTATAAAAAGATGTCATCATGAAATCGTCGTGGATACTTTCAAGATCATTTAGTGAAGAAAATATTTAAGAAGATCATCGTGATACCAATCCCATCGAACGTGCGAATATTTTCAAACACTGAAAACGTTACCGAGACACAAAAATGTTTTGAACTATCTGGACGTCTGGGAGGAGGAAGAAGGGTAGCGGAACACTATGTATATCAAGAAATCTATACATCGAGAGATAATCTGGACATCATCGAAATCACACTTCGTAGAGAGGATTTAAAACTTCATCAAAATATTTTTATTTATACAAGATTTAGGATGCCAAAGATTTCATGAAAAGGATGCGAAGATACAGTGATGTGTAATTATTTGGATGCTGCTGCTCCGGCTTTGAGTGTAACTTCCAAGTGTGCTAGGTAACGATAACAATACTTGCGAGATATCCTACATTCTCTTTACCTTCTAAACGTCAAATATGGACAGTGATATTCCGTTATAAATCTCATTTAAAAATACAGCATGTTTTACCAGTACTAACTATTGCTTGGTCGATACCTCTAAAATGTTTGTTCTGTACACGTACGACAATTGAAACGCAAATACTGTTGCTATTTCATGTGCTTTTTGTTTACAGTTATATCGCTCATACGGTTTCGTTTAAAAGGTTTGACAGATGGAGAAGAAAGTAATTTTGTGAGAACACGTTTGCAGGTGCAGGTGTTAGGATTACTACCAAGGATCGTAGTTGTTATCCTTTCGCGTAATTCGAATGGTATTCCAAGATAGAATATTCCTCGAATGGTCGTTAACTCTAAACTATTTGGCAGGCGATATTTTTATTAACTTCAAGCAACGTATATTGCCGGAACAGGATATTTTTTGCAGCTTCGGATTTAACGAATCTAAGAGAAATTTACAAGAAGGAAGAAGTTTCACAAAAACAATCACTGGAACAACAAATTATACATTCTTGGAAATACGTGTGCAATAGAGATATAAAATCGACAAGTTAGCGAGAAATATTTTGGAGAGAATCACATTTGAAAAAGATCTAGTGGAATATAATTTCGAAATAAATTGGATTCGTCATGGTTCGGAAGAGGATTAGCGAAGGCATACAAATCTACGAAGACATAAATGAAAGTGATGATACCAATTTTTAATTGACTCTCATTGACCCTGGAAGTAGAGAGTATAACAGAAAAAAAAACAATCTGAAGTATGCATGAACATTATTTTATCGGAACTACTCATAGATCTCGGGAGGAAAAGGGGATCTCTGTCTTGAGTGTGAGCTTCTTTATACGCATACATCAATGGACTCACCTTCAAGGAAGAAAATGAAAATATGCAATGCACCCCGACTTTACATCAATATTACTACGATAGCATATGAAAAGCGTCGAAATGGGATGGAACTAAATAATTACGTAGTACTTAGTCATATAATAAAAATCCCAATTTGATCTCTGCGATCCGATATAAACTTTGAAACTACCAGAAACATACTTTACCTAATAAAAAGTTTCACTGCTATTTAGATCAATTTGACATGTTGAGTAATTTCCAAACGTTTATTACAAGTCCAATATAATCTATCAAGCATGTTACCAGTGGTTACGTTGACATCAAGAGCCAAATGACAGTTACTGTATCTTCAACTTACTGGACTGCGATAATAACACTGTTACTTCCGTATTATGGCGTGTTATTTCAACTCGTCTTCGTTTTCAGCTTAGATTTGTTAATATTGAAAGAAATTGTACAAAAAATGGCTGGCATCGAAGCCGCTGAGGAAATGACCACCGATCAATTAGATGCAATGGCTGGAGGAGATCTTCTCAAGAATGAGGTAAATTCCTTTGACCATCCATTTATTTCTTTGACTGTAGTGATTACTTCCAATAGAGTGACATCGATCGATGGTAGGAACCAGAAAGCTTTTTAATTGACAAGTATTTTATTTTCCAGGCCGGGTACTTTAGTCAAGTTCGTAACACGAAGAAATCTTCACAAAGGCTAAAGGAAGCTCTCTCTGAACATGATTTGGCAGTAGCTCTTTGTTTACTCATGGCACAACAAAAACATTGCGTCGTCTATAGAGAAACTGATAAGTCTCATCTAAAACTTGTCGGTTGGTACATTGAACGTATTACTTTTCGAATCTAGTTTTTTTCTAGCCATTTGTTTTATTTATCGCAATTGTACAATTGTAGGCAAACTGTACGACCAGTGTCAAGATACGCTGGTCCAATTTGGGACCTTTTTGGGTTCTACGTTGACAGTGGACGAGTATGTGGATCGATTGCCTACGATAGATTCAATGTTGCAGGACAATCATATACATTCTGACGTTGCATTTTTCCTAGCGAGACCAATGTTTGCTCATAACATCAATGTAAGTATTAACAAGTTTAAGGTTTTCCACCGTAGCAGAAATGGCAAAAGATTTCTTATCGTTCTAGAGAAAGTATGATGCCTTGCGTAAGGCTGATCCAAATTACAAGAAAATGTCAACCGCAGCGAAGCAAGCAATGTATGCCGAGGCTGCACAAACTGTTATGGCTCCGGTAGCTCTATCGGTCAGACCTCTGCATCCTCTGAAAGTGTGGGAAGATATTTCACCACAATTCCTGGTGACATTCTGGTCGCTGTCGATGTACGACCTGTACGTTCCCGTTGACAGCTATCAACGAGAAGTTAACAAGCTTAAACAATTAGCCAATCAAGCCGCCGACACAAAGGACATAGTACGTTGATTGAGAATTTAAGCCAATACCATGTTTATTATTTTTTTTAATAGTCTGGTTAATTTTTTTTTTTTTTTAAAGAACATTTCCAAAGGGAAGAAGGAACAGGAAAGGTATACAACTTTGATCGAGAAGCTTCAAGATGAAAAGAAAAAGCAGGAAGAACACGTTGAAAAAGTGTTTGCTTATTTAAGGTAAATCGTATAATTAAATACATTCCTCGTTTATTATTGCCAGTGCGTTTAATAATCTCCGTGATTCGTTGCTCCAGACAAGAAAAGGATTCTTGGTTTTTATCCAGAAGTGCGAAGTCCGCGAAAAATGAGACGATCACTCAGTTTCTGCAGTTGTGCTTGTTCCCACGGTGTACTTTTACAACGGTCGATGCGATGTACTGCGCCAAATTTGTACATACGATTCACTCCCTGAAGACTGCGAATTTTTCAACGTTGCTGTGCTATGACAGAGTAAGCCGACTCTTTGGAATTCCCTTATCTCCCTTCTTCTGCGCTAGATATCGGAAATGGTATTGATGGTTTTCCAGCTCTTCTGTGATATTACTTACTCGGTCACATCCTGTACCGAAAACGAAGCGAATCGTTACGGCAGATTCTTGTGTGCCATGTTGGAGACGGTTATGAGGTGGCACTCCGAGAAAGCTATATTCGACAAGGTATGCTTTTTTCTACCACATTGATATTAATATCCTTTCGTAAACCCACCTCGGAGCTTCCAGTACTCTGCTTTTCTTTCTAGGAATGCAGCAATTACCCAGGCTTCGTTACGAAGTTCCGCGTGAGCAACCAGTTCTCGGAGGCAAACGACATGGTTGGCTTCGAGAATTACCGACATGTCTGTCATAAGTGGCACTACAAAATCACGAAGGTAAAATACAATAGAGATTTACGGAGAGGCTCACGTGACCAGTGTTAGGGATTGTTTGTACAATATGTACCATTCCTTGTCAAGGCTATCGTCGTCTGCTTGGACTCCAAGGACTATGTGCAGATCAGAAATTCCCTGATAATCCTCATCAAGATTTTGCCACATTTTCCCGTACTTGCGAAACTGTCGCAAATCCTCGAGAGAAAGGTGGAGAAGGTTCGCGAGGCGGAGCGTGGACAACGGCAAGACTTACACGTATTGGCGACTTCTTACAGTGGACAGTTAAAAGCCAAGACGCCCAGCATGATTCGGGAGTCAGATTTTCATCACGTGGGTGATAAGGTAAGTGTCGATGCACGACTCGGGCACAAACTCCTGGAGATCCTGATTTTCTTCTTTCTCGATTAGGCTGCCAAGGCGCAGGAGAACGTAACTACCGAGCCTGCGGAAAAAGTTAGCAATGGAGTAGTGCCGAAAGAAGTCAATAACGGTGATACGCGAAGTGATAAGGACAAGGAAGTAAGGGAAAAACGTAGCGCCCCGAACCAAACCCACCAGTACGTGGAAACATTAAAGATAACGTTTACATGCTGAGGCATTTAAGTGTATTCTTAGGGAATTTAAATTATAACATGCCTATTCGTTGCAGCGAAACCTCCGAGAAACTTAGAAAAAAGGAGGACGTTAAAGAACCCGTAGACTCGAAGGAGAAGTATGTTAAAAAAGATGAGGTCAAGGAGGAGGATGGAACCGACAAGAAGGATAGAAAATATTACAAGGTAATCGTCGTAATTGGCGAATAACGCGAAACAAGCGTTGAACTTTTTTTTTTTCTTACAGGAAGAGCATTATTATGCCGGTACCGTGGACAACCTGGATCGAGATTTATCGAGTGTGTCCAATAGTAGTGCTAGTTCTGGGACACAGCAGGACGGTCCCGATAGGAGTTAGTATACCATTCAATTTTTGGATTTAAGCATAAATCCTGAATTAATGTTTAGGAATTGTTTGAAAGCATTAAGTAGTTAATATTATTTCACTATTTTCAGATATAGACGTCAAACGAAGGAAGGTGGAAAACGTTCAGAAGGTTTGTCGATAGAACATACCAATACTTAGACCGTCTAAAATATTTAGTAGTTTCAATTAATATCTTTATATTGAAACAAAAAGCAGGAGACAAGAAGAACCGATGTAGTAATCGACAAGAAGGACCGATCCGGAAAGACGAAAATACGGGATGAGCAGAAGGAACTTCGAAGAGAAAAGAAGCTGGGCCGCAAAAGGGTAAATGTAATTACTTGGGGGTCAATTGACGTTGTTTCGATTTTATTGGCGATTTTATTTACATTGTCGTTATCCTCGTCAGGATCGAACGGAGGAGTCGGTGGTCCCAACGGAGCAAAAACGAAGAAAAGACGAGGACAGGGGTTGGTTATCAACTTTTTTTTAAATTTATACGCTGTCGCACGTCCAGTGAGAAAGAAGCGAGACTCGATTCAAGTTGAAATGGATCAGCCTTCGACAGGCGACAGTAAAAACTACGTACACTTAGCTTTACCTTAGCTTTTACATATAGTAATTATTACGCTATATTTCAAGTTGGTCTTTACAATCTACAGAAACAAAAAAACGTCCGGCCGAATATCCGTTAACCAGCGAATTGCGTTTCAGCGAAAGGTGCGCATCAAAACGGAGACATGCCCGAACACAGAGAGAAACATCATTACAGTAAGGTTAGTTGATGTTTCTTTTTCACGATTTTAATCTCGCTAACATCCCCCTCTCATTAGTTTAACCGAAATGAAAAGGTGAACCACACAATTCCTTGTTACTTGTAAATTCTTTGACGTCTAAATCGGTGGAGGGCCCATGCGGTAGGAAGGTACATATTATTGGCATAGAGAAAAGCCCGGGCATGAAACCACGTAACGATACTTTGCATGCACATTTCAGAAACATCTTTCATTAATTTCTAATCCCTGCCCTGACCGAAGATCCATTGTCGATACCTTGTACTTTCATCGCAGAAGATATCAAATGTCTACGCACTGCAAATATAGGAAATTAAAACGTAGCCTTGAGAGAATTGTGTGGCTAGTAATTTCCCTGTACTCGATAGAAATATATCATACGGTGATATTTGAGACTCATCTCCTGCACATTTCACTCGGCACTAGGGTTACGAGCCTTCGATTACTTTAAAAATGTTACGTGGTTTAAATTCGCACACGAATCCTCCTAGAGCATGACTTATATGCTTGCATTGGAAATAATGCCACGGAATCATTTTTAAGGCAATTGACTCTGCTCGATACTCAATCGTTAGAAGTTGACATTCGATCACCTTTCTAACACTATTACTTGGCCCCTTAGTTGATAAAGACGTCCGCTTCGAGTACATTGAAAAGACGAAATGGAAGGCAATAGCAAAGCCGGGAAAGTATAGGTGATACTAACATGTTCCCAAGTCAATCCATGTATCGTTCACAGAAATTTGGAAATCAATCGGATAATTGTCTTTTCAGGAAAAGTCGCCATACACAAAGGAGCGTACACACGAACGCGAAGGACGCGAAAGCCGAGACAAACAATATCCTTTTATAATCGAAACTACAAACTACATTTTTTTGCGAACCAATTCCCATCCATTCGATGTTTCATTGTTCAATTTGAGGTGTTTAACGTTCCTTAACCAAAGATTACTAGAAGAAGTTCGGATCCGAAACGGAGATGATGTAAAACGATGGAAGGATTATGACTTACATTTTATATCCTATGTTTGAATGTTGTATGTAATTAAGATAGATTTCAAAATAATAAAGATCAATAGTAAGTAATTTGTATATTGCGATCACGTCCAATTTTATACAATAAAAATATATCAAAGTAAACGTCTTTTTCTTTTCTAGGACCATGTTGACTGTAGAGGATACTCTCAGGATGGAATTAAGGCGACGCGATTATACAGCTATAGTAATACTGTTCGGCTCTGAGACTCTCTTCTTCCAATCGCTTCAGTCGCATTTTTGCGTCTTGTAATATGTCTTCCGTTGAACTGCTTTCACTTATGACTGTTTGTCTATTTACAATCTGAAGGACGGGTGATTGAATATCAGCGTTAGTTGATCTCGAAAGGCGAGCTTCTTCCAATTGTCGCGACAATCTTACAGCTCGTAACGTCAATTCTTCTATTCTAGACTGCTGTTCTCTAATAAGACTACTGAGCTCTTGTTTCTCTCGATTAAGTAGTCTCTTTTCTTGTTGATCGGATGTATAACTATCCTGATCGGTTTGTATCTGCACGTCCTTTGTTGGGATTTTACCACTTTTCTCAATTTTTGGAAATTCTCTTTTTACTTTCTCAAGTTCTTCTTGCAATTTTTTTAAGTCCTCCTCGAACGTTCTGTTGCTTTCTCGTTCTCTTTGCAGTCTGCAAAAAATGTATGGTCACGTTTTATGATTGGTATATTAGGAGAGAACTACTTCCATGAAATGCAATTGAAACAATGTACCTGTCGGTTTCTCGTGAAAGTGCATTTTGTTTAAAGGCTAACTCGGTTTCTTTCTCAAAAAAATAGCGAGCGTGTTTTCGCTTCTCTTCTGCAAGTACCTTTTCCTTAGTGTTTATGAAATGCGTTATTTTCTGAAATAAAAAAAAATTGGTACGCGGAGTTAGCATCTTCTTGCAAGAAGTAAAATTAAAGCCATTTTTCTACAATGAATATACCACCTACCTGGGCCTCTCTTAATTTGTTTTCTACTAAAACTAGTTGTTGCTGCATGAGAGACATTTGTTCTTTTATAGCCATTTCTTTATTTTTTAATTCTTTTTCAAATGACTCCTTTAAATGAAATAATTTCTTTTTTGCAATCACCAATTTTGTACTTTCTGGATCATCTATATGCGTATCAGAATCAGTCTGTGTACATTGATTACGAACAAGTTTTTCGTTTTCCACAGATTCTATGTTAGGATCGTTACATGTAAATGATCCCAAGGATTTTAATATACATAGAAGCAGTGGCATGCTAGTTTCGCTATATTCCGCTACAATAAATTTTCCTCTTGGTTCGTCGGGTTTAATGCCCAAGGTTTCTAAAGTATGCCACACATAATCAGCTTGAAGTTTATGTTTCTTTGAATTTGTTTCAGGAACATCGGGTGAGCCTGATAATTGTTTATAAAAATTTACTAAGAGTGGGGCTTCGCTAGCAAATACCGACAGTGCGTATACATAATCTTGGGTCCATAGATACTCTGCTAGTAATAAATCGTAGACATATTGTTTGGCTGACTTAGGACAATCGCTGTCTTTTTTCAGAGACAAGTCTTTATTTTTTAACGCGTTCACCAAATTCTGTCGAAGATGTGTACGCATGTTTGCTATTATGCCGCACTTGTCAAACCTAAAAGTAAGATAAATCTTGCTTAAAGTTATCAATTATTATTAAAATATCTTAAAGAATCAAAGTTTGTAAATAGTACATGGGGAACATAACCTTATACAAATAGGAAATTTTATATATTCAGCCTAGATACACGCTTCTTACCATGCGTAAACTGCAGAGTAGTAATCATTACTCATCTTGTTATTGTAATTAAAAATATTTAAAATACTGGAGTAAATTTTGATAAAAAAGAATCGAAAATCTCAAAAATTTCTTGAAGGTGCATTTTCATTCACCGCATGCAACGAAACGTTTAGATCGGTTTACAATTTTGCTGCGAAACTACCTTGCAACGGTTCCCATAGGATCGAGATTGCGATTGGTTGGAAAATAAATTCGTTGAAAACGCAGCTTAAGGTTGCGACGAACATAACCCCCTCCACTACTATTCCCACCATCTTTAATCTAGGTTGGACGGTTGCCGAGCTTCTCGAGCTTCTTTCCGGTGGGGTCGTCAACGAAGCCTGTAGTCCGGTGGGAATCAGCAAACAAAAATGACGTGAGTATTTCATCCATCCATAATTCGCACATCTCGATAGTTTCAATCAATTTATAATTCAATTAATGCAGTCGTGATATCAATTAAGATAATTCTTGTATTATTTTTGCTGTAAGCAAATTAAATTCTCTGAAAAGTGTGACAACGTGTACCCCACATGTTTGCTCACTATTCTTGGACCGTTTCATTGTCTATTAACTCTAATAATCCACAGGTCCAAGGTATCCCGCGATACCCTGTACGAGTGCGTGAACGGCGTGATTCAGCACTCGCAGGAGCACAAGAGGAAATTCTTAGAAACAGTGGAGCTCCAGATTGGTTTGAAGAATTACGATCCGATGAAGGACAAACGTTTCTCGGGCACCGTCAAGTACGTCTTTACCTGACTTTGAGGGTTCTCTTCGGCTTATTTTTATCAATTTGACTCGTATCCGAAAAGGTCACCTCATGCCACGTCAGGGAGCCGAGCTTCTCTCGGCGGACCTTCACCCAGGGTCTTAAAAAAACTGGGGAGGTTTTAACCGTTATTTTATAAACAGGATCATCAAAAATGATCCTGCTGGTAAGTTCAGCAGCAGCACGACATGTTATTTATTGTAATTGAATGAACATATGGTAAGGTCAAAAGACTTTGTTACCATGGTATAAAATGTTCTGCTGCTTCGAAAAGGAAACGTCTTATTGCTTAATTTATTTTGAAAGAGAAAGAAATGTATAAATCAGTAAAATGCTCAATGATGGTACATATGCATGTATTATCTGAACAACTATGTTGTAAATATTTATTTACTGAGAGTGTTTTGTGATCTTATATAAAAATTGAAGTATTTCATTCATAGGAGTAGATTACGCCATGTATAGAATATTTCAAATTATTTCTTATGATTTCAGACTAAAAAACATTCCTCGTCCAAAAATGCAAGTATGCGTCCTAGGGGATCAACAGCACTGCGACGAGGCGAAAGCTAACAATATTCCTTATATGGATGCGGAAGCTTTGAAAAAACTAAACAAGAACAAGAAGCTAGTTAAGAAATTAGGTATTGGAAATATTTTAATATCCTAACCGTCGCATTCTTAAAGAATTTTATTAATATGATCAAGTAATACCTTCCACAAAAAGCTCCAGTACTGGTCAATTTAATCCAGTATTGGATGTCGTTGGAAGGAGATTAATCTCATCATTAGGTGAAGATAAGGTCGGCCAAATAGCCTTATACTTCAATCCATGCTGAAACAGCTTTCTTAATTTGTAAAACAATTTTCAGTAATTAATTAATTGGAGGCATTAATACTAACTTTCTCTTTATAGCCAAGAAGTACGACGCTTTCCTTGCAAGCGAATCGTTGATCAAGCAGATTCCTCGTCTTCTGGGTCCTGGACTGAACAAAGCCGGTAAATTCCCTGGTCTGCTCTCTCACCAGGAGTCGATGGTTGGCAAAATCGATGAGGTCAAAGCGACGATCAAGTTCCAAATGAAAAAAGTACGTCTACGTGCCTCCCTCTCTCAAAAAGAAATACCTCCACAATACGTATAATAATTGTAGACGACACTTAACGTTACTTTTATTTTCATCGTAGGTTCTGTGTCTCTCCGTGGCCGTGGGGCATGTCGAAATGACGCCGGACGAGCTGGTGCAGAACGTCCACTTGTCGATCAATTTCCTGGTCTCGCTGTTGAAGAAACACTGGCAGAACGTACGATCCCTCCACATAAAATCTTCCATGGGACCACCTCAACGGCTATACTAAACGATCGCGTTAGCTTTTGAACTGTTCCTTGAGCGAATAAAAAGGATGCGCGATAACTCCGCCTCTCTGTTTCTTTCTTTACAGTTCCGAGTTCAACGGCATGACCGACAATGTAGTTTTACCGTCCCCAAAAAGGTGTCGAGAACAGAAGCGTTATACATTAAGAGAAACTCCCCGCACGAAGTCTGGAAGAGTCGTTACGCCTTTCCTAGTCGGGATTCGAGCGCTACCCCGATGGGAAAGTACGACGCACTCCCGGAACCTGATATTAAATGACACCCTGCCGCCAGATGTTCGCAAGATGCCCGAGAAAACAGGATACGATTCCCCGTATATATCCGGTCGATTTCGAGCGGCGGGGATATTCATCGCACGATGTCCCTTTTGTCTTTACTTTCCATTAGCTATCGCGCTAGAACGGAAGTCACTCAATCGGCGGAATTAAAAGTAGTCGGCGCACGTACATTCGCCGACGATTACGCGTACCCACGTCTGCATTACCTACCTCAAGGTGTCCGGCCCGACCATCGGCGGAAATGGCCCTAGAGTTTCAAGGAGAGCCGAGCCGTTCGCGATAGCTATCGGAAGTGGGATCGAAAAGCGATTCGTTCCCCTGGGGTTCGAGCCCCTCGCACCATGGACTTTTCCTTCTATTTATGAGCCGGCCTCTGTGGGGGTCCTCCCCATGGAGGCGCCTCTTTCGGGAACACGTGGTCTCGCGCGTTCCATCCCACCAGCTCTTCGAGTCTCGCGTTGCACTTCTTCGCGAGGAGAGCTCGAGCCTCGACGGCTCGTCGCCACTTTTTTCCCGGATCTCTTAAAGATCGCGTAGGGTCCTAAAAAATCCCTTCGCCGGGCTCGAAAGCTGGAGGGAAATCGGAAAAGCTTATCTGGGTAAACCCGTGTACTCTGTTTGCACTTTAAATGGGATAAAGTGCACCCGACTGGCCTCCTGCCAATATTTATTCCGTCGATTAGTAAAGTGCCAACGGAAGTGTCGGGAGCCCGGAGTGGACGTTTCGCGTTATCAATGATATAAGCCCGCAAGAGGAGGAACTGCGAGAAGGCGGAAAACCGTCGGCAGAACGGTGGCCAGTTCTTATCGGGAGCGTAAACGAGCTCCACGTTCTGGACTGGTTCTCCAAATTTTCGGATTTCTTCATCCGACTGCGAATTTTTCTACACCCCCTGTGTCAAACGATCCTCGAGGATATCGTTAAGCGGCGAGCTTCTGTAGGAATACCCGATCGCGGGGAAGGTCGAAGGAAATTAAAAGCTCCACCGAGGAGTAGGCGAGATGTTCCACCGGGGCGTCGAGCACCCCGAGGAAGGTCCGCATCCTGGATCGGAGGTCAAGAGGAACCGAGAAACGTGACGGAAATTTCCTCGACGGAAAAGTAGGTGCTCAGGAAGGAGACGCGTCCGTTCCCTGGAGATAGGTTTCTCGAATCCGGGAAAGCGCTCCCTCCCGGTGGTTTTATTTTAAACAAACCGAGCACTGACTCATCCGACGACAATGGCGAGCTTTGACGCGGCCAGAGGTCGGACAAAAGAAACGTCGAAAGGGAGTCACCGATAAAAGAGAGCGGCTTTTCGCCTCGGCACTTCGAGTCCTCGGTCCCCGGTGACGCGATGCCTCGAAACTTCGTCGAGGATGTTCTTCCGAGCCACATCCTTGGAGAACGTCGCTCGACGATAACGCCGACGCGGAGCCATCCTGTTCCGGTGCCTCTTTCCGAGATTCGGGAGAGTCTCTGATACCGGCGGAATGACCGAGAATCTTTTATCACTGATCGCCTACGGTCGGATCGTTATCATCGATCTAGAATATCGACGCGATATCGGGATATGCTCGGGCAAACAGAAAACCACCGTCCTGGGAGGCCCTGAAACGTATAGTGTTCTTGTGAAAAAAGGAAAAAAAAATTGGAGGTCGTAATCTCTCCACCGGATGAACTAACAGATTGACCGATTCGTCATTTTTTCAGATCCTTTGTAAAAGCGAGACGATGATCCCGAGGAAACGGCTACAACTGCTGCTCTACGTCCTGCACGTGGGGTACATCTTCGGGGACCACAGAAGAGATAATGGTTCCCGGTTGCTGCCGATGCTCGAAATCACGGAGAACTCCTTGGGGAGCAACCCCGAAGAGGCCGACGATGTGAGCCAGGACCCGGGATTCGAGGTCTACGGTGTGGAGTCCACTCTCCTGGACGATCTAAATGCTTCCTCGAGGACGGCGACGACCTCGGGTGATATGATGAGCGAATCGACGACTCAGGACTCGATGGACTCCACGGAGGCTTATGGTCGAACCTCCAGTGATCAGGGTAAACCTGGGGGGTATCTCGAGTACCTGAAGTCGTTAGGCATAATCTAAGTCATGGTCCCCTTTAGGCAGTACCCAGGAAATCGCTATTCGGGTCGAGGACCTGAGGATCACCACCGCCACGGAGAATTCCCTGAGCGTCTCCTGGAACGCGTCCGAAGGGGATCGTCCGAGCCTTTACTCCATAAGCTGGTGCAAGAGAGATGGACCTTGTGAGCGGCGCAATGTGTCCGAGGAACTGAATTACGAGATTCAGGATTTGGAGAGCTGCACGGAATATCTGATCACGGTGGTCCCCTTGGACGATCGAGCGGCCGATGGGCAGACCATCGCAGGGACCACGAAGGCCTCCGGTTGGTGATCTCTCCCCTCGGCTTCCCGAAACCTAGGAAGAGACCCGCGATAAGAGTTACACCTTTTTTTCAGACGTGGGGGATGTCACGGATTTGGAGGCGACCACGGGCACGAGTTGGATCTCGCTCTCCTGGAAACCGCCGAAGGAGAGCCCCAACTGCGTCCATCGGTACTTCGTCAAGGTGTGCTCGGAAAAGGAGTGCAAGACGAAGGATCTCGCTCCTCCCTCGACGGAATACAAGGCGGTCGATCTGGAACCTTGCACGAAATACGTCTTCACGGTCACGACATTCGGGAAGGCGAGCGAATCCGCAGGAGCGGAGAAATCCGCGACGACGGCTGGCATAAGTGAGGGCGAACCCATTATCCTAAACTGGGATTAAAGTTGAAGTTTGGAGACCTTGCGAGTCCAGGTTCTCGACGACTCGCTTTCCTTTATCTATTTTTATTTTTTTCCAGAGCCTGGAAGTCCTCTATCTCTGGCGGCAGAGTCCAAGAACTTCTCTCTTCTCGTTCACTGGAAGCCTCCTGAGTTCGGCGCCGCCTGCGTCCAGGAGTATCGAGTCAACGTCTGGGACTCGAAGAACACCCTGACGAAGACGACCTCGAAGACCGACATCGAGCTCACGGGTCTAAAGGCCTGCGCGATGTATACCATCCAAGTGCTTCCAGTTTCCGAGACAGGGGACGGAAACACTCCTGCGGTGACCCAGGCCAAGACCGCGGCATCCGGTGAGAGAAATTTCATTTCGGTAATTCCGTTTCTTCCTCCCCTCGAGGTGCCTCTTCATCGGTACATTTTATTCCAGCGACGAATCCACCGGTGCTGTCCTCGGAGGAGGTGTCGGTGTCGAAGAACTCGATATCCATGAGCTGGCAGATCGTGAATCAGAAGAATTTGTGCCCCCTTAAGTCGGTAATCACGATCTGCAATTTCACGACGACCGACAAGCACGGCTACGAGTTGGTCGACGGAGAGTCCGTGGACAAGATCTCCAACGGCACCGACAGCTTCCTCAAGGTGACGGTGTACAAGCTCAGCCCCTTCACGAACTACACCTGCCACGGGATCACCGTAAACTCCGCAGGAAATTCGGACCCAAGCTCCGCGGTCACCGCGAGGACGTCGGAGGATGGTCAGGGTCGTCTTTGGAATAATGAAGAAATTACCATTAAGTCTCATCGCGTTTTTTTCTTTTACAGTTCCCTCGCCTCCTGCGAAGCTGGAGATCACCGACGTCACCGAGACCAATTTTACTCTTAACTGGAAGAAGCCGGAATACCTGGCGGGGTACCTGGGGAATTTCGAGGTGAATCTCAAGTGGGAACCGGCGTATCTGGTTCCGGACTGGTGCGAACACGGTGCCTCGAGAACCGACAACATTACGGACATCGACGGCTCGTCCTTGAGTTACTCTTACGTCTTGGGAATGCCGTACTCGAATTATTCTGCGGAGATCAGGGCGAAAACCGGAGCTGGATGGGGCGAGTTCAGCGACCCGACCGATTTCCAGATGAAGCCCACGGGTGAGATGTGACATTTATATATATATTTTTAAATATTTTACACATTTTTATACAAGCTTCTAAGCTCATCTCTCTCCGGGGAATGATCTTTATTCCAGTGCCAGGAGCGGTGTCGAACCTCACCTACGCGACCTTCGCATCCAAGAACGACTCCAACGTGTTGACTACGATCTTGAGATGGCGACTGCCGTGTGATTTAAACGGGAACCTGGAACGCTTCCGCGTTTCCATCCGGGGAACCAGGGAGGGATTTGCGAACCACACGTTCCACAGGACGAAGGAGGTTCCCGAGGTTCAGCACAAGGACGACGTCTTCTCCATGGACCTCGGCGAGTTGAGGGCCGAGTACGCGTACACCTTCGAGGTCGCCACGAAGGTTGTCGGGGTGGATTCCCTGGGCCCTCCGGTGAACCAGACGACCCTCTATCCAGCTGGAAGTAGGATATATTTTTAGACAATTTTTTTTTTTTCTACGGAACTACTTCAAGAAATAATTAATAATTTAATACCGGGATTTCGGTGGCAGTTCCAGACCAGCCGAGCGACGAGTACGTGAAGTCCATCACCATAGACCCCCACAAGGCTCAAAGGACCACCAGCACGGCCTCGATCCTGCTCCCTCTCTTTCCAAACATCAACGGAGAGATCCGGTATTACGCGATTATGGTCTCCAAAAAGGGGAAAAATCCGCCCTTGAGGAGGAGATTGAACGTCAGGGCTGGAGAGTGGCCGGATGTCGTGGCGTGGCGCGAATCCATGATGAGGAACTTCGAGGTCCCTTATCAGGCCACGATACCGCGATGGAACCCATACTCGAGTAATTCTTTACCTCCAGTTTTGACAGTAATCGCCGAAACTAAGGACGCTGTAAGGAGAATAATGAAATTTTCAGACAATTACGTGACCGACTACGGGCACATGAAGGCCGTCAAGTTCGTCCTGGGAGACGACCCTACGTGCACGGAGGTGTCCTTTAACACCCACACGAAGATTTACTGCAACGGTCCCTTAAAATCCGACACCTGGTACGAGGTGAGGATTCGAGCGTTTACGAACGACGGCTTCGCGGATTCCGTGGCGTTCCTCGTAAAGACCAGTTGGTATTCTCCATCTTACATATTCGTTACCCTGCTTTACGATTTTCTATTAATTACCAATCGTTTTTTTTTTTTTCTTTTTTTTCTTGTGGCGTGCAGACGCGGAGATGAACGTGGCGTTCGTCATCGGGGTCGTCTTCGGGATCCTCATCCTAGGGATCGTGACGACGATGCTGCTCCTCGTCAGGAAGGGCTCCATTCAAGGGTATGTACTCGAAATACGTTAATCCATTAATTTATTCAGTTTAGGAATGAAAAACCGACCTCGTGAAATTATACCGACTCGAGGCGCCGGGCCGGCGATCTCTCGCGATTCAGGGATCGTTTACGGGTTACGCTTATCGATCGGACGCACCTACTTCGGGGGAAATAATCAATATTTGTTCCTCTGAGTCAGAAGGAATGGTATATCGGCGCGGGTGAGGTACGCGCCGCGCAATGTCGGATATCTCCGTCGGCCGCGGCACGCTCGGGCCGCGTAAACCTACATTCAAATGGGTATTTTCGTCGGGGGTATTTTTAAACCCGCAAGGCGAAGGTGAACACGAGGATGATAGTCGGAGAGATCATCTCGGAGGGTAGATTTCGATAATGACATCACGCCGACGAAGAAACGAGACGCCCTTCCGCGGCCTCGCCAAGTGCGTATTCCCCCGTTTCGTATCTTACGATTAATTCCCCGCCGATTTCGCCGGATCAGCTGATCGCTCTGACAGCTGGGCTTCGGTACCTCGTCTCCGGATTCTTTTTTGAGATCCTCCGGAGATGAGAGAAGTCAATGCCACCTGGTACCCCACCTTCTTAACGATGATCTCGGTCATTTCAATCCCGACGTAAACGATCTCGCCTGTAATTGATCTAATGGAAATTACATAAGTGTACCCGAGATAGCGACCGGAGGCTCCTAGTGAAAGTCGCCGCGGGTTTGGATCGCGCATGGAATTGGGATATCGAATTTTAATAGATCTCTCGTTTCAGGGTCCTGCGGAGGTTCCTGCACTCGGACATGCCAGGGTCCCCCGTCCCGGCTCCGTTCACCAGGAGGAAATTTATCACCCACTGTCAGCAGCTCGCCGAGAATCCTGGCAAGCTCAGCAACGAGTTCCAGCTCCTGCAGACTCTCAGCGTGGATCTACAAATGCCGACGAATGCCGCCTGCTTGCAAGCCAACCGGAAGAAGAATCGTTACTCCGACATCCTCCCCTGTAAGCGACTTCGAAGCTCTCCGGTCTTCCCGGGTTTCTCTTAAGCGCCTCTCAACTTTCAGATGATTTCTCCAGGGTGAAGCTGGAGGTCATCGACAACGACCCCAACACGGATTATATTAATGCTTCCTTCATCAAGGTATGCGGGAACTGCGGAGAGGTGGACTTTTTTTTTTTTCATTTGATATAAGCGTTATATCGTAACGGGAGGAACACTTTTAAGGGTTGTTCCGGAGAGGAGGAATACATCGCTTGTCAAGGACCCAAAGAGGAGACGACGTACGACTTTTGGAGAATGATCGACCAGTATGACGTCAAGATCATCGTCATGTTGACTCAGTTGATCGAGAAGGGCAAGGTGAGGACGAGCCCGGGAGGAGCGACACTAAGGAGGAAATGTATCAATTAACGATCGTTTTCAGGAGAAATGTTACCAGTACTTTCCCACGATCAGAGAGACCTTCACGTACGAGAGCATGTCCATAAGGTGCACCAGTGAGCTGGACTTTAGGACGTACACCCAGAGAACTCTGACTCTGCAGAAGGTTGTACTAGTAACTTGAACGACGCCTAACGAGGGAACAATTGATTTTCATGCCGCGTGACTGAAAATGTATTTTTTTTTTTTTTGCAGAAAGACAAGAAGAGGCACGTGACGCACCTCCACTTCAAGGACTGGCCCGATCACGACGTGCCCGAAGACTTCGACGAGACGGTAAACTTCTGTCAAATCATGCGTCGACAGATCAATGCGAACAAAGGCTTCGTTGTCATTCACTGCAGGTACCTGTTAATTAACAATTGGATTAACATTGCGTGCCAATTGTCGAGGAACGAATGTTTGCTTTTTCAGCGCAGGCATCGGCAGGACGGGCACCCTTATCGCCCTGGACATCCTCTTGCAACAAATCAGAGACGGCAGGAAACTGGATGTATTTGGGACAGTGTACCGATTGCGACACCATAGAATTAATATGGTGCAGAGAGAGGTAATTACCGATATCGAGTTGATAAAAAGAGCGCTGATGGGTCGATATCATTTTCTGCTGGTCTTTTCTTTCCAGAGCCAGTACGCTTACATATACAATTGTATCAGACAAGTGTTGAAGAACCCTTACTTCCTAAAGACCTGTAAGTGATTTTCCTAACCTAAAGGTGCTACAACGGCGGACCTACAGTTATTAATAATTCGGAATGTTTGTCCTCCTCCCCAGACAAACCACCACCCGTTGAGCCTGTTTACGAGAACGCTGTGAAAAAAAAGAGAGACTTGTCGAATTCGAGCACAAATCTAGTGAGCAGTCTCGAGACCTGTATGTAATATTTGGATCTCGGTTGTACCGGGCAGTCTTGCTAATTCCTGAATGAATAGTGATAAACTTTGCATGGTAGAAGTGTCGTTAACATCTTTTGTACCGCGGAATGAGATCGACGGTCCGTTTCTCAGTAGTGAGTATTATTACACGGATGTAACGTTTGCATTCCATTTTTTTTATTTATTTATCCGGTCACTTGCCCATCGTGTCATTCCGCTCGAAAAGTGTTCCGCCTTGTTCAAATGTTCTCGAAGTGGTCGATATTAGAATTAAAACGAGACATTTCGTTTTTAGTACGAAAAAGTAGCTTATCAGCTTCGATGGAATCGACCGATTCGATCTACGATAATTCGCCGCTGCCACCTATTAAATCACCCAAAGGTGAACTATCTATAATTTTAAACAAATTTGTGTACAGTATGTTCTCATTTTAGTTAACTAATATATTATATACTTTCAGGACTGCGATACTGCAAATCGACCGGTGCCATCGACACCAGAGCTCAACAAGCTCGCATAAGTAAGTAATGACGATATGAAGTACATGAATTAAGTGTGTATTCTGTATTCGTTTTTTAGATTCATCATCGAACAAAGGGTTTCCAGCGTATGAAGCAATGACAGAATCTGTAAATACCGGTAGTAAGAGTAGCATGGATAAAGATGACTCCGAAGAGTCGAGGAGTTCAACGTATGAAAATTTATCCACTTTGCCGAGGTCGAAGTCAGCCCATGCGGTGTGCAAAAATTCATGCAGCCCTCCCACAGAAAGTAAGACGAAATCAAACCAATGCGAGAGATGTTTTTAAGAAATATATTTACAGAAGTAATTTACATCATGGGTATAATTAATTTGTATAAATAATGGTGTTTGTTTTCAGAATTACTGGAGAACGATACATCGATTTAAGAGGGTGAGATTTTAGCTATATACATTCATAAGAAATATACATGACCCAAGTCTCGATTTTAAGCATTTTCTTACATTTTATATGTATATATGACTGAGCCTGTGGAAAGTTCTACTTAAGAAGCAGGTACTTTACAAAACCATGATAAAACGGATGGTACATGTAATTATAGATATTAAGTAATTAAATAATTGTATGATCTTGTACATAGTAAAGGACGGTATGATAGAACTTATTAAAAGACATTTGAGCACGATTGCAATTTTTATCAATCATCTATAAATACATTTGATATCACCGTGAATTTATAAGCTATATAACATTCATCATCCCACACATACGTTACTTTCTAATGTCAATTATAATGAAATATCTTAGATATAAAAATTAATATCGATACTTTGTTGAATAATCTTTAGGTGAAACTACCAAACCTCGTCCTTTCCTTGCACCTCGATATACCGTTTCTATAATATCTATCATCTCCTGTTTATCCTCCAAGGTCCAGTTAATCTTATTATTGTTACCTGTTCCCAAATCGATCATTATGTGCTTGTTTCTGAAGAAAAACATCACTGTACAAGGATCATATAACTCGTACCTATAAAAAGAGGACAAACGGAATTAAAAATATACCCTAACTCACAGTGAAGGTACGAAGCAATTTGAACTTACATTTTATTAAAGTCCGGAACTTCCGTAATGTCGACGAGATAAATGACGGCGAAGTTTTTCACCTTTTCTGCAATATTGTACAGCACTTCGTCCATCTTCATACACATCGGATCCCAGTCATGTCCGAATCGTATAACCTATGCATTGAAATAATTTTAAAATACTACGTTTAATATACACCACTGGAAAGTAGCGCATGAACAAAAAAGATGCAATTTAAGCAAAATACAGTGAGATCGTAATCCTTCCTAGCATCATAAGAATATTTTCTTTAGCGTCAGACACATTTATAGGTTAGCGTTGATTTACTTACGACTACTCTGTCTTCCTCGGATAATATTGCCTGGTCCACTTGCCACCCATTGTGTAGATGCGATAGCATGTACGACATGTTGACAAGTTAATCGATTTAATTTTTGTTTAAAACGAACGCAAAAATCTACACAATCTCTGAGACGCACCGACAGAGAATAACGAAATGTCAGAAAGTATCCACGCATAAAGACGGTAACACGGTCTGGTGCTGTACGAAACCAGAGGGCAGCACAGGATGCGATCGCACGATCCTGCCCGTGAGCAATCTCCCAACTCATCTCTGCTTAGACTTAGTCTAGACTGTTTATTCCACGAAGATTAATATTAAAGACTGTTAAAGACGAAATGGGGCGAATAAGTGGTGAAGAATCGGATGAAATAAGCTCGGAAGTAGAGTGCCAAGCGGAGGCCAAGGTAGAGTTCATAGGCACTGTAGTAGCAGAACCTGAAAAAAGGTACAAATGTGTATATTCCGGGTGCAATTCCACTTTTCTCAGGCCCTCCAGATTTTTGAGGCACATGAGGATTCATACCGGGGAGGTAAAGTTTAAATGATCGATATTATAAGGTTTCTTCAATGAATTATCGTGTCTTAAAATTACAGAGACCATTTAAATGCAGTCACTCGGGTTGCGATAAAGCCTATACTAATTCATCCCACTTGAAACGACATCTCTCTACTACCCATGATCCTACGACACGGAAGTACAAGTATATAGCAGAAGAGTAATAATAATTACGTTCAGCTTAGAGCTAGTAAATTTAGTCAGGATTAGGTTTCTTTGTAGCAAATTATCTGTTTCTTTGTTTGGTCTTGGAGCCTCATATTCTGAAACATGTAAATTTAATGTTTTCAGGTGTTCCAAATGTTCCTTAATAATTAGCAATGCGCATAATCTAAAACGTCATTACGATCGCATGCATAACGACGATAAACGACAAGCTTGTAGCAAATGTGAACGTTCCTTTAAGAGCAAGCGTCACCTCGAAGAGCACTTAACTACACACACTGGTAGTAATTTGTACAAGTGTGAAAAGTGTCAAAAGGAATTTGTTAATGTGAACAGCCTTAGAAGGCATGTAAGGAAACATAACGAGAACAAAAAAACATATCCTTGCACGTCCAATGGATGCTCGGATATTTTTGAAAAATGGAGAGACTTATTAGAACATAGACGATTGAATCATGTAATTGGTAAGTGAGTTAACTTATATTGTACATCAGTGAGTATAGGTAAAATCTTAAATATTAACATTTTCTTTAACATTTCCCTCCTGTTTCTGCTTCTCCTTGTTTCTACTTTGTGGTAAAAATATTCTAACTATCGGTTGTTTACTCCATTGTTGATTAGGGGATTTTGGCCATCCTCGTATATAAGAAAGCAATCCTACTCCAGCTATTCCAGTCAGCAACCAAATCCAAGAATTATTGGTTACTCCTTCTGTTAGAATTATTATAATTTATTAATGGGTAGGAATTGTGATTAACGTTTTATCGCTTAGTATTTACCATCCGTGAGGCAGAGTGACATTTTTACTGATCCACTTAGATTATTCAATCTAACTTTCGGACCACAAGAGTTCTGTTCTGATAACGAAACACTATTTCCCGATCGATTTAAAACTACTTTCAAACCTTCGAATGCTGCTCTTCCCAATATTATCCTTTCGTCGCTGTGATTGCAAATAGCAAAGATATAGCAAAACGTATTGTAATTGGTAGTTGTATAGTACCGCTGGATAAGGCTGTTCCCTGAATATGCTAACAAGTCATTAAAAATAAGTACCAAGTTGGAATTCATTAATTACATGACAACCATGGGCTCTTACAAATTGAAAATACGTTTCTTTCTGCAGAAAACAAGGTTAGTGTCATGTTTGGTACGATATCCCAGTTTATAGGATTTTCAAAGCACTTCTCTCTGTCCGTCTCCCAGATTCTCAATTCAGGTAGCAGATTGTGTCTTTCTGCAAACTCATGGAGAATGTCTATGACGTTTGAATAAATTCTAATGGGTAGATAAATTCCTAACATGAAAATACAGATCAGGATAAATATCCGGTAAACACACAGACGAGTTTCATTGCTTACCAGGCACTGTATTTTCTAATCTGACTCCTTTGATATTCAATTCTCTGCAGGATTTAGTAATAGCTTTTCCATCTAACAAAATCGACTCTAAAATTATGTCATAAAAGTATGGATCGTTAACCAATGCTTTAAACGTGTTGTTGGATTCTTTAAGTTTTGGGTCTTCTCCGAGCAATACTTCCATGTAACCCTTGGATAACATGTCTTTTCTCTCATAATTTCCACAGAGAACAAATTTAAATGCTACTGGATCTTGTTTATAATTTTTTAAAGCACTATAAAAGCTGATATACCGATCGGTTTTGGGGTTATTCAGTAGCCCGATGAAGCTGGTGCCATTGTTTGGAATTTTGTCCAACAGGACAAAATCAATTCGGACGCTTGGAAGAACATTTGGCATATTGTGTTTTAAAATAGTGATCATGTCTGACATTGCTTTTCCACTATACTCGTAGCCTAGCCACATCACATTAACATTTAGGAACGAGATATATAAATAATTCACATTTCTTACCTTCTCCATCGATGACAGTTTTCTCATAATTCGATAAATGTGCAAACGATTTTTTATAATTGTATAACATTTTTTCACTAAATTCCGGAGATCTCTCTACAATTCCAATTTTGTGCGTCTTCATCGTGTACTCTGCAGGGAAAGGTTGCCAGGGTAAACCTAACTGTATCGTCAATCGATAGTTCTCGATCCAGGACTTTGAATACATCCAGTGCGGTGCTTCGCAGATCAGTAATTTCATCCCAAGTATTGTAGCGCATATTAGGGTTGTTTTGAAAGACCACTTGTCGAAACGTTCTTCTAACAAAGCGAGTTTCACGACGATCCGATTCTGATAAAATTAAAAAGTTGTGGTCAGACTAGATATTTTCTGTTTCCAGAGCACAAGTGTAAGGACTGCGATAAGGTATTTTTAAATAAATCTCATCTAAGAATTCATGGTCAAGTTCACAATGAGAATCGCCCTATCCTGTCCTGCCCGTATGAAAAGTGTCCAAGAGTCTATTATTTCAAGAACAATCTAGACCATCACGTTCGGTCAAAACATAAAGGAAAGAAGTTCCAATGTGACACATGCAAATTTCAACTTTCCACAAAACAAAAACTCATAGAACATATACAAAAGATACACCTAACAAAGAAGAAGAAACCAACTAAAAAAGGCCACCGCCGGAGAAGGAAGGATGCCAGCACTTTCAAAAAGAGTGCCGTGTCGGAACTCCTTGGTTTAAATTTACCTTACCACATGGAGAAAGATTTGTTAGAAAGGGAAACTAGGATTAAGATCGAGACGGAGACGCCTGCTGAACCCATCAATGGATCGAGCAATGAAGAAGATACAATTTAAATAACACATGCTTGTAATCACTATATCACTCACTTATGTATCTATAATTAAATTTAATAGTTATATAAATCAGTCCATGAAAACCTTGCCTCAATACATAGAAGAAACATTAGTGGTACATTCGTGCAGTCAACCGTATATTAATTTTACTTAAACCTTCATTGAGAAAAAATTTTACAAGGTGACTTCTATGATTTAGACGGAGCCTCATTTCATCTCCCCGGTAATACCTGGCAATCGGCTCTGATGGGCTACTCTAGTGTACGATACTATTCTTACATCTCCTTTGACATGTATGCGTGTCATTACCATTTTCACATTGAGTACATCCAGGATTTCTGCTTATCGTCGTCAAATACACCACACGTGTTTGATGAAGGCGAAGAAAAGCTTTTCCAGTTGCTCTCCAACGATAGGAAAGTGAACCTCTCTGCTGTGAAATATTCAGAAAATTATTAATACCAGTAACCCTTTGGAAAATTTCAAGTAAGTCATCGATTCGTTCTCGATTGTTTTTTGTCATTGTTTTCAAAAGCAAAGGGATCGCGCTTGAGCAGTCAGGAAAGTTGAAAACGGCCCTAAGGGTTGAAGGTACTATCAACACTAGGGTGGCCATCTTAGGTCGTGTGTCAAATTTGAGATCAAGTACATTTCCTTCCAGTATTTTACTATATAAATGATACTCGCTGATAAAATTTCCGATTTTAGGAATCCTCGTCATATAAAAACGAGTCCTTCACAAATTTCATGAGGGATCATGTAGTGGGAGAAGAAATATCGAGAAAGTTTCCTTTCGTTGTCGAGTTCGTACCTACGGTTTCTTTTTCTATTAACATGTGATACTGCTTGAGAAAATTCGCTCAGCTTCCGGAGGTGATTCTAATTTAAATTCTTTCATTTTCTGGAGGACCTTCTACTGTTTCTCTTAGAAGAAAAGGATTTATTGTAGAGTTCACATGTTTGGACTTCTGGTAAGAGCTTCCATGTATCTTTAGTTGCTAATTAAAAATCTTGCTCGTAGAGTTGTCTTCCCATTCGTTAGTCACTATGACAGCAATCGATGTAAAGTCCTTGAGTAAAGAAGATGTGGTCGAATTTTTAAACTCCTTCGATACAGTTCTAACAGACTGCGATGGTATGTATGACTGGATATTCTCAGTGTATAATGAAAGTACATAAATAATTTTATCGTAAATATACTCTTATGGTAGTACGGTATCAATTTAATGCAAATGTTTTTGTAGGAGTGCTTTGGATAAGGATGTTACCAATTCAAGGATCTGCGGGCGTAATGAATGCTTTTAGAGAAATAGGGAAAAAAATTTCATACGTTACAAATAACAGTACAAAAACTAGGCAAGAAGTCGTGGACAAATGCATTTCAATGGGATTTGTAGCTTCCGAGGATGAGATTGTGTGCACGGCAAACTTGACTGCCCGTTACTTGCAAGAATTGGGATTTACCCGGAGAGCCTATGTTCTTGGATCGGAAGGTGAAATATTTAATTTAATATAAAATGTGCATTTCTTGTTTCTCTAATTTGAATTATGTATGCATTTTAGGCATTACAAAAGAACTCGACAAAGCTGGTATAGCTCATTGTGGAACCGGTCCTGATCCATACAAAAGCGATACCTCTTACGTATTTAAAGACAATGATATTGGGGCGGTCATTGTTGGATTTGATGAGCATTTTAGTTACCCAAAAATGATTAAAGCTGCATCATACTTAAATGACCCTGCTGTACATTTTATTGGAACTAACATGGACGAGAGATTTCCTGCTGGCAATAACATAGTTCTTCCTGGTATATAATAATTTTTAGTTCATTATAATTTCTACTTAACTTTAATGTATCATAGTGTAATTAAAATCCTTCCTTTAGGGACAGGAAGCTTTGTTCATTGCATTGAAACTTGTAGTGGAAGAAAGGCAGTCGTGATGGGAAAGCCAGACAAATACATGAGTGAAACATTATTAAAATGCCGTGGGTTGGATGCCAAGCGTACGCTAATGATCGGAGATCGTTATAACACTGATATTCTTTTGGGAGCTCGCTGTGGTTTTAAAACACTATTAGTGTTAACTGGTGTAACTACTTTACAAGAAGTTGAGGAGTGGAAACGATCGAATGACCCAATGAAGAGAGCTTTTGTGCCAGATTATTACATTGAGTCTTTGGGTGACTTGCAGCCATATTTATCAATGTACAAACTCGAGTGCAGCATGGAACTGCATCCACGTAACTTAATAAATTAAATGAATAAGGCCTAGGTGTTGATAATTATGGTGTGTCGTACAATATTGATTTTATCCTGCATGTTGTATTGATTATATTTTTGCCGACAGCAGCAAATACTTTTGAACTAGACTTGTGGCTGAACTGCATCACGTTGGGCATATACTTTAATACGTGAGAACATTCCAATATCTTGCTAATAGCCAAATTGGCGTAAGAGGTATGAGCAAATATTTTTTGGGACTCTAAAAATAAAGTAGTAAGATATAACCTCACTTTAATGTTGTAGGTTAAGCTTTTTCCGGGAACCTGTCAAGTTGATTTTGAAGAGGCATGTTTAAGCATTGTAACCGTATTCTATCTACTCAAATATGCGGTGCGTAATTTTTACCAAACAGTGAAATTACTATAATATTAAATCTAGTCGCGTCTTTCGTGAAATCCAAAGATTTAATTTTACAACTATTAATGAGAAGTATGTTTTATTAATATTAGTAAAAGTTCTCGTAATGTTTTGTTGTATTTTTAACATTGTCACCTACATAGTTCTAGAAGCAAAAAGTTTGCGACGAGTAACATTCAGCTAAATTGATAATTATACTATTACATAATCTCATCCACGCAAGGTCATGTAAAAGTGATTCACTACAGTCTAGATTTCTACTTCAAGCCATTAGCTTAATCGTTTTAGAACTGTCATAGGAATAAGTCTACGAGCACACAACTAAGAAATATTTCACTGCGAACAACGTTATACCAGGGTATCGCACAATGGCAGCAAAATATTTAAAGTCGCTTACAAGAGAGGAATTGAAGGATTTCATTAATTCCTTCGATGTGGTTTTATCCGATTGTGATGGTAAATATCCAGTACCTTTTAATAATTTCTTCTTTGTATCTTATATATCCAGGTAAATATATAGCCAAAGGAAAATCACTAATCGTATATAAAATAATCAGGTGTACTATGGGAAGAAAAGGACGCCATACCAGGATCACCCGAAACTGTCAAAGAGCTTAAGGCCCTAGGAAAACGTTTCTTCTACATTACTAACAACAATTCAAAAACAAGATCCGAATTTGTAGAAAAGTGTAGGCACTTAAATTACGATGCAACATTGGTAAATTAATGTGCAGAAGATGGTGCATGCTAAAAGTCGATTTTTCTATAAATGAGTAGTAATTGAAACTGACCTTATTACAGGATGAAGTAGTATGTACGTCCTTTTTGGCAGCAATGTACCTCAAGGAGAAAGGTTTCGATAAGAAAGTCTACCTTATTGGCAACGATGGGATCGCAAAGGAACTGGAGGCTGTGGGCATCGAGCACATTGGAAACGGAGTAAGCAAGTTGATAAATGGTCTACTGTTCGACAGCATTCGCTTCTTCTTTAAATCTGGAATTTATAGCCCGACGTGATAGAAGGTGAAATACTCGACGAAATTCTCAAATTTCACCCAGATCCTGACGTGGGAGCAGTGGTTGTGGGCTTGGATAAACATTTTAGTTACCTTAAAATAATGAAGGCGATGACTTACCTCGGTGATCCAAACGTTCAATTTGTCGGCACCAATTGTGACATTCACATACCGTCACCCAATTGCAATCGATATCCAGGTAAGCTCAAGACTGATCGTAGCCGGCTGGAAGTTTTAATTAAATGCCTAATCATTTTAGGAAGTGGGTGTTTCATTAAATCTATTGAGATAGCCAGTAAGAGGAAAGCTGTGATGCTGGGTAAGCCGGAAAGATACATCAGCGAGTACATAATAAATAAGTACAATTTGTTGCCAAGTCGCACGCTGATGATCGGAGACAAGTAAGCTATTGGAGTTAAGGTCATTAAATTTAATGAATGTAATTAAAAATAATAAACGTTCTTACCGTGTACCCTTCCAGCTGCAACACGGACATTCTTCTTGGCAAGCGATGTGGGTTTACAACGTTACTCGTATTATCCGGAGTAACGACCAAAGCTGACGTAGAAAATTTCAAGAGTTCGCCATCGGAGGACGATGCGAACGTCATTCCAGATTTTTACACCGAACAACTCTCGGACGTGGCGCAGCTTCTTTCTGCTCCTTAACGAGAAAAGAAAAAAGAAAAAAAAAAAATGAAAAGCAGAGATTACACGTCCCAGCACAAAATATTTAAGTAGAGAGATATTCTATTCTTGTTCCTGTACATACCGCTAAACGCGCGCACATCGAATCTAGGATTCACGTATGCTATACTTACTTGCCCGCCGTTTCCAACTAAACATTCACTTTGAACATTCACGTCATTTACATAACTGAGAGTATTATTTTCCAAGTACAACCCAAGAGCACTCGATGCTTCTGTAATCACTAACAGCGAAACGAAATAAAAAGATCTAATCATCGGAGACACTGAGAATAACTAAACCGTTCATCCGACTTATTTGCATTGCGAACGATTCCGAATAATCGAATCGCGACGAGGAAGCCGAAAATGGGGGGCAGAGTTTCCATGCCCTCGGATGCCACGTTTATTTCGTATGTACAGTAACGCCGAGCTGAAACTTAATACTAGCAACGAGCGCTACCTAAACCGCATATTTTACAGAGGAAGCTACGAAAGAATAACATTTCCAAGGATCGTTGCGGTGGCGTTAACGAGGACGTCCTCGCGGATCTGCGATTAAATGAAATAAAATGGATACGACTCCCCGGGCAAACCTAGATACGAATTATCGGCTATTATATTTACAGGCTACGTTATCGTCCGCCAATAGAATATATATATACTCGTATTTATAATTATATTACACTTACGTCTGCGGCGCGATCGGTCCTGGACATCGAGGGCCAGCAATTAAGGGCGTTAATTGGTCGAAAATGAACACTCATCCGACACTCGGTTCCAACCACTTGTCCTCGTTGCAAGATCAACGATCAGGAGAAAAAAAAAAAAAAAATGACCGACGATCTCCCGAAAGCTCGAGTCCGAATATCGGATTCCCGAGGACACCGGGAACCTCGGAGATATCTCTCGTTTCACGCGATACTCGCGTCGGCCGCGTGATAGCTGATCCTCTCGCTCCTGGAGAGGTAGGCGTACCAGTAGAAGAGGTTGATGGCCAGGAAGAGCAAGGGGAAGACGACCCTGCTGGCCCGGTCGATTTTCGATACGGAATTGTACCTCGGAGCTCTTCTCCGTCTGCGGTCGTGTCCGCGTTCCTGCCTCCTGTCGGAGAGCCGTCTCGTCGGGGTCGTCGAACACGCCATGTGAGTCCTAAGGGTCTGCTCGACCCGCTGCATCCGATCTCTTCCAGGAGTCGGGCTGTAGGATACACAGGATAGTTGCCACTGGCTCCCGGGTCGAGTCCTGGGAGGTTCCGGGAGGGCGGAAAGAGGAATCACCTCGACGAGGCCCTCGCCGTTCATCCTGGAGGACCTGCTGCCAGCCCTGGACGTCGAGGACTCCCCCGATGACTTCCTGCGAGCCTGGACGAGACGAGGTCACCGGTTAGTTCCTCCTCCGATTTTCTTACCGTCTTGGAATAAATTTATGTCATTTCGATTAACTTGACTTTCCGCTGGCATCCAGGAGCATCGTCCGACCGTCCTGTGGGGGAGGTCTTCCTCGCTGGAGCTGTCGGTGTCCAGGTCGGAGCTGAAGTAGCACTCCCCCGAGCCGTACTTGGTGAAGTAGTGGACCACCGCGAACTGGATGATGGTGGCGAAGATGAAGGCGAACGAGAGGAACACGAAGAAGTCCAGGGCAGTGGGATAAGGAACCTTGGGGAGGTCGGTCCTGGCCTCCAGCCCGAGGAAGGTCATGGTCAGCACCGTCGTAATCCCTGCACAAAAGGCACCGACTGTTCACCGCTGTCGTGGAAGTCGCCGTTTTACGACTGGCCGTGATTTTTCCGGGAGTTTACGAGAACGGACGCGAGAACCCGCGGGAACCGATTCCCTCTCTCTGCCAGGGCGATTCCGCTCCTGGCAGACGCGTCTCCGTCGCTTTCGGATGCAAATCCCCTTTCTCGAGGACCGACCCGGTCGAAAGACCTCCTCGAGTTTTACGACGGATCCCCGGGGCCGCGTTTCCGGCTTTTCGGTCAGCTCTTCGGGAAGTAGCGGAATCGCCTCCGTTTCCGCGGGTACGCGAGTTCCTTCGACCGGAGGTGCCATGCACATGTATATGAATTTTAATAATGGATTTTAATACACGACGCTTCCGATCTTTAGGATTTGAAAGCCACGTCCGGGTAATCCGAGTCGATCGACCTGGGTCGTAGCCACGTAGTGCGAAGTCGCTCTTCGACGTATTCGGCTTAATGTAAAGTGATCCTATCCGCGAGGGAGGTCCATACTAAGCATATGTCATTCCGCCCGGGCAGGTACAGAATGGAGCCTAATTCGAGTCCTGATCACAGGATCCAGGGTTTATACGAGGGTCCTTCGTCGGGCCGACCGGATAGCCATGATTCCGGAGGTAGTAGCCTAATTCAAATTGAAATCCCAGGGAATTTACCGAGGGAGACGCGATCGGCGGTGGCCTCCCGGTTGAGCCAGAAGGAGACCCAGGAGAGGACCACCAGGAGCACGCAGGGCCCGTACACCTGGATGAGGAAGTTGCCCATGTGCCTCTGCAGGTGGAAGGACACCAGCAGCATCGAGTAGTCGGCTGGAAAAGAGAGACGGGCGTCGATCGAGGGAACGTCCTGGAAGACGGATCGAGGATCCACCTCCCGCAGGAGGCGACTCCTTCGGGATAACGCGCGCTGGGCGGAGCCTGGCCAGGAGCCAGCCCGATCGGGATTTAATTAGCGACCCTCGACGTAACAATCGGGAAGAGTCCTCGGGATGGAGAGGATCAGCGGGGAGCCCCAGGACCCGCCCCTCCAGGACTCGGCCCCCAATTAGCTCCCTTTGTCGAGCGGCGCGAGGTTCTCTCCCTTTTCCTTGTTTTCGCGATCCACCCTCGATTCCTTCCTTATCGGCGGAAACTCTTCCCTTTCTCGTCCTTCGACCCCTAGGGATAGGTCCTTTGACGTATCCCTACCTCCTCGTCTGCATCCTTACCCTCCACTCTTTGACATCCCTTTTCTCGGCGGTTCCTGGCGTTTCCCCTCTGGTCCGAGGGATCCTCTCGCGTGCGGGAGACAGTGACCCAGGTCAGGGTTCGGCAAACTCGCGGCTTCACTCGATTAAGGACCTCCTTTATTCCCGGAGGAGCGGAGCAGCTTCCTCTCCCGGATGGCACGCGATAGGCTCCCGAGTTTCCCCGGGATTATTTAGTTATCCCCCTGGGGACGTCGGCTAGACTTCTTCCCGAAGGAGTGTATATATATTTTTGTCAACCTCCCTTAACCATTTTACGGGCTTGAGCGAGGCGTCGTAATAAGGGAGGACTAGATTTACCTCGAGCCCGCGGGACCTCAAGGGACGTACCTGGATGAGGGAAGTTCGTTAAGGGGATATTTTCGACTCGTGGCCGACATCCGAAATCCTCCCCCGGCCGGATATTAGATCCTCAAACTCGGGATTTCTGCACTTTTGTGCTCCGGGGGAGAGAGACACTCGAGCGTGTATGTGCCGTGCAAACGCGGGGCTCTAACGAACTTCTCCAATCCAGGACGAGTTCCCTATTTCCCGCGACTTATCCCCGGGATGCCTCCTCGGCGATGATCATTAAACCGAGCTCCGGTTAAATTTCCCGATAAATCGACTACCTTGCGACAAGGACGGCGCCGAGTGATTCGCCGTGGGGTTCGCGACCAGGTCGAACTGCGAGAGCTTCATGTCGTCGGCGATCGCCACCTGTCTGGCACTGTTCCACTTGTAGACGACGTCCCTGCTCGTGTATCCGACTGCGAATCAGGAAATTAGGGATTAAAGTGCAAGCGTCGATAAGAAAAAAAAAAAAGAAAAAAAAATGTCTCTTAACAAATCGTACCGGAGAGAAACTCGAGGAACGACTTTAAGGGAGGAATCGAAGGGGATGGAGGGATGGGTCGTCGATCCCAGGAGAAGATATATCGTCATGGGAGGTCTGGCAATCGTCGGGGATGTCGGGGGGATCCCATAGGGTTCATAAGGTCGCCGGAAATAAGGTCTCGGTCGTCCCCTCCGTCACCCTTCGAGAACGCACCCCTCTCCCCTGGGAGACGCACGTCAAACTCGACGGGGACGTTTTTAACGGCGCCGAGAGAGACGGCGTCGACGTTCCACCTTGGCCGGGTGATAAGAGGGGGCGTTATCTAAGTGATAAATATTATTAATTAAAGATCCATCACTCACAGCTTCCGAACTTTAGGGGGCATCGCTGGGTGTCCATCGGGAAGTCCTCCAGGTTCATCGGACATCCTGCCTTGATGGTGAGCCTGAAGAAACGGTCGACGTTAGCCGGAGGAAAGGATCCATCACGAGGAGAGGGACGTCCTGGAAGAGGAGTCCTGCCCAGGGTTTGAGCGAGCACCTCCGTCTAGGACTATTCGGAAGGACGATCGCCCGAGAGAGAAAGCCATTTTCGGGAGCAGGAAAACTCCGGTACCCCCGGACAGAGATTTAAAGGGGTGCGGACGAGCGTAACAAGGGAGGTGAAGAGAACCAGACCGGAAGACGAATTTCCGAGATCCTGGACCTCTCGTATCCAGGATCCTGGTAATTTACCAGCGTCCGGGAGAGCACCTGGGACCGTGTCAGAAAATAGGAAAAATCTGCCTCGCACCGTTAGCAATCCCGAAGAAACGTCCTCCGCGTTCCCCAGGAATTCCTCCTCCCCGGGGAATAAAAAGAAAAGGAAAAAGGCGACGTTTTGCGCCATCGATTCCGAAAACGCGGTTCTTGGCCGAGAAAAAAAAAAAAAAAAGAAAATGGGTCGGCCAAGGACCGCGTTTAGAAGCTCGTTCCGCGTGGCGTTTTTCCCCCCGAGTGGGGTGTTAAGAGAAAAAGGAGAAGTCGAAGAAAAGAGGAAGAAGTCGCGTTTTCGCGGAAGGTGGAGGAAGAGGAACCGGAAGTGGAATCGAGAGGGACGCGGAGGGCCTCGAAGAGACCTCGGCTTTGTCTCGGGCCGACGATTGACTCGATTTATCCGAAAGTAGGGCCCTCCGGTAATTTTCCCCCGGCAATTTTCGCGCCCATTGTTCCCGGGCTTTCCCTCGGGAGCGACGAGGGCTCGAGAAAGAGAGAGAGAGGGACTCGAGAGACCATCTCGCGGCGAGATCCGCGACTTTTCGCCCGACTCCGGGGAAAAGCGGGGAAAACCGGGACGCAGGGGAGGGCGGCCGACTTCGCCTCCGGGTTTCTCCCTTAAACAATGCTAAATAAATGCCAGACGACGCCTCGGGGGTGAGTCCTCGCGAGCGAGAAAATTTCTGCCGGGACGAAAAGAAGCGCGGAAAAACCTTTATACCCGCTTCCCGGCCGTTAAGGGGAACAACCGTGTTTTTTATATACCGGGACCAATTAATTAATGAACGCGTTAATCGGCGTACAAGTGTATCAACGGCAAGGGAAAAAGTGTTTTCCCCCGGGATTATTTCGGACGGGCCATTCGCTCGTTCCCGAGAGTAGTTCGGCGTCCCGCGGGAGAGAATTCCGCATCCGGATATGTCCCGGGGATCGAGGGGAATGGGATTATTTCCAGCCGTAGCGCGCAAAGTCGCGGGAGGACCGGCGCGGAAAAATGACAAAAGGCCCGAGGAAGAGGCTCCGCCATCTGGCACGTGGCCACGGATCGCGAGAGAGAATGGGCCGCCTTCATCTCGAATCTCGTTCCCGGAGTCCCGTTCCTTCTCTCCCTTCGTTATACCCCCCGCTAAGAGGGGTAGCGGAACCATTAATGAAAGAATTAAAAAAAAAAAGAAAAAAAATGAACAGACCGACAGAAATGATTCGTCGATTGACAATTCCCAGGAGAGGAGAGGATTTCACGGTCGGGGTCCTCTGGGGCGATCGATTCGGTCCCCGGTCGCGGAATCCGGTGGAAGGGCCGGGAACGTATCCCGGATCGTCCGCCTGAGCGAGTCGCGGGGAAAATCTCCGGGACTCTGCTCCTCGGGGGAGGGATCAGCCCCCGGGACAACGTCTGGCCGGTCTGCCGGATAAACGGAGACGTCCCCTCGCGAGGAGTCCATTTGCTCGTCCGTGAGAGCTTCGACTTTCTAGAGGGTCCCGAAAAGACGTCGGGAGGGACCCGAGCCCGAGGACGAGGGGAAGAGCCTCTCCTCCCTTCTCCGTATCCCCGAGCTTCCTCTTTGGGAATTAAATGAAAATTCGCTTGGTCGTAAAGGCGCAAACGATCGAAAATCAGGTCGCGGATCTTTTGACAGGAGCCTCGCTCCCTCTCTTTGCCGAATAAACAGGAATTAGTGCGGGCGCGCCAACTGCGGCCGGTGGAGGTGCAGCTGACTGCGCCGGAACCGGAAACGGGACGAGGTGCGGAAGAAGGGACGGAAGTCCCACCTGGAGCTGTAGAGCACCCTTCCGTCCTGATAGAGCCTGACGAACTTGTTGGGGCTGGTGATGGTGTGCAGGTAGCTCTGCTTCCCGTTGTAGAAGTAGGTGTCGGGCTTCCAGATCCTGGCGAGCATGGAGATGCTGAGGGCGAGGGTCTCCTTGCCCCCCTGGAAGGCGAGCCTCCGGTCCACCCAGGACTGCCGGAAGTAGCAGTCCATCGAGTAGGTCTAGAATCCCCAAACGCGGTCCCGGGATTATTCTACGGGATTTTACACGTATCCTTGAAAGGCAGAGGCGATTACCATGTCGACCTCGGAGATGGGCCCCATGCTGCGCACCATGATGTCGACCTCGACGGTCGCGGGGGGTCCGCCGAAGTCGGGCCTGACGCTGTTGTCGTATCCCCGAAGAAGGTTGTCCAGCAGCTCGGAGATGTTCCCGTGGTTGTTGCTCTGGGTTCTCTGCCTCGGCCCCGCCGCGACCCTGGGGAAGAGGATCCCAAATAGAGGAGGAAAGGACCTCCCTCTCTCTCTCTCTCTGGATCCTGAACCGTGGCATAGGTCAGTGCCGACTTTTGTCCTCGCCCTTTTACAACCCTCCGGGTCTTCCTTAACGCGTCGTTATCACCCATAACCCAGCCGCGACACGAACCGCGCTTTACAAGGACCCTTATCACTTATCACCGATCCCGTTCTTTACAGCCCCTCGCCGGATCACGTCCCACCCTGGCAGGTTCGCGTCGTCGTTAAAGGGAGAAGAGCGTAAAACCTCCGGAGACGAGGTAAGAAGGAGCCTCCTCCGAGGCATCCGGGAACTCGAGGCGGTTCCCGAGGAAGAGACCCCCAGGAGTGCCTCGAATGCCGGGAATCCGCCCCTGGCGACGAGCCTAGGGCTCCGAGCGCGAACCCTTGCCTTGCCCCACCTCGTCGTCGACTTGCCTATATATCTATATCCATATAAATCTATATACCTATATATACGTCCCCCCCCGCGGCCGCACATACCGCGCGTACATACACCCCGTGGATTTACTTCCGGCCGGCGCATCGCGGCTCGTCGGAAATGATACGCACGCCAGGGGATGGAAATTGGAGCGAGGATGCATCCTCCGCAAGGATTCCCATCTTTTTTTCTTCTCCCCTCCTCTCCTTTTTTTCGCTTCCTCCATTTTCCCCCGTCGTTCGGTTTGGCATTAACGAGGCCCGACGATGCCCTGACCACAGACAAGTTTCGATCCTCGCCGGTGGGATCGGCTAATTGGGTTAATCGACGGATGTAAACGGGCTCGATGGGTCGCGGCTCATCTCGTTACGACGTTATCTGCTTATCCGCTTATCGATGCTTATCATTCGCCGAGTCCTGGACGAAGGAGGACGGGCTAAGGAGATGACGCGAATCGGGATAAGAGACGAGACGCGAGGGAAAGACCCTCGAGATGACGAATTGATAAGCAGGGGGTCGATAAGAGAAATAGAGAGAGAGAGAGAGAGAGAGAGACTCCTGGATGATTTGTCGGAAGAAGGGTCCCTCGGGACGTTTCAATTGTCCGAGGATACCGGGGATTTCCTCGGCTTACAGGAGGGAGACGTAGGAGGTGACCAGGTTGACGAGGGCCAGCAGGACTCGCTGCTTCATGGTGGGGCCCAGGCTTCCCGGGCGTCCTTGGGTTCCTCCGGGACCCGGGGACTAAGGGCTCCTCCGAGCCCTCGCCGCGTCGTCCTGCAACCAGTTCGTCCCGAGTTATCGAACGTCTCCTACCTCTTTACATCTGGAAATGAACGAATACGTTAAATCGCCGGACACCGGGTCGATCGGAAATTTCGGGGGTCCGGGTGGTCCGGAGGGAGGTCCGCCGTCCGAAGCCCGACAGCCCTCGTTAGCGATTTCGTCCTGCGGTCGCGCCGCGTCGTCGAATCGACGCTGTTTGCCGAACGTCGGTCCCGATCCTGGAAAATCCTCCCGAAAGCTCCCGGAAGCTCGCCAAACCCTCGTCGATAACCGCGATCTCGCTTTTATCGCCCCTTCCTCGCGTCTCCGGATGCGCCGAAATCCCGGGCCTCGTCCTTTCAATTTTTCCCTATTCCCTCCCCTGCGTTCCCGAGGACGCCGACGCTCGCGGAAATAAATGGAAGATCCTTCGGGATTAATTATTATATATTAATTAATTCGGAAACCGATTCCTATTTAACGCCTCGCAGGGAGGGTTGGTTCGCCCCGTGGATGGGAGTCCTCTCGGGAGCCGGGAAGTAGTCTAAGGAGCTCGTCTTCGGGAACGAGAGAGAGGGTGCTTTCTTCGGGGTTGCTCGCAGGTCTCCCTATTTTTTTTTTTTCTTCTTTTTCCCCTCGCGAGTATTCCGCGCGTCCGGGAAGAGCGAGTTATATTCGCCCACAGCGACGCAACGACGGGTTAAGAGAGAGAGAGAGAGGGAGGGTACTCCTTTGACAAAAATTAACCCATTTCCCGGTCCCTTCTCCCTGGCCTAGTTTCCCGAAGGAAATCACCGCCGTCCCCGCGGAAGGAGAGGGAGAGAGAGAGAGAGAGAGAGACCCGATCGAGAGCAAATAATCTTGACCGATTGCCTCGCGGAATGAAATAATCCCATCGAGGACCGTTTTCGTCGGGTCTCTTCCCATCCGGATCCCGCGATCCCGAGGGAATATCCCCGGGACGGCGAGGAACCTCTCGTCGAGATTCGAGCCGCGCGTTCGCGGAACTTCGAGGGTAGGAGGGGAAGAACTAGGGAAACAATGGATATTTCAGGACCCACGAAGAAGCGACATCCGAGCGGTCGCGGCCTCCTCGGGTCCCTCGGGATAGGGAGACAAAGGACACCCGGAATCTCGGCCCTCGGACTGCCAGGCAACGGCGGACAACAAATCCCCGAAATCCCCCGTCAGTCTCGATCTGAAATGGCATTCGAGATGTGCCGATTAAATTTCGGTCTCTGAGTATCACCCCGCACCCCCCCACCCCCAGATCCGTTCGGTCCTTCCGGTCCCGGAAGAAATCCCGGAAAAAAGAAAAGAGACAAAAAAAAAATATATAAATTATATCCCCGACTCCCGGAGACCCAGCCCGGTCGGATAGAGGAGGATCTCCCGGAGCGGTTCCAAGAGAGGGTGGCTCGATTCCTTCGCCCCGGCTCGAAGGATCGACTCGAAGGACGAGGAGAAACTTCAACGACGGTCCCAGGAAGAATCGCCGAGGAGTTCCTCGAGATATGGTGTCGGTCCCCCGGGTGACGGAGAGCAGGACGTCGCAGGACTGAGGGGCGACTCCCCAGGGAAGAGAAAGGGTATTCCGGATCCGGGTGGATGAAGTCCGGGTCGGGCAGGATGGTGCGCCCCTCGAACCCCCGCCTCATGGCCCGGGTCATGGAGGCGGTGACCCACCTCTGCGAGGGCAAGGGCTCCTCCGCTCGAGACGTCCTGGACTTCCTCAAGCGAGGGTCGACCGGGTCCGCCAGGAACCTCGCGATGCAGGTAAGCTTCCGGCCGGGTCCCTCTTCGGGGGAGTAACTCGACTTCACCGGATGGTCCAGGTCCAGAGGGCCCTGAAGCACGCCGTCAACGCGGGCCTGCTGCGGCATCGCGGGGGGCGCTACAAGGTCCTGATAGGGCTGAACCCGAGGACGGTGCCCTACCGCGCGGACGACGGCGGCTACAAGGGCGACGGCCTGCCCGAGCTGGTGGACAACGCGCCCCCCGGCCTGGACCCCACCCAACGCGTACAGGACCGCAAGTGAGCCGAAAAGAGTCGTCCCTCGATTCTTCCCGATTTCCCTCGGTTTCTCTCGATTTCTCTTTCCCATCCTTCGGGAGGTATAAACAATAAATCCTTATCCGGCGGTCCCGTCGATAAAACCCTTTCTTCCCGACAAAGTGAGAGGGGAGCGTCGCGGCGCGATGAGCCGGAAGCGGGCTTTCCTTTCTCTTCGCTTCTTTTTCGCCTCCTCGCCGATTTCTTTCGGCTTTAACAAACGCGACCTGATCCCCAGGGGCCGTAAAAAGCGACGGAGGAGGCGTCGGAAGGGCCGCAAGGGCCGGCGACGGAGCAGCGCGATGAGCCGGAAAAGGGCCCCGGCAGCGAAGAGAAAACGAGCTTCGACGGAGCAAAGAGCTCGACTGCGCCGGGCCCGACGCCGGGCCAGGAACGAGGAGCTCGAAGACTGGCCGCCCCGACGCCGGAGGATGGTCTCCAAGGACCTGGTCGAGGACGAGGGCCTGCAGCACCGCGGCGGAAAGCCGAAGGCCCCGAGTCCGGTCCCCGACCGCTACTCCGATGAGTCCGTGGCCAGCGACTACGAGGACAAGCATCGCCATGGAAAATCGGGCCATTCGGGACATTCCGGGCATTCGGGGCACTCGGGCCACTCCGGACCCTCGAGGCACGGTAAGGCGAAAATTCGAAAAAGACGAATATTCGAAAAGACGAAAATTCGAAAAAGACGAATATTCGAAAAGACGAAAATTCGAAAAGACGAAAATTCGAAAATACGAAAATTCGAAAAGACGAAAATTCGAAAAGACGAAAATGCGAAAAGACGAAAATTCGAAAGTGTGAAAATTCGACTCGTGAGAAATTTCGAATTTTCACACCTCCGAGGGGACGGGAAAATGACGAGTCGCGATTCTCCCCTGCTTGTGAAATTCGCGTCTTCTAACGATACGAAAACGATGCCGTTCGCAGGATCCCCGACTCCTCGGAACCCTTCGCGGCCCCCGCACGGCGAGAGGGAGCACAGGAGGCACTCCAGGAAGAGGTCCTCCTCGAGACATCGCAGCCAGCCCCGGCAGCCGCCCCCGCAGCAGATGCAGCAGCATCCCCACGAGGACCACGACATGCCCTGCGACGTCGACCCCGCGGACGAGGAGAGATCCGGATCCCCTCCCGACAGAGACACCGAGCGACCCTGTCGGCCCAACGACAGCGGGAGTGGCAGCAGTCTTTGAAGAACCCACGCCGACCGCCGCCATCTTGGTTGCGACTCCACCCTCCCCTCTCGACACCTTTCCACGACCTCCCCTGCTCGACTCCGGTGTTTCCTCCCCGTTTATTTATTACGTATCTACTTTCTCTCCTCGTTTACCCATTTACTAATCGGACAATCGTGGAACGTCCTTATATATTATTTTTACGTGAAAGAAGAGTCGAGGAGGTCGAGAAGGCGTATAGAGAGGAGGGCCTGGCAGGGATCCCGAAGAATCGATCGGTCGATCCCGGAAGGTGTCCCCTCTCGCGAGAAACCCTTTCGAGAGCGCCGAAACAAAATTCCAGTGACTCGAGTCGTCCGAACTCACCCCCTGTATGCGGAAATAAATCCATCCCCCATGAAGCAGGTGAGGACCTCCCCTCCTATTTTTTTTTCAATTACACCCCGAATCGTGAAATTCGCCTACTCGCGGGAACCACCTGTTGTTCCGCCCTCGGGGACCGAGAAGAGGGCAATTTAGCGATTGTCCCCGAAATTGTCCGGGCCGGTGTATATCTATATCCGGGAAAAGTGCCTCGATATTCTCTTCCCGGATATATGTATAAGGTACGCCGACTTGAAATTAGGGTAATTTAAATATCGGCAGGTGAGGGTGACTAAGTTTTTCAAGGATGACCCGGGACTTCCGGCGCCTCCAGTCACCCCTTTAGGATCCAGGAGAGGCGACGGTATGCGTCCAATAAACGTCGAGGAGTGACGAGAAAAAGACACACGCCTCTCGGGGAGAATTTCGAGCGAAGGGGCCAAAGGAGCGTGGGTAACAAAAAATTCGGAAAGAGAGGAGAACGGGTGAAATCCTCTTTGTAGGTCAGCCGCGTTAACGAAGCACCCCTAAGCGGGCTTTTACTAATAAATCGAGGAAGGCTTTCCCGAGGGTAAAAGAAAAATCAGAAGAGAAGAAAAAAAAAAGAAAAGAACAGGAAGAAAGCGAGCTCCGATGCGCCGAGGCTCCTCGAATTCGAGGACTCCCGGTTTTCCTCCTCGCGAAGTCGTCCCTTCCTCTTCTGCGGGAATAATCTCCGCAAACAAGGTGTAGAGGGAGAGAGAGAGGGAAGGAAAAAAGGAAATACGGGAAAACAAGCAATCGCGGTGGAGGAACGTATCCGGCCCGACACTCGAGGAAACTCGAGAGGCGAGGAAAAGCGGTCGGATTCGAGTTTCCTCGGTTTAAAACTTGTTCTCCTCCGATCGGGTTCTCGGGAACTTTCCTCCCGGACCGAGCCGGAGGGAAACCAGGGATACGGATCCAGGACGAGAGACGAGGCTCCGAAGAATTACGATCGCGTGATTATTTGTCGCGAATGTCGAGGCCGAGGGCGGATAAATAAACAGAGAAGCGGGCGATAACGAACCCGGGGAAAACCGATTTGATTAGACTCGAGGGTCTCGGAAGAGGGGCGATCGAAAGGACCTTCCAGGATGCGAGTCGAGACCCTTGGAGACGAGAGGAAAAAGAGGGACTCCGAGATTAAGGCTGATTTTCCCCCGGAAAATTTTTAACGGAAACTCAAATAAATAAATAAAAAAAATAAAAAGAGGGAAAAGGGACGTACCGAAAGAAAAGCGGCACTAATCGTAAATAGGCGCGAGAAGAAGGTCGAGGGGGCGTTCGATCGGTCTCGCTGCGCTTCGTACTTTTCGCACATCCAGAAATTCGACCGATCCTCCCCACAGAAGTATTCGGGGGGGAATTTGGTAAGAGCTTGCGGCACAAATCCGCCTCGTTATCGAGGGCCAAAGGAAAAGCTCGTCAATCCCGCGGAAAAGGCGCTCGAGTCGGGATTAACGGCGAGTCCTATTTCTCGACGGTCTCGTTATCACCGGCCGGCCAAAGGGGTTTCCGATTGCGATTACAAGACGAGGGATCGAGGAGAGCGACCTCCCGGTGATCCCCTCGATCGAGACCCCGAGCGCGCCCTCGTTCATACGCCGAGAAGGTCGAGGAGGCCTATACACGTTCACCACGTGCCCGCGACTCTAAAAGCGCCACACCCTGGATATATCCAGGGACTTTTCAAGAACATTTACATCCCTGAAAACCTGGGAAAATTTCAGGCGAGGTGAAAAGGAAACGACGAAAGGGAGAGAAATGAGAAGGAAAAAAAATCCAGGACTCACCTCGGCGCGACCGCTGCGGTACTCCCTTGGTAGCATGGTCTCTTCGGCGCGTCGGAGCGGATCCAGGGAAGTCCTTCTTCGTCGGAGCTCCGTCACGAGGGCCGCCCGCGACTCGTCGGGCACCCGCACTTCCTCCCACTCATCGCGGTAGAAGGTCCCACCTCGGCTCCTCGGGACGCGCCGGGACTCCCTGACTCCGGACGAGCGACGCGCGACTCGCGCTTCCCCGAGGACCGACGGGGACCACGTGGTCTGGCCGCGGAGCGTCGCGACGCGCTCGCCATTCGCCGGCCGAGGCTCGTTTGACGGTCGGCGGTCCGATGCCCGACGCCCCACGTGACCGCCCCCACCACCTACCGGCGCGCCGTTAAACTCCGTTAAACGGCGTTAAACGCCGTTTAACGCCGTTTAACGCCGTTTAACGCCGTTTAACGCCGTTTAACGCCGTTTAACGCCGTTTAACGGCGCTCGACTCCGCTAGAACGGCGTTTTTTACCCAGAGGGTATTTTCCTCGTCACTATAGACAGCGCAAAAGGGGGGGAATAACGAGCGAGGGGTATAATCGGGATTATCGAAGGCTTAACGAACCCATCTAGGATTTTTTAATCCAATCCGCCCTCACATCCGGGCAAGCGATCGATCGATCGAGCAAGAGCCCGATAAATGATCGAGGGGATGACGATAAACATTCGAGGCGGGAACGGAGGCGAGAACGAATTTAGGGTTGCGCGATTCGATTCCACTTGGCTCGCCGCTTCTTCGGGGGAAAAGGGGGAATCCCGCTCCCCCCGCGGGCTCGAATTATGAGAGGAGTCGATTCCCTCGTTTACGGGGGAAAAATGTCGCCGTTTCGCGTTATTCCCCCGGAAGCCTAGGGGCCCCGATAATTTCCTCCCTCTTCCGCGGACGATATTCCGGGGAAGGAAGCTCCTTAAAAGTCGGGCCAACCCTTTGCGCTCCTCCCGCTTTCAAGCCGGTCCTCCCTCCACCTCGTTCCTCTTTACGCGGCTTAGTAAAATAAACCCAATTCCCGGGGAATCTCCGCTCGTTATCCCGCCCCCGGAATTACAAAACGGAGCCGCCGCCGGAGCACCCATTAAGAGGGGGCTAGATATAATTAAGATAAATAATTCATGCGTTTCGATCTCCGGTTCTTTCCTCGTCCAAGGACTCGGAGGTAAGGACCTCGTTCCCGAGACCCGGTCTTGGTTAAAATTTCATATTTAAGATTTAAGATCCCTCCCCGAGGAAAAGGTACGATCGCGATCGGGGCTGGTCGATTTCTCGGGGTTTTAGCGAGCCCGGAGCCCCCGGCCCATTGTCGAGGTCGCCCCGGAAGCCCGAAGGCTCGGCGGAGAGTTTCGATCACTCCGGGCCGAGGTCGTTCCCGACAATGGATCGCTCGGGGAAATCCCGATCCCGGTTCCCGATCCCCCCGAACTTCGAGGAACTCGGGAATTTCCATTGTACCGGCCCGATCCTCGGGGCGGCGGGGTGACACCCCCACGGGCCAATGTTCGGGGAAACGTCGCCCCCTCGCTTGTTGCCGTTACCCCCGCCGTAGTTCCTGGAGTTTGACGGAAGCCCCAGGGGAGTAGGGATTTTCGTACGCGATCTTGATACCGATCGATCCCTTATTAATACATTTTTATTCATTTCACATCCCGGAGCGAGAGCTCGGATCTACCGAGACGTGCTCGCGAGAGGGTTTCCCCTATTCCCCGGAGCCGTTTAACTCGGCGACTCCTGGAATCAAAGTCGCCCCCGAGAAGGCTGGATTTAATCTCGTCCCTGAAAACGCTCTTTCCTCCTTCGACGGGCGACGTGCGCCCCGATGCACCCCTTATGCCCCACCGATGCCCTCCGTGTGTACCGAGTCGAGGAGCGCCGAGTTACCTCCCGGCATCCAGCCATACTCCTCGGATGGATGGTCGGATGCTAGTCGGCTAGGTAAACATTAATCGTCGCAAATTAAACCCCCCCCACGAGGCAGGAGGACTCGGTTGGCCGACTTTGCCGGCGATTATCGACGATTCCTTCCCCGAGCTCGTCTCAGAAGTTCCGGGATCCTTGTGATCGTTCCTTCGGGACCATTTGTCGACCCGATCGATCCGACCTGTCCCACCTGTGGGCAAACCGATCGATCGCATCCGCGTTTAAAGTCTCGACGCGGGAAAACATCGATAGGGAATCGATCGGTCGTAGGGTCGAAGGGAGCCCCAGGGCCGCTCAAGGCAAAAGGCAAAAGAGGGTTGAGGTTAGACGGAGAAACTCGGCCCGGAGCGGCGAAGGGTGCTTCAACATGGCACCATCAGCGATATTCAGACCCGCCACCACCCCTCCACCCTGCATCCCAATAACCTACATTCGATAGACCGAGCCGAAATCTTCGGAGGACGCGACTTCGCCCCTCTGCACCCTTTTTTTCCCCTCACACCCCCGCCTCGCGTGATCGAGTCAATATGGGTGTTATCAAAAATAGACACCGTGGAAGTGCTCGCCGCAAGAAAAAAAGAAATATTGAAAATTCTCAACTTTCAGGGGGATTTCAATTTTTTTTCTCTCTCTCTTTTTTTTTTCTTCTTCAAGGCGCGACTTCGCAGCTCGCCAAACGAAGTATTTGCATTTCGCTCCCGGAGGTGTCAGAAATCAGGAGCGCCCGTCGCGAGAGGGTGGAGGAACTCTCCCCTCGTTTCCTTTTTCTCGGCTTCCTCCGGCGAGTAAATCGGGAATAACTCGATATCGAGGATTTGGTCGAGCGCGAACGAGTCGCGCCGATCGTCCGGGAAATTCCCCGGAGACGAGGAGTCCGAGTCGGATTCGAGGATTTCCCCGGATTTCCGTATTTCCGGGGATTTTTCGCGACCGGCCAATTGGACCTCCTCCTCGACAGGCTTTTAATTGCGCGTCGAGCCAAGTGTTCCCCTTCGCATCCATACTAACGAGGAGGTCCTCAATTTATATCTGAATATTTATCGGCTTATCATCCCAGGATCCAGGACCGCCGGTCGATTGATTACCCAGCGTCGCGTCGCCGACATTTTCTCCCGAAGGATAAAACGTCGTCCTGGATTTCCTCGCGATATAAATGGAAGACCGCATCGATCATCTCATTTATATTTATTGATACCGAGGAGGCGAAAAAAAAAAACAGGAAAAAAAATTCATTACCGCTGGATTCTTCTCCGAACGTGAATAAATGATTTCCTTATTTGCACGTGGAGGGATCGCGCGAAAGGCGGAGAGGGAAGTCTAAGATGGTCGGGGTCCTCCTTTTATCCCGAGTCCTGATTGGCTTCTGAACACCTAATCTATGGACTGCCGCGCGACGAATCGGTTTATTCCACGCGTCTATCGCGTCTGGCTGCTCCTTTCGATATCGGCACCTTTTTTCCCCGCCTTTTCCCTCAAGGCCCTCTCTTTGTGGGATTCGCCTTTCATACCGCGCGCTCCCACTCGACCATCGATCGAGCGCTTCTCCTCCTCGACAAACGTCATTATTTTCCACTTATTACCTCCGGGCCCTCTCATTATGCCCTCGAGATCCCGACTTATCGCCAGAAGGAATCGCCGGCTCTTATCAATCGTATCAGCCCCCCTAAACCGCCTCCGCGTGATTCCAGCCCTCCCTAAGCGCGATCAGCTGATCGGAGGAAGAGCGCCCGGCGGCTCCTAGGAGTAAAAGTGAAAAGAAAAGGAAAATGAAAAGAAAACGGGAATAGTAATTTGAGAGCAGCCCCTCGACGACTCGGCCTCGTCAGGGAGAATCGGGCCCGAGAAAATGGCCTTCCCCGATATTTCCCCGGGTACATCCTCGCCCCATTCTTCATGCAGGAGATAATATTAAAGCGCATCCATTCGGCCGGCTTTTCGGCGCTCTCTCTATCTCCCGTCCTCCTATTTTTCTCCGGCATTTCCCGGTGATTTCGATACCCTTGTCGCGTACGCGACGTCGATCAGCCGAGGCTCCGGTGATTGAAAGCAGCTCCTGAAAAGAGAGGGGGAGAAAAAATGTAGAAAAATCGGATACGAGGCGCCGAACAGATGGAAACGGTCAATAAGGACGGTGATAAGGATGGGTGGAAGAAGGGCCGATAACAACGGCTTTCGATGACCGAGTAATAACGAGATGGATGGGGGAGAAGGTTGGTGGCGAGCCAAGAATCTCCCAGGAATCGGCAGGCTCCGATCGATCGATTCCTCCGGGACGGGTGTACGATCGATCGGTTCACGCCGAAAGGACGCGTCCTCGGTAAAGGCAGCCTCAATTACCTGCCAGGGAAATTTCCTCGGAGAATCCGGGGTGGTCTCAAAAGGTGTCGGTATCTGCATTTTGCGATGCAGGCCCTGCAATCGTCCTTCGAGTCGCTGTAACACCCGTAAGTACTCTAAGTATCTGCAGCGTACTCGCTCCTCTTGCGATCGGGGGGTGGAGGGAGAGATCTCCCCTAATCTCTCCCAAAACTGTACCGACTCGAGGGGGATTAATTCCTTGATGGGCGATCCCGGGTCCCTTCGCTCCAGAGGGTCACGTAAGCGTCCCAGTTCCTCCCGGAGACGGTGAGTCCTCCTTGACATTCGAGCTCGCGGTATTCCTGGGAAAGGAGAACAAGAAAAAAAAATCCCAAAACCCTGGACTTACGCCGGTGATAAGCGACTTCGCTCGCGAGCGATAAGAGACTAGGAGTGTATCGGTATAAAAAGTTCCAGAGGGAAGACTGCCGAGGGACCGACTCAGCAGTTCGTACCTTGGCATTCCCGTGGGAAGGCGCGACGATTAGTCCAGCCCTCCCTCGGGAATCTCGGAATGTTGGTCACGCAGCCGGGATCAACGTTTCTCCCGAAGGAGAGCAGGAGATTGCTGCCTCCCCGGGACCTCCCCCGAGGGAGGGGGTCCTCTCCCTTAAGGACCTCGGCTACTCCTCGCGTGCCCTCGACACTTTTTCTCGGGCTGCATTTTAGGGAGTACCGAATCGCGCAATTTCTCGCCCGGTCGAGTCCCAATGGGGTGGAACTCCTCGAGAATCGAAGATCGAAGGGTAATCCGGGGTACGACTGCTCGGTGACCATTGTCCTTGGGTTTAGAAATTTCCTGACAATTGGGACTCCTTGAAGCGACCCGAAACCATCGATACCTATCAATTGGAGCAAGACAAGTAATTTTTTTTTAGAGTATTCGGGGGCTCTTAAAAAATCTCCCGACACTTTTGACAAGTTCAATGGGTCACCAGTCGTGTCCTAAAATTTCCGTCAATTCGCTGGAGTACCCTTTGATAAAAGGGTGGGATTTTAATCGACCGGTCTGACGGTTTCGAGTTATACATTCGTAGGGAGCCAAAATACTTTCCTGGTAGGCCTAGAAGGCGATTCCCGCGGGAAGCTCGATTCCCTCAATGCCTGGCCGGGATGAGAAATTTTGATGGAGGGCCTCTCCGCGGGAATTAATGGGTTTCGCGTCAATCTTTCAACCGGAGGGCCCTCGAGCCCCGGGGGTCACCGATGCATAATCCATTGCGGTCAATTTTCCGTATCGGCGACTCGAAATCGGAAAATCGGGAAATCGCCCGAGCCCCTCTTCTCCGGGTAGTCCTCGACTTCCCCCTCGTCGAGGAGCTCTTATCCCCCTTTTCCCGAAATCCTGGAAAGAAGAAAAAAAAAAGTCCTTAATAAATGCGTTTAGTCCTCCCCCTAGGAGTCCACCCCTCCTGGCCGGGAGCATAAAGGACACGATAAGAGGACCTCGCGTATCACGACACCGATACCTCGGGCCTGCGATAAAAAAACAAGGTAAGAGATAAGCGACTTTTTTTTTTCCTCGCAAGAAATGGAATCAATTCCGTTTGTCCGTTTTTTTTTTTTTTTTTCGAGAAGGAGAGAAAAATCGCGTATAAAATGTTTAGAGGGGGCGAAGTCCGCTCGATTTTGCGCGGTGATTCGGCCCAGGGGGTTGAAAAGTTGGTCCGAGCCAGGGATGGTCTAGTTAGGGGCTCGGCCATAAGTGAAACCCCGAAGAGCGAGTACACGTACGTACTCGAAACTCGGAAGAGGAAATCCGTGCACGCAGGTGCACCCGATACTTCGGGAGAGCTTTTCGCCCCGAATGGGAAAAGTCTGGGGTTGGTTTAGGGGTTGGTCCGGGTCGTCCGGGGTGGCGCCAAGTATTCCGGAAGTTGGACCGATCCCGGAAGATCCTTTCCTCCCTTCGGCGGGGACTTCGACAACAATGCCAATCTCGGCCGATGAGATGGTAATGTAAGCGGGATACAAGGACCTCCGGGATGACACTCGCAGGAATCGCTGCTCCCCCGATTTTACACGCATTTTATACACGTTTTACCCGGGTCCTCGCTTATCCCAGGATGCGAAAATACGGTTCCTCTCCACGTGGGTCGGGATGCACCCGAAAAAAGGAGTGATCTCGTGACCGAGGACGCAGTCGCGCCGATCGTGGACCCCTGGCGCGGCTTTAATCTCGCGGTCTCGTTCTCCCCTCGTCATCTGCAATTTAAATCGATTTTTTATCCTCGAAAATATGAGCCACGATGGTACTTAATTGTCTCCATCGCGGCACACGCGGACCCGCGATTGTGGTGCTTACACGTCAATTACAACACCCAAGTACATCTGTACACACCTCTATGTATGACAGCACGTCAAACTGACGCGTCATCCACGTGGATAGGAAAAACGCCGAATCATCTGATTCAGCAGATTTCCTTCCTCCAAGTAAAAGTGACGACAGAAAACGAACTGAAAGGACAGTCGTGACACGAATGCCGAGCTGCCGGGCAGATAATGCCTGATTATTATTTCAAACAGCAATTCATATGACCCTGGTCAACGATGAGACTGAATTTTTCTCCCCCTCCTCTGCTCCCTCCGCGCGGCATAATCAGTGACAGAAAAAAAAGAAAAAAAATTCAAGCCTCATTCCGTATTCATAATTAATAACCGATCGTGGCTCGATAAGACATTTTGAAGGATTTGATAAGATTTCGAGGGCCGAATCCGAATTTCACGGCAAGCTCGTTCTTCGTAGGTGGAGTTGCCCTAGGAGGGCGAGGAGATACGTGAAAAAGGGAGGATAACTCTTTTCGAGACCCCAGGGTGGGCTTAACGATCCCTTCGTTTGTCATCCCCTCGCCGAGGTGTGAAACAATACACCTCCACGCCTGCGAGTCGTGGAAGTGATGAATGGAGCACCATTCGCCCTAAACCTCCTCCACGAGGGGGTAGAAACGTATGCACGTACTCTTATCAGCGGCGATACGACGGGGTCGGGAATCGAGATCCGATTCCAGGAAGATAAGGAAACCCTAGGTATCGAAGACGACCGCCCCGGGTAAGAGGAAAACCTGAGAGAAAAAAAATGATAAGCTCGCCTTTCTTTATCCAGCTCCCGATCGGCAAGTGTAAATTCTATAAGGACTTTTTCTAATAAATGATAAATCCTACTTACGATTACGAGGACAAGCTGGTTATCTCGACCCGATAATCAGGAAGCGTCGAGGCAGGGAACGGGGAGCATCCGCGAGGCCGAGGGTACAAAAGCTACGGATTGGGTAGACCACCGCCAGTCAGAGTCGTTCCTCGGAGTTGTCGTCAGAATCTAGAGAAATGGATCGGTGGGTTGGAAAAGTCGCCCTGGTGACGGGTGCCAGTTCGGGGATCGGCGCCGGGGTCACCGAGGCCCTGGCGAAGGCGGGTCTCAAGGTGGTGGCCGCGGCCAGGAGAGAGGACCGTCTTCGGGAGCTCCAGGCCAAAGTCAAGGGCTCCAAGGGGGCGATCTACCCCAAGAAGTGCGACGTCTCGAAGGAGGAAGACGTCCTGGAGATCTTCCGGTGGATCGAGAAGGAACTTGGAGGCGTCGACCTGGTTGTCAACAATGCCGGAGTCCTCTACTCCGACACCATAGAGGGTTGGCTGTTTTTCCCCCCGTACATCTCGCTCGTCCTCCGGTGTCTTCCTCCTTTTTTCCTCCTTCCTCGACTCCCTTCCACCTGAATGAATTTTTTTCCGATTTCATTCTTTATTTTTTTTTTTTATAGAATCCTCCACGGAGAAATTCCGCCGATTTCATTCTTTATTTTTTTTTTATAGAATCCTCCACGGAGAAATTCCGCCAGATTCTGGGAGTGAACGTCCTGGGCACCGCCACCTGCTGCAGGGAAGCCATCCGCTCCCTGAAGAAGAGGGACGTGGAGGGGCAGATTATTAACGTCAACAGGTGAGGTCTTCTCGATAAGATATCAGTAGTTTCGTATTTAAATCTCACGTTCGATCCTCCTAACAGCATCGCCGGGCACTACGCTCAGGCCCTCTTCGATCCGCTCTCCATCTATCCCGCGAGCAAGTACGCGATTACTGGCATGACGGCCTCCCTTATCAACGAGCTCGCTCTACAAAAGTCGAAGATCAAAGTCACAGTGAGTTGCATACCCTTGTTGAAAAATAGAAGATAAGGCTGCCTTGTAGATAGAGTTAGAGACGACGGCGAGACGTGAAATCGCAGGTCTAGAGAGAACGGCAAGGTGGAGAGAAATTGATATCTTTACCTCTATACCTAATTTTTTTTCTCTTTCTCTTTCGCCCTTACAGAGTATCAGTCCTGGAGCCGTGTACACCGACATGATCAAGAACGCCGGATTCTCCGGTAACATCTTCTCTCGATATCCAATCCTGGAAGCCCAGGAGGTCGTCGACGCCATCCTCTACGTCGTCTCGACGCCTCCGAACGTTCAGGTAGGCGCAACCTGCAACGATGGCAGGAAAGTTATGGAAAAAAGAAAGGGAAATAATCCCTCCAATTCTCTTCGACAAGAATTGAAACCGAAAATACATGGTATCGCCCGTGAGCGGATTCTGAAAGTGAGAAGGTCAGGGACAACCGGCATTAGTCAATTCCCTTCTACCTTGTCTTTCCCCACCTTTCCTGTCCCCACTTTATCGACCTATTTTCAAGCGAACGGCAATTTTTAAATAACATTCACGGGAATATTTTTCAATAATATTCGAGGGTCTCTGATAGGCAGCAGGGAATTTTTTGGAAATTAACGCGCTCCTCTTTCTTTTGCAGATCACGGAATTGACGCTCACGGGCCTTAAGTACTTGGCTTGAAAAAAATCAACGAAAGACCACTACGAGGTCTTATCCCGACGTATGGTGACTGTTAATTTATTAATAATCTAAAACTAATAAAACGCGACGTTACTGCCAAGAGGTGTCGATACGAAGTGCTAGAAATCCACCGACGATCCTCGGAACGTATGAAGTGATCCCTCGTTACACTATTTCCCATCTTCCTACTTATCGTCAACGACCTCAGGTTAATCAACGAAATTATCGAGATGCATGCAGGATAAGACGCGATGATTGTGACTCCTGCCCCCGGATACCGTCGCAATTATGCACGCAATCTTGCTTGCAAAATCGCCGATTGATAAGAGAAAAACGCTAATTGTACATCTCGCTTTCGGGCGCGAGCAGGGAAGACAATTGCGAAAGGTCGTTCTCTAATCACTGGGAGCATCCTGTCGAGACGTCGGCAGGACCTCCTGGCCGCAGGATATTGCGCCGCTTGCACTTCCTGAGAGGTCCTTCCCCGTTTCCCTCGACTTCCCCATTTTCTGATTTCCCCCGCGAGAAGGAACTCCTCTCGTCGCATACAATGTTTATCGCGAGGAATATCTATCCGAATCGATACGCTGGTTGGATCATAAAAATCAGCGAAGGATAATAGATCGATCGCGACCTGGGAGGGAATTTCGGTGCTCGGTCGGGTGCATCGAGTCGAATCCCGATCTACGACAAAACCCTGACGTTCGCGGCGATCCGTTGACTCGTCGATAGATCGACCTTTGTTTTTTTTTTCTTTTTTTCCACGGCCGCGAAAATGGAAAGTTTCTCCCTCTTTCGGCGATTTTCAGGGTCCGGCCTTCCCGAAGTCGAGAGTAATTAACGGAGGACTCTACTAGGACTCTCTAAGGATTCTATCCAGGATCGGTACACAGCCGAAAAGCCGATAAAATTGACGCGTCGATCGGTCTCACAGAAATTGAAATATCGATCCTGATAACACGTGTCCATCTGAATCGCTTATCAATTTAAAAAGGGATAAATCGCCCGCGTGAATAAAATCCCCGAGTAATTGGAAACATTTCTTAGTAAACGGAACATATTATATATCGGAGCACTGAACTCGGAGCTTTTTTGAAGAAGGAGAAAAAGCTCTATCGCTCGTTTCCTGCGAGAGGGGATAGCAAAAATTGACGCGTCGATCGGTCTCACAGAAATTGAAATATCGATCCTGATAACACGTGTCCACCTGAATCGCTTATCAATTTAAAAAGGGATAAATCGCCCGCGTGAATAAAATCCCCGAGTAATTGGAAACATTTCTTAGTAAACGGAACATATTATATATCGGAGCACTGAACTCGGAGCTTTTTTGAGGAAGGAGAAAAAGCTCTATCGCTCGTTTCCTCCGAGAGGAGATAGCGAACACGCAGAGGATCCTGTACCGATTCGTTCGATGGAGGTGCAGCCTTTTCTTTTGAAAGGCCGCGCAACATAATCGTCAGGAAGAGAAGGCGACCCTCGATACCCCACCAGGTGATAACGATCCCTGTTCGCCGTCTCTCCCGAGAAAAGTCTAGTCCGAGTGTCAATACCGAAGAGTCCGGTTCGGTCGAATCATCGCCAGTCATCGGACGTATTTGCCGCATCTCCCCTCGTGATATCGCTTATCAACTCGCTATTCCCTCCAAGTAAGTGCCCTTTGACGTTTCCCAATTATTCCTCTCTAATCTAATCTTTCTAATCGAACTCCAAGCAGCATTTTCACCTATCCAGCCCTTCCCTCGTTGCACGTCGCCTCGATAAAAAGTACCGAATCGCAAATGACAATTCCACAATTAATCGTATAACTTTTAATTACATCAACGATTAACTTCTTTTTCCTCTGCATAATATCGCGGGAGTTTTTCCTACCTCGGGGTAACAACGCAATACTCGGTGAGTGTTGCGTGTACTTATTGCAGCGCTGCATAAATTTTGCGTTACGATTAAGAAGAGTTTCGCGGCTTTTGGGGGATTACCGGAGGAGAGAAACCCGCCTCTGGTTTCGACCTTGGCTCTGGAGGCCCTCGAGAAGAATATCGAAAAGCCTCGCGATCGATCAGCCTTCGATCGGCCGTAACTAGCGCGAAGGCCCTTTCGTCTTCGAGCCTCTTTTTCAAGTCTTTTAACTTGAACTTTACTACCGGACGTGGCTTACTTTCCCCCTCGAGCCCCGAAGAGAAGACCGGCCATTAAAGCCATTTACTGCTCGCGCGGCATAAAGAAGTGGCAATTAAAATTGAAATTGAAATCCCTGCAATTACGGCTACGAATGGATTGCGAGTACTCGCGACGCGATACAAAGTAAACAAGGCTTAAAGTTAAAAGTCAATGTAATTGGAGTGCGAGGCATGTAATTGCGATTAATTCGGCTTGATAATTGCGCGACCGGGTTTGCGCCGCCCAGGGCCGGGTCCCGTCAATCGCGTTACCGACTTCCGGAAATCGAGTTAGCCGGGATGTATTTTGTTTGCATTATAAGCGAATTATTCAAACGAGCGGGCATTTGTGTCAACAGCGAATAGTCGGGCCGGTCGGGCAAACAAAAAGCGCGCAGGACTTCCCGGGGGAATCCGAAGTCGATCGCTCATCGGATTTCGATGCAGCTCGGAGGATTTTAACTTTTAATATATAAAATAATAATAACCCCTTCTAATAGGGGCGCAAGAGGGATATAAAAAAAATATATAGATCTTAACGCTGTATCGGATTAATTCCCCAAGGATAGATAAGGCCGATAAGGGCCTTTCGGATTTTCGCGGGCAAGTTAACCAGGACTCGCGTTTCTCCTGGGGTGAAATCGAGCCAATGCCAGACATTCTGGAGCCCCGAGAGGTCCAGGTCTTTGAGAGACCGGATTCCCGAGGGAAATTTGAAGAATTCCTAAAGTACCCATCAACGCCGACCGTTCCCTTATCACTCGCCTCCTGTATCCCCGCAGTCCGAGTTATCGATCTTCCGCTTTTCATTTCCGTTGTCAGGACCTGGAAATGGAGCAGGGAGTGCTTTTGGTCGTGTTCCTAGGCTCGATAGCCATCTCGTTATCGAGTCCAGGTCGTCCTTACGGATCCCCTGATAACGGCTACGAGGAGTCCCCTCGGAACCGCAGGCCCAACATCATCGTCATCCTCGCCGACGACATGGTGAGCTCGTCCTTTCTATTTCTAGTCACGGCGGACCTTTAATAGAGATACACATTGAATAAGTTAATTGGGAAATAAGAAAAGGGTGGAAGAAAAAAGGAAAAAAAAATAGAAATTAATTCTGCAATCAGGGATGGAACGACGTGAGTTTCCATGGCTCTGATCAGATCCCGACCCCCAACATCGACGCCCTCGCCTACAACGGGGTGATCCTGAACAGCCACTACGTACCGGCCCTCTGCACCCCTAGCCGAGCTGCCCTTATGACCGGAAAGTACCCGATCCACCTCGGGATGCAGCATTCCGTCATCCTGGAGCCGGAACCCCGAGGACTTCCGCTCTCCGAGAAATTGCTTCCGGAGGTATCACCTGCTTTCACCTAACGCTTCTGCTTTTTTTTTTCCCCTACACCGAGCCCCGACTTCGCTCTAGATAACGCAGTTAATTGATAAATGGTAAATCTCCTTATTTATAAATAAATGAATTGATCCATGGGATTCTCATCGTCAGTATCTGAAGGAAGCCGGGTACAGGACTCATGCGATCGGCAAGTGGCACCTGGGTTACCACCGCAGGGAGTACACCCCGACATACCGAGGCTTCGACTCGCACTTCGGGTACTGGAACGGTCTCCAGGATTACTACAGCCACGTGGTCGAAGCTACGGTGAGCAGGGTTCACGTGGATAAGGACGAGGGTCCTGGAAAGTGAAAGAAAAAATGGTCAGGATCTTTTCGGGGGGTGGGACAGTTCGCAGGATACCGAGGGTTCGACATGCGGAGGAACACCTCGGTGGCCTGGGACACCGCAGGGAAATATTCGACGGACCTGTTCACCGAGGAGGCAGTGAGCCTGATAGACCACCACGACCCAAAGGATCCCCTTTTCCTGTACATGGCTCATTTGGCCCCTCACTCCGGAAACCAGGACGAGCCCTTCCAGGCCCCCGACGAAGCCATCGCCCGGTTTGGTCACATTCGAGACCCGGAAAGACGCATCTACGCGGGTTAGTTATCTTTCTTATCCCCTAGGATTTCCTTAAACTTGAAAAACCGAAGGACCTCTCTTCCGGTTCTCCTCAGCAATGGTGTCCAAGTTGGATGACAGCGTGGGCGAGGTGGTCTCCGCTCTTCGTCGCCGAGGAATGTTGGAGAACAGCGTGGTCCTCTTCATGACGGACAACGGGGCTCCCACCATGGGCATCCACAGCAACCGGGGCAGCAATTATCCCCTACGAGGGGTACCTCTTCAAGTTATATCGAGTAGACCTGGTGATTACTCGTACCTACCCATAGAATTTCTTTTAGATCAAGGAGAGCGCCTGGGAAGGTGGAGTGCGGGGAGTGGCGGCGATTTGGAGTCCCCTCATCAGGAAGTCCCGCAGGGTCTCGAATCAGCTGATCTACGTCACCGACTGGCTGCCCACCCTGCTTTCAGCCGCAGGTGATCCTCGTAGCCGTCGGTCTATCATTGAAAACTCTCTTTAAATTCCCATAAAACACCCGCGAAATTTATTCCTACGACAATTAAAGGTCTGGACAAGAAGGGCCTGGGGAACATCGACGGCGTCGACGTGTGGCCAGCTCTGGTTTCCGACAAGGTCAGTCCTCGTTCCGAGGCGGTGGTCAACATCGATGAGATCGACGATTACTCGGCAATCCGACGTGGTGACTTCAAGTACATCCTCGGCTCGACAAAAACTGGGGAGGAGTGGTACGGCGAGGCGGGAAGAGCCGACCGGAGTCAATCGGAGGGCACCTCTCCAGGGTACAAGCCCGAAGAGATCCTCGGTAGCAAGGTAGGGGTCGCCATCTCCGGGGTGATCACTGCCAAGCAGGTCCTGGAGGTCAGGAAGCTGCGAGAGGCCAAGGTCTCCTCCGGCGAGCTCAACGCGAGGATGCTGACGACCTCGGACATCCTCAGGATGAGATCCGAGGCGGAGCTGAAGTGCAACACCAAGGAGGAGGAAAAGGTACTCGTCCTCTTCGCGCGATGTCCTTCCAGGATAACGTGACGATTCGTTTCCCCAACAGGTTTCCTGCGACCCCCTGGACTCGCCGTGCCTCTTCAATATCAGGGAGGATCCCTGCGAGATGGTGAACCTTGCCAAAACGAAGCCGGTGATCCTGGCGACGTTGGAGGACGCCCTCCTCAAGTACAAGGTGACGATGGTACCGCCGTCGAATTTGGACAAGGACCCCCTGGCCAACCCCGCGAACTGGAACGGCACCTGGGTCAACTGGCACGACCAGGACCCCATGGAGTTCCTGAGAGAGCTAAAGTCCTCTTCGAGGCTCTCGGGAACGACGATCGCGATCCTAGGGATTCTTCTGGGTCTCCTCTTCCTGGGAGTGGTTATCCTGATAGCGGTGAGGCGCTTGGGCGAGCACAAGCAGGAGCCTCATCCAGAGGACGGCAGCTTCCACGAGGTCCTGGAGGATCCCGTGGGGCAGAGAGAGCCTCTCGGTACCGGGCAAAGGGCGACTCGGTTGTCCGGGAGTCTTGGTGAATTTTCTCGCCTGAACGACGTCCCCAAAACCGTGGACTGACGGGACCGCCGGGGCTCCGCGAGCCCCGGTGCCATCTTCAGGGTCAGGATCACCTACATCCCGAAGAGAATCGCCGGAGAACGCCCGGCAGGATAATGCGCGTCGTTTTTCCAGCCCCAAAGAATCGCACCCAGATCGAAGACCTTCCTGAAAAGAAGGCCAGCACGCGAAAGCCGACCCCGAGGAGCCGATCAGCGGACGGTGCCGAATCGGACCTGGGCACGAGGGATACAGGAGGGACCGATTTCCAAGCTCCCCTACCTCTGGAGAGGTGTTATCTCGACGATACGAGTAATCGTACCGTCGTCGATTGCGAGATCCCTCCCCGAAGAGTTCCAGGAAAACCGGGCTTGCTTCCGGCAAGCGTCCGGACTCCTTTCCTTGGCTGGACTCCCTTACATCCCTACCGTCCCTGTAAATACACCCTGTAGAGAGTTCTCCGCGTTCTCTCGGTCCAAACGCATATCCTATAGTACCGCGACCTCGTCAATTGTTTTAAGTTTAATCAATATAAATACATTCTTCGGTACATACATATTGAAATGCCCCGACCCGACTTAGTCGTCGTCGTTTACGATGACAGGTTATCGTAGAAAAGGCCCGAAAGCGGCCCGTCCCAACATATTCCCGGGACCGCTCGAAGAACGCTCTACTCTGGCGAATACTTTCTAGCGAGGCCAGGGCGCGCGACATCTCGCAATACCGGTCGACGATCGCTCGGTTTCTCTCCCGAGAAACCTTTATACAGGCTCATCCTATATCCCCTAGCCCTTCTCCTAGCGTATTTATTTCTCCCCAGTACCCTGGAGGACGAATCTCGGCCGGCGACCCTGCGCGAGACCCTGCGAGAAAAAGTAGCTAAATATACAATTCTCTTTGTTCCGCGCTATCCTTCGGAAGGAGCGACAGGACTCCAGGCTTCCACGGCGTCGAACCGCCTTTGCCCCCGACGTCCCTATGCCGCAAGATCTTATGATACAATCGGTTCTCGACTTTATGTACAGCGCAAGATGCCCTCAGGATCGCGCTCTAGCTCCTCTAGGCCTTCTTCCAACTGGCTCAGCTGGTTCGGCTGACCCGAGGTCATCGCGGGGGGTCTCGGCAGTTGGACCCCTTCGGCACCAACGAGGCAAGAGTCACTCGACGATCACTTCTGCTCGTCCATCACATGTGCACTATCTTCGGCGTGCTGCGAGAAGGACTAAAATGAAATAATTTACAAAAAAAAAAATGAATCGATAGGTGCAGAGATTAATTTCTTCGACACCGTACCTCTTGCCCCTCAGCCAATTCAACAGGACGCTCGACTGGCTCTGGACGTCTCGAGCTGAAGAAAAAATAAACGACTCTTACCAATGACGATAGGGAGATGGAAGTCGAGGAGTTTATCGGAACTCTAACTGGAGGAGTACTTTCAGGATCTCGGCAGACCTTTAAGGGAAAGCGAAGGGAGTACGTACAGAGGGTGTAATTAGCGTTGACGAGTCTGGCGGCGGCCTCGGGGGGCAGGTTGCTCAGGGCCTCTTTCCTGGCAAGCAGAGACATTTGCTGGACGTGCCTGAGCTCGCGATCGTCCCTCAGCCTGACGTCCTTCGTGTGACCGACGTTTTTCAACTGCGATAGCCTACGGGGAAAACTGGCCTTTACAGGAGCTCTACGGGGTCCTAGCCGGGTGCTACCAAAGAGTTCAGAAGTATCGCCGATTTAACGCGCGACCTGGAGAGTGTATCCAGAAAAGAGGACGGATCAAAGGGGCAAGGAAAGCGAAGGAGACGTACTTCTCGGCGAGCGCGGCCTTATCCTCGCCTATGGGCGCGTCGATGGCCTCCTTGGCGATTTCTATTGGCCCTGAAGAGGGAGACTTCGAGGGCGAGGGAGTCTCCACCCTGGGCTCGTCCTCCGGGGTGGGGTCGCCCTCCTTTTTCTCGGATCCAGGGGGCACCATCCTTCTTAGCTCTTCGTTGACCCTGATCGCGTTGGAGAGCCGTAACTGGAGGGTGTCCCGCTCCTCCAACAGCTGCATCAGCTCCAAGGTCAGCTCCTCGCACCTGACGTCCCTCTGATAGAGCATGTGAAGAGCGAGGTCGAGTTCGCCGGAAGTTTCGCCCGTGGGGTTTGCAACGGCGCCGCCAGCCTCGTCGGTTTCCTCCCCCGAGGCCTCCTGGTGCCTCAGTATTCTTCTCAGGGACTCTTGCTCCCGGGACCTGGCCTCCAACTCCTCTCTCAGGCGGGAGACCTCGTTCTCCCTGACCTCCACGAGGCCTCTGAGTTCGGCGAGTTGATTGGCCTCTTCCCCGGAGAGAGCCAGCAGTTCCTCGATCCTCAGATCCCTCTCACGGAGAGAGGTCTTCAGGCTCCTCAGCTCTTCCTCCCTGGATGAATTTTCCTGCCCCAACTGGAAACGGACCTGCTCCAGCTCCTCGTCTTTCCTTCTAAGAGTCTCCTCCAGGGTGAGCCTGGACTCTTCGGCCTGGATTCGTAGATTCTCCAGGTCCTTTTCTCGCAGACGAAGGTTCTCCAGGAGGTCGTTCTCCAATTCGAGGCGGGTCTTCGAGGCTCCGGTTTCCTCGTGCAGCTGGATCTTCAAAGCTTCGATTTCCTCTTCCTTCTTTTTGGAGATCCTGAGGAGGACGTCGTCCTTCTCGGCGAGGATCCTCGCGAGTTCCGCCTCCTTCGCGATGCTTTCCTCCTGTAACTTGGTCCTGGCGAGCTCGAGTTCTTCGTCCTTCCTTCTCAGCCTCTCTTCGAGATCCCGCTTCACCTCCTCGTCCTGGATCTGCAGGTTCTCCAAGTCGTTCTCCCTTAAACGGAGATCTTCCAGGAGGAGGCTTTTCTCCTCCTGTAATCTGCTCTTCGAGGTTGCGATCTCCTCCTTCTCCTTCGTAATCCTGGCCAGATAATCTTCCTTCTCGCGCAGTCGGTCCTGCAACCTGGCGATCTCTTGGTCAAAGGCCCTGTCCGGAGTTTCCTCCTTCTCTCCAGGAGTCGAGCTTTCTCTCTGCCTCTCCTCCGAGAGCATCTTCAGTTGACACTCTCTGTCCTCCAAAAGCTCCTGAAAATCAATGAAAAATCGTCACTACCCGTCCTTTTACAATTTTCTCCCGAAGGGAGAAAGGGCGGGATCGACCGTGAGAAAATTCACGGGAGCGTGGGAGAGTTCAGGCTCAACAGGTGGCCGGGTCACTGACCTGCGCGAGTTCAAGGCTGCAGACCGGGTCAGGGCCTCGGCACCTGTCGAAACCTACCTCGCGTAAATCCAACCTCGAAAGGAGGAATCATAAATTACCTGCAGTCGAACTTTGTCGTTGTAAAGTCGATTGATGTCGTCCTGGAGTTCCTGGATGACTCTGGGGTAGACGTTCTCGCTCAACACGTACTCGAGATGTTCGACCTCGGACTCCTTGGCTATCAGCTCGGTCTTCAGCTTCTCGACGAGCTCGAGGAGTTCCGCGACCTCTCCGGAATCGTCGCCCATTTTGAAGAGAGGGAGTCCTCCGGTTTCCCTCTTGGCCCTGGGAGCGACCTCGAGGACCTCCGAAGACTTTTGATCGTGAGGTCGTTCGACCTCTTCGACTAAATTCCGACTCCTCTCTAGAGCCTCGCCGAGTTCTTCCTCGAGGCTCTTTATCTTCTTCCTCAGGGCCTCCTCGGACGACCTCGCCTCGTCCAAGAGATTATTCACCAGGTCCAGCTCGTTTTTGAATACCTGCGCCTCTTGCTGGTACCAAGCCAATTTTTCTCTGGTTTTCTCGAGCTCCTCCAGGTATCGCGTGAGCTCCTGATCCTTGAAGATCAGCTCGGCGTTCCTCTGTTCGACCTGGATGCCCTGGTCCCTCGCAAAGTTCTCCAGGACGCCCATGGCGGTTTTCAGATTGTCGAGCTCTTGATCGGCGTTCTCCAACGTCCTCCTCAGGTCCTGGATCCTGACATCCTTCTCCTGGATCTCGAAGGAGTGCTTCTCGGCGAGGTCCTTAGAGATCCTCTCCGTGATCGCCTCCAGGTTCTCTGGACTCTGCAGACGAGCGAGCTGGTCTTCTCTCTCCGAGAGGAGGGCCCCCAGTTTCAGGATCTCCTGGTCCTTCTGATCAACGCCGATCGATAATTCCCCGATCGCTTGTCTGAGGTCGGCGACTTCCTGCACTCGCAGATTCGAGAATTCCGTCGTCTCGGCCAGGTTCGAGTTCAACGAGGAGATTTTCTCTTCGGCCTCCAGCTCGAGTCGCTCGATCTTCAGGGTCAACTCGGCCTTCTCCTGGAGAACCACTCGCAGCTGGTCGGCCAGCTCGGAGGTCCTGGCTTCGAAGGACTCCGAATCCTCCCGGAAACCTTCTCTCTCGGCTTCTAACATTGAAGCCAGGCTGGACTTCTCCCGGACGGCGTTCTCCAGCTGATGTTGAAGATCCGCCACAAGGGACTTTAGCGCCTCGACTTCCTCGCGTAAATTCTCTGCCTCGGTCTTCAGCGCCTCCTCCAGCTCCTGGAAACGAGGGACTTCTCCGGGGTCACCCTTCGCCTCCAACTGGAACTCCTCGAACTTCGTCTTCAGGAGGTCGTAGTCCCTTGAGAGATTTCTTAATCCGGTCTTCAGGTCCTCGTTCTCCCTCGCCAGGTCTTCGGCTTCCTGGCCCCCGACCTTTCGGCTCCTCCTCTCTTCCAGGATATGCCTGAGCTGGTCATTCTCCGCGGCTAGGGCCTCCATCTGGGTCTTCAGATCGTCGACCTCGTCCTGAAGTCTCCTGCAAGTCTCTCCGAGCTCTCCTAGATCCCCTGAAACCTTGGACCCGTTTTCCGAGTCCTCTACCCTGATCAGGGTCTCCATTTCTTGGACCCTGTGCTGCAGAGTTTCCACCTTCCCAGCTAGCTCTTTATTCCTGATCTCTAGGACTTCGACCTGCATGTCCTGCCGCTCCTTGGCCTCGACGAAAGCCTCGTTAGCCGCCACTAGGACGTCTATTCTATTCACCAGGGAGTCCTTCTCGACGGTCAACATTGTGATCTCTGTCCTGGACTCCGCCAGCCTCTCCTCCAGCCGCTTCAAGTTCAATTCCAGTTCCTCTCTAATGGCGGAGTCGAGATCGCATCCACTTCCAGTAGACCTCAGGTCCTTTAGCTGTTGTTGCAGGTCTTCAACCTGGATCTTGTACTCCTTCAGCTTCTTGACGAGCCTGCCGCTCCTGACCTTCGCCAAGCCGTTCTCCTCCTGGAGAACGGCCTTCTCGGCTTCGAGGTCCTTCACCCGGTCTTCGAGTTCGGCTATCTTCGTCTGCAGCTGCACCTCCGTGCTGGGAACGAGAGGACCACCTACGAATTGACTATCATCCATCAATTTTACCTCATCGGCGTTCCAGCCCCACGGTTCCTCTTCGTCCATCGCTCCAGCGGACTCGTCCCACCCTGAAGACTTCGCAAGAACCTCCTCGACGACTTCTGTCGGCCGTTCTTCAACTTCGATGGTCCTAGTTTCGGCAACGTCTCCGCGTCCATCGATTGGCTTCCTTTCGAGGTCATCCAGGACTCGAGAGAGGCCCTTGACCTTTTCCTTGAGCTCGTTTCTCTCCCTGAAGACCTCCTCCAGCTGCTTCCTCAGATCCTCCAGCGACCTCGTCAGCTCGTTCACCTGCAGCTGCAGAATGTCCCGCTCTCTAAGAACCTTACTCGCCCTTTCCTGGAGTTCGTGGACTCGTCCAAGGTCCTCGGTCTCCTGGACCTGGTTCTCCAACTGCTGGATCCTGCTCTTCAGGGCAGCCTGGGAGACGAGATGCTCCTCCTTCTCGACCAGCAGCTGACGAAGCTCGGACACCACTCGACCGACTTGGTTTTCCAGGGCGGATGCATCTCTACCGGGAGATAAAGTGGTTCCCAGGAACTCGCCGATCTTCTCCTCGAGTATCATATGGATTCTGTTGAGCAGTCTGTTCAGATCTGACTTTTCGGACTTCAGACAGTCGATCTCCGCGAGACACTCCGACCTGTCGTTCTCCAGCTTAGAAATCAAGGCGCTCTTTGCCTCCAAGAGGTCTTTCAAGTCGTCCCTCGAAGACGTCACGGACCGTACCTCACCCTGAAGAGCAGCCAATTCCGCATCCAAGGACCGAATCACTTCGTCCTTCGCTGCGACCAAGGCTGCCAATTCCGGGGAGTCCGACTCTCGTGTCGTCTCCTGACCGGGTTCGAGGCTTGCCGAGTCCAAAAGTCTGTCCGTCTCGTCAAGGTGGCTCTTCAGCATCGCCCAGGCGTTCTCCGGGGCGTCCGTCGAGACCGCACAATCCAGACATTGTCTCTGCGAGGAAACTCGACGTTTCGCGGCACCCAACAGCCTGGTCAGCCTCTCGTTCTCTTCCTGCTTCCTGTTCAAAAGGTCCTTCAGCCTCGACACGTCCTCTTCCAGGCTCGAGTCCACCTCGGTGGAGAACCCGAAGACCTTGGCAGCATCGAACAGCGGAGGCTCCTTCTTGGTGGCGGTTCCTTCTCTTCCTTCCTTGGAGGACAGCTCCTTTGCCTTCTTCTTCAGGTCCTCGACTTCGGTTCGCCTCTCCTCAAGATCCGATTGCAGATCGAAACTCCTCTTTTGCCAGGAATCGACTTCCGTCTTCAACCTGGAAACCTCGTTCTCCAGGTCCTCCTTTAACGCGTTGACCCTGTTGAGTTCGACGGACAGTCCTTCGAAGTCGAGTGCGGACTTCTCTGGATGTTTGGCTTCTTCGAGGTCGACGGGTCCTGGGTTTGGCGTTCCTAAATCCTGAGTCGGGTCTTGAACTCCCTGGCGAGCCAGCTCCTCTTCCAGGGAGCCTATTCTATCCTGGAGGATGAAGTTCAAGGACTGCAAGCTGTTGATCTTCTCTGCCAGTTCCTTGTTCTCCCTGACGGTCTCGTTGAGCTTTTGCTTGATCTCCTCGTTGCTGGCAGTGAGCATGTCGTGCTGATACAGCAACTGGTTGTAGGACTCGTCGACTCGACCTTGAGACCCGGGCTGGTTGTTCATCATATCGTTGAACCTCAAGGTCTCCCTCATATGAACGAAATTTCCAATTGAATTCGCCAGTTCGTTGTCGAGGTTCTCGATTTCGGCATCCCTTTCCTGGAGCTTGGCCTCCAATGCTTGGATCGCGGTCTGGCATCGATCGCAGTGTTCGCAGGGTCCCGACCCCCTGACCTGGATAACCTCGAGCCCCTCTTCGGCATCCATCTCCTCTCCAGAAGAGGTGCCGAGCCTGGAATCCTTCGGGGAGGTCTCCAGCTTCTCCAGCAACCTCGAGTTCTCCAACTTCAGCTCCTCGAGAAGAAGCCTGTGCTCTTCGACTTCCTTCTCCTTAGCTCGACATCGTTCTTCAAGGTCCTCGACCTTTGCCGAGGCGTTCAGACTCGCCTCTTGCAACCTCTTCGAGAGTTCGACGATCTCCAGTCGCAGCTGGTCGATGAGGATTTCTTGCTCTTCCGCCTTCTTTTCGTCGTTCTCCTGCCTCGCTAGAAGTCTCTCGTTATCCATCTTCAGCTCTAGCAGGGAAATCCTCAGTTCCTGGGCTTCCTTCTCCTTGTCTTGATATTGTACTTCAAGGTCCTCCAACCTTGCCGAGGAGTTCAGGCTTACCTCCAGCCTCTCCAGGAGGCCCGCGTTCTCCAGTCGTAGCTGGTCGAGCAGGACTCTTCGTTCCTCCGACTCTTTCTCGACGTTCTCCAGCTTCTCGACGATCTGCGTCTCCTTCGAGGACAACAGACCGTTCTCCGTCCTCAGCTGCTGGATCTGGGCGAGCTGCTCGACGTACTCCTTCTCCATGACGTCCATCCTGACGCTGAGCTCGCGGGCGTTCTCCTTGGCCTCGTCCAGAGCTTCCTGATCCTTGGCTTCCCTTTCGACGAGGCTCGATCTGTAGGACTCGAGCTCAACGGCAAGGGCTTCCTTTCGAGACCTCTCCACCTCGACCTCGGCCGATCTCGCTTCCAGCCTGCTCCTCAGCTCGCCTATCTCTTCTCCCATCCCGGTGACCTGGTCCATCAGCAGGGCGATCTTCTCCTTGGATCCGTTGACCTCGTTCGTCAAGGCCTCGACCGTCTCCAGCGCGTTCGTGGTCTCGTTTCTGGCCTGCAGAAGCTTTTCTTCGAGGTCGGCGAGTTTGTTGTCCCGCTCGAGAAGAGCGGTTTCCGTCTCTCTCAGCCGCCCCTTCAGGGTCTCCTCCTCCATAGCCGAGGCTTCGAAGGTCCTCCTCTCCTCCTCTATCTTCAGGTTCAAGGCTTCCTTTTCCTGCTTCTCCAGGGCGTACCTACCTTCCAGGTCGTCGGCTCGTCGCTCCAGGTCCTGGATCCTCGAATTCAAGGTCTCCTTCTCTTCCTTCTCGGTCGCGTACCTCTCCTCGAGTTCCTTGGCTCGGGACTCAAGGTCCTGCAAATCCGCCGCCTTCTTCTTCAGGTTCGCCGCTATCCTTATCATCTTGTCTCGCTGGGCCCTGGACTTCTCGTTCGCCTCGACGAGTTTCTCTTCGAGGTCCGCGACCGTGGCTTCCAGTTCTCGAACCCTGGCCTCCAGTTCGACCTTGGTGCTCAACGGGATCCTCTCCTCGAGTTCGGCATTCGCGCGCTCCAGCTCCTGGCTCTTCGCCTGCACCTCTTCCATGAGCACCTCCAACCTGCTCCCCTGCATCGCGACGTCCTCCGAGTGCTTCTCTTTCAGCTGCTCCATCATCTTGTAGGCGTCGCTCAGCTCGTTCCTCAAGTCCTGCGTGAATCTCTCGTTGTTCTCCAGGATGTCCTCGAGTTCCCGGACGCGCGTGGACTTCGATTCTTTCGCTTCCTTCAGCTCGTCCTCCAGTTTCCTCGACTTACTTCGGGCCTCCTCGAGTTGCGCTTCCCTCTGGGAGAACGCGGTCTCCACTTCCTTGACCCTGAGCATCAGCCTCTCCATCTGGCCTCGCAACTCGAGCCTGAAATCCTCCCCGCCCTCGTCTTCGCCCTTCGGGCCCCATTCCAGCTGGTGCACCCTGTCTTCGGCTTCGGATCTCCCGACCAATGCCGCTCGAAGTCGGTCCTCCACCAGCCTGGTCCTCTTCAGGGTCTCTTCCGTCTCTCGCTCCTTATCGACGAATCTGTTCTCCAGCTCTCGGATCTTCTCGATTAGCCGGTCCAACCGATGGCGCAGGTCGAAGGTGTCCTTCTCCCGCTCTTCCAGCCTCTCGCGGGTCTCCTTCAAGGTCGCTCCGATTTCAACCACCTGCTGGATCAGTTCGTTGGACTCGAGGGCCGCGTCCTCCAGAGTGTGCACCCGGGACGAGGACTCCTCCCCGGGAGGAGGATTTTTCAGGCTTCGTATCTCGTCCACGGCAAGGGTCATTATGAACTCCTTCTGACGAAGCTCGGTCTTCAGGATGTCCAGCTCGAAGAGCAGGTCGTCGTTCTTGACGGTTTCGTTCTGGAGCCTCGAGAGAGCCTCCGCGAGTTCCTCGTCTCTCTTCTGGACCTCGGCCTTCAACGAGGACACCTGGTCTTCTTTGACCCCGAGGTTCGCCAGGGTGTCCTCCAAATCCTTCTTCAGGGTCTCCAGACTCTCGAGACGCTCCCTTCCTTCCCTCAAAGTCTTGAGTTCCTCTTCCATGGATCGATTACCGGCCTCGAGAACACTTATCCTCTCCTCCATCTGAGCGCACTTTGATTTCCATTCCTCAATTACGTTCAAGTGGTCTTCGAGCTCGTTCCTCGAGTCCTCCTCGGTCTTTTCGGCTTCCTGTTGGTCGGATATTAGACTTCTCTTTATTCTAAGTTCCTCCTCCTGCTCCAGGAGCTTCAGCTTAATCTCCTCGATGATGGCGTTCCGTTCCGAGATCACCCTTCTGCATTCCGTTAGCTCATCCTCCAAAGAAGCTATTTTGATCGAAGATTCCATCTCCGAATTTTTAGCCGGATCTTCGGATGCCTGCGAGGATGTTTCTTTAGTCTCCCCCGGTTGTCCTTGCTGCAAGGATTCCTTCTCCAGCTTCGTCAGATCTCTCTGCAGACGATCGACCTTCGCGGACAGCTCTTCCTTCTCCCGAATCATCGCGTTGAGCTCCTCCTGCAATTTCTCATTCGTATCCTCCAACTCCTTGACCTTCGTCAGAAATTCCGTCCTCTCCTCCGGTCCGCGAGGTTCGATCCTGAGACCGTCTGCAGTACCAACGTTCGGCAACTCCTGCAGGCTCAGTAACCTGTTCTTCAGCTCCTCGTTTCTCTCCTTCAGGAATCTGACCTTCGCCTCGACGTTGCTCTCCCCTGATGATTCCGGTTCCCGACCCTGAGGTTCGTTGCCATCCTCGATCGACTCGCTTCCCTTTTCTCCGGGTTCTTCAAGATCACCAGGAGTTCCCTCAACCTCGGATCTCTCTTCCGACCCTTCCCGTCCGCTCCCAGTCGCGAGTCTCAGCTCCAATGCCAGGAGCTTCGAGACCAACTCGGTGCTCTCCTTCGTCAGCATCTCGACCATCGAATTCCCGTCCTGTTCCGGGATCCGCTCGAAGGATTCCGTGGATCCGCTGTCCGAGGAGCCCTTCTCCTCGGATTTGGTCAGCTTCGCCAGCAGGTCGTTGTTCTCCCTGGAGAGCACCTCGACCCTCTTCAGTAACTCGGTCTTGTCGGCGTCGTGGATCGTCTCGAAGGACTCCGTGGAGCCACAATTTGAGCCAGGTTTCTCCTCGAGGTTGCTCAGCTTTGCGACGAGGTCGTTGTTCCTCTGTGCCAGCTCTTCGAGCCTCCTCAGCAATTCGTTCTTATCGGCGTCCTGCAGGGTTTCGAAAGACTCCGTAGATCCAGCATCCGAAGTTCCTTTTTCTTCCAGTTTGGCCAGCTTGTCCAGGAGTTCCTGATTTTCTCTGGCCAGAGCCTCGACCTTCTTCGACAGCTCTTCGGCATTGGACTCCGTCTGCTTATTCGTGCTGGCCGACCTCATCAAGGACTCGATCTGCTCTTCGAGTTCGACGACCTTCATCTCGGCGATCACCCGGAGGTTCTCCGACTCCGCGTTTTCTGCCTCGAGGGTGGAGAGTTCCTGCTTCACCGAGTGGAGTTCTGAAAACCAACCACAGAGTTCTGTCATCATTGCACAATCTTCGAAGGAAATTTACATAAAATTATTGCAAATTTTTTTACATGAAATTCAAATAATAAAATGGTACCTTGAATTAGATCTAACTTTTGGTTCTCCAGGGTAGCGATGGCATCGATGTGATCCTGGATCTCCTTAGTTTGAGTCGATACCTTGGACTCTAGATCTGCGATGCGATCCTGCCAATCTGCTGCAGAAGCTGCACACAGTGTACAACGTCCCAATATTGTTCACATGTTAATTAATATTTAATTACGGGATAAGCATGGTCTATTTATTAAGCATTTACAATTAGAAAGTATCGACCATGAAAGATATTCTTAAATACCATCAAGGACCGTTAACAAAATTAGAGTCACAGGAACTGGGATAGGAGAGGGTCTCTCATTTTAATGGCTATTAGTTTATTACAGCCAATTAAATTATTAACTGAATTACTTTTGCACGTTTGATACACATACTTAGTAAATTATTTAATACCGATGCCTTGACAGTCATCATAATGGAAGAATTAAAAAAAATATATATAAGTGTAAATCTCTCTAAACATAATAAAATAATCAAACGAGGTATTATTTTTACGTAATGTTTCAAAACTGATATCATGCTTTCCTCAGGCAATAGAAAAAAAAGATAACACAAAGTCAATCGTTAAAACAGAATTCCGATTATTTTATACCTTTCGGTTGAAGTCATGCAACGTAACAATGTTATACGACACAATTGTAATACTTCACTCAAGCTAAACGACCAGCAATTATGAATCGCAGTCTAAACATTCTACGTACTAAAAGCCACATCTTAGCAAACTTTGACAAGTAATAAAGTAGGTACCATGTTACGTCTAAGTATTACAAAAAAAAAAAAAGAGGTCACAGTAACGAAATAAATTAGTGTATTCAAGGAAACCTTAATGTATAGGCATGTACAACCGATCTCAAGAAGAAAAGAATCCATCACCAAAACTCATCAAAAAGCATGAACGTGTTCTGCCTTCGATGTTCAATAAGTACGACTGTCAAATTTCAGATCCACACGATCGATGGAAATTTAATAGAGTAAGGTGTCGATGTGTCTTTCAAAATAAACGTCTTCTACTTGTGCGTCTTTACTGTTCTTCCATTTAAGGAACTTACGTCACCACAGATTCAATCCGAAGCATTTGATGAAAGTAAATCGTTAGTCAGAAAATCATTGAGTGTCAAAATGTGGAACAACGGTCACATAAAAATGAAGAAAATAAAAGGAAAAACGAAGATCGCGAGTCGAATCGAATGGCAGAAGTTTAACATTTAATAACGATGGCACGAGAGAATAGTCCGTCCTGGTTCCTACCTTTAAGCTCGTCAAAGTCTACCAGACTCAGCTGAAGGTTACCTTTCTCCTCCTCCAGCAGTGCCACTTGGTTGCCCAGTGTCACCAGTTCGGCATTCGTATCGGATAGCTGAATAAATGGAAAAAAACATTGAACGATTTTAATGTGAAAGTTTGCAGAAGTTATTAACAATCACTTTCACCTTGAAGATAACATTTGCGCCAATTTTCACTAACTTATTCGTAATCAGTGGGTCAAAGTACATGGGCAATACATTACGATACGAATTAAAAATCCAACAAAAACTTACCATTTTGAAGCTCTCCAGTTGTTTCTGAAGATTCTTCAGTTTAACCTTGTGCTGTGCCTTCAATTTTATCATGGATTTATTAAGATCGTCTAACTCCTTAGTGAGTTGCATCACTTTTTCACTTTCTCCTAGGGCTTCACCTTCGGAGGGCACTTTCATCGCCAGGTCGTTCTTCTCGATTTCGAGGATATGTACCTGCTTCTCGAGTTCGTTTATTCTGTTGGAATAATCCTCGTTTCTCGTTGATAACTCGGCGACTTGGTTCTTCAACTCGGACGTCGATTCCTCTTCCAGGAGCTGGTTGGACTTTTTCAGTTCTTCTATTAAATTTTCTAGCTCAGCTATCCTGTTGTCCTTTTCAATTATTAAATCGTTGGTGTGCACAGGTTCCGTGGACAAGACTTTCCTCTGCGACTCGTCGATAATTTTCTGTAACTCGTGCTTCTCGTTCTGTAGCTGTTCGATACTCCGTTCTGCCTCATCCAACCGATGGTGTAATTCGGTGACAACTGGTTCTTTGGTTGTTTTGGTGCCTGTTTCCAATTTCGATATCCTTTCCGCAGCTTCCGTCAATCTGGTCTCGCGATCCTGCAGCTGCTGGAGAAGGTTCTCAATTTTCGACTTTAGAGACGTTTCTATCAGGACAAAATTCTCCTGCATAGACTTCATAGCTTCCTTCGTGTCGGCTAAGGTATCCATAGTCGAACGAGAGAAATCTGCACTTGCAGTTTCAGCCAGTTTCTGCTCTTGCAATTGTTGTTCAAACCTGAACATTAAATAAAGTTTCCATGAAACAATAGAAACTGCTAGAAAAACTAAATTTGAAAGAGCATAAAATAGTACATCGACCTACCGTTTAATTGTTTCTTCTAGCTCGGATATTCGATTATCACGCTCCAGCAGTTGTTCCAATAGATTGTCATTTTTGCTTTTCAATGATGTTTCCAAAAGTACAAAGTGCTCCTGCATGGATCTCATTTCATCCTTGGTATCCTCTAATTTGTCCAAAGTGGTTTTACCTTTCATCGATAAATCAGCAGACATCAAGGTAACGGCTTTAGTTTTCGAGTCGATTACAGAGTCCTTTTCTTTCAAGTTCTCCCGGAGGTCTATGATCGTGGCTTCCAGTTCTAAAATTTTATTGCTCAATTCTGCAATTTTATTGTCCTTATCTTGAACTTGGTTTAGTTGCATCATTGGAGTGACGATCTGCAACACGATTAACAATAATTTATGAAATTCACTACATCAATAACTGCTTAACAAGATTAAATTAATTGCTAACCTCTGAAGTAATCGTCACTGGTTTAACTGGTGTTCCAGGCACCCAATCTTTCTGCAGCTCAACCAAGGATAAATCTCTTTCTTCTAGCTGTTGCCTGATCGCTTCCACCTTTTCTTCCACTGCTCTTTTACTTTCTGTCATCTCTTTACTACGTTTCTCAAATATTTTCCTATTTTCTGCCAACTTCCGTTGCAACAAAGAGGATTTTGCTTTAGGCGTTTTTGCTTGGCTAACATCGTCAACCACATCTGCAGGTTCCAAAGAGGAGACCTCGATATTAGACTTAGACATTGTTTCAGAAGATGACGCAGTTGCATCTTTATTGCGACGTGACAGTTTTGCTCTAGATTTAATTTTTGACAGTTTTCTGGCATACTCCTGGAAATGATACGGTTATCGTAAATTTGAAAAAAGGCAGGGCAATTACCTTATGATTAAGCTACAGCTACCTGGACCTCCTCTTCCTTTTTCTTTAGACTCTCCTTGTTTCTCAGCATAATTTCTCTCAGGGTATCCAGCTGATTTTCGTTTCTTTCGCATGTCCGCTTTGCGCTAACAGCAGCTTCAGGTGGATCCTCTTCCTCCGTCCCCGGAGGCTGTCCCAATGTGCTCCACATCGCGTACTGTGCAAACAAAAGCAGGGTAAACCACTTCATTGTATTTCACACGAGTATTACATAGGAAGGCTTGTCCACGCTTCGTTCCGATAAATCAATGGCAGTGAAAGTTTCCCTACGAAGTCTAAACACTTTGTTACCCAGTGTTCCCATTTTTCAGTGTCTAATTGGATAGGGCCTTGTCTGGGGTAAACTAATTATATTAGGTTTTGCATGGAAGGTAGGTATTTCCACAGTCTATTGCAGACCGCTTACCGAGCATGGGCGTAGCAAGCAGTGGATCTTTAAAGAATAGCTTAGGTGCTTCCTTTACCCAATGGTTCTTAAAACGGTACGACTCGAAGGGACAACAAATGGCTTCACAAGTCACGAATTGTATCCTCCACCGATCGGTTCCCTTCCAGACCTTGACCACATCCTAAACTCGATCCCGGGTCAAGAACTTAAATTACCCCACATTTAAAAGCAATGACATACTCTAAAGTTATACATAGCACTCGCAAGGACTGCAACGCGCAATGCAAATGAACTTAACCTTAACTTAATTAGTCATCCGGGGGAAGCTTCGGTGGCAATTACAGACACGGAACCTAGTGAGTACCATTAGGGAATACCGATACCGACGCCGATAAACCCCGAGTACGCGGCAAAATGACGTAACCGTATTGGTGAAAGATACGGAATCGAAGAAAGTAAGGTTATACGACGCGAACATCAAAAACGCGAAAACGCGGCCGAGCAGAACATTGCGGTGCGTGTTTCAAAGACAATTAAGGAGTTCCTCATCAAATAAACATGAAGAAACTAAAGGTAACGACCGCTAACCTGTGTATTTGAGTCGAAGAAGTTCGAAAATGTCAAGATGGAAAGACGTCGCTCCTGGCACGCATATTTCGTCGAGCCTCTCGGGCTCGCCGGGACGGATCCGTCTCCAGGGGCAACAACGCTCCTCCTCTACGCGAAACTACGAACGCGACGATTTTTCTCAAAGTCGGAAGCGACGATGGACGTGCATAAATAAAAGTTCACAGAATTCGGCCACGGAAAGCCATATCTCCCCTCAGTCCGGAACCACCCGTCAACCGACAGGAAGTTGTTGGACGAATCGCTGATAACACAAGAGAGGGCAGAATGCTTCGTTCATCGCCGAGATGCGCGTAGGCCTTCTGCGCCGATCGTGGCGCCACCGCGTGACCAACCGAAGAAGCGTTTCGCGCGACGTCCCACGTGACATCTCGGCCCAAACGCGGGGAAATTCAAACCACAAAGAAGACTCATGATACGCGAACCCAACGGAACGACAGACGTTTACGGAGCTACTCCGTCGCCTCTAAATGATCGCCGAGTATCGTCGATTGTCTCCAGAAAACTTAAAACTAATTCCTTCTTGAATTCAGCCTCTATTCATCTATCCTCCGTTCGATTTCACTCTCCTGCGACGTTTGCTCGGATCTCGAAACTCCGTGCCGTTGACCCCTGACTCGTTTCGCCACCGGTATAGTTGGTTCACGCACTACGAACGGCTCGTAGAAATATATAGGTATATATCCGCACTCGGCACGTATACAGTCGCAAGGTAGTCGGCTCCGTCGGCTGTCATTGGTGGTGGGTGGTTGCGGCGCATTTCCCCAGTGTTCCCCAGTCGCGAGCGGTCGCCAGCCCGTCCGAACTCTCCGGAGCTGATCTATCGACGCGAGGAGCAAATGTCATCGGCCCGTCCGAGCTGTGGACTTCTTTAATCCCAATCCAGGATTCCGTTATGGAGGTGCAGTCGCGGTGCAAAGGTACGGCGGAAAGGATGGGCGTTTACCTTACCCAAGACGCGCAAAAACGTCAAGTGGAAATTGAGTCCTCGGAGGAACCCGACGCGTCGACGTGTCGCTTCGCCGCGAGCGTCCGTTTATTCTCTCCCCGAAATATCCCTTAAAGACAAAGAAAATGCATTTGCGATCCTTTTTGAAATTAAGAAATCATTGAAAAAGTAACGAATTTAATCGTGTCTAGGCCGGTGGGAAATAAATCAACTGACAGACGTCGAATTGTCAGCTGTCACCTGTCAAATCCAAAATTAAGGATATTATTTTTTAATTACTCAGTTAATTAGTTAATAACTTGTGAAATATCAAATTTGTTAACGATAGGCAGTAGTGGGTATCTTTGTTCATTTTCTGTTTGTTTTCCTTGAATTAAGTCAACAAGGAACCTTGACCATGATGCGGTACGTCATAGGAAGCAAGGCAAAAATTGTCAGAACAAACAGATAACAGAAGGGTTATCGGTTCTCCTACCAAATCACAGTTACTGAAATTCATCCAAAAGAAGAAAATAAATTATGTACAAACAACCACGGGATTCAGCCAGTCGGGAAAATTTCAACGTCTTTGTTCTTGTAAATTGATAACCAAAGACAAAGTGTGAGCAAACCACTATGCGACATTACTTTTATTTGTATAGTGCGTATCGATTGTTATCTCTCTCATTCGTATCTGCTGATTTCCTTAGTTTGTCAGACAATAAACGTCATGTTATATTTTTTATCACAATGCACTTAAAGCGAAGGTCGCTCCACTTATTGATAGAGCAAAGAGAATATTGTCATATTAATTTTTACGGTGGTAGACTCATGAATCGACATATCTTTCTGTTTGCAAAACAGAAAAAAAAAAAAATAGAATTTAATTTAAACAGATAATCATTCTTTCCTCTTATTGCAGCAATCGGTGGTCCAAGTAGCAGTTCAGGCAAAAGCCGTAGTCAAACTCAAAGCCGAGGTCAAAATGAAAACCAGACACCAAACAGTGGAACGTTACTTTCGAGTTTACGGAGCGTTCTGTTTGTCATCGGCACCATTGTTATTGGATTTGCTGCAGTCTGCAATTCCCTCACATGGTGAAATTGATTTTATATTTATATGTCAAGGAAAACTAAATTTGTGTCCATTTGTAAAAGCCTGAAAAATGTGGTTTCTTACTATCAACGATCTTCCAGGCACTTGCAGAGGTTCTGGGGAGCATCGGGTGACTTTTGGCAGGCTCAATGGGACAGACTCTTGAATACAATCGGTGATGATTCTGTCAAACTCTGGGTTTATGGTGAGCCAAGAGACATCCTTTTACTTTCATAAAAATTCCAATTAAAACTGAGGCGTCTTGTAAATTAATCTAGTCTCACGAATAACTAAAAATGAAAGATGTGGTGGTAATTAAAATGGCTTTCTTCTTGGAGGTTCGACGTGGTGGACCCTAGTCGTCTACTGGGTGATCGGAGGGATATATACAATTCTTGACGTGACCAATCGGCCTGCTGTCCTTCGCCGATACAAAATCCAGCCTGGTACCAATGAGCCAGTGGACACAAAGGAGCTTTGCAAAGTCATTGGTTGGGTTCTCTTCAATCAGATCGTCGTGGGCCTTCCCCTGGGATACTGTAGCTACTTATGCATGGAGTGGCGTGGATATCCTCCTGTGAGGGAGCTTCCCACTTTCCATTGGGTTCTCGCAGAAATAGCAATCCACATCCTCTGCGAGGAGATCGGATTCTACTATTCTCACAGGTACCACTTTAATCTGGAAAATGTTCCGCACTATCCTGCAGTAGTATAAAGTTATGACAGAGAAAATTATAAGTCGACCGATTGAACAAATTTCCCCCGTGACATTTCAGATTGCTTCACAGCCGATACCTGTATAAACGTATTCACAAACAGCACCACCAGTGGACAGCACCAATTGCAGTATCGGCTTTATACTGCCATCCTCTGGAGCACATTGGCTCGAACCTCCTTCCACCCTTTCTGGGTGTCTTCATCATGGGGTCTCATGTAGCAACAGCTTGGTTGTGGTTCTCATTGGCAATTCTTTCTACCCTGAATGCACACTCTGGTTATCACCTGCCATTCTTTCCCTCTCCAGAGGCTCACGACTTCCACCATCTTAAGTAAGACTTGGCCATTGATCGGCTACTTTTTTTTTTTTTTCTTGATCAAAAGACAATAAAGTGACATGTATGTTTTAGATTCACTCAGTGCTATGGAGTGCTCGGTGTCTTGGACCGAATCCATGGAACGGACACTCAGTTTCGGAATTCTCGGGCGTATTCGCGACACGTTATGATGTTGAGCCTCGTTCCCCCCAGAGAGGCATTCCCTGACGAGGTTAAATACAAATCCAAGTAGAGCGGAGTTTCTGAAGGCGGTACTCTCAACTGGATCGCCATCCGAAGGTCCTCTCGTTACCTGAGAACTAAGTTACTTTGTTAAGTTTCTACCGAAGACACCGATGGAACAAGATTCTAGCTCCCCTTTCAGGAGACCCATGGAGATTCTAGGAACGATCAAAGAATCGAATCTTTTGAGACCGTCTCAAGGCCATGTGGAAGAAATTTATTCGCAATGTCTTCTATTTATTCTCCAAAGGAAAATGAAAGCAGAGTTTGTGTCTGAAGTACTTTACTTTCGAACAAATCTATTCCAACGGTTTGGGACGATCGTTCCAGAGAGATGCAGCTTGACACTGCTGCTCTGAAAGAGATCGAACGATCAACTGGTATCTCCGTATCCTTTTACACAATTGCGTTATACGATGGAAATTGCAACATCGACGCGAAGATAACTCAACATATATTCACTATTTTTATATTTGTATTTTCGTTCCACGCGTAGCGAAGAGGTTAGTGGTGACAGGTTTCGACCACGCGTGTAGATTCTTTATTTCGGACACGTACGCGTCGTCCTAGCGGGTAGAAAGCAGAGAATAAAACATTCGCGGCTTGACACCGATATTTAGAATTCGTAAGACCGACTTCGTGAGTGTACCGATACCGAAAATCAACTCACACCGAGAGAATGACTCGGAAGGTGCATTAACCTAACTTTTAAGTCCGACCAAAACGACGACAGCGGACGATGCTCGTAAGCATTTTCAAGAATGCAACCAACTGTCCTTGTTTACGGAACGTCGGACGCAAATGTCGAGAAATTAACTTTTTCAACGCGATCTACGTTACGTGGCATCTTCTACGTAACGGTGGAACCAACGGATGTGGAACTTGTGATTAACGCGTACTGCTAGTATCACTGCGTTTATGTACCTAAGTGAAAAGGCTTATTAATAAAAACTTGGACAAACACGCACGAGAAATCGAGTTACTTTAGTTCTCTTCTCAGAGGTTACACAACATGCGGTTATGCGTACTGCACCCTTTGTATTGCATTTAACAATGTTCCTTTTCTCTCTTCTCTCATTATGTAGGAGTACAAAAATAATTAGAGTTATTGCTTTATCGTTACTTACATGTCAAGAAAATATAGGCCCTCAAATGTTACAACCGAGAGTAGTCAATCGACCCTTGTAACGTTTTACTCTCTAAAGCACTAGACCGTCGATAGTTTTCACACAATCCGTTTTGTATTCGCAAAGACATTCTAGGAGCACGTTTTAACAAATGCGCAAGTAACAGTGTCCTATAATCGCAAAATGTAATTGTAGTGGTACATCGAGTGACAGTGACGTGCCATGCGACTGGTTAGATATCACCATCTGTCTGAAAGCATTAAGATAATTACACTCTTTGGTTTCGTTTACGAATCAATGATTTAGCAATTAGATTGCGTCTACGTATCGTTATGACACCGTTCTTATTCGGTAGCGATTTCCTAGATAATCACAGATGCAAGAATGCTACAGTTCGAAATAATTCGGCAATCTACTTTCGTAGTGTTCTTTTGACCTGCGGGTTCTGGAATTTGCCAATATTTCTACCGTTTTATTTTCTCAAATAATTTCTCAGACCTGTCAGTCGCATCACCTGACAAGCTATTTAGGAAAGAAATCCTGGCTTACTATCGACACTGCAAAAAGGTCATATTGCGATATCAAGAAAACTTAGTTGCCTTAAATGCTGACATATCCGTGTGTCATTGAAATAAAATATAATATAATACAATATAAATGCGTGTAAATGTGACTGTAGTTCCCTCAATTATGAAAATAATTTGACTTCACGTACGTATATATAAAAATTGATAGCAAAGAAGTTTTACAAATTAAACTTCTTTGTACGTATCTTGCTAAAAATGGTGTCAATTCTTTACAGTGTTTTGCCAATCACTGCTTGGCGCTCATCCCGATTCTAATGAACAATTTAATTGAATACGCGCACAAGCAAACTCAAAGGTTCCTATAGTACTCGAGTATCCTATAGTACATTACAAACATGCCTATTAACAAGTAAAGGTAATGTACAAGTGATGAGCATTACACCTCATTCGCAAATCTCTTATGCAGGCATGTAGTTCACACGTATTTGTAGAAGTCGCGTTAAATCGATGTTAATCATTATACATCCCATCGATTAGAAAATCCATTCGTCTGTAGTGCCGCTTGTCCCAACAGTCTCTACCTCTCTTATACAAAATGAACATTGCTACGCCTAACAATGGTACAGCCAATATTGTTATAACAACTGGCACGATATAATCGATTTTCCGTGGCATTCCTAACGGTGGACTCTTTGTAGGTGAAGCTGGTATTGGCTTGTCGATGTCAGCTTCACCAATTGTCACAGTCGGCTTTGGTTTGTGCTTCTTCGGCACCTTCGTAGTTGCAGGCGTGGATAATGGCAAAGAACGATTATCCGCATTATTAACCGGAATTACAGCAATGTTTAGATCCTTGTGGTCTTGTGCATTTAAGTTAGTCGATACGTTTCCCTTACTTGGAAGTAACGTACTATTAAAAACATTCGACTTCAGATTATGTATAGAATTAGTCGAGTTCGCATCACTACGTTGGATTGGATCGGTTGAGTTCACTTTAATCGGTGCACTTCCATTGAAGCTGTAATTCTCAGGACCCAAACCTGGATTTGGAAACACACCTTTTCTCGGAACAACGGCAGGGTTGGCATTCCTTACTTTAGGGACACTGTCCTTTTCACTAAGTGACAAACCATCAAACGATAATTGAACGCCTTCGGCAACAGCTGTCAATCCTTTAGATAATCCAACTGCAGTGGTAGAAATATTGCGGTTTGACTTAAGTAAGCTATCGTTGCATGGTGTCATGGTAGAAGCGATCGTGGCACCATCCTAAAATTAAAACATTGCAGGTTTATCGATCTAACCCAACATCCAGATAAAAAATGAGATCATAGAGAATAGAACATTAGCAGAACGAGATAATGAGAGAAAGTTTCGGCTTACAGAGCAGTCTCTCTCGATTGTCGGGTTAGAGGTGAAAGTCATCGGCGACGGGTCTCGCTGAACCGGTACGCTCTGGCCTTCGGAAAAGGCTAAAACTCTGGGCTGCTGCGAGAGATTTGACGAACTGTTAGTCGCAGTTATTTTATCCACTTTATCTGTTCTTTTCACGGATAAGGTTAGACCCGAAGTCAGGAAAATGCATGCGACCAGTGACACAACCCGGAGCATCTTGACTCGCTGTAAAACCGACGACGCATAAAACACCGCGGGGAAATTTCCGCGGTTCCCTCGAATCACACTAAATCCATCTAATAGAAATGTAAAAATATACAAAAACTAAAAAAAAACAAGTGGTCGCGGGCATAAAACGACACCTCACTCCATGACAGTAGTAGCACTAGCACGTTCACTCCTGTAAACAATTTCGCAACTGAACCAGAGATGAGTTGGGAGATTGCGCACGGGCAGGATTGCGCGATCGCGACCTGTGCTGCCCCCAGGTGGAGGATATGGACGGCTATCGCACTTGCCACCTGATACCCCCAATGGCGGCCCAATTCAGGGATCCTCCTCGGGGTCTATTACGTAAAGCAAATTGAGCGAAAATGTGAAAAATGAGTGAATGTGAACCAGCTTCATCGCTTAGTTGATGGATGGCGGGAATTTCGAAGGTTGAAAAAAAATATACTATGAACACTCTCTGCTTCTCTCTACTTTAAACTGCGTTCCGAAACTCATCGAAGAGGATCCGCTCGACCAGTCTTTTTTGTTTGTGTTAAACTTGACAGTTATAAGGACGAGGGACATTATATTTGAAAATGAAATGCAGTGGGGTTTAATGGCTGCTGAAACGTTTCGACGGATGGTCTCGATTTTGAATCTGTGAGGTTTTTACTTGAATGAGACTGGCAGACTCGCCGATCGCTCTCAACGGCGAGCTCCGGTCCGCCTCGTGAATCGGCGGTATTGACGTCTTGCGAGGTGAGTATCTGAGGATTGCGATTTCTCCGGATATATAAGACACGGTGCCATTAACGCGCACATCTTCCTACCGGAATGGGATTCTAGAATTGATCTCTCTAGTTCGTCTAGATCTGCTTGAATTTTTGTGCCAACGCTTTTTGGCGTTAGGCCGAAAGCCCTCATCAAAGGTTAGACGTAGTTGTCTCACCAGGAAGTCTTTGTCATTCTCTCGCGTTATCTTGACACTTGCAGTTGTTGCCGAAACAAGGAGCACGATTTTTCGTACGGTTTAATCGTCTTATGGAGCCGCATTACCTTGATACATAGCAAAGTGATAATTGCGTGACCATTTCTGTTATACGCGAGTGTGAGACATGGAAGAGGGACCGTAGTTCCTTTTTTGGAAACGATTTCCAATACATCCATTACTAGATTTAAACGGACTGTAAATGTAGGCTAATTGGATTGTATCTGTGTCTATCTATTAGTAGGATTTAATCCCGTCCACTACGAGACAAGTCATTTGGAAAAATGGAGGAGGACATTGAGTATACGAAATTGCCTTTAGAGGAGCGCTGTGTGCACAAGGTACGGATTGTGGGGTCGTTCTACTTCAAATTCATATGTGGTATTTTGAGTAGTTCTATTCTTTAGTTGGTTTGCATTTGTGTTATTTTTCTTATAGTCATGGAAGGCACGATTACACGGTTATGAGGAATGCACAAAAACGTTTCGTCGCATAGATGATGAAAAATCACCAGAGTGGAATAAATTCATTGGACTAGTAAAAAAGTTTGTCGTTGATAGCAATGCGGTTGCCCAAGAGAAAGGTTTGGAAGCAACGCTAGCATTTGTTGAAAATGCCGCGGCAGCTTCAAAGTAAGCTAATGGGAATAATGTTATTTTTTGGTTCATGGTGATTTATGTATTCAATTCTTTTTCACTCAATCTTGTAGAACTGTCAGTGACGTAATGAGCGGTATTGTCACTAAATGTATCGCTGCACCCAAAGCAAAGACAAAGGATTTAGCTGTACAGATAACACTCATGTATATAGAAATAGAAAAGCAAGATGCAGTACAAGAGGAATTGTTGAAAGGCACCGAGGCAAAAAATCCAAAGATTGTCTCCGCTTGCATCTCTGCACTGACTTTGTCCCTCAGGTATGGTTATTTTGTCTGCGCAAAAAAGTTTGTGTCCGTGATGTGCAAATTAATTTCTATCATTTAATATTAGAGAGTTCGGTCCCAAAGTTATTAACATTAAGCCACTGATTAAGAAAATGCCAAGTTTCTTGGAGGACAGAGATAAAACTGTTAGAGACGAAGGGAAAGCCATGGTCATTGAAATATACAGGTAAATTTTGTTTCAAGTTGAATCGCTTAATCTATGTATACGTTTGATTTTATGCCTTTCAATAATATTCACAGATGGATTGGAGCACCTTTGAAACAACAACTTAGTACCTTAAAGCAAGTACAATTAACAGAATTGGAAACTGAGTTTGCACAGATAGAAAAAAGCACGGTTGCTCCAACTCGCTACTTAAAGTCCCAGAAATCAAAGATTAGGGCCGTTGCAGAGTCAGGTGCTAGTGCTACCCACGAAGGTATTACTCACAATAGCATACTGTTTTTGTAATCCATGTCATGAATCTTGTTAAATTTTTTAATTTACATTAATCTAATAGGTGGCGAAGAGGAAGATGACGATGCTTCCGCCTCGGAAATAGATCCTTACGAACTATTGGAACCTGTCGATATTCTTTCCAAACTTCCAAAGGATTTCTTTGAGAGCGTTGAGGCAAAAAAATGGCAGGAACGAAAAGAGGCATTAGAGGCTTTGGAAACTTTAGTCAAGAACCCAAAACTAGAAAACGGCGACTACGGTGATGTAGTGCGAGCTTTGAAAAAGGCAAATATTTATTTCTTGACATATTCAACTATTTTGTAAAACAGTGGTAATTATTTATGGTGATTTAATTTAATTTGATGACTGTTTCCATTCAGATGATCGCAAAAGACTCAAATGTGTTAGTAGTTGCCTTAGCAGGGAAGTGTTTAGCTGGTCTAGCATCAGGACTGAAAAAGCGATTCCAACCATATGCTTTAGCATGTCTACCTGTGATTTTAGAGAAGTTTCGTGAGAAAAAACAAAATGTTGTACTAGCCCTTCGCGAGTGCTGTGATGCTATATTCCAAAGTGTACGTATACGCTGTATTTCTTAATAAATGCTTTTCTAAAGCTGTTTTATTTATAATTTACAACATATAGATTGCTATCGACGTTATGCTGGAGGACGTGGTAGCTGCATTGGAGAATAAAAATCCCGCAGTGAAAGCTGAGACCGCTGCTTTCATGGCACGTTGCTTCGCCCGAACATTACCTTCGACTTTGAATAAAAAATTATTGAAAGCATATACCGGGGCACTGCTAAAAACTTTGAACGAACCAGGTGAGTTACTTCTCTCCCCACTGTAAACTAGAATTATTAATTGACTCTGTTATCATGTCGATGAATTATTTAATTTTCTTTATTTAGACCCAACTGTTCGAGACAATTCTGCGGAAGCCCTTGGGACAGCCTTGAAGTTAGTCGGTGAAAAGGCAATATCACCATTTCTTACCGACTTAGACAATTTAAAGATGGCAAAGGTATATAAAATTCAGTAAAAAATAAATAAGTGAATTTAAAGAATAGCCATTGTATCTACTATTATTTTTTTTAGATCAAAGAGTGTGCGGATCAAGCCGTGATTCAGGTGAAGATGCCAGTGGTTAGAAAGGCGCCGAGTGAGAGACCAAACACGGCGCCGGCAAAAATAGAGTCACCTGTAAAGTCCAAGGAATCTGAAAATCAAGGAGCACCCAAAGCAGGCAAGAGGCCAAATACCACGGCGACTAAAAAGGGTCTCTCCAAGAAATCCACAAATTCTTCGCTCACGAATCTAGGTACTAAAGTAGACGACCTTTACCCTTGCGAAATTCTCCTACAAAGTCAACAAGCTCCACGTGGATTCCATTTCAGGTGGAACCAAGAAATCTAACGCAACAAAGGTTCAAGTCGAGAGAAATCTTAGTAGTGAAGAGGTGGATGAATTAGCTGCGCAAACATTACCCAGCGATGTGATCTCTGGACTTGTCGATAGCAACTGGAAAACACGTTTGGCTGCTGTCGAACAACTGTCAGAAGTACCGATGATCCTTCATTTACTGTGATTAATTCACATGGTGTTCATCGATTACACCTATAATAATTGAAAATTTGTTATAGGCAGTGAAACTCATGGATCCAGCGGAAGTGTCTACGCAGGTCATTGTCAGGACCCTGGCCAAAAAACCTGGGTTCAAGGACACGAATTTCCAGGTTCTCAAGCTTCGACTGGAAATTGTCAAAATGCTCGCAGAGAATTATCCTTTCTCCAGGTTAATATTTTATCAATGTTCAAGATATTAGCCTTGAATTTCGAAGTGATTTGAAATTACTTCCAGCACCGTGTCGGAGTATTGTATCATGGATATCACGGAGAAACTTGGCGACGGGAAAAATAGTGCCGTGGCGAGCGACACGCTCATGGCTATTGCCGAGGCGACGAGTTTCGAGCTCGTGGCAAACGAAACCATAGCATTCGCTTTCAATCAGAAGAACCCGAAGGTTCAACAGGAGACTCTCTTGTGGCTATCCAAAGCCTTGCTCGAATTCGGTTACACGTGAGTGCCGCATTCGATTACATCCCTACCTGTAATGAAATTGCGTAAAATAAAACGTTACACTTACTGTTTTAAGAATCAACGCGAAGTCGATAATGGAAAATATCAAGAAAGCAGTGGGCGCGACGAATCCTAGCGTGCGCACAGCAGCGATTACGTTAGTAGGAACTCTGTACATGTACATGGGCAAGCCCCTCCTCATGTTCTTCGAGAACGAAAAGCCGGCCTTGAAGCAGCAAATTGAACAGGAGTGCGAAAAGGTACCGTCAGTTTTGTCCTCGTAGAGTCACGGGTGAAAAAAAAAATTGAATGGGTTAAAGAAACATTGAATTACAGAAGAGGGAAACGCCGCCGGCACCCGTGCGTGGACTTAAAAGTAAAAAGGGCAGGGTGGAGGAAGACGAGGACGGAGAACCCGACGAGAAAGTTGGCGGAAGTCAGTCGAACATTTCCGATCTCTTCCCCCGGGTCGACATCAGCAATCAAATCACCGAAAGCTTGCTCGCCGAGTTGTCTGACAAGAACTGGAAGGTGAGGTGTCGCCGGTACTCTATGTACGAAATATCGCCATCCGAAGAAGTATGTAATCATCGTTTCCTGTATCAGGTTCGTAACGAAGGTCTACAAAAGATAGCCGGGATTCTCAACGAGGCGAAATTCATAAAAGGATCTATCGGGGATCTGCCGCAAGGATTGGCATTGCGACTGGTCGACAGCAACAGCAAGATCGCCCAATCCACTTTGGGTCTCTGTCAGGCTTTGGCCACCGCCATGGGCCCCTCTGCCAAAACTCATATTCGCACCCTCTTCCCTGGTTTCGTTCAATGCCTGGGAGATTCCAAGGTCAGGGAAAACCCTCAGGTCATTTATAAGACAGGTATTAACAGCGGCGTTAATTCATTTTTTTACGTCTTTAGAACTGGATCCGCACCGCCGCTATTTCCTGTATCAACACCTGGGGCGACCAGTGCGGCTACAAAGAATTCTTCGACGGCGAGATTATCGGCGATGCCCTGAAGACTGGTTCACCGACTCTCAGAGCAGAGCTGTGGATCTGGCTTGCCCAGAAATTACCCGGAAGTAGGTGGACTACCATTTCCTGGATTAGATGTATCGTAACGCGACCTTACTCTCCTTTTTATTTCCTTTGCAGTACCGGTCAAGCAAATACCGAAGGACGAGCTTACCGCGTGCATTTCCCATTTGTACAGCAACTTGGAAGACCGCAACTCCGATGTGAGGAAAAACGCCCAGGAGGCAGTTTTGGGATTCATGATCCATCTGTCCTACGAAGCCATGAGCAGGAGTACGGAGAAATTAAAGGTGTGCATTAATTTAATATCCGGGCACCTGGTTTTATTGGAAGAATTGGGTCGACGAGAATTTTCGGTGTATTACAGCCAGGGTCTAGAACCGCGGTATTGGCAGCCCTGGACAAGGCAAGGCCCAATCTACCGATTAAACCTCTGCCCTCGAAGAAGCAAGCATCCGATGACGGCTCGCAGCAGAAAACCGTAAAGAGCGGAGGCGCCGTGAAGGCGAATAAAGCCGCGGTCAAGACAAAGGTGATTTCTACTTATTCATTAGTAGATAAAAAAAAAATGTAGATCCATTAAGATCATATACTTTAACGCGAAGAAATGCTCTCTCCAAATCAGGGCGCGTCCTCGTCGAAGCCCAGCAGTGCCCGCAAGAAGGACGAAGACGTCGACACGAGCCCGCTGCTGGCGACGAACAATCTGAAGCACCAGAGAGTAATCGACGAGCAGAAGTTAAAGGTCTTGAAGTGGAACTTCACTACACCTAGGGAAGAATTCGTGGACTTGCTGAAGGAACTGATGTCGGCCGCTAACGTGAACAAGACGTTGATGGCGAACATGTTCCACTCGGACTTCCGGTACCACCTCAAGGCGATCGAAGCTCTGACGGAGGTACCTCTCGGTCCATTACCTGGGAGGTGTCATTTTCTTCATTCTTTGATATTAATAATTTATCAATTTAATAATTTAGGATCTGCCCGGCAACAGTAAGGCCCTCGTCTCAAATCTTGACCTCATATTGAAGTGGTTGACGCTTCGATTCTTCGATACGAATCCATCGGTATTGCTGAAAGGCTTGGACTACTTGCAAACCGTTTTCAATCTGCTGATCGAGGATCAGTATCACATGCTGGAGAACGAAGCTGCCTCGTTCATTCCTTATCTAATTATTAAGGTTCGTAGGATTTTTTTTTTTTGTTCTATACCTAAGCGGACAAATCAGGATTTATAAATGATTAATTGTAAATGATCTCGCAGATCGGGGATCCCAAAGACGCCGTTCGGAACGGTGTTCGAGCCCTCTTCAAGCAGATCGCTTTAGTATATCCTGTTAGCAAGCTGTTCTCCTACGTCATGGAGGGCTTGAAGTCTAAAAATGCTAGACAGAGAACCGGTAGGAATATTTCTTATGGTCTTTTTCTTTATCTTAATGGGTTAAGCGGAGTGAACGATGAAATTATATATTTTCTTTAACAGAGTGTCTTGATCAGCTCGGGTCTCTGATCGAGAATTATGGAGTTCCCGTTTGCCAGCCGTCTCCCTCGTCTGCTTTGAAAGAAGTTGCTAAACAAATAGCTGACAGGGATAATTCCGTGCGAAATGCAGCGCTCAATTGCATCGTCCAAGCCTACTTCCTCGAGGGTGAACGAGTCTATAAACTGATTGGGCAGGTGGGTGAAATTATTAACAATATGTACCCTTTGAGGCTGCAAGTAATTCATCCTACAGACATAACGTATTATAATTTGGATAGATATCTGAGAAAGATCAGTCATTGCTGGACGAGAGAATTAAAAGAGCTGCAAAGAATCGCCCAGTAAAGTCAGCTTCATCGGCGAGGATAGTGGTGCCACCAATTTCTACAAATGCCCCTGCGACAGAGGAAATGGAGGATGACTACGAAGAAGAGGAGGAGAACGAAGCTCCGGAGCAGGAAGTCGATGTACTCAACGATGGGTAAGATGATTTCTTTAGCTTCGCCAGTCTATTAATTATCTGCTTAGTAACAGTTTTATCGAAGTTAAGACTCTTAAAGCAATGTAGGATTTATTTTCCGAAAACCTATTATTTTTTTTTTTGTTTTTTATGCATGCGCTTGCTTTGTGATAATCCTTCAGGGACGATAGTAAAGATAATCAACCCGAGAAGGCCGAAGATATGACTCTTGTCAATAAGGAAAACAATGAGGAATCGCAATCGCCGACTGCGACAAAAAATGAGGGAAACAAGGACGAACGGGTTGAAGCTTCGGCAGAATCGGAATCTCAATCTGAACAAGTCACTCGCGAAGCGGAAAATAAGACGTTTGTTTATATACATTATAATGTCATGGGGGTAAACTGCGGTATTGGATTTTTGTTTTTGTTTTTTTAATACATATATAAAATGGTTGCTGCATGTTTTACAGGAATTGGTGTCTGTCGTCGACGTTATTGATCTCATCGTTGTGATTTTGTGCACCTGTTGTTCCAATGTTTAAGACGTTCGATTAATATGCCAAATGATATTTTAGAAATCCCACGCCGATGCAAACGAAAGTATCAGGACCCTTTGGCCTCGACATGGATCTGCTGCAGAGGATCGAGCTCAGTGCTCCTGTCAAGTATCGGTACCCTAAGCTACTGACTCCAGATTTCTCCGAACCAGTAAATTTAGCTCCTCCGCCAACTCAGTGAGCACCAGACAAATGCATACGTTTGGAAAGTAAGAATCACGTTAACAACCATGCCTTAAATTTCCAGAACAATTTTGATGTCACCGCCGAAGCTCTTAATTCCTAAATCTTCGTCTGTATCTCCCCTGGGACAATCGGCTACTAAAGAGGAGAGTCTGGAGCGCAATATTCTTGCAATAGCCAGCCCGGATTTGCCGACTGCCATTCAGGCTATGAATAGCATAGATAACGTTTGTATTCTTCTAAGTCTAATTACAAAGGAACCGATGCCAAGGCATAACGATTGACACTAATCTTTTCCCGTTAGTTATTGAAGTCGCATCAGTTCAGTATGCTGCAGTCGAGGGAGGACAAGTTCATCACTTCTTTGAACCTGCAACTCAAGCTTCTTCAGACGTATCCTCTCCACCAGGGAAGCGTCGACGTGTCCAAGGGCTTCCGAAATGCCTTCATGGTGATACTTTCGGTAAGGCAATTTTTTTTTTCACCCTTAAAAGTCGTAGGTACTCAATTTGACACTTTACAGTTCTACGAATCCGGGGTCTTGGGGAAGAACGTACCGGCGGTGCACCTGAAGGAGCTCATTGATCAGATGATCTGTTTGTTGGCCGAGAATAAGCTGGACCGGCTGAACGAAGCGGAAGCTTACAACAGGGTCATCAACAACATCGTCATGAAATTGATAGATCATTCTAATCACACGACCATCATATGGTGCGCTATCCCTCGATCGAGCCACTCTCATTCTTAAGGAAAGTTATTTTTTTTTTTTAATTCTTATGCGTATATTCATCTTACAGCGTGCTAATCCAATTGTTACACGGCTGTGCGGAATCGAATGCTCCTTCCAAGTACGAAGACCTGGTGATGAAGTGCTTGTGGAAGATAGTAAAGACTATTCCAAATTGGGCCGCCGACTTGGAATACGATAACATACTCCTGGAGGTGCACCACTTCTTCAAGGTAATTCCTTCGCTTGGATTTACCTCGAGCCGGTGAGAGGGATAATTAAGAAATCGTTGATGACTCGAAGCCTTCTCTCAGGATTACCCTTCGTCTTGGTGGAAGAAACGAAAGCCTGACACAGCCTTGCGTACGGTTAAAACCGTGCTTCACAGTATGACCAAGGTTAAGGGCAGCACGATTTTAAGTCACTTGACGTTGATAAGTAACACGAACGAATCCGAACTACATTCCTACCTGATGAGACTTATCGCGGTGAGTTTCAACTTCTAGAAGTGCACCTCGCCGTTTGCAGACAAATCACAAACCCGGGCCTTTTGCAGACCTTCAAGCCCGACGAGGTTAACGCAATGTCGAGGCCTTCTTCTAAGGCGAGCAACCCAAGCCGGACCCAGAAACATCTTTCGAAGTTGACTCATCAACAATTGTCGGAGATATTCAAAAAAATTGGATCCAAGCACCACACGCAAGAGGTATCCAATTTTTTCAATCCCCTATATCTAGTTCCTTGGGTCTACTTCTTTTTATAAGAGCATACTAGTGCTCACTGGAATTAATTTGTTCAGGGCTTGGTACAGCTTTACGACTTCAAGCAGCAGAATCCTGAAGCAGACGTTCAACCCTTCCTGATGTCATCTCATCAGCTTTTCCAAGACTTCATCGAGCAGGGACTCCGAGATATCGACCAAGCGAGGAAGAATCAAGGACTCATATCCCAGGCCAATAATCAGTATGGTATCTGTCGATGATGGACGTTATCAAGGTACTACTCTGATTCTACCATTGTTAGAAACATTGGTGATTGCACTTGCAGAACCTTCCGAACCTCCCGCCCCGGTTGCAGAGGAGAAAAGACTAATGGATCCCATGCTCAGGCTGGAGAAATTGAGAGCGCTCGAGGCCCAGTGTAGAACCACTGCACCGAGCCATTCCAATCCGACATGAGTCCAAGATGAACGCACTTTCGTACTACTTTAGGTAATACCGTGATCGCAAGTACTCGCACCCTCATTAGGCCTCGTTCAATTGGTCTTCCTCGTTTCGGTACATCTGACCCATTGTCTCGTGGAACTTTTCCTTTGGTTATCGGTGATTTTTTTTCTTATTCCAGGTTTCGATTATTCAAAGATAACGCGTAGTCGAGGAACATCCTATTTATGGCGTCGCATCGGAAAGCGTACAAGTAATTCAGCATGCATCGTATCGTACTTACGGATCGGTCAGGGGGAGGCCTAGGTAAATGGTAACGATTGCGACATGTCTCGTTGGGGTTTTGTTGTCTTTTTCTTTCTTTCAATCAGGCTAAGGTCTTTTCGTTAACGCGAGTAGAGGAGGAACGCTCCCTTCGCAGGATCACCAGTGCATGAAACATAAAGGCACGTATTAATAATCAGTGCATGAGCAGAACAGTTTATAATAATGTACGTAATTGCTATATACCTTCGACGTCCAGTGCGAGATTAACAGTAGCTCGACTTCACCTCGTGGTTACATGTATAGTTGATACTATTATTAATAATATTATGTAACGTTCATGTGTTATGCCAGCCGTATTTATGAAGTATAGGAGCAGAGAAGGATATTAAATTCTGTAATAACAGACGGAGTCCACGTTGGTTTCAGACTGAGTTATTTGTAGCTGATTTTATATCGTTATTTTTTTATAATAAACACTTCGTCTTTTTTAACACGCGCCTCCTCTGCGTTTGCACACTCGACCATGATTCTATTTGTGCGTGTAATATTTATTGCAGACAAGTACCGTCTATTTCCTATTGATCATTTGTTACAGTGCATTTATCTTTACCGATACGAGGTATCGTGGAGTCCGAAATGAAGTGGTCGCTCCTTATCATGTAATCCATGTATAATTATTTGGATAACAATCGTCGGACGACTAAAGTCTGATTAGACGGTTTACAAAAGCAAAACAATTGCGGTTCTTCCTTATACCTGATGGTACTCTTCCACGATTCGCGGAATTCACGCATCCCTACTTCGGATTTGTTTCATTGTCTAATACGTTTGTATTAATACATATTTGCACATCGTTCGATCCTATAACAGTTCGCCTCGTCGAGGGGTTACTCTGCGCCCGTTTGAGTAAAAAAATATTTCAATCTGAAAGCACCTCGTACATTTGCTACCTGGCGGATTACGCATCCCTACTCGCATGTTCGGTTAAAGTATAATCTGCTCGACTTATTTTCCTTTCGTTCCTAAAGCGGTAAAATAAAATTCGAGATCGTTCGCTCATTTGATTTCAGCGTCGCACGATAACGGGATACGACTTTTATTTATCACCTAAGTATCTAACGAGATGGATAATTCTGGTTTCGCCTTATCATTTTACAGGTTAACAGAAATTACCATTCGATAACTTTTAACGGTACAGATCTATCTACAAATGTGATGCGATACTTCTCGGGGAGGGAAAAAATCATATGATACCAAAAATATATTAATGTCCCCAAGGTAATTATAATACTATAGAATGTATTTAAAAAAAAAAAAACATTGTATCTTACCCTGAAGGGGTACACTAATACCTGAAATAATACAGGAACGTGATACCGTTCCTGCAATTCTTGATCTTGAGGACTCAAAGTCTTGCGGTGACTCTGTACGGCACCCTTTGGTTACAGAAGCTTATACCAGTGAATGAAGCTTTTAACAAAAACTGCCAGCTATGTCCATATTCAAAATTATAATTTTGCTATGGGCGCCAGCAGTGATTCTTGCCAATTATGTCTATGTATGTACATTGGGTTTCTGATGCTTTGCGCAAACATAGACACATATGTACAAATGCATATTATACAAACAAGACATCATTCCGGCTCATTGGATATTGAGATCATACTCAAATGTCCTCATTTGGATTAACAAAAAGCGCCGTCAGCGCAAAAAGGAGGAAAACCAGACCGCCGATAATCGTCACTGCGAACAGGAAAGAAAGTATAAAAATTCTAGTAATCATATTCCAAAGATATAAGAATGAATCAGGTTAAAGGATTTTACAGTGTTTTCTTTTATTGTAAAAAGTGATTCTCTTACCAGTGCGTACTGATATTCTTTGGGCAATGATACGCCCTCCAAGTACGGCTAGTCCTGTGCAGAGCGAATGTCCTAATATTCCTCCCAAAACCACACCATATACATCCTGAAATATTTCAGTCAAAGATCTATAAGGTTTGAGAATGATACTATGATTCACTCAGTTAATTGTACTTTGAACACGCGCCATTAAAGATTTATTAAAATTACCTCACGAGCAGCAAGTATTATTGTAGTCAACTGGGAGCGATCGCCGAATTCGGCGAGAAAAGTAAGAGTAAATGCCTGCAAGAAAATTCTTGACAGCAGCATAAAAATACTCATTTTCTGAGATTTCTTTATCGCACCGGTCTCTGGATCTTGAACCAATGCAGTCCCCGCTTCTTTCTCATACTTAAAATGTATTAATGTCAATGAGTGAGCAAAGCAGGAAAAAAGAATTCAGATATATCACGAAGTACCTCGTCTTCTCGTTTCCTTAAGTCAGATTGTACTTCTTCTATTTCCTCCTGAGCTTCAGAGGATGACATATAGTAACCATCTCGTAACATCTTAATGCCAAACAAGGCAAAAAGTGCTGTTGAAATATAATATGTATAGGCTCTTGGAAATATAGTGGCTATGTATCCAAATATAACTGTGAAGATAGAATAAACAGGGTAATTGTCACATCAAACATTTTACTTAATTTATATACTAAATGTCCTGTAGCACATAATCTATTAACTGTTGCACAAATAATACCTGAGAGTATTGTCATAAGGGCTAGGGCTGTAATTGCTCCAGCAAAGACCGTTAGCCGTGGATGCCTCATTGCCATAATCGCAGCAATGAAGAAAGTTTTGTCGCCAAGTTCGGAGACGATGATAACCGAGAGGGAAGCAATAAATCCATGTATAAATCCAAGATTACCTTGCGGTTGAACAGATGCCAGTTCATCGGATTTCTTAAATAAGTGAATTCGCATGAAATTCAAGCACATTAACTAAAAGATACTGAAAAATCAAGATGCAGCAACTCACCATCGATGGAATCGGGACGGATGGACTTACAATCTTTGGAAGGAACTTTTCCGCTTGGACTATATCTACTAGGTAATAGAAAAATATAAACAAAAAGATAACATCCTTGTAACTCAGATTAACTCGACTTGACGTTGCCATTCTTGTAAGTTATCAAGCTTGTATAACCTCAAAAACTGTTGCCAAAGTGGCAAGCGATTTACAAGTGAAGGAGGTTATTACTTTGACGAAATTCTCGGTATTTAATTAACTTGCCAAACAGCTGTGAGTATCGGTAAATTTTTCATCTGTTGGTGAAGAAAAATGTGCATAAATGTAGCGGTAAATGAGGGGTAAAAATGCGGGAACCGGAGAAAATGATTTTAGATGAATATTACATACACCACCAGTGTATACGTGCACTGGAAGGATGCACACAAGAGTCGGTCATGCCACGAATTTAGATAGTTATCACCTGCCATTAATCTCGAACACAGTGTGAGAAAATGCAGGTGCTCCTACGAGTCGCAAGTATCATCAATGGAAGTCCATTTCGATTTTTCGATTTCCTGTACTTTAAATGTTTAAATTAAACGTGCACCGGCGCCAATCTTGTGTTCTTTTTTCTATTTACATTTTTTTCGTCAGCTCCAAGTTTAGTTGTCCAATCGCAGGCAGGATACATCGGTAACAACCAATCAGATGCGTCGTCTGCAATAATATTACGCACACCTGCTTTCTCCTGTTCCATGAAAGTTTCTAACCTATTTAACTATGCATTATCTGTAACTGTACTTGATATGTACATTGATTAATCATGCGTTTAACGATCACGTAAGCATTAAAAACTAAATGCAAATTACCAACTGTTATGAGGAATAATAATAACAAGAAGGCGAAATGGCTGTAAAGGGAGCGCACTTGACAGGAACGACTTATGCCAAACCGTCGATTTTTGAAATTGTTGCTCAAGAATCTTTAGCAACTACTCTTCAACCTGCATTGAAAAAAGTAATTTCGGTACGTTCGATATAGATTTTATAGTGTGTTGTTGTTCATTGCAAAAATTACTCAGTGATTTTTGTTTCAGTTCTTATTAACGTGCAACCCGGAAAGGTATGGTTGGCTCCTACGATGGTCAGATGAAATATACCTGGTTCTTCATGCTGTACTTCAAAACTATTATTTAAAAAATTATTGTAAGAATTATCGAAATATTTAATGTTGAAGCCATGTGAATTACAGTATATAAAAATTTCATTTTCAGCCGCATCATTTTCTGAAACATTTTATGGGCTAAAGCGCATTAATTTGACAAATTCCAAAATTCAGAAAAAATTATCAGAGAGGCAAGAAAGGTTGACACTTATCCTCCTGGTATTATTCCCTTACTTATGGGAAAAGATTTCATATCTGGTTAATAAATACAGATTAAATGCAGAATCTGAAGCATCGAATAAGGTCCATATCATCTTCGCTCCTTTTCAAGATTTATATATAATTGAAATTAATGATACTTATATATATTTACCTTTTCAGGGTGTGCGAAGTTCTTTCACAAGGTGTATCATTCGTGGATATACGATCGGTCATGTTACCTATCAGACCTTAGTCTTATACTATTATATACTTTATATAGCAGGACGTTCTTCTTCTCCAACTCCGTTACTGAGGCTGGCTTCATTAACATTGACTTATTCAGAACCGCACAAAGTCGCCACAATAAGCGATCTCCTTAGAAAAGTAAAAGAAGGTCAATTTAGTATCGACGACAGTATCGATGTTCTTAAAAGGACTGTCACTAGATCCCTTGAGCTTGGAGCATTTTTCCTTCAATTCATGCAGTGGTGGAATCAAGAGAATTATTTCACAAACTTAACGGCGCTTCCAGCACCACCACCTCCTGCAGTAAATATATTTTAATACCCATAATATTACTATCTCCATATTTTGAATCACTTAGGTATGGATTTCAATAGGTTCCAGAGTCAGCAAAAAAATATTCAGGATTATGCCCAGTCTGTGGTGAAACACGCCGCATACCTACTGTACTCGCTGTGTCAGGGTACGTATTTTTCTAATAATGCTTCTCATTCATAAACTATAGAAATGTACAATTTTTACAGATATATATTTTGTTACAAGTGCATTCTGTCTAAGGTGCAGAAAGAAGGAAAATGTCCTGTAACCAATTACCCTGCTCGAGAAGATGATCTAATTCGCTTGTACTTGAATTAGATACGCTCCACATTCCAAAATGATTACATTGAGAGGGTCTATGTAAATGTTGTTTGGTTATTCAAAAATGTAAATAATTCAGAGTATTTAAATAAAATTGTACGTTAATTAAATTAAGGCACTTAATTCTTGCTTCATTTGTTATCAGCGCAATATCAAGAGTGTCCTGTAAAGGAGGTGGTAAACAATTGCTTACAATCTGTCAAACTGTCTCTGCTCAAGCCAACCATTTATTCTACAAATATTAATCCAAGGAAAAAAAAAATTGAAATCTTATTAACAGTGTATGGTATTTCTTTTCCGCAGCAATGGAGGTAATGGAATTAGCTGAAATGAGGAAAGTCTTCATGCCTTCCAAAAGACGTTATGAAGATCCTCACAAAGAGGCTGTAAAAGTAAATCTACTAAATTCTTTAATTAATACCAAATTAGTCCATTGATACGGAAACACTGATTATCTAATTTATTGTAGTTAAGAACTTTATGGGCGCACCACAAACCACCGAATCGACTGAAAGCCATGCAAATGGTGAAGGATTTGTACAGCAAAGCGAGGAAAGAAGTGGAAAATGAAAATTACGACTCTGCATTGGCATCTACCAGAAAAGCACTTTTTCTGGATCCTCGACATCACGCATTTTACGCCCTGAGAGGAGACGTTTACTCGCACAAGGGTAACGGTTAGAAAAGAGTTAGAAGGAGTTGATTATCTCCGCTAGGATTAATTGTAGAACGATCGAATATTTTCGAGAAACCTCGTCTTCGAAGGGTTCTGGAGCGAGTCTATCAAGAGTTACGAAAAGGCGAGACTGCTCGTCGAGTTAGACCGAAGAGTACCCGAAGAGAAAGGAAGAGCATTCTACGTGAAGAAATTAATCGACGCATACTGGAAACGTGGAAATTCTTACTTAGAGCAGGATGACCTGCTCGAAGCCCTCGGGGATTACGAGGAAATTCTCGTTCTTTTGCCTCGAGGGACCTTGATAACGGAAACGCAGGTACGCGACGAATCGCCGAACGTCGATTTTTAATTCGACCTCCCCTGAATTTCTTTTTTTTCTTCCAGGATAAAATCCTGGCAGCTTTGAAAAGTCTAGAGAAGTACGAAGCATATCGTTATCATTGGATGCGTTTCATGGTAGACGCCGACAAGAAAAGGGCCTCGAGTCTCTTGACACACCACGCCGAGTATAGAATTTACTTGAGCGACATGGCAGCGGCTCGTCACATGCTCTTCGAGGCTCTAGACATTGACTCGTCCAATTCGAAGGCTCAGGAGCTCTTGCAGGTCTTGCCTTTACATCCAAGGACAATGTATCAACTCGTTTAATTTTTTTAGGAGCTTTAAGCAAGTTTCTCTTCGGGACAGGTCGTATTCGACACCGGTCATACCATGGTAGCCTACGCGGTGATCTGGTGCTTTCATGGGTGCTATGACAAGGCTCTGTTGACCATCGAAAAGGGCCGAGACTGCGATCCCTATAATCCAGGGTACACCTTGCTGAAGGCCATAATTCTGCGTCTGTCGGGTCGCTTAACAGAAGCGAAGAGATGGTTGCAAAGCATCGACCAAGGTTTCTACAAGCTACTGGAGCCGTCCAGGGACATGCAGGGCTCCATCGTCGGCAACCTGACGATAGACGAAACGAGGGATCAGTTAATCAAACAGTGGCATCTGATAAGGTCTCTTCCAATGAGTTCCTAGCACCTCATGAGTATTCCGAGCCACGTCTTGAGGTACTCCTTCAATTTTAACAGAATTCTATGCTTCAGGTACGACCTGGCCGTCGAGTCCATGCTCGATGGCTGCTTCGAGAAGGCGTACGAGTTGCTGAAGAACAGCGACTTGAGGGATCTGTTCCCAGAGACGTACGTGTTGATGGGCGACTGTCTTCTGCAAACTGGCAAGCCCAAACTGGCTCTTAAGATGTATGAAAAGTGCCGGAAGAAGTGCCAGGAGAAGCCAGGATGCTGGGCGGATTCCCAGGAGAAGAGGATCAACCTGGTGGACAGGATATCGAGCATCGTAAACCTGGAAGCCCTCGACGCGCTGATGGACAAGCGCTCCAAACTGGCGATCAAACTCTCTCGAGATGTCCGTGAAACCTTTCGAGATGGTAAAGTGGACCTTTCCAAGCTTCCAACTCTGCGTGGAGAAGCTTATCTGAACGAGGCTCAGGCCCTCTATCAGCTCTCAGCTGGCAAGACGATAGACCCGGGTTGTAAATCCGCAGCCGCCGACGGTTTCGTCTTCACCCGGACCGCAGATCGCTCAGATTTGCGGAAAATGATTTTCGGCAACCTGGCGACCCAGGAGATCGTCGAGAAATACGCGGCGAAGAGGAAGCTTCCTCACGGCACGAAGCTCCTGATGCAGTTCTCGTGACCCCGCTTCCGTCGAGATCTCGACCAAGGTTTCCGTTTAAATAAAAACCAGCCAATGAAAGCGATCAGGCATAGACGGATTTAATAGCGACAGGTTTCATATGGTTTATTGGTCGATACATTCCGTCACCGAGAAAATGCGATATCGTTAGACCTTTTAGAAACGATCAACGCTGCAGCGGAGGATCCAATCCGTTCACCAGGTCTCGCCTACGGGGCGAAGAGTAATTTCTTGCACCTGGAATAAAAAGAAAAGCCGCGTTCATTTTCAAGGTAAAAATAGAGTGGGTCGGATATCCTTTACCAGGACGTGTGGTGGCGTTGATAAAACGTATGAAATCGCTGCCGCGACATCCTGGGGCAACAGAACCGGCGTGGCTGCCATGGCCTCTTCGGAGAACGTCGAGTACTTAGCCATGAGCTCCGTTGCCACCAGGCCCGGAGAGATGCTCTGCAAGTATTGTGAAATTAGTAATTAGTAATTACTTCTAGAGTCCCTCGCGAGGGAATGAGGATTACCGTGATCCGTATCTCCGTGCCGAGGAGTTCATGGCGAAGCGTTTGGATCAGCCCCGTCGTGGCTCTTTTCGAGGCTGGATAAACGCCAAAACCAGGAATCGCGGGCACTCGTTCCCCGGCGAAGCTGTTAATATTCACGACTAATCCCTCGTTACGCTCTCGCATCGCCCTGACGGCCTCGCGAGTGCACAGGCACAAGCCGAAGACGTTGACGTCGAAGACGGCGCGCCAGTCCTCCAGGTCTCCGTCTGGAACGTTGTTTATAATCGAAAGAAATTAAATCAGGGCCCTGCGTAAAGTGTCTAGAACTAAGAAATCCGGAAATACCACTAAGAGAAGTTTCCTTAGCGAGTCCGGCGTTGTTCACGAGGACGTCGACCGTGCCGAGGTGTTCCCTCACCCAGGAGAAGGCGCAAACGACTTGGTCCTCCTTCGTGACGTCGCACTCGACGGCGTGGAGCTTCTCCTTGGCCTCCTCCGGGGTCCTGGCTAGGTCCTTGATCTTCTCCGCTCTTCTGGCAAGGCCTACCACCACCAGCCCTGGATGCAATTACAATTGAACGTTAATTGTAGTCAATAGCTGTAAGAAAAAAAAAAAAAATACACGGGCGTACCGTTGTCGAGCAGTTGGCGAACGATGGAGGCCCCGATGCCGGCGCTCGCCCCGGTTACGACGGCCACCTTCCCGGTCCAGCGTTCCATCCTCCGTCTTGACGATCTCCCGTTCGCGAGGAGAATACCAGCGAAAGCTCCACGCATAAGCGCGCAATCGGATCGAATATAAGCGATGAAACCAACACCCCTCGGAGACACCGATACCGCAAAAAACTAGCCATTGACTGGCGGAAACGCAATCCCCTTGCGGTGAACCGAGCGGCAACCTCCAGCCGATGTTTAACTGGAACGTAAGGTCTACTCCGTGTTAACAGACGGCAAAGTAAACGGAGAACGTTTCCCCATGATCTGGGTCGTTTTCCAAATTTAAGACCATTTTTTATACCACTACGCGTTCTCCAAGTTAAGCGAGGCGCCTGGGTCCGACTTGGGATGGGTCGCCGGGCGGAACTCGATCCTTGATACACATCTCGGCGCGTATATCGTTTATTGGCTTTAGATAGTCGAGGAAACCCTCGTGGAAAGGCGCAGAAGAGATAAGGAAAAATTGCGAGGAGAAGCTGGGGCTGAAACCAATCCGGATGGATTATCCGGAGAAACGAGAGGATTAATTTACACGGCATTGTCGACGGGTCGCTTCAGGACTTCGTCTCTGTGGCGAATGGTGACATCCTTGACGATCATGTTCGGGGTCAGGAACTGGTTCAGAGTCTCGACACCCTCTCGAGGCCAGCGGTCGAACGGGAAGCCCATCGGCCTGGCGTCGGGGTACTTCTTGTTCCTGATCCCGCAGTAGCTCATCGCGTTCACGCACCTACCCTCCACGTTCTGCTCCACCTGGAAGAGAGCAACCACCTCGTAAGTCTTGGAAAGAGCAGGAAGAAAATTGGTGTTAACTTAAATGATGCATTTCAGGGCGCAGAGCACCTTGTCGTTGTCGTAGTTGGAGATCATGACGAACAGTTCGGACCGCAAGCCTTCTTTGGTGCCCTTAGGGATGAGCATGTGCTGGGGCCATCCGCACCCGCAGAAATTAAATTCCTCCAGCTGGGCGACGTCGGTGGGTCTGCCCGCGTCCAGGTTGCGGAAGGTCCTCTCGAAGGGGATGGTTACGCTGGATTCGTCGGATTTACGCTCGACCTGGTTCTCCCCCGGTTTCACTGGGAACGTCCAGGAAGAAGTGTGAGCAAATCAAGCGGGAGGTACCGATACCAAGTGTAATAGAGTTGAGAATATGTTTTTTTTACAGGAGACGGTGAATTTGTCCAGCTCGATCATGAAGTTCTTCTGGTCCCTGAACGGCATGGGCAGGCCCCGCTCGTCGGTCTTCGGGCTCATGTAGATCCTGCAGGTGCCCAGCTTTAGCGTTCGGCTTTGATTAACGACCTTGATGCGATAGACGTACGGAACGTGCTGCAAGTGGGTGTACCTCGCCAGGACGGATCCCCTGGGAACGAAGTCCAGCCCTCGGGACATGTCCACGTCGCTCTGCTGCCAGAAAGTCGACAGGACGTTCTTCGACGCATTCGGCGTTACGATCTCGGCGTCTACGAGAAAAGACCTCTCCATCGGTAAGCGGATTCCATAATTCATTTAAACTGAAATAAATTAAATAAACTATTTTCAGGGAAGCACCTGTTACGCGAACGTCAGGGTACCCTAGCTGCTGCTGCGTGTACGGCTGCAGGGTGCGCTTGTGCTGTTGGAACACGTCCTCCACGTACTGGTGAAGCCGATAGAAGACCGGATCCCTCATGGTCGTGGATGGATCGCCGATGGGAGAGAAGGACTCCAGGTACCGGTGGTCCGGGTCGTGGACGTAGGACAGGGTTACGTGCATGAAATTGTGCAGGTCTCCGTAGAGGTTTGGATTCGGCGAGAGGATGGAAGCCTCCATGATGTCACCGAGGAGGTCGATGCCGCCCGTCTCCGTCAGGGGCACCCTCTCGCCCTTGTCCTGTGGAAAACGACGGTCAGTGGTGAACTCTCTTCCTCGAGTTTCACCTAAAATCTCTGAATCTCTGAATCTCGTCTCACGTTCAAGATCGCCCCCGTCTGGATGACCTCGTAGATTCGGTCCCTCCACCTCTCCATGTCCTGGATGTCGACCTGGATCTGGTCAGCGGGGCGATTGACGTCCTTGAGGACCGCGTTAGCCGGCCTGGCCGGCCAGGACCTGCTGGCTACCAGGCTGTCCAGCTTCGGGAAGTACGCCTCCGGGATGGGGTCCCGCCAGTTGTTCCATCTCTTCACCCTGCCGAGGCCGTTGCAGAACCTCTCGAAGTTGTACCTGGCCTGGATCTGCTGGTGCATGTAATAGAGGAGCTCGCCGCGCCGATCCTTCTGCACGATCTGCCGAGGTCCCGTGAACGGATACACCAGGTGCCAGTGCCAGTGGTGCAGATTGACGCCCAGGTCCTCCCTGAAGTAGGCCACCTTGTGCTCTTCGTCCAGGTCGGACGCCGTGTAGTCCCTCGGGATCTCTATTGGGATCTGAGGAAAGCGTCGGGGTGTACAATCTTTACGGAAACCGACGTGCCATTTTTTTTTCAGCTCAACCCACCCTGGATCCAGCCGGGACGACGTTGGCCTCTTCGCGGGCCTTGGCGAAGATCCCGCTGTCGACGTACTTGTCGGGGAAGACCTCGCAATGGGAAGGCAGAGGCAGATTCTGGGTGTCGGGACGATGCAGGATCGCCACCGAGAGGCAGTAGATGTAGAGGTAGGGGTTCACCCGGTCGTGGCAGAAGACCGAGGCCGAGAGGAAGTCCTCGTAGTTGCGCATACCCATCAGGATCTCCACCAGTCTCCCGGCCACCTTGCGATGCTTCGGGATGAACAGAGAGAAATTCTCCCTGCGACCGAGCTGCTGGGCGAAGTCGAACGAGGGCAAGGACACCTCCTTTACGGGGATCTTCTCGATGGTTCCTTCGCCGAAGCGGTTCAGAATTTCCACGGCATTGCTGCGGTATCTGTCCGCCTGGGAGGAGCAGAACGGAAGAAATAATTCAAGGAACGTAGGCCGATTATACGAGAAGATACAAGAGGTAAACCCATCTCACCACGTAGGATCCGGGGATGTCGAAGGAGACGTTGTTCTCTCCTCGGGGCACGAAGACCGGCTCCGAGGGTCTGTCGAACAGGTACAGCAAATCCGTAACTCCTCGAGACATGTTGCGGCAAAAGGACTTGCACTTTCCTGCACTCGAGCACTGCGAGCCAATTTATATACCAAATCTAGAGGATGTTTGTCCAGGATGTGGTCCAGGTTCCTCTAGGCCGAGACGCTCAAACCCTTCCGGACCTCCTCGTACCGACAGTCCTGGGCTCGAGACCGTTCGCAAGGATGACCTCCACTGAGGATCCACCGCAAACAGGATTTCCAACCGCGGTTTCTGGGTGGATATTTTTTCCCTTCCCGAACCTCGACGCGATATCGCAGGAAAGTTAAATCGCCGAGGTCCTCCGAAGAAAGGACTCTCGCCAAGATTTATCATCGGGAGGACCGAGTTTAACTCACCTATCCTGGAAGAAAAGATGCATTCGCCGGGGAAGGAAAGGTACGCAGGAAGAGAGACGAGCTTTCCTTTTCAAGAGACGTTTATTGACGAGCTGAAATCTTCAGATTACACGGTGAACAGTGACAGGAGGGTCGGGCATGCAAAATTGGACGAGTCAAGGAGGAGGCTCACATGCAGGTCGAGGTTCTCGTCAAGCAGAGGGTGCGGAGCGAGTGCAGAAAGTGCTTAAGCGAACGGTATCTCTTTAACGCTTTATCTTGCGACACCTTCCACGGGGATATTAACCGCGACCCTCTCGTAATTCCGGGAGAAGAGTCACTTGGACAACGAGGCGGAAACCGTGAGACCACCACACCGTGAAACGAAGGAAACCGATGGGAAGAGTATCCTTACCATGCAAGCCCGACGTTTCGGTACGCTCCGTCTCTACCATCCGGAGACGCTGGAAAAAGGAGAGGAGTGAAAGAGAAAGAACGAAAAGAGGAAGAAAAAGAACGAGGCATGCAAATCGGGAGGCGACAAGGATCCGCCGAGGAATGATGGGGAGAAAAAAAAAATACAGAGCACCTTACGCTAAAATACCTTGAGAGGTCCAAGATCCGACCGCGCCGAGGCGAAATGACTTTTTTCCTTATCCAGAGATGAATCGAAGGATCCCGCGTAGATCCGACCTAGGAAACCTATCCCAGCGATTCCCCGGATTGACTCCTGCTCCTCTAAGACACGGCGCTATCCCAGGGAAGATCCTGGTCCTCCGGATTGATATATTCCTGAGCTCCTCTAAGACACGTCTCCCGCGCAAGAGACGCGACTCCGAAATCCCTGCCATCCCGATCGACGCCGAACGATCCTGCGAATCCTCCTCCGAGGACGAGTTCGTCGCCTCCTTCCGTCCAGATCCGAGATTCCAAAGGAGGTCCTCACCGCGTCCTTCCGTTCCGCATCCGAGAATCGCTTTTAGCCGCGAGTGTTCGCTGAGAGAGAGATCCTAAGTGCGTCCAAATCCTAAAACTCTATGTCCTGTCCGTGTCGTCGGGCGCTCCGATCCATCCTCTTGCGAAATCCGTAATTAATATTCAATATCGAACTGCACAAGGTGTTCACAGAGAGAGAGAAGGATTAAAAAAAAAAAAAAATACGGAAAACAAAGGAGATAACCCCGCGAGGTCTATCGGCGATCGCGTCACTGTCCTTCCCGGAGAGCTCCCTCGCAAGGAGTGGGGAATCGGTCGCGAGTCTATCCACGAAGAATCCAGCTAAGCCGGGGATCCTTGAATCGCGAGTCCTGTCCCGATGGACGTCCCGAATCCACACACGTCTCCTCTTCTATCCTGATCCTCGCGTCCTGCATCCTGATCCTCCTGATATCCGATTATTCCCGTTGCAACGTAGCGCAGTCTCTCCCTCTCGCTCTCTTGCTCTCCGTATATTTATATATGTATATATATATATTTATCTCGTTCTCTCCTTCCTTCCTGTTAGTTTCTCCTCTCCGGAATCGCAAAATCCTCTCCTCAATCAACGCGTCTCACCCGTCCATCTCCGCAAAGCGAAATCCTTCCGATCCGAGCCGAACGGGCGCCCCTTCTATCCATCGAAGAGAGTAAGACCTCGGGTGGGTTTCAGTGTTTTCATTCATTGTGTTACAATCCAATCCAATATACAAAAGAAGAAAAAATACATTAGTATGCCTTAAGTGATTACCCGTTTAGCATAGTCTGCGAGTCCGACCGCCGCTCGACTCGGCGCCTAAGGACGATCCCCTCGAGCCTCGTTAGAATTCTTCAACGACCTCTTTAACATTGTCATCGGTGATCTCGAGTTTCCAGGCGTGAGGGGGATCGCCCGTTGGGCGATTAACAGCGACCGGGCTTGCAGGGTATCATGAGATGAAAATATGATCTCTCGTTATGGGACTGAACGTATGTCGACGGGGACACTTGGTTGGGCGCTAAGGGGTCGTTATTTCCATTTCTTTCTTTCTACCTTTTTGGTGTATATGTGTCTGGACTATCGTCCCTCGGGGCGAGTCCTTCCGAAGGACCGGCCGCGAAGTGTTCCCGTTAAACATTCTACGGGTGTCCTCTCGTCTCGACCGACTCCTCTCCCTCGGGAACTCGAGACCGGGACGAGAGGACCCGCCGTTAATCGTCCCTTCTCGTATGTCTTCCTCGTAGTTTAAAGTGGATTGCATATTTACAAATGTGTACAGTGGCATACATTTGGTGTGGGTGCGTTCGAGAGATCTCTTTAACAATACGGTAACAAGTATGGTAATTTCGAGGACAGCGGGGAAACAGGAGGAACGATGACAAAATAGTGTTCTGTAGTGGCTGCCGTCTCTCTCTCTATCGTTTCTCTTTCTCTCTCACTTTCTCTAGCTTTGTCTCTCAATCTCTCTCTGTACTGTAATTATTAAGCAGTGCATTACTTGTTCCCCCGATTACCGGGGAGAGGATTAATTTCTTGTACTGGATATATCGCTTTCGCAAGCCACGCTTTTCGTCCCCGTATTTTGTAGAGTGGCGTATTTTCGATTTCCTCGTTTTTTTTTTCCTTTTTCATCTTTTTTTTCCCACTCACTCTCCCCTCGAGTGACGGCTAAAACGTCGACATTAATTATGAACAAGTGAGTATTTACATGCTCCTGTCAATTGTTACCGTTAATCTCACATTTACGTGATCGTTAGGGTGAATCGAGAGAGAAGACCGCGGTCCGGTCTGATTTCATTGCGGATCTTGCACCGGTCATTGGAATAATTATCCTACTACGACATAATTCCCTTAAATTGGTAAATTCTGTTCCACGAAAATTAAGTAATGGTCCATGAGTTAATAGTTACCGATACCTTTCCTTTTACATATGTTTGTGTGGAATTTTAAACTTGGAAGATCTCGCTCGACCCGTGCAAGATCCTTGTACGCAATGCGTAACCTCGGTTAAAGATTCTCTCACACTTTGTACACGCAACAGTTGGTCAGAGCGAATCGAGAGTAGCTTATCGGAATGTGGCTCCCGAAGGATAATCATTTTAATACAACGTGTAAACAATTTCTCTCTCGTAAGCAGTCGAGTGTCTCTGACATGAGCGTGATTCACTTTGAAAATAGAATGGTAAATCCATAGGAGATAATGTCCACTCGTTGACTGCCGATGCCTTATTACTTTGAAGAGTATGAATGATATTAATGTCTGATTAAGCAGAGTATGTTTCAATTATTGCTGGTTTGAAATGCGACCGAGTTTGGCGTCCTGGCGATGGATAGTTTTGTGGACGTCAAAGGAATAGGCTTCCCACTTCAATTTAAGTACTTCGTTACTGATAATCCTACTTTGTTGAGTTTTTTAATAACTATGCATGTACCATTCGCATGTCAAATCGCATCACTGAAATTTGGAATGTTCCGTCACGTCTTATAACGTTATTCTATCTAATGTAGCGATCGATAGTCAGAAATTATTTTCCATTTCACATAAGCTCGTTCCGAGCAAAGAAAGGAGAAAAGAAATGATTCACCGACGTACCATTCCAAACTTCAGCTGTATTGCCAAATAAGATCTCTCGGAAAGGAGATGTCAGAGATTTAATCGCTGCATGGTCGATACTTGAAATGTATTTGGATTGGAAAGATGCTCTTCTTTGAAGTACTCAAATCAGCAATAATGAAATGCATAAAGAGAAACGTGAGTAAACCTCTCCTTATATTACCATGTGAAGCATATACGTACACACTAGTCGTAAGAACGAGACCTGGAGCGGGAACGTGATCGCGAGTAGCGACGCAGTGGTGAATAAGTAGGCGAACCACGTCGTCGAGGACTGTAACTTCGTGAACGGCTTCTACCCCTTTCACGATCTTCGCTGCGACCTCTGTCACCCCCGGTATGATTTTCCTTTACCCGAATGTACGTCACATCACCCTTTAACAAAGAAACGCAAATTTTCATTGATCTACCTCAACAATTCATTAAGCATTTCATGCCATTTATATAGAAAACCTGCAAAAGATCTCCACCAACACTTATTTACCTCGTGTGACCTAAATCGGGAGTCATCCAATTTTTTTACGGCATACTTCATGTCCTCATAACGTAAAAACTCGACAACCCCTGTACCATCTTTGTACACATCCGCAAAGCACACGTCTCCAGCTTCGCGCATGTGATCCTTTAAGTCCTGCCAGCTGCCCGAAGGAGGCAAGCCGGTAACGAGAACTCTGTACTGGGATCGACGTGCAGGCGGTCCTCGACCACGCGAATTGCTCATCTCCCCACGACCACCTCGTCCACTGTCCCCTGCACCACGTCCCCCTCGAAAGTTATTGCTAGGACCACCACCTCTAGGAAATTCCACCCGTAATCTGTAACCGTCGTAGTCATATCCATCTCTTGCATGAACTGCATCTTCGGCGTCTCTGTAAATAGGAAAAAAAACTACTTTACTGATTAACTGGCAGTTAACGGTGTCAGAATAGATAATGCAATTAAACAAGTTAAGCCACGCTTCAACCTTGGTATCAGGAATTGTTGGAGTTTGTTGTTCAGGAATTATTGCATAAAGTTCTAAGTATTTTGTAATAAGAAGTAATGAGAGAATATTTTGAGCTGTTAAAACGCGAGCTTAAAGATTAATATTCATAACCTATTTTGACTAAAACACGAGTTTAAATTGCGCAACAATGGCTGCTATCCTAACGGCGGAAAAACGCGCGATAAGCATCTCTCACGACAGGCCATCGTGGCGCGATACGCCTAATCGCAGAAATCATAACTAAATCGTTTTATTAGGGCAAGATAAAAGACACCTTGGGTCGTCGAACTCAACGAAAGCGAATGGCGGTCCCCTTCGGTTTTTCAAGTCAACAAATGTAACTTTGCCGAATTTGTAAAAGAGATCCTGAATGTCTTTCGTCCTTATATCAGGCGGCAAATTGCCCACGTAAATCCTGCACTCGTTTCTTCCGGTATGAGACATTTTACAAGTCACTATTAAGACTCATACGTAAAAAAAACTTAAAAACGCTACGGCGTCTCGCGTTCCTCGACTCTACTCCCTGCTGATGAAATAAACAAGATGGCGATACCGGCTGTTGGCAGTGGGTTCAAATCTAACCTAGACTGGATATCACTCTCTGTGAAATTTGAAGACAGGCTAGTAACTTAGGCGGCGTTGTGATCGCAGAAATCGTCTCACAGAGAAATTTTTTAATTCTTTTATTGGTAACTATGTTTCCATGATTCGCGTTGAAACGAAGTCTAACCTCAAAGTTGGCGAACGAGGAGCCACTGTGCAAATGATTTGATGTGACGGTGTATCAAAACAGTCTATAAATTAGTAATCGGAGAAGAATGTTAATTGCAAACTAGTAAATCTTAAAAACATCGTCATTCTTTAGAATCTAAGCCACTCCATTAAGTAAAATGAATTCCCTTGTCACGTACGTTCTTCTCAGTATATTTGCGTTAGTATCAGCGGTAAGTGTAGTAATTATGTATCTCTAGTTTATATAAACTAAAACTCGTGAACTATTTGTAATGATTAATGTTGACTTTGGATATGTAGACGGAATTGGAGTACGATGGTTGGCTTCAATTGAGGTTATGGCATGCTGTAAACAACGATCCTGTGCCAAACTTTGAGGAAAGAGGAAATATCACGGTATCCAGTATACGTAGCCCAGTGTTTGCTGTTAGCCAATCTAGCTTAAAGCCTTATGAAATCGAGCAGCTAAAGGTCCTTGCTGAACAGGATGGAACATATCGGTTAAGGGTGCTGGTTCGAAGTTCTTCCGGGAGCGAGGTCGTTCTACATAGTTTTGTCCGTGCTGTAAGACTATGGTTTACATATTTAAACAGAATTTTATAATCATATTTTAGTTTTATTTGCATTGTATGAAATCTTTTCAGTGCCTTCTGCTTGGATCAAACTTAGAAGACATTATATCTATATGGCTCGATAGTGCAGCTGAGCCGATAGCTGTAAACCTTTATTCATTAGGTCCCTGTTCATACGAAGATCCTTTATCGGATACATGGATCACAAATGTTAATGTAAAATATACAGAATCTGGTCCAATACCAGATACTGCTTCTTACATCCAGAAATTGGAGAGAGAGCGAGAAGCTAGAGAAAGGGGAGAGACCAAAGACAATCGATCATTCCTTGCAAAATATGTATGTAATTCTCCTTAAAATTTTATTTCCTCGATGTCTATGCATATAAGGATCTAATTATTACTTTGATTCTATTTTATTTGTTACTTTCACAGTGGATATACATTGTTCCTGCATTAATTTTTGTCATCCTAACATCGGCAACGAATCCAGAGGCTGGTGGCGGTGGTGGTGGTGGAAGTGTTCAAAGACAATGAATGTTCATATTATTTAAGGACATTAATATTATACTTGCAAGGCACACATTGTTGCAACTAAGTATTTAAATGTAAGGGGTGCATTCATATTTATATGCGTATGCATTAATATTAAATGAAGTAATATAATTAATGAAAGAAGTTACGTATGGAATAAATAAAGAAAATGTTTACCTGATTTATAAGGTAATAAAGCTTAACGTTTTTAAATTAATGAATATATTTGAGACATTTTTCTTGGTGGGAAGTTATTTCTGAGTATACTAAACACAGCCTATAGATTTCACCTGATATAATCAAATGTACTGTAGGGAGTGTAAAATCAATACATTGACTCATTATTAAACACGAAAGCAAGGGTGTCCGGTGTTACAAGTGGGTAGCTACCCTAGTGAATACTTGTATGACAACATGCCAACATTTTCCTTGCAACTACAAAAACTTATACAGCCAGGGTATGTTGTCAGTGGAAAGTTTGACGGATCTCATGCATGTCTTGCAGCAGCGACACCCAGTGGGAACATTCTGGTGCACAGTCCTCACCGACAGCCTGCGTCAAATATCGAAGTCGAGCAATCTCAAGGAAAACTTGCCTGGAGTGGAGAATTGGCAAAATTGCAGATTGGAAAACAGGTTTAAAAAAATCACTTTTAACCATCTTTGCCCATAAATTAAATTATTAAATGTACTATAAAAAATTGTAACAGGTGACAGCTCTCTGTACGGGGCACTTTGGTGAAGATGAAAGAGATGTCCTTTTGGTGGGAACGGCGACTCACGTTCTAGCATATTTAATAGAGGATAATGCTGATCTTTTTTACAAAGAGGTGCAGTCATTACTATCATATCCTAATGATTGCATGTGTTAAAAAAAATATATAAGAAAGTAGAAAAATGACTCGAATTCAAACAGATGAGAGATGGCGTACACAGCGCAGTAATAGGAAAACTGGGATGGCTGTCGAGTCAGGTAGCGGTCATCGGAGGTAATTGTTCTGTGACTGTTTTGGACTCTCAAGGTACAGAAATTTATTGGACAGTTATGGGAGATCTTGTCACGTCTGTAATGGTCTTTGACTTCGATGGGGATGGCTGTAACGAGGTGAGAGACATAAGCCTTCACTTGTAGTCGGATAACTGGTGAACAATTTTCCATGAATACAGTTGTTGGCTGGTACCGAGGATTTTGAAGTCAGAGCTCAGAAGGAAGACTCGGTGCTCTGGGAGATGAAAGAGACTGCACCTGTTACAGCTTTGACTCCACTTCCAAACAGACAATTTGCATATGCCGTCAGAAATGGAACAGTTGGAGTTTACGAGTCTAATCAGAGGCTCTGGCGAGTCAAGGTGGATTTTTTGTTTCATCGGAAGTAATATCTTACTTTCTCAGGCTTCAATTTTAAAGGAATCTTAAACATGGTCACTTGTTCACAGTCTAAGCACAGAGTCGTGGCGATTCGAGGCTTCGATGTAAATGGTGATGGCATTGCAGAGTTGGTGACCGGTTGGAGCAGTGGAAAAGTGGATGCGAGGACTGCCAAAACCGGAGATGTGATCTTCAGAATTCAATTGAACGCCGGTATTGCTGGCGTAATCGACGCGGATTATCGGAGAACAGGAAGATCGGATTTGGTAATACTCTCCGCAACAGGAGAATGTAAGTAAACTATCAAAACGCTATAACTTCGATTAATTTCTTCGTATAATAATTTAAAATACCCAGTACGAGGTTATGCTTCGGGTTCTGCGGTGGACACGCTCGAAGCTGGAGAAATTAAACGTGATCTCATGCTTAAAAAGCAAGCTTTACAGCTGGAGCTTCAACAAAGAGCGAGTATAACCTATCAAGACAGTAGATTAATCATTGACATTTCCTCATCGAGGGGAGCAGTGCGCCTTAATTTTGCCTCTGGACCAGGATTATTAGTAAGTACAGAAGAGTTCATTTTTATTCTTTCGATAACGAAGGGATATTTTTAGGTGTACTGCGCTATAGTCTTTGCAGAAGGTGTGTTCGAAGGTGAAACACTAGTATCTCATCCGAGCAAACCAAGAGGTGAGTTGGAGATTGAACTGAAGCCACCAAATAATGGACCTATCGACATTCATGTGAAAGCCTGCGTAGGCCCTCCAGGAACCGATGTATTTCAAGTAAGTGAAAATAAGTAATAATTTTTTTTTACCACATACTGATTTTGAACGTTTAACAGGTCTTTGAGCAGACGCGACAACTACCCAGATTTTGCATGTACGAAGTTACCGGCCACCCAGAAAATTTCTCTGAAGATATTCAAGGCTATGGCGTCATCGCTGATGTAATTCATTGAACTTAATTTTATTTTATCGTTAATCCCCAGTATTTTACCGTTAACCTTAACTGTTAAGGTCGCAGAAAGAGCTCAGCGAATCATTCTCTGGTTGAACCAGTGCTTCTTACTCTCCGAGGAATTGGAGATACCCGAGGAGGGTCCCAATGCTGGCTCTATCGAGTTATGGCTTCGAGGATTCAGAGACAATAAAATTCACTGTTTCCGATCAACTCCAACTGGTAAAATAAACATCGAAACAGAAGATGCTGCATTTGCTGGTGACATAATTCAGTCCCTGGCAACTTATTTGGGTCTGCGAGAGCTCAGCTCCGAAGCTAAATTTCCTACCGAAGAGCAGAGAATGACTGAAGCCCTAGAACGAGTTAAAGGTGAATGGACGTACCTAATTAACTAACCCTACATTTTTATGCATTAGAAAATGTCCGTGCGCTCATTCCAAAGTTTTCGAAATTCAGGGCTGAAAGAAGTAGAGTCGAAGCTCCAAGCCGAGGTAGCCGGAGGTTTGACTCAGCTTAAAGACCTTGTGATACGTTTAGAAGACGCCAGAATATTAGAGGACGTCGAGAACATGAAGAAGCGACTCGTGCAATTGAGATCCGTCAATGGTGATCTCATAAGGGAACACGAAATCAGAATGAAGAGTCACGGAGAATTCACGGCAGCCCTCAAAGAACTGAACGTCGGAGTTCAGCGTGCGTCAAGACTTCGAGGTAATTTTCCTTCTTTAAACCCGAGAATAGGAAACACTAATTTATACTTCCGATCACTTGAATCAATTTTTTTTTCCCAGTGGGAAGAGCAGCAGCGAATGCCGTGTCTCGTTGCCGATCGGCGATTCACGCAGAGAACCCGAAGGCGTTGATCCTCGCGATCAGACATGGATAGACCCTCGAAAACGATTAATTGCCCCACTTTTGCAACGGTAATTGCCACTTGCAAATATTCAATACATAAGCCCGTGGTAGACGATTTGTCCGATGATGGACTTATACTTAGAAGTGACCGGAATAAAATAGTTTTTTAATCGGCATCGTTCTCGTTACATCAATCATAGCTTCCGTACACGTTTCTCCGGTTCATTCAAGGTTCTCGTGATAACCGGGGCGATTTATCATTCGGATGGCCGAGAGCCCAGAAACCTCAGCAAGTTCAGATGTCAATGGCCCTTTTCGCAAGTCGGAATCCGTTTGATCGTCTGCAAGAATGCCAGGAGAATCGGGGTAAATTACGGAGCTCCTCTGGCGGAAATGCTGAATCTCCTTCCGGCAATCCCGTAGCAATGCGGGGAAGAGAGGCGTTGAGTCTCGATCCTGCCATCGGTGGAAGCTCGGCCTCGGAAAGGACTACTCTGGTTCCCCAGACTATTCTGGGACTCGATCCACAGCCTGGAGATGTCCTTAAAAATGTCCCGCACCTGCAAAATATCAGGATCGAGCTCTTAGAGAATTTTTTTTTCCCCAATGTTCGCTTGAAAGAGAAAAAAAAATATCCGAATTCTCATCGAGTACAAATAGTCCCGATACCTCGTCCAGCTAAAATTATAACCAAGAGTGGATTTCGAACTGACTAAGTGCAAACATAAAGCGGACTCTAAGATCAAACACTCAGGAGTGGATTTTATTCAAAGGCGCCCCTTGGACCAGGATCTGTTCACGATTAAGTCTCGGGCCTGATTAAGTTTCGTTAGATAACGCCCTCGATAATGCCGGCCGGTAATTGTTTTCGACTGCATGTGTGTACTCGGCAAAACGACCCGGCATTCGACGCCGCCACGAGGGGGCCCTTGTGTTACGTAGACAGGACAGTGACTAAGGGTTGTCTTAATTAATTCGAGCGAATCGTAATCGGTAGAAGCCGAGCCAGTGTCCGGCGGAGCCGAACGGCGATAAGGAGAACAACAAACTTAAGCCTCGGATAAATATGGAGCGGTAATCTGTTGCAGAATACTGGACTGTCTGGTAGAAGTGTCGATGGCTTTGCCGATAATGACCGGGCTTCGGCTTTTGAGCAAGAATTGGTAACGAGAGATCCGGAGGCTAAAGTTTGCTTTCCTGGTGACACGAGCCCGATGGCTTCCACACCGAACGAGCGATATCGATTTTGTTTACGGCCTCGCAATCACGCGTAAACGTCATGACTGGATTGCTGTAAACAGACCGCTTAGAAAAATAAGGCTCAGTGCACAGGGCAACTCGATTCGAGGCTACGGGCGAACTTTCCCCACATTCTCCGCAATTCACGACCGTTCTCGCCACCTCGAGAGAGCCAGGGATCCAAGGAGAAACGCCGACTCGAGGCGAAGAGGTTCCTGGAAGTTGGTTCTCTATACAGACGGCACACTGCACTTGCTTCGTTATCTGGAAACCTATAGAGATAACTGGATGGCACTCAACCCTTGGATTTCTATTCTCCCAGGATGAACCGAACAGGTGGAAATTGAGAATGAAATGAATCGCACCTTATTAACAGGTTATTAACCCTTCGATCGAACAGGTTTAAGTGCAAAGGGTCAAAGACCCCTAGCTTGGATTTCATCAAATATGTACTCTACGATGTCCTAAGTAAACTTCTAGGAAGCATGTAGATTCTCTGGATGGAACTGCAACGTGGAAACTGCTTCTGTTATTTATACAATTATGTAGGGGAATCTGGGAAACTCGGAGAACTCACCTGGTCGATGGATTCTCGGACTGAGATCTCATAAAATCCGTGAGCTTCGATATCCTCGGCCCTTCTGCGCCCTTCCCAGCTAGCCACCATACGCTCTCCGGGTGAACCAGAGAGGTCCGCCTTGTTCCCCACGAGCAGGACCACTTGTGGTATCTTCCTGCCTCTCTTGGCATGCGACACTAGGAATCTACATGCAAGAACGGTACATAAGATAGAGAAACCCTTCCTCATTCGGAAGAGGAAAAAATCCAGGATCCCAGACCTCAGTCTGGACGTCTCCTCGAAGCTGACTCGGTCGGTCACCGAATATACCAAAATGATTGCATCCGCCCAGCGCAGCTTTGGTTCCACAGGACCAGGAGGACATCCTGGAGGATCCACGATCTCCCAGGAGCCTCCGGAATCCTCCACCTTGTAGACCCTCTCAGCTTCGCAGTCATACTCTCCGATGAACCTCTTCGTGGCAAACCTCACCGCCAGAGCTGAAATCAATTAATTTAAGAAATCCTGTACATCGGTACGTTACTTAAAATACGAATCTTGATATAAAAGCGAGTTTGGCATTAAAACTCACCGAGGAAAGAAATCAGATGGAGAGGATGAGACAATTCTACACGATTCTACGGAACGACCGTTACCTGTCTTACCGACACCGGGCTGGCCCAGGAGGATGACCTTGAGGGCCCTGGATGCAGAGGGCGGGCCCATCGCGGCGATGACGGATGCGCCCTTTTCCGCCACGTGCGCGCTCCTTGCTTCCTAGAGACGATCTAACGGAAACGAGCCTTCCGGCGTGGGTCTATGCCTCCGCATGGTCCATGGCCAGGCCCGGCGCGCACTTCCTCCCTCCTCGCTCTCTTCGCAAAATCATCCTCAAACTGACGCGTTCGTTCACGATTGACCTACCTGGTTAATCGGCTGACCGAACGTATTTTCATCGCCGTCTTGTTTTCCCGCCATCCCGCGCTGCGCGTGTATGCCGCTATTCAAGTAGCAAGAACATACGCATGCATACCGTTGCAGGAAATTGCAGGTAGGAAGTAAATTGCGGTGAAGCGGAAGATGAAAATATGCTTAACAATGAGATTTCAAGGTGAGCCGTTAATACCGTCATCTCGTATTTCCATGAAATTAGTCTAGTCTTGCGAGACAGTGATCTTGCTGCATGCCGCATGCGTGCAGCAGCGGGTCACGTGATGGCGCTTCCTTCCGGCGAAAGTTGGCGCCTATCGAGAGCGTCTAATCACGGTCCTCTCGACCACGGAGATAAGTCTCGACAGGACGATAAGCGTTTTTCCGACACCTCGGTGCAGCGGGTTATGTTATTGCTCGAAACGGCACGCATGGAGATAGCGTTAGGATCGTCTGGAAATTCGGGCGCCGTATCTCCGGGCGCCACCCCGACCCCCCTGTCATGGCGGCGGCGCGTGTTCGGAGTACAATGTTAAACCGGTTACGAAAGTAGGCGCGAGAAGGACCCGTCGGTCAAGAGATACGGAGATCGGGGCGAAAATAGAGTCGGTGATTTGTCTCGGGTATCTCGATGCATAGACCAAGGCGAGGGAGGTGTCGAGGGGTGACGAGAGATTCGGCCGTCATGACACCTTATCTACGGCCCCCCTGTCATGGCGGCGCCGGTCCCGGAACCGCAACGGAGTCTGGGAGGAAAACACCAAAACAGCCCGGATGTACAAAAAACGGCAGAAATTACGGTGATTACCCACAAGAAACTCCTGGAGCGTCGATGGAGAGGGTATTCGCGATCGCAGGTGAGCTCGGGGCCTCCTGGAGCTCCTGGAACCCGCGTTTTAAAATTTTTTTTCGAGGTATATGGATATCTTGCTCTTCGGCGCTTACACCCGGACGCCATCTTGCTTTCTTGCCCACGGCATTCTAAGGGACTTTCCGTGCGGTTTGTTTTATTTCTTTCAACAATTAAACTAACTCTTTTAACCCGGGATTAATAATTTGTCGCGGATGGAGGAAGTTTAATAAAATCTTATCCTCCATCATGGCGGCAGCGCGTGCACGGGCTACATTGTGTTCGCTTACGAAAGTAATACGGGGCGCAATTAATAACCAAGCGCCGCTAGTCTTTCCCTCTCTCTCTTTCTTTCTCGGTTTTCGTCGTTTTGGAGGATTGCCGAGGGGAGAGAGAGAGAGAGAGAGAGCGTCGATTATCTTATCCGGTCGGAGGAAGGAGGCACGGTAATCGGCAAGAGGATTCCTTGTTTTTGCCGTTTAAGCGCCGGGACGGGAGTGTATACACTTTGGTTCGGCGATAACCGGGCCGCGCGATAACCCGGGGACTCATGGGGGTCAGGAGGGACGGCACGCTTTTCCCGGGCACCGTCTACGGGAACCGGCGGGAACGGTCGCGCGCTATAAATAGATTATCGAATGGAGCCTAGTTCGGGCAGGAAGAGACGCCGAGGGACAGATTAAAAGAGAGGCGCCAAGGGACGCGGCCGCCATCTTGCTCTACCGCGTTTACCTCCGGACGCCATCTTGCTTTCTTGCCCACGGCATTCTAAGGGACTTTCCGACCGGCGAAGCGGAACGTCCGGTTTGTTTTATTCCTTTTGACAATGAAACTAACTCTTTTACCGCGAAATATCTGTGGGCCTTTGAAGAGCAAACACTGATACCTCGTATGTACGCAACGCGAAGGTCGCGTGGCGTCCTCGCCCGCGGATGATCGCCGATTATGCGCGCGATAAAAATTCGCACCGCACGCGGCGACGTTGGTTAACGCTTAGTCCATTGACGAGCACGTCGGTTTTTATTGTTTTTCTCTTCCGCACTCCATGACGATGCGCGTAATTCGGCTCGAGTTAAATCCGATTTTCTCCTAATAATATCGTTTTCCATTTTCAGAGACGCGGTCGGATCTTCTGGCTCGATCCGTGAAAGGACCGGAGGAATTTTCCTAGGACACCTCCCGGCCAGATAACCCTTTCTACGTTCCGGCTTCATAATCGGCCAAGCCGGCATGGTTTGCGCATTTAATTGCGATTCGCTCCGTGAATTCGGTAGACAACACTCGGTCAACTTTCGATACGTCGTCGCCGCGTTTATCGGCAATATCGGGACGCGTCGTTTACGCTTTACTCCCGCACGTGCGTAAATAAGGATGTTTTCATGCACAAGGGGTCATGTAACTCGGCCGCGCCAGAGGAAACCGGAACCCATCCCGGTCCAGAAGAAGGTCTCGGACCCGTCCCTTCCGGACCGACTCCACCGGCAGTCTATTTCCGTCCCAGGTTTTTACCAGTGGCCCGCTATCTTTGTTTACGCCCCGACGAAGTGGTCCACGAAAGGAGACTGGTCCAAAGTTCGGCCCTCGCAACCTTCGGCTCTTCGACGGGAAATAAGGTCGAAGGGAGCGGAGCAACGGAGCCACCGTGTGCGAAGGTTGGCGTGATTTCTCATATCCTCGTATCGTTTAAGAGGCACTTTTTGTCAGGAAACTAATGTCCATGTTCTATCTCGGTATCTAGACGGCCGCTAGAAGAGGAAGCCAGGGGCGAGCTAGGATCGGTCCGAAGGTCGGTCGCCGCAACCTTCGACCCAGTCGCCAGAAGTAGGTGGGAAATAATGTCAAAGGGAGGTGGCGAGTTTAACCGTGAAGGTCGTACCCGACGACCACGGTCTGCGAAGGTTCCTATATCGCCTGCTATCGACCCCTGGCTGATCAATGAAGAGCTATTTCGACGTAACGACGTCCCGGCTATGCACCTTCGTCGAGCCTTCCGGCGCCATCTTGGAGAACTCGACGCCGCTCCTCGACCTTGGCTCCTTCTCGTCCGGATCCGATGGAGCTCCGCAAAAATCGCCCTCACCCGTTGGACCGATATCCCCGAGTTCCTGGTGAATCGAGACAGCCACCCTGGCCCAATTCTCTCCGCGGGATTCTAAATTTATGCCGGTTACTCCACGTCCCCGAGCTTTTATCGCCCCGGCGAACGGCATCCTTGGGTTTATCTTCCGGGCAAAACCGCCGGGAGAAAACATTCCACGTTCGGGCGCGGTATCAGCGGTCCTGCGACACTCCTAATATATCTATCGCCAATAGCCCCGGATTTATATTTGAACTCTCGAATTTTAATCGATAGCGATTTATACGTAGAAATTTGCCGAACCTGCCCGATGCGCGGTGACCCGCAGAGACGAGGGCCGGGTTCGTTGCACCCGCTAATCCGCCGACCGGGAGCATCTCGCGGTCTTTCTTCGATGCAAAGTTTCATCGCCGATATGTATGCCCCCCGATTAAATTCATCCGGCACGAGAGCGTTATGTTACGCGCTACCCGAAGAAAGGGCGAGAGAGATCTCGTGACGTTGAAGTGGAAATTTTCCCGACCCTCTCGGCGCCGTAGGAAATAAGCGGAGCCCGCGTCTTCGTCGTCCTCGCTCGAAGCCGGAGCGACGAAGAGGTCCTCGAAGGTTACGGCCAGGAGATTGTTACGCGGAAGCTGGGTGTCGGACTCCTCCTTTAATTTTTCTCCCGGTTGGGGTCTTCGATTCCTTAGGACTTCTCGCCGACGCGGTTTCCACGACTCTTCTAACGGATGCTCGCAACGACCCCGACGGGGCGATCGTCCGGGAGTCTTGGGAACCCGAAAGCGGTGCATCTCGGTGGCGAATGAAGCGCGGCTGAATTTAATAACCGGCAATCGGACGATATTTTGGAATTTATTTTGCGCGACGGAAGGCCACCGGGATATCGGGGTGGAGGCATTAATCGAGCGCCGGGCGTTCCGTCTTTCCCGACATTGTTGACTCGACATGGCGGAAAATATTTCGCTGTTGCCCAGACTCGGTTATCGACGGCCGTTCACTGGGTTAAATTACGCCCGGGTAAACAGACTCCATCCGGGATTAATTTATTAACTTTTAGGCCTCGAGGTCGCGGCCGGCCAGAGGAGACTCCGAGATGTCTCGTCACGCCTCTTATCTAAGGTGCGAGTCGCTCGCGAAACCCGAGTAATACCGAGGCCTCGGGGACCTTCAGGGACTTTGACCCCTGCATTTTGCTTTTCCACTTGGCCCGATAACTTGCCGGCAACGAGGTCGATCGCTATTCCGTTTCGCGAGGGTCTATAATTATTCGATCATTCGTAATTGGCTGTTAAAGTCGTCGACTCCGTATACATAGCGTATGCCCACGACATATATATATATTTAGGCGAGGGTATCGCGGGGGAGAAGCGAGCGCTTTCCTTTTTCCTCCCCTTTTCCTCCGCCTCGCCGGCGATACAAGAGGCGGCAGGGTCCTCCGCAACTTAGTCTCCGCGGCGATAATTAGTAATTAGCTATTGCGAGTCGGCCGATCGGCCTTATAGGTGAGAGCATCGCCTCGAGAGCGGAGGGGAATTATTTCCCCGGCTATCTCGCGCCTCCCTGCCGACTCCGGGCCCGAGGTCGAGCGAGGTGTCGGGGACCTTCTTCGGGGGTTCCTTCCTCTCCCCCGTATAACGTTCCACTTAGCTCTTGTGAACTTGATTCCTCTGTCGCGAGTCCCCGGAGACTTTGGCCCCCGCATTTTGCTCCTCCGCATCCGATTCGATAATGAGCAACAGGGTCGATTTGTTATTTTGTTCCGTGAGAATCAATAATTGGCCGATAAACCGTAATTGCTCGGCGTAGCCGCGCCGTTTCCAGTATCTGTATACGCGGCAGATATGTAGGTGAGCGTATCGCGGAGATAGTAATTTGTTATGCATATTACTCTACATATTCGCGGTTCTTTTCGCCCCGGCGTCAGCGGGTCCGCCTCGTCCGGGATCTTCCACTTGGGTGTGGGCAGAGCCGATCCCGCAACCGGGGATTTTTGCGCCTTTTTCTCTCGCCTTTTCTTATTCTTTTCGCTGCTTCCTCCCCCTCGCCGATTCGCTATTTCGAGCCGTGAGAACCAATTAGCGTAGTCGATAAACGATAGCGGAACGTATCGGCGGTCTCCGGCTCGCGCGGACACCGGCCTATCACGGGGGCGATTATTAATCATATCGCCGCCCCTCGCGTCCTTGGACCTTTTATTTTTCCCCGGTCTCGAAATCCTTCGACTTTCTTGGCTACTTGGTCGCGCCAACCTTTTTACTCCCGGCTCCGATTGCGGGAGCACGCCTCGATGACTGTACTCCGTCTATAATTATCCCCAGTCGGAGACGCAGGGGCGTAATTGTTATCCCGTAATTGGTGACAATCGATTCCCCAAGTCAACGACTCTAAGCACGTAATGGTGCCCGTCTGGCTGGCGATAATTCTTTATTCCCGGCCCCGGAGGTTTACAATTGCCGCAATACCAGCCTCTGCCCAACTCGGTGAACTTGACACGAAGGGGTACCTCGCTTTCCCTCGGTTACTTTCCTCCCGGGTTTTATCACCGAGGAGATTTTTTAGAGCGACCAGGACGACCCCCTATCACTAACCCGGGTGTCCTCGGCGGAATCGCGATGCGAGAGGGCCTCTTGGATCAACTTTCGGACTCGTTTTATTATACTCGCGGTATTTTCTGCTCCGAAAATGTCGAGTAGAGAATTGATAAGAATCTACAATGTTTCCCGTGCAAGTCTCTAATCATAAGCGAACTAGTTCCATTACTTGGACTTTGGGTAGACACCGAGGTCTTGGAGCGTCAAATGCGAGACGCTACCTCGTGGATCGTCCCCGAGGAGACCTTGCGGTGAGACCTGTCTAGGGACTACGTCTCACCGTGGGGTGTTTTCTATACATTTCCCTATTTCCCTATATCGGCCGATCGAAGTCTAGCTAGTCTCTTCCTCTCGGCGCCTGATAACGAACGGCTTAGTTCCATTGATAATTTAGTCGGGGCTAAAAATACGCGTATTTGTGCGCTAACCGGAGAAAAATTGACGGATCGAAGTTCTCACGGAAAGTCGGGCCACGTGGAGAGACCGACTCGCCCCAGTTGGGGACCTCCTCGGTGCCGACCTCCGTGGGAACTTTTTTTTTACGTTCACGCCTGGACGATGCTCAAAGCGATCTCTGGCTTGATCGGTCAGTCGACGCCCTAGGTGTGGCGACGACTAGGCCCTGGACGACTTCCTCGATTCTAAAGTCTGTTTATTGAATTTCAGGAACGAAGAGGATCGAGGGTGCTTTTCCTCGCGGACCGGTCGTCGAGGTTTCCGGGACATGCCGAGGTCGTCATCTCGCACGCGTGGCCCTGTACGCACGTAATTGATAATTCTCCGCAATGTCGTGCCAAGATCCCAGGTATGACGGTGAACCACCTGGAATGCTCGCTAAGATTTCTCTGCTCGTTGTCACGTGCGAGGAAATTAAAAAAATCGTGCCCATCGCTTTCCAGGTGACTCCGTGATGCGGCAGGAATTTTTCCTCGACGGCTACCTGGGACGGGAGAAGGAGGAGGACGCGCACGTGGACCCGGCGGACGTCATCGTCGAGTCGAAGACGACGAGGGATGACGCGAGACGACGCCCTCGATAGCGACGCATCCTCGTGCTCTCGGTAACTCTTGAAAATATTATGCCACTCCACCTGACGCACGTGCGAGTGCACTCCGGGTGGCCCGATAACGCCTCATAATATTGTGTCGTGGACGATTCGACAGGAATTCCCAGGAGGCGTCGAGGACGAAACCGCCGGCGCAGGAGCACGCGACACACGTGTCGTTGATAACGCCACGTGACGAGGACCGAGGGGAAGAGTCGACGAGGTGCAAGAGGACGATAGCCAGGACTGGAAAGGTTCAGCCGAGGTTTTCTTAAGACGCGGGAATTATCAGGAATTCCCGGAGGATCGCACGTGGAAGTCCAGGAGGGATGCGAGAGGGGACTCGATGAAGGAGATCGCGACCAATCCTGGGTATGTTGTCCGAGGATTGTTCAGAATGCGCAAATTGTACTTATTGTCGGACTCCCACGTGTACCGAGCGCGCAAGAGGTAACTCGAAGAACGGAGGCTCACGAGATTCCTCCTGGACGTGGGGGAAGATTCATGGAAGTCGCGATCGTCGGACGTTATCGCGAGACACGTGGGCCCTTTTTGTTGACGGGTCGCTAATGCGAGACGGCGAGGAGCACGTAAATCTATCCATCTACGGTTACTCGCCTCCCGAGACGATCCGAGTCGACCACGAGGTCAGAGGGTGCGATCCTTCTCGTTTTATTTTTCTCGTATCTTTACATCTCCTCCCCCACCGAAACGAGGCGTCCCCCAGCGTTCTCCGGTTTATCGGAAGGGCCGAATGACACGACCCTAGTTAAATATTTGTCAAATCTCGAAAAGTTGAAAGCTTAGACGCAACGCCCAGGAGGTGCCAACCTTATCGGGTTGTGTCACTATCAGAGAGTGACTCTTTTCTTCCCGATACGATCTCGGAGTTGTCACTCCCTAGGGACTCGAATCTCGCGAGTCAAAGAGCGAGGCGACTCTCGCCGATTTTCGAAAGCACTTCCTCGTCGGGGCCTCCGGGTCGCGAATAAGAAATCCTTGTTATCTGCGATTTCACGATATCAAGGATTACGGGCATTAAGGAGGTCCCATTGAGTTCCTCGTCGAGTCGTACTTAGACACGGATGGGTCGTTCCCTCGAGGTCGGGACATCCAGAGACGGTCTCCTCCTCGCAGGAAAATGACTACCCTCGGGCAACATCGTCCCCGAGGAAATTATTGTACTGCGGGGTAAATCGCCGAAGCGTTGCGGCGACTCGATGTACTCGCTGCCGTTTTAATCGGAAGTCGATTCCTCCGGGCGGTCCTCGGGGTTGGATTTTGCACCTCAAAGGACTCCTTGGTGTGATTTACGCCCGGTATCGCTTTTATCGCCGCTCGTAAACCTCAAATCCCGGGTCCTCCAAGGATCCGCCGACCAAGGGCAACGTCCTGGCCACCCAAACGGGGAACTGCGCCGTTATACACGGGTCTTCGGTTACGGGATCGTCGCTCGGTGTTGCTCGAAAATTGACACGCTGACACGGGTGGTCTGGAGAACCGTCCGACTCGAGGTACTCCGAAGAGGAGCCTTCTTCGCGGAAGCGTAGCCCGGGGTAGACGCGACGCCACCTAGGAGAGGAACTCTCGTCGGAGCGTCCCGATGCGTTTTTCAGGGGGATCGGGGCGTTAACTCTACGTAGACGTAATCGTGGCCGTAATCGTAGTCGTAATTGCAATTGTAAACCCCCGGAGGAGTCCGGGGGACGCTCCTTCCGGGGTCAGTCCCGGAGATGGGCGTTTCGGGGTGCCCCCTCTCCGGTGTCACGGGGAGACCCGGCGTGGCGGCGACCTCGCGACCGGCGTTATCGGCTCGCGGGGCGGGCACGGCGATCGCTCGGGTCGCACGCCGAGCCCAGTGGCCGAGGGACTCGCTACCAGCCGGCAGCATCTCCCGAGCGAGCCGAGACAGACGACGAGAGAAAGCGCGGCGTGGTGCGCGAGGAGTCGTTCCGCGAGGAGACGCTGAGGTCGATGGTCGTCTCGGGGGCGGGCAGCCCGTCACGGGGCTCGTTCTCCGGCGGCCGGTTTCCAAGGTCGCGGGCCTCCTTCGCGCGCTGACTCGTCGGCCGCGACGAGACCGGAGGCGGCCCTAAGGGCGCGAGGGCGCGAGGGCGCGAGGGCGCGAGGGCGCGAGGGCGCGAGGGCACGAGGGCGCGAAGGAGGGCGCAGGAGCAAGGGAGCGAGGAAGAGCTCGGAAGCGCGGAAGAGCGAAGGAGCGCGAAGGGGCGAAGGAGCGAAGCAGCAGCGCGACCGATATAAAGGCGCGGAAGACGCGAGAGCCGAACGGAGTCGTCGCTCGACTCGGCCGTCGAGGAGCCCGAGAGCAACGCGTCGAGGATGTCGTCGTCCGAGAGGCGGCGCGGCCTGCTGCCGCTCCTCGTCTTCGTCCTGCTGGTCCAGGTCCTCGGGCAGACCCGCGCCTACCCCAGGCCCAACGTCAGGCTCTGCTCCAAGAGCCTGAGCGATGCCCTGCAGCTCGTCTGCCAGAAGCGCGGCGGCTACAACGAGCCCTTCTCCTACTCGGGCGAGGACGACCACCACGTGGCCAGGGGCGGCCTCGTCGACGAGTGCTGCCACAAGTCCTGTAGCATCGCCCAGCTCGAGCAGTACTGCAAGCCCACGCTGGCCAATCCTCAGGGCGCCTAGTGACGAGGACGGGACGCCGAGGGATCGGCCCCGTGGACGCCTCGCGGACGCCTCGCGGACGCCTCGCGGACGCCCAGGGTACGGCTGGGGCCCGCGCCGCTGGATCGGCTCGGGGTGCCCACCGACCCCTACGGATTTTCCGCCCCACGGACCGGGGATCCGGATCGGAAGAGCGGCCTTCCGGCTTCCGGACCTCGACGGGACATCACGTGGAAACGTAAGCCTCCCCTTGCTCCTCTTCCGGGGAGGAATCCTCGCGGCCTTGCGTGGCCCCCGGGTCCACCTCGCCTCTCCTCCCCTCGAAGAAGCTCTTCGAGGTCGTCTCTCTGGCTCTCTTCTTGCATGTCCGCGGAAAATTTCATTCGGAATGCGAGCAACGATCGGACGACCCTCGCGGGTGCGCGACCGGTGCTTCACTCCCCGATCGCGACCCTCTCCACGATAGATCGCTTGCCCCCTATTTATTGTCGCTAAGACGACCAGACCCTCGCTGACTGCAAACGTAGTTATGTTAGTTAGCTTTATTTATTGTCGCCGACGTCACGTTCCTCCTTTTGTATTTATTCTTTCCTTCGCTCCCCTCTTCTATCGCCGTAGAACGGCCGAGCCTGTCGGACTGGACACGTGGAGCGGCCACGATTATTCCCGCCTCGGGAAAACATCCCAAGATTTTTCGTTATTTTATATTAACGATTCGCGGGAATTAGCGATAACCGCGGCCGATGCCGCGATAAGCGACTTTTCTGTAAGAGACTCTCGGCGGGAAATTCACCAAGACTGGTGCGTGTTTACAAATTATCATTCCGTCGTCCCGTTGACCGGTGGATTATTCATTTTTGCCGATCTATCGTTCTCAAAAAAATCCCTCCCTGTTGACCGACCGGCGCGGATGAAATTATGAATCATCGGTCTTGAATAAATGTCAAGTTCAATGCCAATGGCCAGTTGTTCGTGGAAATCTTGCGGAGGCGGGTGCAATTAATCGGACAGTTTCGCGGAGTCGAGGTGAAGGGGCACACGACGAAGAAGGGACTCGTCGATTAATCGTAACGAAATTTCGGGGCGATTAGGGACTCGACGATTAATCGTAACGAAATTTCGGGGCGATTTGGGAGTCGGCGATTAATCGTAACGAAATTTCGGAGCGATTAGGGACTCGGCGATTAATCGTAACGAAATTTCGGAGCGATAAGGGACTCCACTTAGGAGAGATGCTCATCTTCTTCGTTCCCTTATCGCCTTTCTCGATTGAAACGGAGGTACCTAGTTAATCCATTACATATTGTTAAATTTTTAACCATGTCGGTCCTACGGTCCTCGGGGCGATTTTCTATTTCGTAATTTCTTTAACACGGATCCCCGATCGCGATAAGGTATCACTCGGCGCGTACACGCGCCACGAGGCTGTATTAAGGAATTTATTATTCCTCAATTATGTAAGGCGAGGCATCTATTAATAACCGGGTAAAAATTCACGCGGAGATCTCCCGCGCTCCTATCCCTTCGATCGATCGAATCAAATTCCTCGATCAATCGAGGGTGACAATATCGACGATGTTACGCATGCAGGTCGGTGTAACTCGAGAAGGTTTTCCCCAGGAAGCGAAAGGGAGAAAAGAGAGCTCGGGTTGCCTCGCGTCAATGGAAGCATGCCGGGAAGTTGCCACGGCACCGCTTAATTAAAAAAAAAAAAAGAGAGAGATGCATTTTGTATATTTGTCACGTCAACGCCTGATAAAAAAAATATAAATTAGAAGCATGCCAAAAATTTGTCGTGATGTTTAATTAAAAAAAAAAATAAAAAAATTATGATAGGCGCACGTTAAGTTAAGTTTATCGAGGAGAGGACGTTCGGATTTGTAAATATCGGCTTAATTAATTCCAGGTCCCATCGAGTCCGGCTCTACACGAGAGGTCAGAGTTCCAAGCGAGCACCGCATCGCCGGAGTCGATCGGATCGATCGAATCGAATCGACCGGTCCGATAAGTGTGTCACCGGCGAGGCGCCAGGAGCATTAAAAAATCGGTCACGGATCGACCTCGGCGACAAGCGATCCACTGTAGAGGAGGTCAGCGGCTCGAATTGAATCGACCGGTTCAATCAGGGGGCAATCGGCTAGGCGTCGGCGATCGTTAGCCGATCGATCCCGGAGTCGGCCGATTTTTACGAAAGTTAAGTCCGGGGAGGTCAGCAATTCCCGATCGAGCCAATCGATCGACCAATCGGCGCGTCTCCGGGGCCGAATAAAAATCGGTCATGGACCCTTGCGAGATCCCGCCGTCGATTAGGCAATTATCGGCCGACACTTCGGAGCCGGGAAATCGGTCTGCTCCAGGAGAGACCTCGACGGAGCCGGTCGGCTCGAATCGATTCGATCTGTCTTCGATAGGCGATCGTCGAAAGCGGCGCGGTCGGAGGAGCCGACGATACCGCGTTCGATCGATCGGCCCATGTGATTGCGCGATCCCGGATCGATCCTCCGTGGATCGATCGGGAGGAGCCGACGTCTCCTCCTCGGAAGTCGCCGGTGACTTTAGCGCTCTAACCGACTGATGATCTCATTAGTATTAATTAGGAGTAATTCTCGACTAGCTAAATTAGGGGTTAACGCCGATCGCCAGCTACGACCGATAAGCTCTCGTCGACTTTGCCAGTCCCGAGGGAGGAGCCAAGGCACGTGATACAAGCCTTAATTTTTTAGCCCTTGCCGTTTTGCGCCTTCCTTCCGCCCGGGAAGGAAGGAGGGAAGGGAGAGGAGAGACTAGAATTACCAAGAAATCGAGAAAAAGCACTAAAAGAGCTCGGTATTTTTTCTGTCTTATTTTTTTTTTCTTTTTTTCTTTCTGTTCTATAATGAGGAATCGAGGAACGTCCTCGCTTTTCCTCGGCGACGAGAGGGAAGAGGGGCTCTCCTCTCTTCTCCATCGGACAGCAGTATTGCTGTGATAGTATAAATGCCTTTTGTAATATAAACCGTAAATAGGGAGACGCGTCGCTCTTTTTTTCTTCCTCGAGTTCCTGCGACAGGACAGCCAAGTATAGCGCACGGTCTTCGTGATCTTTTGTTCATATCTTTCCTCCTTTTTCTATTTTACTTTTACGTCGCGTATCGTAGTTCCTCGCGAACGCTCGAGGGAGGCGCCGAAGCTCTCGGGCCGGTCTTCATGTGTGATAAGGACTTTATTTTGAGGCTTGCCCGAGTCCTCCGCGCTTCTCCTCGGGACTCCCTTATGGGGGAGAGAAGGCGAGGGCGTTCGCGAGGAGGTCCTCGGCCGGTGATAGATTCCCCAAGACTCGACGCCGTCGAAGAAGGATATTCGTCGAGCGACGACGAGCTTTTCCTCCACCGTCCAATGTAGAACTCTCGGCCAGGGGTGGCGGAATCCTCGGAACGGTTGCGGCGATTTTTCACTTGTGATCCAATAAGCTAATTTGACTCTTGCACGAGAGTCTCCGTAGGGGCCTCGAGTTAAGGTCGAGACTTCGAAATGTCGCTTAGGTGATTAAAGATCTCTAGATACGGATGTTCGTTGCGTTCACTCTTACGTCCTGAAGTACCCTTCCTTTTATTGCGACTACCGGGCGGCCGAGACGCAAAGGTTGCGCCGAGGAGAAAAAAAATCCACTACGCGTTTCGACCCTGCGCGGAGCTCCGCGATGCTACGACTTTAACACTGGTTTATTAAATAATCACGTCTTTAGGAACCTGGATCTTTAAAGCGCAACATTTCGATTAGAAACTAGACACCGAGGCGCGCCTTCCTCTCGGGTCGCGACCCGAGGAAGCGCCCGGGTAGAAGGGTCGCATTTTATCCATTAAATGTCTTCTTGATTGAATTTTGGAGCATCGAGCGACCGGCTGGATCTCGAGGAATAATTTATAATAATTTAAAGGCTCTAGGCGGTACTACGGAAATTTCGGGGAAATAATTTAAAGGTCGGGCTCCCGTTTGACCCGTGGGACGGATCCGGCTCGGTCGATCGATCTCCCCGAATCCGCATCGGGATCCACGGAACGCCCTGAGTATAACTAGGGGTCGGCTCGTTGATTCGAAAAATCGTTTCGCGGAGTTTCCGGGTCGGGTCGGCCGCAGGGTCACGAGCAGGGGGAGAGCTTCTCGTCCCTCAGGCAGACGTCCACGTCCTGGCAGCACCTGGCAGCCATGGTCATGAACAGCTTCTTCGACTCGTCCTTGTTCCTGGCCGCCCTGGGCAGCCTCTCGAGGACGTCGTTGTAGAGCTCCTCCACCTCTTCCGGGCTGAGGTCGATGCCGTCCCGGAAGCCCAGGTCGTCCCCGGAAGCCTGGCGGAATTCCACACACTCACACCTTCGGTCCCCCTCGGGATCCTTTCCTGGACCTCGTCCTCAGCCGAAGAGTCTTCTGACACCTGGCAGCAGCTGCGATCGCGCATGGGCAGGCGCGGGCACATGCAAATGAGGTGGCAAGGCAACAAACGGTTTTGCAGTTAGTCACGAGCGATCGGAACCTCGAGGGATCGGTCATACGTGATCTTAAGAGGAGCCGATCGATGAGAAGGGTCTATCGGGCGACGTGATCGGCATCGTCTCGTCAATAAGGTTCTCCATCGGGGACCTTACCGCCGACGACGTCGATTTCGTCCCCGGGGATGAATGCACCTCTCACCTCGTGATTCCGTGTTTTTTGTCGGTACTTTTGGACGTTCGCCAGGTTCGATTATGGATGTTACCGGATTCGAGGATGGAGAAATGCGGTGGATGACTGAGCTTGCGCGATTATTTAGCGTTAAGCCGCTTGTTGGTGGATATCGGTCATGCAGGGTAGAAGCTGGAAGAGAGGGTTGGATAAAAAAAGAGATCGCTTACCGGGGGCAGGACTCCCGAGGGGGGCTGCATCGCCTGCTGCTGTCCCAATCCGAAAGGACCGTAATACCCAACAGGGGCAGGATAGCTGATAACGGGAGCGACTCTTGAATAACGCGATAACTCGCGGTTTCGGCGAGCGTCCTGGATCACCTGCGAGACTATGGGTGCCGCGAATCTGCCCATCATCTCCGCCGTCTCCGGGGAAACTTGCCGCTTAACCCGGGTACTGGAGGTTTCTCTAGGTCCTGTGAAAGAGGGGAAGAGTCAACGACGTGGAGGTAAATAAAGGAAAATCCTCTTCCTATTGTTGGTAAAAGTATGTGAGGGTTCACCTGAGGGGGGTCTGACGAGAGGCCAGGGGACGGGAGGCAGGTCGGGGTCGCCTTCGGGGGGTCCCTCCGCCCTTGGAGAGACGTCCTGAGAGGACCTCTTGATCTTGAAGCCCAGACCACTGCACTGCTGCATCATGACGTTCATGATCGTGTTCTTGCACTCCATGGAGCCCTCGGAGGGTCCCAGGGAACAGAGAGCCCCCAAGAGCAGCAGGATCGCCTTCGGTACCATCTTCGGGACGCGCCTCGGGATCGACTGCACCTGCGGCACCCGCTGGACACCACTCCACCTGCTCTGGTATGTCCATCCGGCTTTTATTACATCCTTATCCAGAGAACGTGTTGAAATCAGACTCGGGCAATCGCGCGCTATTTGTTTACCCGACAGCTCGCGCCTGCCCCGCGACCGTCATCTCCTGAGAATGCCCCGCGAGTCCTTCCCCGGCGAGGAGTCGACCTCTAGGCTCTCCAAGATTTTCCAGACCTGGAGAGAGAAGCTTCCAAGACGCGGTCCATGGGTCCGCCCTTTGCTGGAAAAATCCTCAGGTGTTTAAGAAAAACCTCCAATCGGCGAAAGCGACCAGGGTCTCGCCCGAGTCCCTATTTCGAGACGGCGAGAACCTGTTCTAGGTATCTATTTAGGTATTACGAGCAGAATTATACAAGATTCTCGACCCTCACCTGGTGGCCTCCTATGCGCTCCCGATAATGGGCAATGGAATCGCGGAGCCTTGAAGGAACGCGCCGAGATATTCCCGGAATACGCTCGGCGTTTCTCCGCAGCGGACTCGGAATCCGCGGAATTCTGATCCGACGAGTCGGCGGAATCGCGTTTCCCTTTCGAAAGACTTTCCTTCCTTCGTGGCATCTCGAGGGAGAATCTTGCTTATCTTGTCCGACTTCGCATCCTTATCGGCGGTTCGTGACGGACGCTCGAAACGGTCGTGATAATTCGCATCGATCCGGATCGAATCGATTTCCTCGCAAGGTAATCAAGCATCGGCCTTCTTTGCATGCCTTTCCGCGTCGGTGGTGATCTATAAAAAGACGTACTCCGGTTATACAAGAATTCCGTGGGGAATGCGAATTAATAAGGATTTTTCCTTGCCCTCTATGGAGTCTGCTTTGCCAAACGATGAACTCTAGTGACACGGGAGAATGCGTAAACGTCCTGCGGCCGCTTGGGACGTCGGAAATGGCACCCTGGAAGCGTTCATCGCAGGTTTAGGTACCGCTTGAGCAAGGCGATTATCGATGTCGCGAGAGGATTTTTCTTTTTTCTTCCCTCGACATAACCGGGTCAGCATTTATCATCTCGACCTTATCGAGGCGCGGCCAGACCGCGTAACGATTTACGCGAAATTGAGGAGACGCGATCGCACGTGACACCTTCGTGGATCGCGGGGAGGAACACTCGATTTTTTACATTTCTCTCCTCGCCGGTTCGTCCCGCGGGAAAACGTTTCCTGTGAAACTTCCGTAGGACAATGTGTACGACAAGTTTTATTCGAGACGTTTTCCCGCATCGCGTCTGGTTACAAGGATAGGCCGCATTAATCGAGCGCTCCTTTTCGCGCCGACGACAAAATGGCCGACCAGACCGCAGGGGGTCTCCTTTTCCGCGCGGGAATGTCGCGCCTACGTGAAGCAACGCGCAACGCACCCGAAGGTATTTCAAAAACAGCCGACGTAATACGTGTCTCTTGGCCGCGTTTCCAGATCTTCGCTTTTTCCGGACAAAGAGGTCGACGGAATCTGCGAGGAGTCGGTGGAAAGTAGAGAAACGTGTCCTCGGGAGAGCCACGCGTCGTCGTGCCATCCTGTACGTGATGAGATGACGTGCGTGCGGAAACTGCGCGCTGAAACAATATTTATTTTTACTCACGGCACATCTTAAAATCGGAAGGAACGGAAAGAGCGGCTCGAGATGCACCGATTGAGATATTTGCCGAGAATCGCCGCAAAATATTGACAGAGATTTAATGCTTACGTTTGGATTTGTCGTCCCCCGTCTTGGAGTCGAATATCGCTTCGTTATCGATCTTTTGATTCACGTTTCGACCGATTAGAGCGCGCAGTTTTCGAATTTAAACGGTGCGCTCGGAAAACGCGCGCCGCGTCATCGTGCGAGGAAACGCTGAACTACGCCGATGTGATATTCCGATAAGTCGATAAGTGAGATTTTTCGCAGTTTCGTAGATTCGCCGTTTTCGGAATTACCACACGTGTACGTTGTTTGTTGTGTCGTCAGATTTGGTTGGATTTCAAACAAAATAGGTTGCCTGATAAATACCGGGGATCAGTTTAACCTGGCATTGAAGTGGGTGAGGATGTAATGCGAGCGCGTTAACGAGAATTTACGTAACGTCATATGATACTTCGCGATTAATACGAGAATGAGTAAGACCATTAACCTGTGCACGGCGGTACGTATCGGGAATGACATTGCTCGTTTAGCGTTATTTACCGGTGTTAAATATTCCGTTTATACTTTAGGTTAGGCCGGTAGTATCAGCAAGGGGTATTTTTACTTCGATCATGAGGAATCGAAGCAGTTCGCAAGATATATTTCATCCAGATGGCCACGAGCCAAGTATACCCCGTTATCAACATCACGAAGGCGAGAACGCATCTCTCAAGAGAGCAAGGTATGACAATGTGCATTCTTTACGCATATTATAAGCAATAAGGATACGGTACGAGTTAGATTTGTTTCGTTTCTGCAGGTTGTTGTATCAGTCACGTAAACGAGGCATGCTAGAGAATGGGTTACTTCTTAGCACGTTTGCGAAGAAGTACTTGGATACCTTTACGGATAATGAATTACATTTATACGACCATCTGATTAACATACCTTCGAATGACTGGGATTTATTTTATTGGGCTACCGGAACTAAACCAACCCCACCCGAGTTCGATAACAATGTCATGGACCTTTTGAAAGAACATGTTCGAAATGACGATCGACAAGCTAGAATTATGCAACCGGATCTGTAGATAATGATTGTATATTTAGCATACTTAATTAGTCGCATTTCTAGGTAAAGGCATAAATGCAGAGCTTAAAGGAAAAAATTCAATGTAAATAGAAGAATTAAGACAAGAATCACAATGAGCAATGTTGTAAGAAAATCTTCATTCGTTTATGTACATTATTGAATAACACAGCGTCATTATAATTAATTAATTTATAGATTTACATAAAAAAATTTTTTTAATTTACAGAATGGCTAAAATGCCAATATTAAGTGATTTGCTATTCTGAACTTCAGTTGATTCTGGGCAATTTGTCAGATTTGCAAACTTAACATAAGCAAGTACAGATACATTGTGGATCGCTAACCAAAATGCATGTATCGATGTGGATCCGAAAGGAACTGCTTATTCTGAGTGAAGCCTACAAGACCGGGTCCTTTTGTTGCCGTTGCAGCTCCTCTACCTCTAGTTGTTTTTCCACGGCCTCTAGTCGAGGACTTCCTGTCTCTTGAACTTAAAATAGCAATAAATTAATCTTATGTGAAACGCGTAAATTAGCTGCGGTCAAATTATTTTTTCTCCATACCTAGAGCCTCCTCTTTTAAATTTTTTAGCACCAGATCTATAAGCACCTCGTCCTTTGCGTTTCCTGCTACCTCGACTGCCACCCCTGCTACTGGTTCCAGAATTTCCATAATTGTCCCACGTATCGTCATCATCCTCTTCTTCTTTGTCCTCTTCCTCCTCATTTAAAAGAGCTGAACACAAAATAATCGTATTACTAAAACTGGTATATCCGATAGTGTAAGTTAAAACGAGTTTTCAATGTTTTCAGACATACCACTTTTGTCGTTAGCATATTTTTTTGTAATCTCCAGCAAAGCTTTCCCATATTTGTCAAAGTTGGCTTTGGTTACATGAGGGATTTGCAGCATAGCTTCTTCTGTCTCCGGCAACTGTTGACTCATAGCTCTTATTGCTATCATATTCATAATGGATGATGCAGAAACTTCCAGCGAAGCTGCAATTCCTCTTATTATGTGCATAAGATCAGAATAGCAACGATCTTGTAGATCCTTCAGGACTTTGTTCACAGGTTGTGCAACGGAAGATACGGTTGTTACTACAGTTGTAGACTTGGATGATCTTATTGGGAAGATGACCTGAAATGTAACGAGCAATTTGCTGATAAATCCCATTTAAATGACTATAGTATTCGATGTGTAAGAGGTACCTTTTTATTTTTATCCATCATAAGTTCCTTAACTTTGTTTCCTATTTTTAGATAGGCACATGCAATCTCATTGTTAATGTACATGTCTTCTTTAAGATAATCATCGATAACCAATTTATGTATCAACCGTTCGATGTCGCCTCTATTCCAAGATTTTCCTCGGCCATAGAGTGGGTGCTTCGTAAGCCCTATGTATACAATTATTTTAGTAAAGTGTTTTATACATTAGAATTTTTAGTAAGTTAAGCATACCTGCATCTCTGATTTTTTTAATGTCGCTTCCCTTATAAATGTCAGTGAGGAATACGACAGTAAGGCCTAGTTTACGATTTTGATTCAAATCTCTAACTGCTTTGACAATTTCTCTTGCATCTTGTGTTACATCGATCATAGTGAATTGTTCCTATATTAAAAATTCAAGCACTGGGTATCCATCCACATAACTTAATATTATGAAACCTTTAATTCCTATTCTTGACTAACCTTATTTCTGCAGTTATCGCAACTGGTTGATTTGTTTGCAATGCACTGTTCCTGGTGAAAGATTTCACCGAAATAATTTAATTGTTGTACTCTTCGACAGTCGGTCTTATTCTCACAAAACGCCACCATCCTAAATAAATTATCCATGTGTGTTTTCGTAACTTCCACACTTGATGAATCGAACTCTATCATTTTTCGAATCCTATGCATGTCAGCGTAATTGTAGAATAGCGTGCAATCCGCATTTTCAGAGTCACGACCCGCACGACCACTTTCTTGATAATAACCTTCGATGGATTTCGGAAGAGCGGCATGAATGACAAATCTAACGTTGGGCTTGTCGATGCCCATGCCAAACGCTATGGTTGCGCACACCACGGTAATCTACACGGAAAAAATTAATTAACCGGAAAACATTCTACTTCTTTTAAACAAAGAATATATATTAAAGCATACCTCTTCGGAGATCCATCGTATCTGGATGTCAGTTCGTTGGTGATCCGTAAGACCTGCATGATAACTCATTGCTCTAATTCCATTAGTTCGAAACTGCTCAGCATAAGAGTCACAGTCTTTCCGTGAAAGACAGTAAACTATACCGCACTCATTTTTGTACTTTGTCTTTATCGTAGCAATAACTTCATCAGAGCAATTTTTTCCTTTCTTTGCTATTATGGAGTATTTTAGATTTGGCCTGTTAAAGCTCGACATGAACCTACACGGAATAAAAGGTGGAACATTAATTTTTTCAAGTCTCTAGACTTCTATTTTTTTTAAAGCTGAACATACCACTTTGGAGATGTCATATTTAATTGATGTAAAATGTCAGTTCTAACTCTTGGAGTAGCCGTCGCAGTCAGAGCCATTGTAGGAACTTTAGGATAATTATCCCGAAGTAACCTTAGTTTCTTGTAGTCTGGTCTGAAGTCGTGACCCCACTGACTTACACAATGCGCCTCATCGATGACAAATCTGGCCAACAAGTTCCTTTCATACAAAAGTTTAAGAGTATTACAGAATTTTTGTGATGCAGACAGTTTCTCCGGAGTCACATAGAGTAACTTTAAAGCCGGTTCCCTCTTGGATAATTCACTGTATATTCTTTCCGCTTCCCTGTCCGATATGCTACCTGACATATGAGCAGCAGGTATCTGGAATACCAATTTTTTTAGAGTTAAGGACGTTCAAAATTTTCAAGACAATATCAACGTTATGGTTTCCTTTTTAAATAATTCCTTACATCAAGTGAAGTAAGTTTTTGAACTTGATCGAGAATAAGACTTTTCAAAGGCGAAATGACAATGGTAATTCCTGGGGTTAAAATTGCTGGTAATTGATAGCATAATGACTTTCCGCCTCCAGTTGGCATCAGCACGAAACAGTCATAACCCAACATTGCAGCATTTATGACTTGCCGTTGGTTTGGTCGGAAGGAGTACAAACCAAATTTTTCTTTGAAAACCTAGGAGTAATCAAATATTAATTTCTACTAAATAATGCGACTACTTGTAGTTTTAATAAATAAATTTAAGCAGAAAAGTTACCTTCATCATTTCTTTTGAATGAGGATATTGGTCACTGTCAAATTCCCCACTGACACCATCGTTCTTGTAATTTCCAGTAAACTGACCCATTTGAAATGGAACTGCTGTAGCTTTTGATGAATTTTTAGTATTCTGAGAAGATTCACTAGTGCAAGGGAGTTTATTGGTCTTTGAAGATCCCTCTGCGCTAGGCTTTGTATCTGCAATTCATTATATACTTGTAATGCATAAGCAAATAAAAATCAATACTTGTACCTTTTGTCGAAGAATTATATGCAGGCAGCCGTTCCAGTTCTTGTGTTAAACTATCCTCTATTTCCCAAACATCATCAGTAATAATATATTTTCCTAAAATATAGAATAATAATTAATTCTTCAAATGATTTAAACAATCTTCTATACAACTTACCAGGTTGATCAAACTCTTCCCAATTATCCTGCTCTTTCGAAAACTTAGTACTTGATGAAGGTTTGTTTATTAATGATGTATTTGTTTCTTTAAATGGACTTTTCGGTAATGCCTTCGGAATTTTCGTAATTTCTTTTGCAGTATTAAAGTCATCTATTTTTATGTTTGACGGAATACTGTGAATTTTGATTTCTTTATTATTAACAATCTTTCCGATATTGCTGCTACAGGATCCATACAGTTTTTCACGAAGCTTAGAAAGTTTCTTTTCAAAAATTGTAGGTTTCTTTACTTGAAAAGTCTTTTTTCTTGACAAGTCTGGTGATTCCACCTGCATATCGTCGGATTCCGAAATAGAATTATCATGTGCGTATGGAGATATATGAGATTCTCTTAAATCTGCCTCTAATTGAAACAATGAAGTATTCTGCTGTATATCGGCTGATTGAAAACTCGTGTCATCGAGCTCTGTTGTAGAAATGTTACTTTGTTCCTGTGAAGTAATTGGAAACTTTTTTGATTCCGTTAGCACTTTTAACTGGGAGTTACTTTTCTTTGGGCTGGATTTTTTTTGTTCATCCCATTCATTTAGAGAAAGTTCTCCATTTTGATTGCCATCCAAATTATTAAATGAATTATTAAGTGCTGTAGTGGATCTATTGCTTTCGGAATCCTGTGATCTAACATCTGCAATATCGTCAACGTCCATCTTTGAGTTCTCCTCTCGAACCTTTGCTAATGCTAACTTTCTTTCTACTTGGCGAATTTTTGCTTTCACGTGTTGACCTATAATCTTCAAATTTTGAAGAGTGTCCAAGTCAAATTTTGGAAACTTTTCTAATACTGGTATAGGAATTATATTAAATGCAGTACAAAATTTTTCTAAAACTTGTATTTGTATATCCTTCAGTTTTTGCACTTTATCTTCTAATTCTATAATTGTAGCTGTCTGAAACAATTATTGATTTACAGGAATATTAAGGCATTCAAATATACTGTACATGCAATAATTTTTTATTGCATGCAAACTTACTGGATGGGATGTCATCTCTGGTAAACTTCTTATTTTTTCAATCCAAGGTTTTAGTTGTGCATCAATTCCTAGTGGTTTTAAATCTAATTTAAAATCTGGCCCTTTCCATTCTTTTATCGGCGTCTTTTTTGGGCTAGAACCTTTTGAACAAGGACTAGTGATCTCATTTCTAATTATCTGCCGTTGATTTGATTTTAAACTAGGACTCATATGTTTAGATACACTTCTTAGACTCACTTTTGAATCAGGACTCTCAACCTCATCTATGGTTATTTTTGTGGGACTTGATTTATAATCAGAACTATCACTTTCAGAATCTGAAATTATTAATTTTCTAGACCTCAATTTTGCAATGTTAGACAAAGAGTTTTTTGAAGTTTTCCTTGAAACTTTAAAAGTTGGCGAAGTTGGCACTTTCTCGTCATCATCTAAAAATGCTTTTGAAATGAAGTTTGCTTTGCTTTTGACCATTTTAAACTTATCATTTAATACTGTATTATTACTGCCAGCAATTATGGCATTGCTTTGATCAATTCTCCAATTATCATCATTCTTTTCATTCTGTAACTCAACCGTTTCCAGTTCCTTCTTTTGCATTTCTTTGTCCTCGCCATTTTTAGCATTATCAGAATTTATCCTCGGTTTAATATTATCGCTATCATATTTATGGTCCTTATTCAGTTGTTCCAAATCTATAGAATCCTGAATAGTTTGTATAGTGCTATTATTCTCCTTTATCTTGGATAGCTCTAGCTGTGCACTTGGAACTGATAAGTCACTCGAACTGCTCTTGATTAAAAAACAAACAAAATACGTTAGCGAACTAATTAAGATACAAAACAGCGTTTAGTAATCACTAATACTTGACAGCATGTATTTACAATTTATATTTTAACTTACTATCGATATGATAAAATCATTTTTCTTAGTATCATCATTGAGTTCCTTCGATGATGTGCACTTATCTTCAAAACTGTTCCACAGTTCAGAAGATTCAAATAAGTGCTCGTCCTCATTTTTTGTTTTTTCAATCGATGTTATCGGAGTACTGAAACGAATGAAGCCCTTACATCGAGTCTTTCAAAAAATCATCAATGACAACATAAACTGTATATCATTACCTTGACTGCAGCTGAGAAAGCTTTCTATTCTTAAGTTTTATCAAAAACCCCTGTAGGTTGGGCTGTCGACCGTTTTGACTTTTAGGCAACTTTTTCGACATTCTACCTAACCTCTAACGAGAGATGCAATAATAACACTTTCTATACTCGCCAAACAAAGCATTGCCATTCTACCCTCGATCAACATAATTTCAACTCCATTTTCGATTTTATTACACGATCGTATAACCACGCGATAGAATAAATATTATTATAGACAAATATATAGCATCAAACTTGATACTCAATACTTGACTCTCGATGCTTTGTATATCAACTTTGCGTTCACGCGTTTACGTTTTCATCTCAATTTTTGCGGGAATTCGTTGCCATTTCTCGATATTTATCGATAGTGGTCCATCGGACTTCGACATGGCTTTGAAACTTCGACATGGCCGTTTGAAACGAAATGGAGGGAAAAATAATTCAAGGTATGTGTGCAGATAGGTACGTCACTGTAGGGGCGACAAACCTTGGTGAGCACGGCCTTGTCATCGACAAAGATCGTCACGTGGCCGGGACTGACTTGTAAATATCAATAATTGCATTTCTCCTAATCAGTAATCTTAGTAATGTCTGAGATTAAGAACGGTAGTTTCGTTATCGCATGAGACAACATTTTTGAAGATTCTCAACGATATCAGCTATGTGACGTTTGGGCGCTTCTAGTGAGTACATACGTTAATTTCAATCAATCGCAAAAATTCGCAAGGGTTTATACAAATTTCTGTTTATACTTCAACAGTACTTTTCACTTTGCAGAAGCTCGAATTTGAGGATTTCGAGAAACTTCACTTTCAGTGCGCTAAACCTACAGCTCCGAAGCAGGAAGTCTTAATGAATATAAATTTGTAATGTGCGTCGAAGCCCCTTCTCGTTGGTTTTACCCTGGCTTATCTGTTCGCTTATGGCTCACATAACATCAGTTTCGCTTGAGCCTCCGTGGCGAGAGGTTCTGTTTGAAACAAGGAATATTCTTCGTATTGTATAAATCATTTGGCAAGGTGTTCTCTTAAGAATCGTGAAGGGACCTTAACAACCTGACAATTTTTGTTCGGTAATTTCTGCACCTGTATTTGTAACAGGACTTTAATCTTTAGATTGTAAGTTTCCCAAGAATTTATTCTATAATCAAAGTTTATGGAATAAGTTTTAGATTTTTTTGAAATATCGACCTGACTGGATTTTATACTATATCAATTTCTTAGAATTCAGGTAAAGCTATGGAACGATTTATGGAACCACATCTGGATATTACGATTGATGATAATGATATTATTAAAGGTGCAACCGATGTTGTAAAGAGTATTAGACCATCCTGGTCTGTTGATAAGCTTCAGTTTAAGGTATTTGTCCTTCTTGACAATTAATCGTGCAATTAAACTCATTTAGATAATGTCATCTATTTAGTCCTTTTAATTTAATAACAGACATTCAAATTTTTTTAAGCAAACCAATGGAAACGTTGGAACATACTATCTGAATTACCATTTAAAAAAATGGACGTCCTCCTATAGTTTTATCAGTAGATATGTCTTATCTAGTCTTACATAGCAGACTTAATTTATGGTAATGGTTTGAAAGTAATACAGGGGCTTGTTGTTATAACTACATATCATGGAATCATGCTTGAGTCAAAGTAAAATGATTTTTATTGCCTTAAATTTTTACAGCTATTTACAAATGGAATTACAAATAAGTTAGTAGGTGTGTGGTGCCCAGGGCATTACAATGATATGGTGCTGGTAAGGGTGTATGGACACAAAACTGATTTGCTTATCGATCGTAGAGACGAAACCAGAAACATTCGGGTAATGTAATTTACATGAATTTTTACTATAAAAAATAATTCGTTGGAATAGCTATTTATGTTTCAATGTGTTATGCTTGTCCTTTGTAGATACTTAATAAAGCTGGATATACGCACTCCATTTATGCTACATTTAACAATGGACTCGCATATCAATTCATTGAAGGTGATACTCTCACTACTGAAACAATAAGACAACCTGAAGTCTATTGGCTGGTAGCAAAGCGAATGGCACAAATGCATCGGCTTACACCAAATCACCCCGAAATGAGCAAAAGTCCTGTTATATGGAATAAAACAGAAAAATTCATGCAAATCATGCCAAAGAAATTTTCTGACCCTATTAAGCAGGCAAAGTCAGTAGATGATTTTAATTTAACCATTGTATTGAACATATCGTCGTATTCCAGAGCATACATAATTTATATATATTTACAGATTTGAGAAATTAATAAGACCTTATAGTGAACTGGAAGAGGAGTACTTTATGCTTAAAGAGAAGCTCTCAAAACTTGACAGTCCAGTGGTGTATGCTCACAACGATCTCCTATTAGGAAATGTGCTGTACAATAAAAAAGAGAATTCCGTTACGTTTATCGACTTTGAATATACTGCTTACAATTATCAAGCATACGATATAGCAAATCACTTTGCTGAATTTGCAGGTAATTAGAGAGTAATTCAGAATTATAAGAATAAACCAAGAAGTGATCATTGTTTGCAAATAATTATTAGGTATTTTTATTCAGGGGTAGATGGTCCAGATTATACTTTATATCCAGAGGAAACCTTACAAAGGGCCTGGCTCAGGATATATCTTCAGGCATATAATAAGGCCAGCAATGTATCGGAGGACGAAGTAACTAAGTTGTACATTCAAGTTAACAAATTTGTTCTGTTGACACATTTCTTCTGGGGTTGCTGGTCGCTTATTCAAAGCCAGCATTCATTCATTGATTTTGATTTCTTAACGTAAGGGATGAAATTATTAAAGAAAATTACTTCATTGAACAGTATTTTAAGAATCTATTGTTATTAATAATTTCGTTTATTATTTTACATGTATATCAATTATCCCTAGAGACTTCTTCGGGTGCTTTGATTAACTTCTGTCTTATTCACAGTTACGCATTCAGAAGATTCGAGGAATACTTTAAGCAGAGGGAAAAGTGTCTTGAAATCGATTGACAGATGTCCATTAAATACATCGTTGGAGGTACTTTACTCATAGATGAAGTATATTATTTCTATAAATATATCATGGTGCTGTGTACCTTGGTAAATAGTCATTTAGTACATATCTCGGTGAGGCGTTTATTTACCGTGCATTTTGTTATTAACCGGTGTAAAGTTTTTATTCTATGTGCATAGCAAATGAAAGTTATTGTTCCTTTACGAGCCAGTGAATATATTATTGTAAATACGTATTTCGTGCGCATATTGTGCAATAAAAATGTTTCTCGTTACCGGCAATCTTTCCAGTTTCTGATTTGCCTCTAGATGAAAGATAAGAATCGCGTGAAAATTCCACAAATACATGACATGTTTTTTTATCGTGTTTAATCACGGTATCGTGCAAGAAACTGGAATGAGCACATAAATCGATATGCTCGAGTAAATTATCAACTGTCCTGGCGCCTTGATCTTCCGCCACGTGAATGGCTCGATTGCGAAGAAACGCGTTTCGCAATCGTGTTCATGTTCTCTTATATAAAAAGTTATCGACTTCTAAGAGACCACATGTGTTTCGGAAGATTTCTTTTAAGATGATTTACGTCACGGATGGCGCCTTCCGAAATTTGTGGGCCATCCAGGTCGCATTCTTGTTGTGCTCTCGAAAGAGCCTTCCCCTCATTAAGAAAATTAAACACGTGCCAAGATCAGTCTCTAAGATGATAACTTTTGAAGTGCCCGCCAAGGGGCTGCGGTTTTATGCATCACTTCCAATTTTTGATGAGAGAGTGCGCCTTCGTATCTTACGTTGCCGGAAGTCGACTAGGAACATTCTAGTTTTTCCCCTGCAGACGCCTGTCCAAGCGAGGTGCCATGATTCGCTATTCCGTTGGATCTCTCTAGAGTTCAAAAGGAAACCAGAATCGGTTTAAGATGGCGGTGGAAGCACAGGAATATCTTCAGTGGTTAAGTTTCCACCGGAGAGAGAGAGGAGACGAAGTGAAAGAAGAGAAGACGGGGAAAGTCTGGACAAGTCAGCACGGGTTAACCTGCAAAGTCGGTGGATCTTGATCTCTGTGCGGAAAACCGGTGCTCGCCGTAAACTTTTTAGGACGGAATCCCGATTCCCATGTTGCGTATTTCTCCTATCGGACAACATTTTATGCGCAAAAGGTGTTAAGAGCAGTATCGAGTGATAAACCGGAAATATGGTTAAGGCGAAGAAGGGCAAACGCCTTGGCAAGGATGACGAAATGTAAGTTTATTTTCAGACAGATTGCAGGTTTTCGTACACCTGCCGAAGGTCGTTATTCGTTTTTAATAAATTAATGTAGCATTAACGTGATAGTTTAGTAACTTTGGAACTCTGTCTCCATACGAGAAGTTGAATTTCAATTTTACGTTTTAATGGAATCCGGATCTGCCATCTGGTTAATTTAGGTTAGGTCGAGGAAGAAAGTTTTTGGTTTTTTAATTTTCTTTGACTTCCCTTCTTCAATTCAATTCATTAACGATTTTCTTAGTTAAAGGTTAATTCGTAGACAAATGGAGTAGCTCCTATCTCAGAGACTAGAAAATTATAACCAAGTAGTTCCGGACATGTAGGCGACGAACAGAGGACATGGACTTTAATGCATTGGCATTGAATCAAAACCATGTCGAGACCCTATAGTTACGATGCCTTCTTATACTAACACTTTTAATAATTGGTTTTATTTTATGTACGGCATTGTGAATGATATATGAACCGAAAGTCTGTTGAGAATAAATTGGAACAATTTTACTAGTCTGAATTTTAAAATTATACAGTACTAATTTATCATGGGTGATTTACTTTAAAAAATATTTATTAGGCACAGTGATGCTGAGGTGGAAGATCAGTCTATCGACGAGTCAGTTAAATCAAAAAGCAAAGCAAAAGATAAGAAAAAGAAAAAAGTAGATGATGTAGATGATATTACTGCTGAGCTCGAGGAACTTGCCGTAGATAAATCTAAGGCAACTAAGAAGGAGAAGAAATCGAAGAAGACTGGCGGTGGTGACTCGGATGATGACGTCACCTCGTCACAGGTAAAGAGCAAGGCAGGTTCAAAGAAAAAAAGTTCAAATTTGAACCTTGATAATCGAGATGGATCGGCATCAGATTCAGAATCGGAGTCAGTACAGGCAAAACGAAAGGGTCAAAAGACTCGGGGGAATAAAAAAGGTTTTGCTGCCTTAAACATCGATTCAGACAATGCTTCAGAAGATGAGACTCCTAAGGCAAAGGCTAAGACGAAAAAAGGGGGTAAGAAAGATATTAACGAGGATTCAGAGGATGAACAGAAAGGAAAGGGAAAATCTAAGAAAAACCGGAAGAAGAACATAGATTCTAATGATGAATCAGAAGATGAAGCTCCACGCTCTAAGGCGAAATCAAAGAAGGGAAAGAGAGGTGGTGATTCCGATGAATCTGGAGATGAAACTTCCAGAGCCAAAAACAAAGGAGCTAAAGGTAGCAACAAGAAAAATGTTGCAGAAGATTCAAATGATGAATCGGAGCATGAAAAACGGAAATCAAAAGGGAAGACGAAAAAAGGCAGGAAAACTTCTGAATCAGAAGAAGACATGAAAGCATCAAGAACCAAGGTGACGAAACCGAGCAGTACCAAAGGTACATTCAATTATTAAATGTGTTATATTTTACATGAAATAAACATTCAGTAATTATATTATGATATATTTGTCTAGCACCAGTAGGTGGTTTTGCTCTATTGGAAGTTGAAGGTGACAACGACGATGACAACGACGTTGGTCATCCCAGTGACAACGAATCAGAAAAATATGAGAACGTCGACAGAGCATCGGCAAAGCAAAAGGGAAAAGCAGCTGAATCTCAAGGAAAACAGTCTAAGAAAGGTGAGTTCCTATAAAATATTAGCCATAGATGGTTGAAGCATTTTGTATGATGAGTTGTAGACTACATAGAATTCATTGTTACATTGAACTTAATAGGTAAGAAAAAAGCCAACGATGAAGAAGATATTGATAAGGTGTTAGCAGAATTAGAGATGGAATCCTCTGGACACAAGAAAGATGTTACCGAGGAGCAGGGCGAACAGAAAGCGGAGGATGACAGCAAGAAGAAAAAGGGGAAGAAAGCTGGGAAGAAGAAACGCAATGACAGCGAAGAAGACATCGAGAAGGTCTTAGCGGAGTTGGAAATGGAGTATTCTGGGCAAAAGCCGGAAAAGGTCGAGGAGTCTAAGGAAGAGAAAGCACCGGAGGAGGATCAAAAGAAACAGCGAAAGAAAGCCGCTGTCAAAGAAGAGGTGGAAGCGGAGGAGGATGAAGTAAACGAAGGACTCGAAGATCAGGAAGGCAGTACGGTGAAAACAGCAGCGCAAAAGAAAAAGGAGAAAAAAGAAAGGGAGAAACAGAAGAAATTAGCGCAGAAGAAGGCCGTAAGTGAGAACTGTGACCATTGTAATTTCTGCATTATTCATTTTTATTTATTATGATTATTTCAAAGGATGCAAGTAAGAAACCCGATAATGGAGAAGTGCCATCGGAGAAGGATAAAGCTCTGGAATCTGCAGAGAAACCACCAGCAGACGCAGAAGCAGAAGTTGAGTCTGTCGAGGGAGAAGAGGGAAAGAAAAAGAAGAAGAAAGGCGCCATTAAGGAAGATCCTAAAGATAAAGGTACCCGATGAATTCTTTTAAAATGAAATTTAAATTTTTAACTTTTTAAATAATCGCTGAAGTAAATGCATGAAATCGGTAACGAATCCTCCGACATTTAGGGAAGGGTCCCGGAAAGAAAACGATAGCTGCAATGCAGGAGGCTTTGAAGAAGCTCAAGGAGGAGGAAGACCGACTCAAACGCGAAGAGGAAGAAAGGATAAGACAGGAGGAGCTGCGCGAAAAGGCGAGACTGGAACAGCTTCAACTCGAACAGGAGCGAAAGGAAAAGAAAAAGCAGAAAGAAAAGCAAAGGAAGGAACGATTGAAGGCGGAAGGAAAGCTTCTTACGACCAAGCAAAAGCAGGACAGAGCAAGGGCTCAAGCGATGCTGGAGGCTCTGAAAGCTCAGGGCATGGAGCTGCCGGACGTTGGCGAGAAGAAGCCCAGACCAGGTGAAGTTGCCATTTTATTTGCCGTTAATTTCGCTGCATCAAAAGACGCCGTATTTTTTACGGTTACGTTAATGATACAGGTACGAGAATCCGTCCAAGTAAACTTAAGCAGCAGTCGAGCACGGACGAAAAAGGGGAGGAGAAAAGGGCCGAAAGCGAAGTTCAGCCCGAAACGGTGCAGCTGGAAATCGTAGATCAGGGTGAGCAACCAAAAGAGGAGCCGAATCCCGCGGAAGAAGTCAAGGATTCGTGGGATGCCGATTCCAGCGAGGACGAGCCGGAGGAAGGTACGAAACATCTACAGGGTATAAACTCTGGCGGAGTTTTAGTACCTTTTTTTTAGATTAATGGCTGAATTTTCTCCCTTACTCAATTTTTAGATAAATCCGACGAGACACCACAACCTTCGCAGCCGGTTAAAGGTCAGTCTCATTTGTCTAAGAGGTCGCCGGTCGCGGAGAAGAAGGAATCATCCGAGAGCGAGTCCGAGTCGGAAAGTGGCAGCGAAACCGAGTCCGAGGAAGACAGCGACGAGGATAGCGAGGTCGACGACAAGAAAACGGATGCCGAGCGCAAGAAGGAACGCGCTCGGGCAAGGATACAAAATCGGCGAATAGAGGCGGAGAAGAAGAAGTCCTTGGACGTTCTTCGGGCGGCGGTGGTCTGCGTCCTGGGCCACGTCGATACCGGCAAGACGAAGATCCTGGACAAGCTGCGAAGGACTAACGTTCAGGACGGAGAAGCTGGAGGGATCACCCAACAGATCGGTGCCACGAACGTTCCTATCGAAGCCATTCAAGACTCCACGAGACACGTTAAAGGGGTGGGAAAATATTTTACATGATTGTATTTTTTTTTCTTTTTTTTTAATAAGTACAACTAAGAAATGCGAACGGAATGCTTCAGTTTGCGGAGAAGAAGCTGAGGATCCCGGGACTTCTGATCATCGACACGCCTGGTCACGAGTCCTTCAGCAACCTTAGGAACCGGGGCTCGTCTCTCTGCGACATAGCGGTCCTCGTGGTCGACGTGATGCACGGCCTGGAGCCGCAGACACTCGAGAGTATAAACCTGCTGAAGGCGAAGAAGTGTCCCTTCGTCGTGGCGTTGAATAAAATCGACAGGTAACGAGGCTCCCGGAATCGGAGTCGACGGACGCGCGTATCTCGGCAGACGTGGTACGCGATCGCTCATTCTTATTCCGCAGGCTGTACGACTGGCAGACCATGAACCGTAAGGACGTCCAGGACATCATTAAGAATCAAGCGGTCAACACCCAGAGGGAATTCGAAAGGCGGACGAAGGACGTGATCGTGCAATTCGCCGAGCAGGGACTGAACGCCGCCTTGTTCTACGAGAACCCGGACCCTCGGAGTTACGTCTCCCTGGTGCCCACCAGCGCCATAACAGGTGATCAATCGAGAAGTCCAGGCGATCCTGGAAACATTCGAGGACACGGTTTGGTCTAACTCGAGGCAACGCATTTCGCAGGGGAAGGCATGGGTAACCTGCTGGCGTTGATCGTGGACGCGTGTCAGGGCCCACTGGCGAAGAGACTGATGTTCAGCGAAGAACTCCAGGCCACGGTCTTGGAGGTCAAGGCACTCCCTGGCCTTGGCACCACGATAGACTGCATCCTAGTCAACGGGACCCTCCGAGAGGGAGACACGATGATAGTAGCGGGTACCGACGGGCCCATAGTCACCCAGATTAGGTCGCTGCTGATGCCGCAACCCTTGAAGGAGCTGAGGGTCAAGGTGAGGAAGTACCCCCAAGACTAAGAAAAAAATCCACGATTCTCTTTTCTCACGCTCATTCCGTCTACAGAACGCGTACATCGAGCATCGCGAGGTGCGCGCAGCCCAAGGGGTGAAGATCGCGGCCAAGGACCTCGAGAAAGCCATAGCGGGTACGTTTACGTCGGCCCGAAGAAACGACCGAACCGACACCCGACTCCATCCCGATCGTTTTAGGTCTGAACCTCCAAGTGGCGCAGAAGCCGGACGAGGTCGAGCTGCTCAAGGAGGAGACCGCCAGGGAGCTGACGAGTGCCTTGGGTAACATCAAGCTCGCCGAGCGCGGAGTCTTCGTTCAGGCTTCGACCCTCGGCGCCCTGGAGGCTCTCCTGGACTTCCTGAAGAGCAGCAAGATTCCCGTGAGTTTGGCCCTTCGCCTGGAACCTGGGGATTCGTTCGCGCGCCGTCATTTCCGCAATACCCAGGACTAACCGGTACACCGCGGTAGCGCTTTCTCGTACGCGCGGTACGTTCGGTACGTTGCGGCCTAACCGCGCCGGTATAGGATAGTACGCGGAGCGAGCGGCAATGAACCACTTCCTTCTTAACAGTTTAGCAGGATACGGCTCATTGGTCGCGCATCGCGCTCGCGTTCGTGATCCACGGTGCTATCGGTCGCACTGTCCAGCCCCGTTCCTCGAGGCCCGAGCCACGTATAGATCGTGTACCGAGAGGGAGAGAGAGAGAGAACTCGTCGAGGGCGATCTCCGTCTATACAGGGTGCTTCCAATCGTCGACCTAGAGAAACCGAACGGCTCCCAAATCTTCGGCCACTGCCGACCGCGTTACCTCTGGACACCTCCGTATTTTCCAAATTTTCCAAATCTCTGGGAACTCAAATTCGTAAAAAATTCCTACAGTCCTCCCCAAAGAGAACCATCGGTTTTCCGAGGTTCCGGGCGACGTGGGAATTTTTTTCGGCCGGTCGTTGAAGACGTTTAGGTACTACGGGGAAACGCAAATGCGGTTTTCTAGCGGAGGGTCCGGTCGGCGCGTTTGCGACGCACCCGGTATCGTTCGAGAGCGGCCGCGCGACGTACACCGGGTAGGGGGGGAAATGAATCCGTGCTCGGCCTTAATTGGACGGATGATGAATGAAGGAATCGGTGATTCAACGATCCCCGTTCGCGGAGCACGATTCGCCGATGGTCGCGATTAATAACGCGCCCCGTATCAAAGCGAGCCGAGCCCCGGGTCCCGGGGCTCCTCTCGCATGATAGATCCTCGCCTACCGAGGTACGTAGCTTCCCGATCCCGTTTCGAGGATCGAGAAGGAGAGAAAGAGAGAGCCAGAGCCCCGAAGCGACCTTTATCGTTCCGTCGTCTGTCAAGGATGCGAGGGCAAGGGGTAATACTTTAACTCGAGGAAATCGCTCGCTCTTACGGTAATTTTATTTAGCGAGGAGGAGGAGGTTCACGTCCTCGGGATAATTTCGTCGAGGTCGGGCGAGGGGAACGTTGCGCACCGCGAAAAGATCCAATCGGTATTTATGTCCGATTTCCTGCCGGCCGAACATCCGGCTGACCGCTTTTCCCTCCTTCGGCTCGCGGCGCTCGCTCCCTCTCTCTCGCTCGGCCGCTCCGCCGCCTCGCTCCGTCTCGCTCCCTCTCACGCTAATCGGGAGAGGGCGCGCATGCATTCCCTCGGCCGTGTTCGTCGTCCACCCCTCGCCGCTCGCTAGATCCTCCACGGGGAGGGAAAAGGGACTCGCGGAGGCTCGTTTTCTCTCGGTAGGATCGATTCGGCGTCCTCGCGAGATGAGGTTAGGAAGGCACTCAGGTAGAGCCGGGGGTCGGTCTTAAGGCCGTCCTTGCTCGGGTTATGAATGGGCCTCCCTACCCGGCGCGCCGCCATGTTGCCGGTCACGTGGGCCGCGTGACGTCGACTCGCGGGTGAATATGTACGCGCGAGCGTACGCGTCCCTCGCCGCCCGGTGGACGTGGGCGGCCCCCCCCCGGAGCGGGGAGCGGGACGGCCGCGGCCGCGTCGGAAGGGGAGGCCGACTTTCCGCGAGTCTCCGCGCGCTCGTGGCGGGCCTCTCTTCCGTTTCCTCGATTCCTGGGGCCGTAGGTTCTCTCTCGGGCCGTTCGCTTCGCACGCTCGCTCCGGCCGCCCGGACGAGCGTAATTGAATCTAAATTGGCCGGCGCTCCCCCACCCCCGAGGCCCGGCCACTTCCCTCGGCGTATCCGGCGCGGCCCGGTCGTCGCAGCTCGCTTCCTCCGCGCGATACGCGCGCCGGGAAGGAAGTCGCTCCCCCGATAGCATCGGCCCGGGTCGAGGGACTCGGGGGAAATCCTCTCTCCGTCTCTCCGCCGGATCGATCCTCGATATCTGGGTTCCTTCCGGTCTGCCTGCCGGTCCGGTCCACCTATCCGGGGGCCCGGGTGCCCCGCGGAAGGAGCAGCACCTGCGGTCGCGTCGAGGTGGAGAACCGCTCGCGCGCAGTTTGAGGCCTAGCTTGCCGAGTTTTCGAGTTCGAGTCGTCGCGGGTGGGCGGCACGGCGAGATGCACCGGGAGGAGAGCAGGGCATCCGCGGGGAGCCCGTTTTCGAGACCGAGCGACCGAAAAAGGCCGGCCAAGGCCTACGCGGCCGCCATCTTGGCGCGGCGCGTAGGCCTTGCGTTCCTTCGTCTCTCTCGCGTTCTTTCTCGCGGTTCCGTGGCTTAATCGGTTCTCCCGAGGTGGAGGGAAGATCGCCGCGGGTTCATTTTTATCCTCGTACCCCTCCCCTCTCTCTCGGCCGTCACGGTCCTGTTGCCCTCGCGGTGGCGCTCAATGGGAATTAGCATTCGGTCGCGGTAACGGGGCCGCTCCGCTGCGGCGGCCGCACCGAAACGTAAGAACACCGTTAAGCCGGCGGACTTCCGGCGCGACCGAAACGCGAGAAAGCCGGCTTTGCGGCTTTTCGTATCGCGGCCCGGGACGAGGAGGGGACGGGGCGGGGGGGCCCCGCGGGCTGACGTGGGCGCGCGTTACGCGCACGCTCCGCGCGCATCGTCCGCCCGCCACGCCTCTTCCTACCCACGTGCGCGCCTTTCCCTGCAACTGCAGCTGCGACCGCGACCAGGGAACTCTCTTTCTCTCCCTGGCATTTCTTTCTTTTTTTTTTCTCCTTCTTTTCTCTCTCTTTTTTTTTCCTCTCTCTCCCTCTCTCTCTCGGTAAACTCCGGGATTTCGCCGTCTCACCGCGAGGGAATCGGAGCGCGACCCCGCGACGTCGTTAAGACGTTGAATGCCGTGGGGGGTCACCGGTGACCGGCAACCGCCTTGCGATAGTACACTCCTCATTTGTTTTGCCATTCAACGTGTTAACGGGGGTCGCGTGGAACGCGGCGCCTCGAGGAAGTCGAGGTTTCCTCCGGCGGTTGATCCTCGACGCGGCGACGCGCCGCGCTCGGTCGGACTCCCACCTGATGCGCGCCTCCACTCCTCCTCCTCCTCCTCCTCGCGGGGTGATATACCCGCCGTTAAGCGATAATCGGAGGAAGAGGATGTTCGCACGATCCACGGCCATTCAATTGTCTCGTGGCCTGGCTAATTGGGGCCGGACTGACGAGGAGGGAATTCCTTGCCCCTGCCGGAAGGGGCGGCCAATTAACGCGGGCCGCGAGAATACCAGAGGAGGTGGCGACGGTCCCTGGGAATTATCCGGCTCTGGCCCGGGTGGGCGACGTCGATACGGACGAATCGGCCCTTGCGGAGACGTCGGCCGTCGCGACGGATGCCACGCCGGCCGCGTTCCCACGGCGCGAGTACTCCAAGGTGCCTCCCCTGTTCCTCGGCGCGTTTCCGGTTACGCCGCACATGCTCCGCCGAACGGGCCGCTTTTTCGCCCGTTTTTTATCTTGCCCCTTCCCCGTGGGGGAAAGAGAGGGAGAGGAATAAAAATTGTCTCTCTCGCTCGCGGGATCTCTCGGTCCCCGCATAGGCGATTTCTTTGAAGGAGCTAGAATTTTTCATGATTTTCATGATTTTCATGATTTTTTTTTTTTTTGGTTATTTGGATCGTTCGGTATTCCCGCCTAGTTTTAGACGTATTTGGCGCGGAACTCTACCGAGTCGCGGCGTCTCGGTACTCGGGTGGGAAATGGCGGTACGGTTTATATTTAGAACGGAACGCGCGTTATCGGCGATTTCTTTTTCCTTCTCGCGGGGAAAGCGGGAGGCGAGGTTCCGTGGCCGGCGGAAACGCACGCGCCCCTTGTGGGAGTCGGTCGAGGGGATCGGACGGCGCGGAATCGTCGCGGCTCTCCTGGCGGAAAAGGATGGCCGGCTTCCTCGCATTGTCTCGGTATCCGGCGGAGTCCGCGCGGACGGCCGAGCGGATGCGGCTGTACGCTCCGCCAGGCCGCCGGCTGGATTTCCACGCGCGCCTCGCGGATTCGAAAACGGAACCCGGCCGGAAGCGGAAAGGCCGGGCGGCCCCCGCAATTTCCGCCTCCCCCGGCCCGGCCGCGAGAGGATGGACCGAATTAGACGGCCCGCGGGAAGAGGCAAAGGCCCGGCCGGATCCATTAATTTCCCCCCTCGGAGAAATCCCTGGCCTTCCCCTCTTTTTCCTGGAGAGGTCGAGATCGGGGGAACTCCGGTGGCTCGCGAGTAGATTTTCTTCCATTCGCCGTAAGGGCGAGATTCGCCGGCCCGGGCACGCGAATATGAACCAAACGGCGGACGTAGGGGTACTACTCGGAGCGAAAGGCTCTACTCGAAGATTTCCCGGGTCGGGTATATCGCGGCGATCGGATCGATCGGGTATCGATACATCGCAGCGACCCGTGACTTTATATATAATCGTCCGCGTAATTGCGACACGTGTACCGACCGCGAATTCGATTTCGCGCCCACGTGTCTCGCCGAGTTAGGTTAGGTTAGGTTAGGTACACGCGTATTTTTGCGATCGCGCGTTTACGTAACGACGCAACGGAGAGCCCGAATCTCGCGAGAAGGACGAGCGCCGCGTAAATAGGTCCCGGCCGGGTACGCGCGTGTTTACACGCGTGGCGCGCAATTATCGCGCGCGCCCTCGAAAGAGAGAGGAAGGAGACGCGAAAAAGGAGGGGGAGAGGCGAGGGGAAAATAAAGAAGGCGCGCTTAATCGATACTTTGGAGATCTCGGGTTGTCGCATCGCCCTCTCCTCCTCTCTCTCTCTCTCTTTCTCTCTCTTTCTCGAGGCTGCGCATCCGGTCCGGCGAGTTCGGTGCGCGCGTACGTGCATCTCCTGTCGCCGTCTCTCTCCCTCTCTCGCGGCGCCCCTAGCGCTCTCTCGCTCCCGCCAGGTCCGCGCGGACTCCGTCTCTCGTGCGAGATCGTAACTCATTCCTCAATGGACCGTGACTAGACACCGTTGATGGCGCTGATACGCCGGTAACCGTCGGTGCCCAGGGGCTCTCATCGGCTCCCGGCTCGCGTCCACGGAAGAGCGAGAAAAGGAGAATTAAAGAGAAAAGGAAGGGACAGGAATTAACTTCGAGAGTCGAGGCGGTTTCTATCGCCGTCTCGGGATTTCACGTCTCGTGAGATGTCTCGCCGAAGGTGACTTCTAGTTCGGATTTTGGCCACCGGTCGCGGGGGCGGGACGAGCGCGCCAATCTGGTCGCTCGATTGGTGCAAGTCGATCTTCGATATCGATTATCTCCGCGCTCGGGCCTTGGAGACGAATTTCGCTCCGGAGGATTCCGCGCGGAATTTTTCGCGGAACGCGACCGCGGCGGGACCCCGCGACGAGGCGCGGTATTTCGGGGGTTGAATCGAGGTTTCCGTGGACCGCGCGCCGTGGCCGGTCCGCGGACGTAAACGCCAACGCCGGACGGAACGATGAGAGGTTAGGGGATACTTAACGGCGAGCAGGGAACGAGTCCTCTGTCCTTGTCCCTCTCGCTCCGGGTGCGGGCCAACCGGTCCGCGACCGGTTCGTTACAGTAAACTGCCGGGCAATTTCGGATTTCGGACGTCGGCCACCGGAAGTCCTCCTAAATCTCCCCGCGTTCATTTCGCCCCGGCCTCTCCCCGGGCCGAAAATTAGCTCGTAAATATGCCTCTCGTTATCCCGGCCGGGTATCTCCCCTTGCCCCCCCTCAAGAGAGCATCTTCCTCGGGGTGGGCGAAACTCGCGTCCCGACCGCTCTCCCTCCTTCGAACGAATCTCGGGGCTCGTATCGTTGATAACGATACGATTATAATTAATCGGGGGGCGACAAGGACCGAGGTGGAAACCGGGGTCGCGGGCGTCGATTCGTTCATTCATCGGGTTTTCACGGCGGCCGGGCCGGCAGCCACTCACCGGCCGCCGGCGATGAATGGCGCGCGAGGGGCGGCGCGGGGGCTTTTATACCTGGCCTCGGGGTGCGCCGGCCGCGATTCGCACCCGGCCCGCCAGGGAGCCTCCTGATTGGTCCGCGCCTACCCCCACCACCGACTCGCCGAGCGAACCGACCAATCGGCGCTCGCCGTTCCGCCACGAGTGAATAACCGAACGTGGACTCGGCGACACCGCGACCCTTCAAGAAGGTACGCGGCGAATCGAATTTCCCTCGACTTTTTGACCCTCTCCTTTGTCGCCCTTCTCCCCGCGGGGGACTCTTCGGGATCCTGGAGGTTAAGTATCGAGCGCGCTTAACGCTCTCTTCCGAGAAGAGCTTATTCTCGGTCGCGGGTCGCGAGCCCCCGTTCTGGGGCCGGAAGGGCGAGACCTCTTCCGGTCTCCAGGGTGCACCTCTGGAGGGAAGTGCTCTCTCGTATCGGGTCGGGTCTCGGGGAGGATCGGACCAGATTTCCCGCCATGGGGGAGGCCAGGAAGCTACGCCGCTCTGACCCCTCTCGAGTCGCGCGGGACTTGTTTATAGGTGCGTATATTTCTGCGCATCGCTCACGGCGTGGCGGAGGGCATGCGTCACGAGTTATTTTCGGTCGTGCACTTCGGCGTCGGAGCCCGCGAAACTACGTCTACTCCGCGAGGGGCACTCGACTACGGAGGAGCGCCCCTCCGCGATCCTCGATCGTTACTCCTCGACTTTCGTCTGGGCGTTTCTTATCTACCGCGTAAAAAGTTCCTCTCGACCCGGCTCGAGAGGTTCCCGAATTTTCTCCGGGAAGTGGCTACTCGGCATGAATGGGCCAGTCGGCCGAAACGAGGATGAGACCTTTAGGAGGGGCCCCCCTGATCGCGGGGTACACGTTTTTCTACGCTCCCGAGGGGAACCGGGAAAATCAGATAATCAAACGAGGTCGCCATCGCTCGAGATATAATTCCTTGTCCCTTTGTGCAGATTTTTTTTTTTCCCCGTTTCCCTCCCCTCCCTTCATTTTCCTTCCCTCGAGGAGACGCGGCGCATTAATTGTCGGCGATCACTCGACGGCTCGTTAATTGACCCCGCTCGCGCCGTCACTCCGGCCGCCACTTCCGGCGGAAGCTGTCGAGGGAGGCTCTCGTCTTTATTTCGACCTCTTGGGAGGACTCGTCGCGTCGTCGCGCTTTCTCTCCCTCCGTATCTACTTATCCTTTTTTTTTCCTTCTAGTACGCCGGCATCCGAATCGGCCCCGTGGTGAAGAAGGACGTGATGAAGGCCTCGATCATGCTGGAGCACGACAGCCAGTGAGTACTCCGCGGGTCGATTCGCTCATCTGCCTGAGAAAGAGAGAGAGAAAAAAAAAAAGAGGAGAGATTAATAAGCCATACCCCTCGCCAGGTACGCGACGATCCTCGCGTTCGACGTCAAGATCGAGAAGGACGCCCAGGAGCTGGCCGACTCCCTCGGGGTGAAGATCTTCCAGGCGGACATCATCTATCATCTTTTCGACAAATTCACGGCTTACCGGGACGAGCTCAAGCAGCGGAAGCGGGACGAGCACAAGCACATCGCCGTGTTCCCCTGCAAGCTCAGGATACTGCCCCAGGTGAGGAAGAGGGGCATCCTCTGGTCCAACATTTTTTTTTTTTTATTTATTTTTCTCATTTCCTTTCGGCGTATCCGGACAGCAGTCGAGCACCTAGTTCTCGACGCGGAAGAGGAGCGATCTCTTCCGCTGGAAAGGGGTCCTTTTTCTTTTCTTTCCGTTTTTTAAGAGAAGTCGAGGTCGAACGCGCGACAATAAATCCGAGGAGGTCGCGGCGGGCACGTGCGCTATCTACGCTCGAGGATTTGCGAAATCAGCGGCTTATCACCGGATGCGAGGCGGGCCCGAGAGGCCGGAAGTGGAAACACTAGACGGGGGATAATGGCGCTTCCGGTGTGTCTCGCCTCCTCCTCGGGTCCCGAGGAGCCGGGCCATCCGGAAGCGGGGGGTCGCGGTCCTTCCGTCAATGGGACGACGAAACGAAGGACGGTCGTGGGAAATTTCTCGCTACGTTTCCCACTTTCCTTTTCTTTCCTTTTTTTTTTCCCAAAAGTTTACGACCGCCGTCTCATTTTTTTTTTTTTTTCTTCTCGCTCCCACGAAAGGCCTCCTCGGCGCTCCCGCTTCCTGGCTCGGGAGAGGAAACTACGGGAACACCCTAGGAATGTGGGAGGGAGGATTTTTGCCAGTTTCGTCGCGAGGAGGGGAAGGGAAAAAAAAATATAAAAAGGGGGGAAGGCTTACCGGGCGGAGGAGGAAGTCGGTGTAGAAATTCAATGCAGCCGCGGGTCAAATGTACGATTCGCCTTAGGAAGCGAGCTCTCGGCTGCTCGACAATTGCGGAAGCGAACGCGATACCTAGGGGGGGAGGGAGGAACGGGGAATTCAGGTTTCAGCGAAAAACACGGAACGCCCGGATTTTCCGACCTTTTCCGCTAGGCTCCGTTTTCCCCTTCCTAACGAGACTTTACGATCTTCTTGCAGTTCATCTTCAACTCGAGGGACCCGATCGTGGTGGGAGTGATGGTCGAGGCAGGGATCGTCAAGGAAGGCACACCCATGTGCGTGCCCAGCAAGGACGTGAGTACTTTGGACAATCGCGCGGCTCTCCCCCTCCGCGGATTCGCCTCGGGACGTCGGCGGATCGGCCGGAAGGTCGAGGGATCCTTTTCGACGTTTTATCCGCGTGGGTCCCCCTCTCTATCTTTCTCTCCTGGTCGATTTTCGCCCTTCGAGGACCCGACGCCGGGTCGGAGGTGCGTACCCACGCCCGGTGCTCGCGTTACGAGAGAGCGACGCCACGAGCGTCGACCCGTTTCACGTGGGTGAACTCGTCCCCGCGGTCCGCTCACCGCGCCGGCGAGTGCGCTCGCCTCGCTCTCCCGAGAACCCGAGGACGCGAGAAGTCGACCAGGGGACGGTCTCGACGAGACCCTGTTTTCTTATTTATTTATTTTTTTCCTTTTTTTCTTTTCGTCCTCTCGGACGGGATTTGAAGATCGGGAGTCGATTCGAGGACGACGTCGAGGAAGAGACCGAGGGCCCCGACGCCGCGGTTACCTGTCCCACCTATCCGTCCGTCGACCCACCTAGAAAGCCGGAGAGCTATGCGGTTGCGTGTGCGTTAGGTGGGCCGCGCTCGGGAAGGCTTATGCCAGCTCTCTTTTATACGCGCGCGCATTCTTAAGTCGCCCGCGCATAGAAAGCCGCGCCGGGCCTTATGCCGAGCCCACGTGTAGGTGCGCTCCCGGGTGAGCGAGCTAAAGAGAGAGAGGGCCTCTTTTGTCGCCGAGTGGGCCCGATAAGGCCGATAGCGGCGCGGAGGTGATAGGGACCCTTCGCACCGGAAGTCTAACTCGAAGCCGAGCGTTTCCGCGAGCCGGCCCTTCGTCCTTCGACCGATTCGAGGTTAGGTTCCGGGTCCCGGTCGACGGGGCTCCTCCTCGCGGGCGGGGGACAAGACGGCGGCGATGATCCCGGCCGGATGCCGGCCGTCACGAAGCGTTGGCTTAGGTCAAGAGACCGCGGCCCGATGAATGGGCCCCCGAGACTCGCCGAGAAGGAACGAGAGGAGGGGCCCCGGTGCCACCTCGAAATCGTCGAAACTCGGCATATTCAAGATCTTCGGGATTTTATTTTATTTATTTATTTATCTTTTTTCCCCCATGGCTTAGGGGTCCGGCAGGGGCTCGCATTAACCCCTTAACTTGGGCGCTCGAGTTAATTCCAGCGGCGTTGTATTTTATGCGACTATAATTTTTCATCCTCGAATACAATCGAGGATTTTATTTTTTTGCCCAGACAATGTTCTAGTGTTTTTTTTTTACATAAAAAAATTGATTTTTTTTTGCCGTTTTTTTTTTATCGGTGCGTTAAGGGGTTAATTCGTACTGGTAAACCGCGGGTTGTCCTGGAGTTCGGAATGCTTTTTTCAACCGATAGGAGGTTCTAGGTATAGCGTTCTATTTTATGCTACTATAATTTTTCACCCTCGAATACAATCGAGGATTTTATTTTTTTTCCCAAGACAATGTTCTAGTGTTTTTTTTTTACATAAAAAAAAATTGATTTTTTCTTTTTTTAATCGGTGCGTTAAGGGGTTAATTCGTACGGGTTAACCGCGGGTTGTCCTGGAGTTCGGAATGCCTTTTTCAACCGATAGGAGGTTCTAGGTATAGCGTTCTATTTTATGCTACTATAATTTTTCACCCTCGAATACAATCGAGGATTTTATTTTTTTGCCAAGTTCTAGTGTTTTTTTTTTACATAAAAAAATTGATTTTTTTTTTTTTTTTTTTTTAATCGA